ACAATCAGAAAACACTGGGATTTATTTAAGTTCGTTGGAAAATGTCGTTTTTAGGACCATGATGTGATTTTAAAGAAAGGCTCATCCTTGGCAAAAGAGTAAGGTTATAGCCTTGGAAAAACATCAACTTTTTAGAAAAATATTTTCTTCTAGAAACCAGTTAATTAGCTTCTATACAATCAGAAAACACTGATATTTATTTAAGTTCGTTGAAAAAAGTCGTTTTTTAGACCATGGTGTGATTATAAAGAAAGGCTCATCCTTGGCAAAAGAGTAAGGCTATAGCCTTGGAAAAACATCAACTTTTTAGAAAAATATTTTTTTCTAGAAACCAGTTAATTAGCTTCTATACAATCAGAAAACATTGGAATTTATTTAAGTTCGTTGAAAAAAATCGTTTTTAGGACCATGATGTGATTTTAAAGAAAGGCTCATCCTTGGCAAAAGAGTAAGGTTATAGCCTTGGAAAAATCATCAACTTTTTTGGAAAAGATTTTCTTTTAGAAACCAGTTAATTACCTTCTATACAATCAGAAAACACTAGAATTTATTTTAGTTCGTTGAAAAAAGTCTTTTTAAGGACCATGATGTGATTTTAAAAAAAGGCTCATCCTTGGAAAAAGAGTAAGGTTATATATAGCCTTGGAAAAATCATCAACTTTTTAGAAAAATATTTTCTTCTAGAAACCAGTTAATTAGCTTCTATACAATCAGAAAACACTGGAATTTATTTAAGTTCGTTGAAAAAAGTCGTTTTTAGGACCATGATGTGATTTTAAAGAAAGGCTCATCCTTGGCAAAAGAGTAAGGCTATAGCCTTGGAAAAATCATCAACTTTTTTGGAAAATATCTTCTTTTAGAAACCATTTAATTAGCTTCTATACAATGAGAAAACATTGGAATTTATTTAAGTTCATTGAAAAAAGTCGTTTTTAGGACCATGATGTGATTTTAAAGAAAGGCTCATCCTTGGAAAAAGAGTAAGGCTATAGCCTTGGAAAAATCATCAACTTTTTTGAAAAATATTTTTTTCTAGAAACCAGTTAATTAGCTTCTATACAATCAGAAAACACTGGGATTTATTTAAGTTCGTTGGAAAATGTCGTTTTTAGGACCATGATGTGATTTTAAAGAAAGGCTCATCCTTGGCAAAAGAGTAAGGTTATAGCCTTGGAAAAACATCAACTTTTTAGAAAAATATTTTCTTCTAGAAACCAGTTAATTAGCTTCTATACAATCAGAAAACACTGATATTTATTTAAGTTCGTTGAAAAAAGTCGTTTTTTAGACCATGGTGTGATTATAAAGAAAGGCTCATCCTTGGCAAAAGAGTAAGGCTATAGCCTTGGAAAAATCATCAACTTTTTTGAAAAATATTTTCTCCCAGAAACCAGTTAATTAGCTTCTATAAAATCAGAAAACACTGGAATTTTATTAAGTTCGTTGAAAAAAGTCGTTTTTAGGACCATGATGTGATTTTAAAGAAAGGCTCATCCTTGGCAAAAGAGTAGGGCTATAGCCTTGGAAAAATCATCAACTTTTTTGGAAAATATTTTCTTCTAGAAACCAGTTAATTAGCTTCTATACAATCAGAAAACACTGGAATTTATTTTAGTTCGTTGAAAAAAGTCGTTTTTAGGACCATGATGTGATTTTAAAGAAAGGCTCATCCTTGGCAAAAGAGTAAGGCTATAGCCTTGGAAAAATCATCAACTTTTTTGAAAAATATTTTTTTCTAGAAACCAGTTAATTAGCTTCTATACAATCAGAAAACACTGGAATTTTTTTTAGTTCGTTGAAAAAAGTCGTTTTTAGGACCATGATGTGATTTTAAAGAAAGGCTCATCCTTGGCAAAAGAGTAAGGCTATAGCCTTGGAAAAATCATCGACTTTTTTGGAAAATATTTTCTTTTAGAAACCAGTTAATTAGCTTCTATACGATCAGAAAATACTAGAATTTATTTTAGTTCGTTGAAAAAAGTCGTTTTTAGGACCATGATGTGATTTTAAAGAAAGGCTCATCCTTGGCAAAAGAGTAAGGCTATAGCCTTGGAAAAATCATCAACTTTTTTGAAAAATATTTTTTTCTAGAAACCAGTTAATTAGCTTCTATACAATCAGAAAACACTGGAATTTATTTAAGTTCGTTGAAAAAGGTCGTTTTTAGGACCATGATGTGATTTTAAAGAAAGGCTCTTCCTTGGCAAAAGAGTAAGGCTATAGCCTTGGAAAAATCATCAACTTTTTTGGAAAATATTTTCTTCTAGAAACCAGTTAATTAGCTTCTATACAATCAGAAAACACTGGAATTTATTTTAGGTCGTTGAAAAAAGTCGTTTTAAGGACCATGATGTGATTTTAAAGAAAGGCTCATCCTTGGCAAAAGAGTAAGGCTATAGCTTTGGAAAAATCATCAACTTTTTTGAAAAATATTTTCTTTTAGAAACCAGTTAATTAGCTTCTATAAAATCAGAAAACACTGGAATTTTATTAAGTTCGTTGAAAAAAGTCGTTTTTAGGACCATGATGTGATTTTAAAGAAAGGCTCATCCTTGGCAAAAGAGTAAGGCTATAGCCTTCGAAAAATCATCAACTTTTTTGAAAAATATTTTTTTCTAGAAACCAGTTAATTAGCTTCTATACAATCAGAAAACACTGGAATTTATTTAAGTTCGTTGAAAAAGTCGTTTTTAGGACCATGATGTGATTTTAAAAAAAAGGCTCATCCTTGGCAAAAGAGTAAGGCTATAGCCTTAGAAAAAAAAATCTTTTTTTTTGAAAAATATTTTTTTCTAGAAACCAGTTAATTAGCTTCTATACAATCAGAAAACACTGGAATTTATTTTAGTTTGTTGAAAAAAGTCGTTTTAAGGACCATGATGTGATTTTAAAGAAAGGCTCATCCTTGGCAAAAGAGTAAGGCTATAGCTTTGGAAAAATCATCAACTTTTTTGAAAAATATTTTCTTTTAGAAACCAGTTAATTAGCTTCTATACAATCAGAAAACACTGGAATTTAATTAAGTTCGTTGAAAGAAGTCGTTTTTAGGACCATGATGTGATTTTAAAGAAAGGCTCATCCTTGGCAAAAGAGTAAGGCTATAGCCTTGGAAAAATCATCAACTTTTTTGAAAAATATTTTCTTCTAGAAACCAGTTAATTAGCTTCTATACAATCAGAAAACACTGGAATTTATTTTAGTTTGTTGAAAAAGTCGTTTTTAGGACCATGATGTGATTTTAAAGAAAGGCTCATCCTTGGCAAAAGAGTAAGGCTATAGCCTTGGAAAAATCATCCACTTTTTTGAAAAATATTTTCTTCTAGAAACCAGTTAATTAGCTTCTATACAATCAGAAAACACTGGAATTTATTTTAGTTCGTTGAAAAAAGTCGTTTTTAGGACCATGATGTGATTTTAAAGAAAGGCTCATCCTTGGCAAAAGAGTAAGCCTATAGCCTTGGAAAAATCATCAACTTTTTTGGAAAATATTTTCTTTTAGAAACCAGTTAATTAGCTTCTATACGATCAGAAAATACTAGAATTTATTTTAGTTTGTTGAAAAAAGTCGTTTTTAGGACCATGATGTGATTTTAAAGAAAGGCTCATCCTTGGCAAAAGAGTAAGGCTATAGCCTTGGAAAAATCATCAACTTTTTTGAAAAATATTTTCTTCTAGAAACCAGTTAATTACTTTCTATACAATCAGAAAACACTGGAATTTATTTTAGTTTTCTGAAAAAAGTCGTTTTTAGGACCATGATGTGATTTTAAAGAAAGGCTCATCCTTGGCAAAAGAGTAAGGCTATAGCCTTGGAAAAATCATCAACTTTTTTGAAAAATATTTTCTTCTAGAAACCAGTTAATTAGCTTCTATACAATCAGAAAACACTGGAGTTTATTTTCGTTTGTTGAAAAAAGTCGTTTTTAGGACCATGATGTGATATTAAAGAAAGGCTCATCCTTGGCAAAAGAGTAAGGTTATAGCCTTGGAAAAATCATCCACTTTTTTGAAAAATATTTTCTTTTAGAAACCAGTTAATTAGCTTCTATACAATCAGAAAACACTGGAATTTATTTTAGTTCGTTGAAAAAAGTCGTTTTTAGGACCATGATGTGATATTAAAGAAAGGCTCATCCTTGGCAAAAGAGTAAGGTTATAGCCTTGGAAAAATCATCCACTTTTTTGAAAAATATTTTCTTCTAGAAACCAGTTAATTAGCTTCTATACAATCAGAAAACACTGGAATTTATTTTAGTTTGTTGAAAAAAGTTGTTTTTTAGGACCATGAAGCGATTTCAAAGAAGGACCGAATCTTGGAAAAATCATCAATTTTTCTGAATTGTTTTATTCTAAAAACAAGTTAATTAGCCTCTGTATACAGAGGAATTAGAACAAGACCATTAAGTTCTAGGAAGAAAGTGGGTTTTTGGAGAAAAAAACGACTATAGATAAATGCTGATATTTTATTTTAAAAAGTAAAGCTTGGATACACGATCAATTTTATCGAAACTTTTTCTTCTAGAAACAAGTTCATTAGCTTCTGTTCATTAATGAAACAAGTTCATTAGATTCCCTTTGTCTTTTAAAAAAAACTTGGGAACCTAAAAGTCTAGAGCAAATTTGTATGTAGCGTGTTATTGTCGTTTAGCACCAAACGGGGTGGAAGGACCAAAATAGATTTACCTCGAATCAGCTTCTTTGAACTTTTATTGATTGCCCTTTGGTTGAATTATCCATTTGTTCATTTTTCAACTAATTCGCAAACAGACGTAGGATTTAGGCAGCTGACAAAGTTGTTTTGCGCTCTGATCATTTCTCTCAATCAGACCAAACATCATGATCCTTAGAATTATTTAGATTCAGAGCTAGCGACTTTCTGGACTTTCCTTACTGCCTCGCTTAACGGGTCTCTAGTCATTTGGCAAAGAAAACCAGCCACAGCACTTTGGGTCAGTTGTTCAAAAAATGCAAGACATTCGCAACGAAAAACCAACAACGCATCAAGACAAAACACCCATTATTTTCGTCAATTATCTAAAAACCCTTTGAACAGAAAACCCATACATTAACAATCATGTGATAAGTACATCATTCAGTTTACATTCCAGATACACGACTGAAAATCAGCTTGGGAAGAACGACATGGTGGCTCCTTACTAGCCGGATCTAGATTTGACCCTGGAATAATTTTCACACATTCGCCCCACTGTGTCGGAAAATTTAGCAAGAAGATCATATAAAACGACTTATAGTCTTAAGGAGGTAATACGATTAATTTTCAATCAGAGTCCAGAAACATTGGTAGAAGGTCATTGAAAACAAAATTGATTTGTCTGTCACCCAAAGACAACGCCTTACTTTCATTGTCTTGAGCAAGTTTACAAGTTTTTAATTGACTGGAGAATTGATGAAAATATTCCTAGACTTCGTTTTGAATATTAAGGGAGGTAAGTAGATAAAAATAAGGAGTTTCCACCGCAGAGGAGGGCGGGTCGTTAAAATTGAAATAATATGATGGAATGAAGCAAGTGTATAAAGAGCATGTAAACAGGCTCAAGAGAAATAAAAATGAATGAACTTAAAGATACTAGCGCTATTGAACAATAAATTCACAAATCCAATCTACAATTTTCCAAAAATTACATACATACATACGGGACCCATCGAAATATAACAATTCCATTGTTTCTTGTGATAATTTCCCCTTGTATTAAATTTAACCCGCAAAATTTCTTAGGTTTCAGCGACAGGTGAATTAGGTAGCACCGCCACACCGGCGGCGGCTCGTGACGATTGCATTTGGATGACTTCGGTCCATTTGTCGTCGTTTGGGTCGTAGTATTCGACACTGTTCAGATACGAAGGTCCGTCAATCCCACCAATGGCGTACAACCACCCGCCATATTGCTTCATAGATAGCCCGTCACGACAAGAAACCATTGATGCCACTGTTGTCCAGGCATTTGTTCTTGGGTCGTAGACTTCGACAGAATCAAGCCTTGAAAGCCCATCAAAACCACCTTAGGAGAGATAAATCAAGTATTCATGACAGCAACACTAGGCATCCCTTGGAACCGTCACTCCATTTGAAATTCGAAGGAGTTAGAATTCTTCAAAAATAGGGGTTCAACTGAAACAGTACCATCCACAAAATATCTGCCAACCGGTATCGCCGACAACATCGCATGCGGACAAACAACGATTTATAGAGCAACAAAAAGTTCCTGTCGCCTTTTAAGAAAGACTAAGAGGGTTTCACATTCACATTGTCAGTTTCCCGACAAAGTGTCAACATATTCTGTTATTGAGTTTTACAAGGCAAAATTCTAAAGCTCTCTTATTGCGGCGTTTATAAGCCCGGCGAAGCACTGTAAACAAAATGCATACTTGTTTGGCAAGACTATTCTTAAAAGACAGCTAACGCGTTCTATTACTGTTTTGATTATGTCAGGCGCGATCCTAGATTGTTTTCCTAGAATAATATACTGTAAAGGAACAAACTAGCTCGGGCAACAGGGAATAGCGTGGCAGATGTTTCTTGAGCCTACAGATTACCTAGAAAGATATTTCATGATAATGTCAAAATCTAGGGCTTAATAGAGAATTTTCATTTAAGGAAGTAATCTCTTGCAACAACATACGTCATACTCATTCAATGTATTCCAAAGACTATTAAAAAATGTACGGGAATAATATTTTGTAATGGTCAAAGACCAAAAGATAAAGGCATCAACATTGGGGCTTCGTGGAATTACGGGATTAGGTAAATAGGATTAGTGAAGAATAGGTGCGTTATCTTGTGAAGTTACTTGCTGACCAATAACCAAGATTATTATGAGGGTTATAGGATTCATCGTCTGAATTCCAGCAGAAATACAGGGTCATGAATAAAATAATATGATTTACCTAAGCAATGAATGCAACTTAAATCACTGTTTACCTGTCTGTCACAAAGTGCTTGAGACCGTATAGGCAGAGCTGTACACAGTATTTGGTGTATAGAACAGGACAGTTATAAGTTGCTGCTCTAAGTTTCGCGCTTAATGTGATCATCGGGCAACTATTCCTATTACCTATACTTTTTATGGTAATGGTAATACCAAAGAAATTATTCAAATGGGTTTTAATTATTTATATTTTTTTATTATTTCTTTTATTTAATTATTCGGACTAGAAATTATTTCAGTTTTAATTTTCCTTTCAAAATTCATGAAGACAAGAGAAAACAACGAAACCTACCTGCCACATATAAAAGACCATCCAGCACATCAGCGCCAAGACCTGCTCTTGGTTTGTTCATTGGTGCAGCAAAAGACCATTTACTGGATACAGGATCAAAGACTTCACAAGAGCTCAAAAATGAAGACCCATCATTCCCGCCAATCACAAACATTCTTCCTCCAAGTACAGCAACTCCTGTATCATAAAAGACAAAAGCTTATTCCTAATTCACGTGATAGACTATCCTAAACTTCATAGTTGGAAAGCAATCCAATAGCAAAAAATATATCAAACAAACAAAAGAAAATGCAAAATAACTAGGAGTACATCTATGTAAAATAACAAAACCGTTTGGAAATTTTAAAATTTTTTGACTACTCAGTTACATACCAGGAAAGCTTCTGGTGACACTCATTGGTACCACACTTGTCCATATATCAAGTTCTGGGTCATATCTTTCAACAGAATTCAGGCAAAGTCTTCCATCATAACCACCAAAGCCATAAATAAATCCTTTATGAGAACATACTCCAACACCAGAACGACAAGTATTTAAAGATCTTATGTATCTCCATTCATCGTCTTTTGGTGTATAGTATTCTACTGTATTTAAGCGCCGCATTCCATCTGAACCACCAACTGCAAAAATTTTACCATTTAGTTCTGTTACACCAAGCTGATGTCGTGGTATGTTCAGTGGTTTCATGGATGTCCATGTGTTTTGTTTTGCACTAAACATTCAGAGAAAAACAAGGAACTCAGTTATAAATGGAAACTGGTGCATAAATCAATGATATAAAAACTCAAATTTATCATGTTGTGAGTATTGACTAATAAATACTTGATATGGTCACTTAACAGGTTTTTACTGAAATCCCAAAAGATTCTTAAAATGCATGCTGTGATTTTAAATTGGATTGCTTATTCTACTGGACTGCAAAAACACCTTAACTTTCAGCTAAAAATTTGCTTCTAAAACCCTTTGTGACAGCACCAAAAAAGATAAACATGTACCATTTTCATTGCAGCAGCACCTTTAAAACTGTGCTCATTTCAAGTGTTTTTACAAATATAGGTTTATATAGAGTGTCTTTGTTCATGACCAGGTTTTTCTTTTGCAAAAACTCATAACCACCTTGCTTACAATATAGCACTTGCTAAAAGTATTGTTAAAATGTTCTCACATTAATCCTAAGAACAGTTTTGAAAGAATATATAATTGCATTACTGAAATCACCACATTTCCATTACTTCCAGTGTAAATATTATGACTAACAGTACTGTTTTTCTAGCATATGCAAAAAGAATATAATTTGTCATGAATGATTAATAAAGTGAAAAGCTCTGAACAAAAACTTAAGTATCCAAGATTTGCCAATTGGCAGATGATAAGAAATTAGCCTTTTCTTCTGGCATACATATTTTAGGAAATTTTCTTTATTAAACCTTGCTTTTGCTGGTACATATTTTTCTGTTTACATTTAATTTTCACTTATTCTTGGAACCATATTTATGTATAACATTCTTTAGAAATATACAGTTGCCCTAAATTGCTCACTGTTTATAGTCAGGGATGCCAGGGAGGTGGGATATGGGGGGTCAACTACCCCTATTGCCTTTTGATAAGAGGGGCATAGGGGGACAAACTGCCTTTTTCATAGAAGTGCCCTTGACATCACGGTTAGTAATCACAAAAGTTTCATATAAATTCTACGTGCTTTACATCTTGTTTGTTTGCCAGGAGGCAGACGATATCTGCTCATATGAGAATTTGAGGCAAATCTAAATTCCACTCTGTCTTGAAAAGGCAAACATTGAGTAAGCTTTTCAAATCATCACATCTGAAATAGCTATTAGCATATACATATATGGCAGTTTCCAACAAGATCTTGGGTTTGCAAGAGCAACATTTCAATCATGTGTGTTTCAATCAGGACTTCCATCAAGTGTGTAAGTGTGCACTTCAGTTGTGCATAATAGTGCACAAAACTATATGTTAGATCCTGATGATATCAGTTAAGAAAGGAATATGAGCAAAGCAAGAAAATGTACATGCTTGATGGCTACTTTGTTATTAAACCAATCCAAGATTTTGTTGATCTTTAGGAAACTTAAATTCTTCATTTGTCATAAGCAATGAGACATACCCATGACATGCCCAGATCTAGAAATGTCACACCCTTTACCAAATGTGCATGTACATTTGGAAAAATATATCCAGTGTACACTTACCTTACTCTGCAGTCTGGCATATACGTATAAACAAATGCTAAATAATGTGTAAATAATATTAAAAAATTTATGGTTTTGAAATCAGGTAAAACATATTTGCAATTATGAAAGTTTAGTATTGTTGTATTGTTACCATGAATAACCCAGGGAAGGGGGCAATTCACTTATAAAAACAAACAAGATTTCTACCAAAAGGATTTTTGAGGGTTTTGGGGTAAAAAGATAGGATTTCTATCAAAGGTTTACAATATTTCCATGGATTTATTTGTCTCCTGGAATTACTCATTCACAAGGCTGTGAAACATCTGCTAATTTTTAGTTGACATTTTTCACACTTAAATTGTTTTCTTTGTAGATTTTAATTGCCAGCGTAGTTTCTGTTCACATGTTACAACTAGCCCTTACAACAAAAAACATTAATTCTACAACACTGTCTTCATGACAGCAAAAATAGGGCAGAGAAACAATGAATTGCAGTTCCCCTTCTTCCCTGTAAAAAGAGAGGGAATCAAATTCTCTGATGGAAATTCTTTAAAAATGCTGAATTACTCACAGCACTGACCAATACAATTGAAAATTAAAAAGAACATCAAGAGAAGCATATTTCAGCAAACAGAAAAGATTTGAAGAAAGATCACTGACTGATTAGAATCAGTGAAACTAGGGGATTACCTGTTGCTATGTCTGAAATTTAGAAGGGTTGTCATCAAAGTAGCCTAGCTTTTATATTTTTAAGCCAAAATGCCTAACTCACTGGTTAGACTTAAACTTGGTTTCCTAAAAACACTCGCAAGTCCTAAACATTATTTTAAAAAAATAATATGAGATAAGGCTAAGTAATGTTAAAGAACAAAAAAAAGTAAATAAAACAGGTAGCTTTCACACCTGTAACATTCTACTTTTGTTGTTATTGTTTCACCAGCTTCCTTGCCACCAACAGCATATAACAATCCTGCGAATAATTTTCTAGGCCTGGTGCGTGCTGATCTAAACTTCATATGATATTCATTTAGCAAGTGATAGTTTTTTGCTTCATCCAACAAATCCCTGCGCCCATGACTTTCTCTCATTAGTGGTTCATTATCAACTTCATTCAAAAGAAAGTTCACAGGCAGTAGGGAGAGCCTGACTTGTTGTAATAAAGAAGTCAAAAAACAACCTCTATTTTTGATATCATGTTTAGCCCATTTCATTGCAGCTTCATAAGCAAGTTGCTCATTGTTTATAGCCAACTCATCGCTTGCAAGGCATTTCTCCAGTAATGCATGAGGCATTGTAACATATTCGTCTGAATGGAAGACCTCTGAAAAATGCTCCAAAACAAAATTATCCACTTCAGCTATAAATCTCAAGCAACCATTTGATTCTGCGAAATTCCGAATGCCAAGACAGTTTGAAGAGTCTAATTGCATCTCCAAAAATTTGCAGCATATCTCCCTCACCTCCGGGAAGTTTATCTGGCTTGACAAAGACAACAACGACTGTGCATTTTCTACAGTTACATCTAAATTGCCAGTATATGCAAAATCAACGAGCAGTTCCAATGCGTCTCTCTGGACATCTTTCAAATGTACAACTCTTTGCTTACTTTCAATTAATTCCCCATTAAACATAGCGTAAAAGTAAGGGCTACAGGCCGCTAAAACTGAACGGTGTGCCGAAATCCTTTCATCGCCGACGACAAGTTCAACATCACAAAGTTTCTTGCACTCCTTTCTGTGACTGTTCATTAATTTCAAAACTCTGTTGGCATGAGTACTTTTAAGTTCCTGAAGACTGCCGAAAGTGATGCCAGAAAGGCTTGTTGTAGAGTCCATGCTCAACATTGCTAAACAATTCTGATGTAACAGTGCGAACAGGTCTTGAAAGCGTCGTCTTCGACAGAAATTTCTTGTTCGCCGCAGTCATCCGAACGGAGTTCACAAGTTTACAGGAAATATGATTAATCTACATTAATCACCTCCAAATCGCTTACCATTGAAGTTGAAGTGTCACAATTATTACATTTCGAGAGAAATCCAAATGTAATGCTTGATACTGTCACAGGAATCAGCAATTACCTAGGAATCGATTGCTCCCCAAGCGTCGTTAAGTTGTGGTTGCTTTGTTCTTCAACAGTTACGACAGGCCTTTCTGTCTTCAAACCTTTGTTTCATGGTGTGAATTTTCGATCCATACATGACCTTGCTTCGCTACCTAACCGCATCTTCTAGGGCAAATATGCTCGGCCTTGTCGGTGAGATTAAAATTCTGCCACAAAATAACAGTCAAGACGTGAGAGGAGTCTCAACCACAACAACAACAACAATAATATCTACGCCTCCGAAGAGGAAGTTAAAAAATGAATGAAATTGAAGAAAATTATGGTCTATGAACGAACAAAATTTACATCAGACAGCCGTTGCTTATTTGTTATACAGATAACGCGGGAAGAGAAGCCGGGGGCTTTAGCCTCCTCCACTTTTGCAAAAATGCAAGCTATTAAGAACTGAACCATCGACAAAGCCTCTTTTTGCTCGGTTTTAGCCCCCCTCCGCTTTCCTTAGACCCCCACTTTTCTCAATGCTCTACGGTGCCTGTTACATGAAATTATAAATCATGTATTGACATGACTCTACTCCAGGATTATTTTTTAATCGATAGGGGATTAGCAAGGATGAAACAATGCTACCTTTTTTGCCCTGCCCTTAAAGTAATTTTGTCTCTAAGCCTCAATTACAATTAGAATTGCCAATAGATATTTATACGTGGTAGCATAAACAAACTTACCTTCAAACATGACAGAAAGCAAAGATATTTTAAGCAGAAGGTTGCCTTTGGTAATAACCTTAGGAAGGAAAACCAACCTTGATGTACAACAATACCTATAACATTTGATGAGTAAAATTGAGCAAATCAGACAAAATTTAGCCAGTACAGCTCATCATAATAAAGGTTGGGTACAATACTGCATTTAGAAGTACATTTATCTTTTGTAGTGTTGGAAGGAGAATCACTTTTCCTAGAGGCAATAAGAGCAAAGCTTAATAATGCATCTGAGTAAACTTTCTTTACCCAAGAATAAAGCACCTAAGCTAACTTTTCTAAAAAATGTCAGGGAAGCTCTTGGGGTGTCTCTAGTGCTCCAGCAGACGGCATTATACCCAGAGCTATCCAATAGCTGAGTCCCCACGGATTTGCGGACCCGGACAAAGCTAATTATATATACACTTTATGACGTAATGAAGGCTAGTGTTACATACTATTCAAAACTACAACTGTTATGAAAATTTTCCCTGGAATATTACGTTTCGAACCTCTACTGAGTGGCTTTGCGGGAGATTGAAGGCACATTAATATACTAAAGTGTTACGTTTAAACAGGATCAACCTGGATACGACGATAAGCATCCAATTGGTTGTTTAAGGACAGGCTCTGAAGGCTAAGCCACAGTTAGTGATCATTTCCTTGCTTCTGGGATAATGACTGTTGAGAGGATCTGTGGACGGAGATTACCAACTTAAACGAGCTAGAATTCGAAATTAATCTGTCATGTGTAAGAATCTGATTGATATTTTTGTGCCATAATTTTTAAGTAAATTCCACCAATATTTCCTGTTTTTGAAATTTTATAGTACAATGCGGGACACTTTAAAGACCATTTAAATTTGCCTAAGGAAAAATTGTGGAATTGGTGGGTGTAGATGCGATGAATCATTTTGCCAACAAGGAAGAACAAAGTTGTAAATAAAAAGAGAAATTGCAAGCAATTTTTATAGTAATTACTCTCAGAAGAGAGAATGAATTTGTTTCAGCTTTCAATATATTTCTATCAATGGGTATCACCTGGGTCTTTTATATCCTAAGTTTTCCTTGATATGTATTCGGTATTATAATCTGAAAATATCTCTACGCTCCTGTATAATATACAACTATACTCCTGGTTTTGGAGATGAAAAATTATTAAAAATTACATTTTGCAATAGCTCAGCCTTAGCTTGTTCTTAATTTGTTGTAACTTTTGACCAAATTTAAGGCTCATGTTCTTATAACATTGTTCTTATAAAAACAGAGTGTAGTTGCTTGGTTTTAGACATCCTTGCATAGGATTTGCATCCGATAGATATCTTTTAGAATTGGAGGAAGCATAATGAGCTAACAGGACTCTAACGTGGCTATCATTTCCCTGTGAAGCAAAACTAAACTTTGGACCAGCTTTCATCGATTTTAGCATATTTTAACACCTCCCATTAAATATCAAAGTTTGCTGATGCTTTGAACTGATATTACTAGACGAGTTCCCTTCCAAATGTCATTTTAAATCACGAGAACTATGTATTTTGCGTTTATTTTACCTAGAATTTATATCACCGTGCTTTGATAACAAAGTTTCTTAATCACAAGTTGACATTTCTTAGCAATACATTTGAAATGAGATTACTGGTTTTTAAAGACATTTTTCTGAAAATCACCTTCAACAAAAACCATAGATAAGCTTGTAATTACTGATGACAAGTATCATTTTGCAATGAATGGAGACTTTGTATTTGTCTCACTTGAAAATTTCTCAAACTCCTCATCTCTTCAGTTACACATTTAATTGTCCATGAAGAGAACATATCTAACCGCACATCACATTACAACAAAGACGTGTTATTCGTTAACTTTATTGCTTGAGGGCTTTGCTTTCAAATCCTGAAGATTTCCTATGTATCTGGTCTGTCCACAAAAGGCCACCAAGCTTATATCACATTTTGTTGCTACATATCATTGCCTACAGGGCAGAATTTAGGGACGGTGGATTTGGCGGATCGAACAATAAAAATAATAACAGTTTTTTCTACACGATGAAACCTTAATTATAATTCAATCTTAATAAACCATGAAAATATAAGTTTAATTTAAAAAATCAATTAATATCTAAAATGCTGTTCTTCAAGAGGCTTTGTTTCACATGACGAACCTTTGGCTTTATTTAAAGGGAATAATAGTCGGGATTAAACGAAAATCAATTTGAACGTCGCTCTAAGATTCAAAAGCAAAGCAGTCAAAACTCTTTTCCCATTATCTGTATGAGAAAAAGCTGTAAGAAATTGTGAGCGCTCCTTCCTATCTACCTCTCTCTCTATTTCTCTCTCGACAGATCCGAACGCCAATCAAGAGGAAAGAAGATCGATGGAACGATTCACATAAAGAACAATATTTAGAATAGTACTAAATCAAGACCTTATTGGACCGAGGTGACTTCGTTAAAATTCTTACGTTATTTCTTCTCTCTGGACGTTAATTTTTCTCTCTGATTAATAATTCGTGGTTGTTTATGTCATTATATTCGCCGATGTTTATACTTTATCTTGCAATTTAATTAGAAATTATACAGTCCTCTGACTTTGATATAGAATTTGCCAAGTAAATAGATCTTAACTATTTACATCATAGTAGTGATTCCTGGCAGGTAAACCCTATAAAAGCTACATTATCCGACTTGAGGAGCGTCGGACGAAAAGTATTTTGGTCACTTTTGACAGTAGCGTAGAAGACTCTACAAAGCATTTTTTGGGAATTGTATTGTTTCATATTTCTTTGATGACACAAGCCCTCCGCAAAATTATCTTGTTACATCTTTGTATTGCTCATCCCACTTTAGATGCTTATCGACATCTAGAAATTTTGCTTTTATGGCACGCCCGGAAGGGCCATGTGGCCCAGCAGAACATTTGCCCTTTATTTTCTTTGGAGATCCCTTAGAATCAATGGTAAATGACGTAATATGTTGTTCAGTTGTTGTACTTTCCTCTCATGACTCAATTTGAACAGCTGCAACAACAGAAAAATTCCCAGATGATGTTATGTGATGGCGATTGCATTGAGCTTGGAGTGACATTTCTGTTAATTTAAGAAGGGAAGAAGATAAGCATTATCTTAGAGGAGAAACATATTTTTACAAGCTAAGGGTATCATGCAATGATATTTGATAGCTTGTTTAGTTTTGTTCGCACATTTTCACATTTTTTCTTCAAATTACTCGCTGGGCCATATGGTCCTTCCGGTCGCATAAGGTTCTGGCAGCAACAACAGTTGATAGGCCCACCCGCTAATCAGCTGTTCACTTGCAGCTTCCAACTAAACCGCTTTTCGACCAAAAGTTGTTTTTTCAAAGAGATAGACATTTCAAAGAGATTTCATGCAAATATTATTGCCAAAAATTCATTCTATTTTCATAAAATTCAAAACTATTAGCCTAGGCCTTCAGGGGAACTACACTTCCTTTTTGTTGATATGTTTCGGGGAAAATCTTGTCTTTTCTACGAAATTTTAGATGTACTTCCAATTTTTTATCCCTTTTTATAGGATTTACAAATGGCCACCAGCATCAAATATATTGATGAAAATTCTAGCAGAATATTTAGCGATACCACATATCATTCAGTGATTGATTTTGGGGATAGTGATAATCAAGATGATGATAAGGAAAGCAGTGAAAATTCTTAAATTGAGTCTGTACAAGGAGGTAAAGGCAATAAATTGAAACCTCTAAGAATAAAGGAATGAAAGGTCATACAGATACACCAACAACCAACCCTTATCAATAAACACAGAACATACTGTGCAGATCGCACCTGAGGTAAATGAAGTTCAGACTCCACTGGAGTATTTCAAAGATTTTTTGATGATGATATAATCAGTTTGATAGCAGATCAAACCAATCTCTATAGTGCACAAAACAATATTGCAAAAGGAAGCATTGCCACAAATCCAGAGGAAATCCAAAATTACTCGGGAGTTCTTCTTCGAATGTGTGTGGTACATATGCCAAAATATCAATGCCATTGAATCACTTTACTAGAATGGACTATTATCATATCCTCCATATCTGCAGGGTTCGGACTTATTGATTCTCATCCACTATTAGTGGTCTTAAAGAGCGGATGATCAATTCCGGTTGCGCCTCGAAGACCAGCTTCTTAATATCATTCGATACGATTGTGACATATGTTTCATCTGCATAGATACAAGTCTGTGAATATTTGAACAATTTTCAAGGTCATTCATATATGCGATAAAAAGGAGAGGGCCTAAGCAGGAGCCCTGAGGTATACCATTCCCTTCCCTACCTCGCTTGTCATTGATCGCTGACCGTTAACTGAGCAAAATTGTTTGCTTTGATCTAAGTAAGATTGCAACCAATCTTAACTGTGTTCCTTATACCGTATCTATCTAACTCTTCCAATATCTACCTGAAATTTGCGTTTCTGTCAAAAGAAAGGAAGATTCGGGCTTTCAAACCCTTGATATCCTATGACAAACAACACGTTGTCACAATCAACATTTCTTTATCCACCAATCTAAAAAATTGATCATTAAAATTTGATTATACACAATACTACCTATTTACAGATTTTACAATCGTTGAAATAGCATTAGAATCTCGACGTGTCTAGAAGAATTATTGCCCATGTGGTACAGCAATTACGTGTGGGCTTAAAATATTTTGGTATCATCGAAGACCCTGAATCCTTTCACACATTTATAAGGTTCTAAGTGAATCTTTGCCAAAGAAAGCGTTACATGGGGAGGTGAGAGTCAAACTAGCACATGTCCGATCTTATCAGACCAGAAAAATTCTGATATGCGATAAAAATTGATAGCACTTATAGGAAATGCTCTGAAGCCCCGCATTTTTAAATGAGTTATAAATCATCGGACTTATTGAATTACGACGCACGGTCCGCGACAAATGGGGGGTTATGGGGATCAGGGAGCCACGGGGCCACGACCTCCCCACTTTTTCGCTCAATATTATAATAAAATCAGCCTTAATTACAAATACAGATAAACCTTTATATTACAGCAAATACATTGAACCAAAGCACACAAGTAAAACAGCACCATCAAAATGTTTGCCATAATTGGGGCTAGAGGGGGTAAGAGGAAACTTTCTTTACATTGATAGTTGCTACCCCAACAGTTTAGGATCTATGGCGCAAGCCCTGCGACGAATCTGTTTCCGATGATATCCTAAGGTATAATTCTACACAAACAGCAAAGGGAGTTTGTTCTTTCTTACGATGGGTGAAACATGGTAAATTTTCAGTACATCTCACTTAATAAATTTGTTAATTAGTTTAAAAATTCAAATGAATTCAGTTGGCATAAAGCCGAAAACCCACTCCGGAATCCTGCATCGGATCTAGTTGGTCTGGTCCGCCCTGTTCAATCTGCGGGTCGTATCGTGCTAGAATGATTATGGTGGATATCTCCATGGGATCTTGCCTTACTACTGTAGAAAACTACTGTACCGGAACGGTTCGCAAAAAGTGACATAACTTCTTCGATCGGTTTCGATCCTTCGCGGGTCAAAAAAATCTAGTCATGTGACCACTTTTGTGTCCATAATGCTTGCGCAACACGAAATTTTACCCAATCCGCGAATCATATTCTGGAGTAGGTTCTCGGCTTGACAATCACAAAAGGTCTGATATCGCTAAAATGTAAAAATAAATTTGTTGTCAGAAAAAACAAAAACAATATTAAGAATTTAATTATTTTGAATTTAGAAAAAACTAAGCATTAAAATTGTCTGATTATTTGTAATATATCTGCTAAGGGGTTTAAGTAAATCGTGATCCTCGGTTGCTTCTAGCTGAAACTTAAAATTATGACAAAGTAAACCCTTTAAAATAATAAAATTAGATAAAGAAGATGTAATACATCAATTCAAAATGGCTTTGAAAAACACAAACATTTTTCAAAGCCATTGTTAAAATTTGTACCGCAAAAGAATTGTTCAAATCAACCTAATGAGAAAAAGAATTTTTAAACTAACATTCTTATCTAGTAAACAAAAAGCACACCATCGGAATTCAATCTACGTTTTCGTGACATTTGTATTTCCTGAAGGCAAGACACGCGCGATGATGCCTTGAGTCTAATAACAGGGTACAGTGAAGCCTCATTCGATGGACATCTCAAAACACCTCAAAATGACAGACACATCTCAACAAAAGACAAATGAATTCTTTCCTTTGGTCAGGCCTTATAACCTCAAGACAACAAACATCCCTTCCCCCTCTTCTCCTCCACAGGTGCTCATTCGATGGAGATTTCACTGTACTAGAACCGTTAAAACCACGTCATTGATATTGATATTATCTACGCATATATTGACAGATAATTGCGAAAAAACTAAATTGTCACTGTAACTTTCTCTCTAGTGATCACATTGTTGAAGGCAACACCTTTCCTATTTAGAATGACTGCCTTTTAAAACAGTGAATTTTCGACAAAGAACCATTTAAATCGTCTATGGTTGCAGACGCAAGGTGAGGACTTTGGAATATTGTACAAGTTGCTGAGAAGATCTCCCATATACGACAAGCATTTTGAAATTACGATAAAAATTTCATTTCCCGAAATCTTTATAAACAAGATATAGGGCCCCTCTAACGAAGAAACCTGCAAGAAAAATAAAGACATGCTTTTGTCAATTCAAATAAGCAGAGAAGAATTGATTATATCTTAACAATATAAAAACGATTCAATGAACTCATCTTTCGATAAACACATCATTGAGAATCACATATAAGGAAAGAAGATAATATCTTACGAAAAATCTGATTAAAAATGGTGTAAAATAAATGATACTTAACACCAAGATAATGAAGCAATCAATAATTTTATTCTGTAATTTGCAACAATTAGTGCAACAAACAATAAAAACCAGTGGGTACGTGGTATTTCGGTGGGCAGCCCGTCCGAACATTTACCAGTTCGAGTATCTAATTGGGCTAGTCTTTCCTCGCACTGAAAACTGTTTTTCTTATGACGAAGGAATCGTTGAAATCATACGACCAGCAAATGGTTTTACCTCATAGGCCTGTATAAACTGCGGGTTTGGCTTGTTTCTTTTTCGACTTCTCTTTCGTTTTCTTTGCATCATTGTTAAATTCTTCACTGAAAAGATAAAATCGTATAGTATTTTCTTGTCTATGGCCTGAAAAAGTTACTTAAAACATAAATGCTAGTCGTATATCAAAAAAGGGATACAATAATATTTTGAATAATTTATTCATAGTTCGTGCCAGAACTATTGCAATAAACCGCATCTAAATATTTCAGAACAATTTTCAATTACAAGCATACATTAGCTGAAGGTCAATTCAGTACAAGCAAGGTTATAGCTGAACATAACTTGTAAATCAAAAAGAGCTTTTTAAATGCTGCACCAAACCCAAATCCTAAATTGACTGCCATTATTTTTCACTAGCAAATGGATAAACTCGATGTCTGTACCGGTCTTTCTTATAACGTTTTAGTACAAAATCAATATTGTGATGGTAAAGATATGACCTCGAATCGATTACAAAAATCTGCATAAACCCGAGGCCAGTTAACAATGGCACAAACGAGAATTTGACCAATCACCCCCTTAGTTCTTACTCAACTGTGACGCTGGAATGAAAATTAAATACTACACCTGGTAGTGAAAGATACTTACGAAAAAAATGGTAATGACTTTTCAAGATTCTCTTTGCTAGGATAATCGGCAAGGGATACATTTTTCGCAAGGATAATATTTATAAGTTTCCGAATGTAATCTTGTAATTTTTTTCGTCTGCCTTCAACAAACTTAAGATCCTACAACAAACATATTTCACAATTAGTAAATTCACAATAAATCACCGCTTTTATTATAAAACAGAAAGAAATAGAAACATGTCCTTTTCAACGACAGCAATGAATTGCAAAAGTAAATTAGAATAAATATGCGGAAGATGTTAACCATGAGATGTAACTAATAAATGTATGAGATTTCATGAGTGATTCTATGCGTTTGAGACTTAATTGATAATGGGACAAACATAAGCAAACAAAAATAATTGTTGAATCTAAGGTATTATTCCTGACAAATGCAGAAAAAAATGTAAGAAACCTTTTTCCCAATTATTTTCTTCGGTGGAAAACTGACTTTATCCAATTCTGGATAACTTTTGCAGGTCTGAAAAATTAACAACATAAAAGGCTTTAAAGAGAGGAATGTTTCATAAATTTTTTCAATTTGATCTCACTAAATTTTGACAAAGCCTCTGCAATGTAATATTCTACATGTTTTTCCATACAGACGGCTTGTGTCAAGTCCAACCAAGGGATAGATAGAGAAATCTTTGACATAATGAGAAATGCTTTGACAGATTGATGAATGTTTTGACAGATTGAGAAATCTTATGAGAGATTGAGAAATCTTATGAGAGATTGAGAAATCTTTTGATACATTGAGAAATCTTTTGATAGATTGATAAATCTTTCTTCTAGACAAATATCTATGTTTTTGGTAAGAGACTCTCCCCTACCCGAAAGAAAGTTTATTATCTGGTTGGTTTCTAAACATAACTTTTCTCGTGAGGATCAGATTCTGCCAAAAGGAAGAGAACCTTTTAACAATATTTCAAATATGTTTACGCCTTTAAACAAAGTCAGAGAAAAACTTACTGTCATGTGTGTTTTATGAAACTGTGAGTATCTGCGATAGATATTCCATTCTTCGTCTCCAATGCGAATGTATATCTACATGAAGGGGTTTAATGGTCATTCATTACTGGTTATATTCTACATAGATCACTTACCTTTCATTATTAATTATAACCAGTTACACCAATTAGACAATTGTCTTTACTTAAGTTGTATCTGTTTTCCCCATAAAAAGTAAACGATTTGAGAATATCAGACCATAAAATTATTATTCACGAACTAGTTTTAGTAATCTTTAATTCAAAACAAGGCTGTGAAGGTTCCCCCTATAAAGGCGAGTCCTAAGCCTGTGTACCTCTTGAAAAAACTGTTTAACTGCTTCCCAATGTTTATTCGTGAGAACAATAAAGACTAGACTATTTAAAATCGTACCTGATACAAATGGTGAGCATCTGACCCCTTTCCTTTGATGAAAACAGATGGTATCCAAATGTTTATCAATTGTCTAGTCTGATGAGATTCTGTGACGTCACTTTGATTAGAATCTTCCACGCTTTCGGGCAGCTGCAAATACAAAGTAGCAAATGTATACCAATAATAATTACGCTGCCATCACTATGGACAGACCCTTTAAAGATCCATCACTATCCAAAATTCAACTCATTTGCTTCCAGAGCTGGATGAAAGCGGTAATTAGACTTAAGTAAGCATTTGAATTATAAATAGGAACCTCCAATAGTCACTGGTAAAAATTTCAAATCACAGTTATAATTTTTTCATGACTATTTCATGACAGTGTACTTCTACATGTGTGTTTAAGAGCCTTCCCCATTGACAGCTTAGATACCCTTCCTTTCTCTCTGCCAAGGAATTAGTTGGTGTACTTGAGCTCAAGTGAAGGAGATCGCTACTGTTCTGTTCCATAGGCATGGTCAACTTCCCTCTTTTACTTAATGTAATACCGTCCCTGCTCTTAGCCTTTACTCAATGACTTATTGTTATCCATACTACAAACATACCCGTAGTTTCTTTTCTTTCACTTCCTCTTATCTAATTTAAATTTTCTTCTTTATTTTAATATCATTTATTTACTTTACAAAAAATAACTAACTTACTGGTCCTCGTAGGCTGACAAGTTCACTCTTCATTGAAGCTATAACATTTTGTTTTCTTACTAGATCCCTTTGAAGACTTTCATGAAATTCCATTAGTTCACCATGAAGTTGCGCCATCTAACATAAAACAAAGTACGAATTTTCGGAGCTGGGTTGTTTAGACACAAACCGTTGTGTGAAGAACTAATTCGATGGCATAAAATATGTTTTGGTTTAAGCAGATCATTCAAAGTCGATATCTGCAATTGCCTAGGTAAAGATACCAACTAAACTTATGGCCTAAATTGGAAAAAAAATATTATGTACAAAGTTCTTGATTTCGGGCTTGGATAAATGACCGGATTAAAGTCTACTGGGGAGTTTCCATGATTTTATCGATTTTGTGACAAAAGTCAAATATGGTAAAGGGATATGAACGTGATCAGCCACTGGGGGTGAAAAGTTTTATTCGGCACGATATTTAAGAGTCAAGTATCAAACATTATTTCGTCATAGAATCTACAATATAAGCGAAAAGAATATGAAAAATTGTTTACGGACTAAGGTTCGGTGGTAAATCCCAATCGGACCTCAAAAAGCTGTACAATGAAGTTAGGGGCGATTTCCAAAACGGGACCATAAATTGAATTAGTGGATTGCTTCTCACATTTTTACATAGTTATAACAAACTGAGAGCAAGGGAGATGTGATTTTACAAAACTGAAGGGATGGTTGGCGTACCTGAATTAGCTTTTCTTCATATATACTATCCAATTCACTAAGTGATAAAAAATAAAATTATACATTATCAACAATATAAAACCTTGGGCAATTAAAACATCTTGTCTGCATTTGCATGATGAAACCTTGCTTAGAGATGCTTGTAAGCTTGCAACACAACAGGCTAAAATTACAACCAAATTAAGCTCCTTTTTGGGGGCTTCTACGCAGGGAGGTACAAAGCCCATGTCCCAAGACTGACTTGAGACTTGGTAAATGGCAAGGTGAGATATTAACTAAAAGATTTGCTGTCAATTTTGTGCCTGAATAAGTTTGAAAATCGTTCAAACAATGTAGTAATTTAGATGCTTAAATTGACAAGCTTGAGAAATGAAGAGTTTCTTCGTAGTAACAGACATGTTCTGCCGAACCAGTTCAGGGTATAGCTATAAAATCAAGAATATTAAATAAACTGAGTTATTTATCGTTCCTTTATTGTTGAGAGATCACTTCAACTATATCAAAGTTGCAGAATGAAACATATCATTCCAAGCTCAGTTTACCTGTCAGTTCTTTCCTTTGGCTGAGGGGGTAAAACCACCTCCGAATCTTCGTCATAGCCTCTCAAAGTACTGATAGCTGCAAGCAAAAAGTTAAAGGTTTGATATAATCAAAAACCTGAGTAAATGTTATACAGTGTGCAGTTGTTATACAGTGTACAAGGGATGCTCAAACGAGGTAACGGGGCCATGACCCCTGCACTTTCAATAAGAAAAAAACTGTTAGCAATTAATAATAGAACTCTTACTTCTTTATTGCTTCTCCACTTTAGCGCTAAACGAGAAGCCCCTGATGTAGCCATGGTCGATGAAGATCAATCATAATTTATAAAGCAATGCTAATTACATTTCTATTTTCAGCTGTGCATTTACGCCAATATGGTTTTTAACAATGCCTGAATGATACAGTACGTTTTCCCTTAGGCAAATTCACAAGAAAGGCTGCTTTAAGCAAAGCCACTTACCAAATAAGTTGTAAATGATATTATAGCTTTTTGTCAACTAAAATGTCGATAAAATTTCGCTGTTGAAAATACCTTGCTTAGTCTCCTTCGACAAGCTCTTATTCTCCCTCTTAAGCAACTGTACGGCAGCCACATACTTCTTCAGTTGATTCCTCAGCACTTCATTTTCCCTTGTAACCTCAGCTATTTGCCTCTCATTGGTTTCTTGCTGTCCCTCTAGCCTCTTTTTAAGAGTCTCATTCTCGCTACTTAGGGACATCGTTGACTCCCTTTCTTCATCCAAAGCTAACTTTAAAACTCTAATAAAAGATTGGAAACTAAAGTCAACAAAATCAACCGGGCTGAAAGGGTCGGAAACAATGTCAAAAAGCTGTGGATAAAGCAACAGTTTGGGGCCTTGTTGTTTCATAATGTTTCAAAACTATTGCAAAGAGAATGTGCATTGCAACCAAAAATAAATTTCCAGCCAAACAAATGCCTTCGTTGAAAAATTTCTCCAGACGAACTTGTGCTAGAGACTTTCACATAAAGTCTCTTCGATCAACTTTTCTCTTTAATTGCTTCTAAGACTTTAAGGTCAACTGTTCTCTTCTCTGTGTTTTTGTCATTAAAAGGAAATTGCCATTTTTGCCAGCACTTAATTGCAAGAAACCTGGAACATGATGAGCAAATATAATTTTTACGGTGTCTGACTTTCGGAAAGTGGGGAAAAATTTCTGGGGTAGCCCCTGCAGCTTCTTTAAGTACCAAACAACTACAAGACTAGTCTAATTACCCTAAAATGAATCAATCTTCCTTTAATGACATTCAATTTGACTAAAATAATAGCTAAACAAACAAGCATGAATTGGAACTACTTGCAATAAATCCTATAATTTTCCTGTGCGAGCAAATCGTTAAACTTTATGAAAAAATAAGCAAAACTTCATTAAACGATTACCTGTTTCTTTCTTCGACTTCATCCTTCCGTTTCGCTGTCGATAATATGGCTTGCTTCAGTTCGGCTAGAAAGAATTAAGCAAAAATAAGCCATGCTAATAACACGGTTTTGGGGATCAGAGACGTTATTCCCAAATTATATCCCACTGAGACAAGTCTATAAAGTTTAAAGTTTGCATGACTTACCCGTACTCAAATCACTGCAATCGGTTGAATTATGCTGAAATAAACAGAAAAATTTGGTTTTCTCAAACCTGTGATCATTTAATCTAATGTAAAAAGGTTACTTTTTAACGATAGATATTTTATGGATCGAGCAAGCGGATAAACCCCGATATTCCAATGCCTTAAGGATGAATCAGAAGGAAACCTCTTCCTTACAGGAGGTAACTTATATCTATGATTCGAAGTTAGTCTATTCAATAAAAAAATATTACATATATTCTATTCATACGAACAGTTATGGCTCTTTATTTCTAGTTTTAGCACTTTACAACACTCCGATACTTCCCTGCGAGGAGCTATTGGCATAAGGGCCAAGAAAAGCCCAAAATACCATGTAATCTTGCAAACTTAGAACCATTCTATCTACTGATCAACATGTACGTTTTTGGTTGTATTTTCAAAAAGGGTCATATGCAGGGAAGATTTTAAAGGAAAAAGCGTGCATTTTCGCAATCCAAAATGATCATTTTAACCTTGTATTTACTACAATTTGGATTTGCAATGAAATTCTTGGTTTAACAACAGCTCTACCCTTCCTTAGCTGCTTATTGCATAATTTTATACCGCTGGGCTCCAATCAGCACATTAGATCACACTGCCATGCAATTCTCATTAAAAATTACACTGACATACTTATCATTCAGGATGAATGTGCAGCTGAAGTAGTGTTGCTACTGTGCAGATATGTTTCCGTTCAAAATTCATTCCCAATAAAACGGAAAATCATTACTTACCGATTTTTCATTTAAATAGGGTCTAACAATATTTCCAAGCCTGAAACATCAAAAGATAGGCAGCAATAGATAAATAGCCATTGGCAGTACAAGAATAATATCACATTTCTTGTAATAAGTCTACAAAAATACAGCATAATCTGTGAAATCGAACCTCCGAGGGAAGAATTCCAAGGGTTTGATAAAACGAATGTTCAAACGAGCGGGGGCTTGAACGCAATGAGGGAGGTTCTAGGGAGGGTAATGCGACAAATGCGTGAGTTTTTGAAAGTTCAAGTTATAGGGGGCTTCAGTTGTAGTTTTCTAGAATACAGTATAGTTTACATAAGAAGAAATTTGAAACCGTTCACCACTTTATTGCACAAAATCAAAGTGTCTGGGATTCGAGTTCCTGCTATAATCAAACTTTCACCCAGAGTGAGGAGAGTCGCCTTCTCTCTGTAATCATCAAAAGGTCTTGTCACAAAGGAAAGACCGGGAAATTTCTCGATAAGCATAGTTTCATGGTTATATTTAGCCGTTTTTAAAAAAAATTTGTTTTTCAAAATATAAGATCTTTACATACCCTTCAGTTTTTTCAGCATTTTTGTCTTCAGTCAATTCTACGTCAGCTGATGCCCTTAGCAACTGCAACATGTCATTTGTAGCTTGCGAAGACTGTCGGTCGTACGTTAAGACCATCCCCTCAAATTTCTCACTTTCGAATCCGACCGGTTGCATTACATCGAAGTCATCATACACAGACCCGGTGTTACTGCAAAACAAGACAATCACATTATAAATCGTTGTATGAAAGGGAAAACGAGCCAATGACAGTGATCGATGACTGAACTCAATCGATGTAATGATGCAAACACTGAAACAGCAGATGAGTTTTGGTGAGAGATTTCTTTCCGATTAAGTGACGACTTTGTTGCTCAAAACTGCTCAAAACTGACCAGCCCCCCCCCCCCTAAAAACCAAAAATCGCCAAACCCAAAACCCAAAACAAAAAATGCATGCTCCACTCCTGCATTAGGCAAAGGTAAATAGTGATTTTTTTCAAAGGATAGTGAAAAATTTAAACGAATTTGTATTCCAGGATAGTTTCAGGGCTGTTTCATAACTGTAAATAAAGAGTTTATCAAGCCCCTTTACTTTGAAAAGCCATCCTTCTTCTAGCATAAGTGGACGAAGACGAATTCTATTGAGCATGAAAATTTGAGTATGAATTTTTTTTTCTAAGGCATAAAATACTTGAAATAAGTTTGGATTTTGAAAGAATGCAATATTTTTCTTCAACACCTTTCAAAATTGAGTGACTAGCCAAAATACAATATTGTTCTTTTTGCAAGTCTTTCAGCTTAACCAGCTTTACAAATCTCATATTTGCTGACAACATTAGACAATGTGGGAAATTTGAGCTGAGCTTATGTTAAAACAGAACCTTATCCTTTGTGTACATCAAATCAGTGCACTTTCCACATTAGCGTGTTTGAATGTAAATGCTTTTACATCACTGGTACAAACTAAGTAGTTTTCCAACAACGATATCGAATAACAGCATTATACAAATCTCAAAGCAAAATAACGATTACAGGTTAATTAAACTGATCCAAACAAGGTATTCTTTAAAGAAATACGACTGAAAACTTACCTTGAGCTGACCGACGCACTGTCGGCTTTATCTTCATCAATCTTACTCGATTCCTCTCTTACAGCACCACCTCCTTTTTTCTCTGCATTGTTTTCGCTTGCATAATTCTGCATGTCATCGACCTCGGTCCTTACATTGTTTGTCTCGCTTTGAGGCTTACTCTGATGTTGAATCTCTTTCAGCCTCTCTTCAAGTCCAACAGATGAGATGTTATCAATTTTGATTTGTGAAATAAAGGAGCCCGCAGGGGTTGGCGGTGGGGTACTAGTAACTACAATATTCTTTTCCTCCACAGTATTCTTACGGGAGGATATAGGTTGCCCCTTTGCTAAAACATCATCTAATAATTCACTTGAGTTTCTTCGAATTTCATTTCTACAACCATCTGTAGAAGGATTGTGATTCAGAGACATGGCAGGTTCAGTGACGTCAGGGCAGGATTTGACAGGCGACTCTTCCCGTGATTCTTCGCGCATTTCCAATTTCGTTCTTGCTGTAAAAATATCTTCTTCGTCTTCAAAGAGACTGTCAACGTCCTCATTTTCATTACTAACATCAATTTGATATTTTTCAGGGACAATTTCATCTTCCTTATTAACATTACTATTCTGACCAAATCCAGATGTTATCGAAGTTTTAAAACTTGTGCTAAGATTTACTAACTTCGACAGGATATTTGTGTAATCAGGGTTTACTCCCAACGGCCTAGTCACACTGTTTTGCACTCGCTTACTCGCTATCCTAGTAGCTCCAACATTCTCAGCGGAAGTCGACTGTTTTTGGTTGATTCCAAAGGTTGGCACTTCAAAATCGTTAGGAACCTGGGGATCGTATCCATACAAATCCCTTTTATGTCTAATTATTTCTGAACTTTCCAAACTTGTTGCTCTTCTGTGAGCTTTAACATTATTTCTGTCTCCTTCAATAGACCCAATACAGGAAAATGCTTTACCGCTATCTCGTAATTCATCCCTTTGCGTGGATAAAATATTACTTGAGTTAATCTGTTCTTCGTCCCTGCAGCTGAAAGGCTGTTCAATTGTTTTCTTGCCTTGATCACTAGGAGGCTCATCCTCTGGCACTTCTATTTCCTCAATCGTCGCTTGTTTTACTTTTTTCTTCCGTTTCTTCTTGTTGACAATGCTGTGGTCTACAATAAGCAAATATTACATGTTTTAAACTTTGGTCATTCTGTGAAAGTATCGATATAAGTAGTCATGAGATGAGTTTACTAATATACATCATTCCTACACTTCATGAGAAATCTGCATAAATTTTCATTGAACAAAAGAATTTATACACAATTAAAATCAAATCATTGGGCTTTAACGAAAGATATATAGTAAATACAGATATGACGCTGAACTAGAAAACAATTTAGCTTTAAATCTATTTTCTGAATTATAGAGTCAAAAATATGAGATAAACTTTTAGAAAAAAAAATGTTAAAAAAGAGCTTAGAAGAAAAATTGTCATTGTCGGCTGACTAAAGAGAAAAGGAAATCTGAATATGGAGTAAAATAAAAAGATGAAACAGGGAATGTCACAAAGCAAAACAGAAGAACATAAATTGTGGCTAAAAATGCAATACATCTAGTGATAAACAGTGTATTCGCTGTTATAAGCTTGCTAGGAATATAAAAGGGGGGTCAGCGACGACACATGGCGGTAGAAGAGATGCCTCTTGGATAGCCCTCAAAATAGACTTTTTTATATGAGGTCTAGTTTTCATGTCATTTGATTTCAAATCTCACACATTGATGTTGAATTTGACCACTTCAAGGCATTTTCTGGTCCCTCTTAGAATAAGCAAACAGATACAGGCTAACGAAAAGTTACTAAAAACTCAATGCGGACTTTTGGAAACCCGATTGCATTTAAATCAATATTATGATAAACCACATGACCAGCCTCTTCTTGAAAATTATTTTCTGACCTGCCACCGTCTAAACTGGTCTCCTCAAGGTGAAGATGAGTACTTAAAAGGCCGACGAAAGGCCAGGTCAATGTATTCAGTCAACCGACACATAGCAGTTATCAGCTGAAAAGTTGTCATTTTAAAACAATCTTAATGGCTTGAAGAGTAACGGAAAGCGGTTTTCTGCGTGTCCAATTGTCAGGGTATTGTCTATATTTATATTAGAAAATGGAGGCTTTTAAGTAGCAATTACCAGTACTATAGTGTTTGAGAACAAAGGATGACAAAGACGTGATTCCTGAGAGCATCACCCCCTCCAAAGGAAGTTACTGTCGCCACCATAAATTCTCTAAACACCTGCATAAGCCCTTAATAAGGATACCAAGCTCCTTGCGCTATTCGAACATATTGAGATATGTCACTATTGAAAGTAATCAATGTAGTTACGTCTGTTGTTTGTCGAATGAATAATAAACTCAAATTAATACAATACAAGTGCGACTTTATACATGAAAGTTGAGCATTGTTACGATTAATTAATATAGTCTGGCCCGTGTTTATGGAAAAAATGCTGCTATGACGAAATTTCCAAACATCCGTTTCTCTTAATTCGTACAATCTCACATTGGTAGCAAAAAACTCTGTACAGCAAAAACCTTGATTAAATAGTTTCTCTGACTTCTGGTAAGAGATAAAAAAAGACGAACAATAGCTGCAACAGACCTTTTTCGACTGTCACGGATAAGGGATCATGCTTCGACTTTGTTTGCACAGGGGCCAAAGCCATGTTTGTTCTTGGAAATGATGGCTACAAAAAACAACACCAATACAAAACAAGCTTTACAAAAACTCAGTGGAACAAAACAGATGAGAAGGGTTAGCACTGTTTTTTACAGGTTGCATTGAAATGCAGAAAATAAATAATGACGAAGAGAAGATAACGCAAGGTTTACCCTGAGGGGCAATCACTCTTACAAATAGCACGTTATAATGTACGAGATTCCCATTAAAACAAAAAGACTACCAGGGATTTCGCGATTTAAAATAATAGGACTACACCAAAGGTTTACATGGAATGATTTGCCTCGTGGTTTATCAAAAAGGCTTGATATCTCATCACTTATGCTTCTATTCCAGACTTTTTTTCTAGAAACAGTTGCAGTTATGTCTATTAGAGGAGCTTTTACTTTGGCATCTGTAAACGTTTAGTCAAAACAGGATAACTCAATTATCAGTAGAATATTTCCACCACGTTTTTGATAACTACATTTTCAAGATCAACCAGCGTCAACGTTCTTTTATAAGCCTTTTTCTGGAATCTTATTGTCAATCTTTCCTCGTCCTTAAAGCCGATACTGGAACTTCTTAAATCAAAGGCACTTCCCTTTGCAGAATCTCCCTTTAGGTTTTACAATCAGCTCGTAACATTGCTTCAGCACCAAGGTACAAAGCATCACAGCTGTATCATAATCCCCCCTAGCACTCGACACTAAAAGCCTGCGCCGATGACACAAAGCATTCCCTATGAGACCAGTTTGTCATACCTGTTTTAAAGAAGCATTCAACTGGCCATTCTCGATATTTATAGCAAACAATATGAAACCAAGACCTGCGAAGAGAACACAAATTCAATAGGCTAACAGTTCGTTGCAGATATTTTGCTCAGGCTACTGCCATTACATGAGCATATCTAGTGTGTTAGTACAAAGAGCATCTAGATTTTTAGTAACAAATATATTCCATATCTAATTTTACAAAGATTAGCAATTCACCAAATCTTGTTTTCATCAAACAACACTTCATTTTCTAACCTTTTAGATCTAGTTTTCACAGACACAAAAATCAATGATGTCAGAATAAATCATAAAAAAGAAAAACTGAAAAGGATGATGTCATGTAATAAATTAAATATACCAAAATTTAGTTACGTTTCTTCAGACAAGAACCTTACACACCAGCGCAATCTGAAGCTTTAATTACCTCGTGCCATAACTGGCAACGTGCTTGACCTTTCTTCGTCCAGAAATAAGGCCCACTCTTCATAGAATTGTCTGGAAAGAAACAAGTATAAATGATTAAAGATACATTAAAATGTTTAAGAAGCAACATATCAGTATCTAAAAAACGGATATACTTCACATTATGCTCTACAAGCAATAAAAACATTCCTAACGATAAACAGTATGAAGAAACAAACTAGATTAAATATTAAATCTATATTAAAGAAATGAAGAAATACTATTTTATTAAAGTATTTCTGAATACCTTAGGATAGTCTTGTTTGCAAGTAGATCGATCAGTCTGCGTTCAAGAGAGGCTTCATTGAAACAGGAACGTAACCAGCATCGACCTGGAAGAATTATGAGGTATCTCAAAGAAACAAGATTTGAGATCTTCTAACAAACCACCAAGAGAAACACATGTATTCCGAGAATATAATTTCATAGTCCTTGTCTTTTGAATAATGAGTTTTGTGACACTTAACGCCATTTATTTACTAACTGCCATTCATGCGCTCAGCAGAATAATTATCAAGAATGTTAAACTGAAGCTAAAATAAGTCGTTTGAATAATAACACTCACATCGACCTGAGTCTGTCGTAATCTCTTTGATTGACATGTATCTCTGGACTTCTGATGATGGCATATTTTCTTTCAGAAAGGGCCAAAATGCTGGTTTTTGAAAAAATCAAAACAATAAATGAATTAAAATGATATTTCTTTTTATCTTGGTGAGAAATTGATAAAATCAAGAGAGAAAAGTGCACGGAAGTAAGTTTTCATAATGAAATTTAACTCTATCAACAGTTCCATCATTTTGGACATATATCAATGTATAATCAAGGTAAAATCAGGTTCTCCTTTACTTATCAACTTTCCATGACACCGATTTCATTTTTAACTTTTTACTTTTTAGTTTTGTCATTTTCTGTAGTAGATATATGATAGAGATTTTCTTTAGGAGTTTGAAGCATAGAAAATGGATCCTTACTAATCTCTGCCTCTGGTATGCCTGATAACACTTTAATGCCAGGAACATGCCTGAAAAATTAAAGCACAGAAAGAAGTAAGCCTTGTTCCCATAAGATCGTAACATTGCAGCAACCGTCTGCAACAGTCTGCTTTGTCTTCCATTTTTAATGGGAACACTCTCTTGTGATTGTTGGAACTGGGCCAACTTTCAATTTATATTTTTTAAAATGCTTAAAATGAGATAAAATCAACTGCAAGGGCCAGGAGAGTTTATCTGAGTCCAACTTTCCCAAACTTGAAAATTGACATAGAGGTGAGTTGAGAAAATTTGTATAGAAGGTCACATATATCAGGATGTTGTTTTTGCAACTACTTAAGAGAAATAATTTAAAATAATGGAAAAAGTGGAAATACAAGAAAAGGAATCAGTCAGCTCTGGAAGCTATAAAAATATTACCCACAAACAAACATTAACTGTGTAACACTCCATGCTGATCAATATACCTGCAAAGAGGTTTTTATCCTTATATTTTTTAATTTAGTATAGAAACTCGATCTACAATGTTTTGAGTACAGAGCTACAAACTACTGTGTGACATAATAGAACAATCTTTACAGATCATGAGACAAGTCTAATCTACCTAAATATTCTTACCTCAAAGGCTCCGAAAGGGAGTTTATTGCACCCCAAACCTTTCCTCTTTTTAAGCCATGAAGAAATGCATTTTCAAACTGAGCTAGAAGACACTGTACACTACAAAGAACAAAAGAGTAAGAAAAACTTTGGTACCAGCAAAGATTGAATGCCCATTGCTTAGATTTGTCTCACTGAAACAAAAAATTGGCTTATGTCTTAAGACTACCAAAATATCTCAAAGCAATGTCTTGCCAAACATCACAAATAAGGCTCAAGTTTAAATTTATTATAAAGCGTTATAATTTTTATGCAATAATTCGGCAGGAGGAAATCCACCATCTTACTTATTTTAAAAAATGGCAAAAGATAACACTATGGGTCTAGTTAAACCCTTGCCATCATTGAGAGGACCCCTAGTGGGCAAAAGTTTTCAGAAAACTAAAGACCCAGTTAAACAATCGTGTCTTGGATATGTTGGGACCTGCAAGATCTTTTGTAATCCTATACCAAATACAAAAAAACATAACTTATCACCGGACTGTGTTCAGTGGGGTAGCTTCCATATGACGGGCCTGGAGGATCATCAATAGTAAAAATTTGCCAAAGACATAGATGAAGAGAAACTTAGTTTTACTTCACCTATTGATGAGGATTCACAGACAAACTAAGAATTTTGTGCACCAACAGAAGATTTACTGGCCCACTCATGAAGAAGAGGGTGTCATACCCACTTTAACCCTGCTAGCTATGCCCCTGACAACAAACATATAGGGTTTTCAAGCAGAATCTTGAATCTAGCTTACCAACTATCTTTTTCTGTTGCTAACTCTTTCTTGCCACCAAACTGAACTTGACACTGTTGCAAAGATACAATAAAAGTAGCAATCAACAAAGGAAAAAAGTATTAAACTAGCAAACTTTGGTTTTTTAGTGAGCCAAGGTTCAAGGACAACCAAAAATAGGTCTCACTAAAATTTGAAAGTTTTCAATAACAAAGCAATCACAAGTTATTTGGAAAACTTCAGTCTTTGTTGAACAGTTAAAATGTTTCCGACTCAGTTTTATTTTCAAAAGTCCACTGAATACAAATTCTTAATTAGACTTCTTGATTAGAATAACTATTCTTAATAATATTACACACAATACAAAATAAAAACAAAGCAGATACTGAGGGGTGTATTACTCTTTCCAAACAGCATATAATTTTCTATTAAAACAAATAAGATTTCTAAAGATTTTTCTTGAAAACAAAAGGATTTTTGCTAAAGGTATTAGATTTTCATGGAGTGATGTGCTCATCGGCAAATATAAAACATACAAGATAAGATAATATATGAATTGTATGATGGGGAATTTTTTAAGGAGGAACTTTTTCAGTATCTAAATCAGCTGATTTTGTAAATGAGTATTTAATATGCAGTCAAATAAAAAAATCATGCAAATTTTCAATTCAAGAATTACTAAATAGTGATTTGAACGTTTACACAGAAACTCACAGACAAGTCTCAGATACTCTTATGGTATCAGAATGAGGGTTTTCATCAAAGTCCAAACTTGAGATATATAAAATCATCTTAAAAATGGCAAATACCAACAGTTAATTTAAGCAATACTTTTTGTTATTTTAGAGGCATTCCAAGAAAATTTGTGTGAGACATACTAATGACTCTTTCTCAGATGTTTTTATCTGCGCAAAATATTATGTCGTCGTTTGAATAGAGTACAAGCAAGCAGATATGTTAATAACCTACTATACTTTTCAGATTCATATTGTGCTACACCTTCTGGAAATAAATCGTTCATCGGCCTAAGTAAAACTTTACTTCTATGCGCCAATATTTACAGGTTGGCATATGTTAATTTTACTATGAACATAGATTCCAGACTCAATTATCTTACTTGTTTCACGGCATCCAGCAAATGTTTCATCAAATTCTGTCGATCGGATTCAAAAACATTCAAAAGATCTGATTCTCCACCAGCTGCCATCTTTGTCGTTTTCTGGACCCACTTTCACATCCTCCTCCACAGGCACGCAGCCCGTTTATGGGGAATCTCCAAAAACAACTGATCAGTGTCATCTCTTTCCTCCTTTCCTACAAGCTCTCGCCTTGCTCTTCTACCAGCATTTTATTAGCTTTATTAAAAATTGATGTTTTGCGTAATGATTACCACCAATTGGTATCTTATTTTCATTGTATAATTTTTAATTAAAGGTTGCAAGAATCTGCGTTCCCTAATTTCACCACTCTTGGGGACATGCTCAATGAAAAAACCACCAATTTGACGGCTTTCAAATCGTTTCCCTCCCCATTCCACGTGTGAGTAAACAACAATATATATTCTTTTACCTTCCACTCATTATAGATGCTTTTGATCCCTCCTATAATAAATACCCTTACAATATCGCAGTTTTCATCTTACCATAAGATGAAAATATGCAACTCCAGTAAGCTAACGTTTTATATACTAAGCAATCATACGATTGTTACCTAGTGCCTTTAAACATCTCTGACCACAAAGAATTTAAGACTTTAGGATCGTTATCAAGTCAAACGAGTACATGCTCGAAACGTCATGTTTTTTACAAACAAACTATTATATTCTCATTCTGGTACTAAATTTATTTGCTAACTATATTATCATTATTCTCAGAAATATGTACAAGTCACCATCACATTAATCCATAATACAGCATCGTCGGCTTTCAGGCCCTGGTACCCAGGGCTAGATGCGGGTACGGTTTCAAGGTAGGAGGGACAAAAAATAGATATTTGGCCTATGTGGCTCTGTTTCAAAATGGAAATTTCATAAGATAGAGGTAATTTAGAAAAAGTTGGGGCATTATGCACATCATGTCTCTCACTGACATCAGAAAAGACTTTTCTAAGCGTTTTAGACATATCACTTTTGCCTTCATTATGTACTGGAATAGACAGCTTCAATAGCTAAAGGCTACGATCAGCATTTCCAGTAAAATAAACTGTCAAATGAATCTTGATACAATATAAGGCATCAAACTTAAAACTCCAATACTTCTAATTTTTCACCTTCAAATGCATGAAACAATTCACGAATCTAAGAAAAGCACCCATTTTGCAATGTTTCTGATAATAAATTTTTTGACTGAAGTTAGGAAGCTGAGCTTTTGCCCTGGTGCCCCAAAACAACTGCACGGCTTAAAAAAATCTTTTAAAAAAGAGTTTTCAAAGAAGGTATTCATTTGTCTCCTTTATCGGTTCTAACCTGTTTGCAATAAAAATATAATTTATCATTTTTCATTCACAAACCAACTGCACACTTTATATCCTCTAAGTTGATTCTTAAAAATCTAAATTGTATTTTCATTTACATTTTGTATTCTTAGAAATGTCCTATCCAAATAATTACAAATAGATGTAACAAAGTAGAATGAACGTTGATGTCTATAAGTTTGAATGACGTTCCCTCGGTCTTAATGTTCAATTAAGCCGTCAACATAATAAAGTTACCATTTAATAGATGCCCCTAGTTTGTTCTCAAGAAGATTTAACAACAGAAAGTTTTCCAGTTTAACAGCGAAATTGATAAAATTTCTAAAGGAACGTATATTCTCAATATACAATGAAGTTATCTACTTTTTCACAAGCAATGTACAAATTATATACAAGAACACAGTAAGATCAATCGTTCGTCATCTTTTTAAAATCGTACCGGTGAAGCTAGTCATTGGTCGATTTGCTGTGGAAAAAAGAAGGTAAAAATTCATCAAGGAAGCAATTTTGAGATTCGTTAGAAAATTTGCTTAAAATATTGAAGCTCGCACGGAAACATTTTTTACAGAAATATATAAACAAAATTTGCTTTAAATAAAAGTTACAATGATGCATAGCTTTATGTTTAGGCTATAGTACATATGACTCTATATTATATTTCTTCTCTAATGAAAAATGAGGCAGATCAACTCAAATTGTCCAACTGTCAGGTAGTAACATTAATGGATACTTTGAAACAACTAGCTTGTTAATTATACAGGAGTGATTAGAGATCCCAAGACGAACAGATCTAGAAGATTACGATTAGCGCAAGACAGTTAAAGATTTTACAATAAAAATGCTACGTATACTTGAAGAAAAAGCAAATAAGATAAAAAATATTCACTATAAAGAAAATACCTGGGTCAACAGTTTTTCCTGCAGAATTTGGACTTGCATATGGGTTGACAATAGAATTATCGTTGGTCATTTGAACATCTTGTTCAATTGGAACAGAAACGGCGCTAAAAGGAAAAGGTTTTGATAAGCTAGTACAAAAGGTACAAGGCTAAGACAGATGGCATGATAAGGCAACGATAAGATCCTTGATTAAATGGTTAACTATGTTACAATATTTATCTTTACAAAACAACCAGCTGATTTAAATAAAAACCTTAGGGTACATCTAAAATGATGCCACAAATCGATTATTGACAAACACGTAATATCTTGTTGAACTTATTCACTACTCACATTACTTGAATTAATATGCTACTCAAAAGATAGCAAAAAGGAAGGGTCGTGAAAACAATAATGTTTGATCAATATAAAACCGTGTAATAATAACTAAAATAATCAAAATTTTATCTGGAACTTAGATGGCCTTCAAGGAAAATAACAACTACAAGAACAAACCTCTGCAAATTTTTTGGTGCTGTATTTAGTAGTTCCTGTTCGTCTGTAAAACATATTGTGTGAGAGGGAACGGGAATTTCCAAAGTCGGCAAGATTGCTCTAGTATGATGGGTAACTTGTGGTAGAACACCGTTGTACACTAGAAGATCATCCACTAGCAACTATTCGAAAAAGGAAAGTAAATGTATCTTCTGTAAGAGACCAGGGAATTCCAATCGAAGGATAAAAGATCAAAAGTTTAAAGCCACGAGAGTTTATGATAATCTATGAGTTTATGAAAAAAATCGTACATAAAGTTGTAGAGGATATCGAATCTTTCAAAGACCATGAAGAAACTTTCAAGTTTTAGGTGTATCTAACTATAAAAGCTTCGCCAGTTTATGACATTCTATGACAAAGACATGAGAATTAAATTAGCGAAAGCAACAATCAAATACGTTAATTTCGACTTACAGCAAATTGGCGAACTCCCCTGCTGCCAGTTTTACTGTAGTTCCACAGCTTCATCATTGACAACGAAATCGGGGAGTCGAAAACAATATAAATAACATTGATCTGCAAAATAACATCAAAGCTTAATTTTAATGATTACGGCTTGTGGTACACATATCAAGAAAGACAGGATAAAATTCAAGTTAAAGGCTCTTGCGCAACCGGCATGCTTAGCGGCAGTTGTCTTAAGAAATTGATTGTTCGGTTTTGCAATTATAGTCGCGAAGCGTGCCGGTTGCGCAAAAGAGCCTTAAATTAAGTAGTAAATTATGTTAACGGTCAAGAGGGGCTACAGCGCTGTCACTTCCATCCCATTTTATGCAATATCTTTACATTTGATGAGAAGTAAACGGGTATGGATTAGATTTTTACGTAAGGCAGCACAGCAATTTATTCTAGAAATATTAGTACTCTTTAACCTAACTTGAACTCATACCCACAAATTTCTTTCTCCCCCCTCTTATTTTGATAGCATACCCAATATTTCTAAGTAAATGTTCAGAAAAAAGACCTTGTTATCTCGTTTGGTTCATTTTAATTTGTAATTCCAAGTCGCTTACATCGATTAGCCACTTAGGTCCAAATCATTTACATCGAAAAGCCGCGTATGTCGACGTGAAACATAGGCTAGTTCCATTTATCGGACTTACGTGTGAGTCGAATGTCATATGACTTCTAGATATATTGCTTGCCTTTACGACTCGGCTTATGTAAAATTTCCTGTAGATTGAGTGACACTTACAACTCCTGGAAAAATCGGGGCCAGCCACATGTGAGATGCATCATAAGTATCATTGACGTCATCAACTAGTTTTTCGGGCGTTCGCATATCATTTTCGATGCCTTCTAAAACGTTGACGCTGTGTGGAAATGCAGTGATATCTTACCAAGTCAAAGAAAATAAATAGCTACTTTTAATTGAATTCTTAGATATATTAAATGCTGATGGTGTAGTGCAATTAAAATTAAGAATTAAGAATGATTTGAAAAAGTCCTGCAAAAACCGCGCCTTTCTATCTGCAAGATATTTGTACTCAATAAGGATAATCTTCAAATCACTAAAAGTTGACATTTAAATCTCTTATCATTCTAAACTCTTTTCGAAAAATAACCAAAACAACGAACTGTAGCCTCGCACTGGCTGTTTCTTTCTTTCTCTGATGAAAACGTACATAAACCATAGATAAAGCTAATCCCCACAAAGAAAAACCTGAGGATCTACAGACTGCTTTTCTTTAACAAAACATTTCTTGTTTAACAACCTGATCTAGCTTGACAGACACATTCAATTTGGGAACCTCATATAAGAAAATTTTACCCTTCAATATGTGCCTTTGTACACATCTAAAGAACAGGCTGAATCTAGAAAATGTAGATTTTTCTTTGCAAAAATGTACTGTATTAGTTAGCCTCAAGCTTATTTTTCAAGACAATTTAATCACAAGCCTTGTTGTGGGTATGTATTTTCCTATCGTGAAGACTACTTGAGAGATTAATACACAGAAAAGGATACTGTTCTCATCCAGAGGGATTTTTGTTCCTCGTTCATTGTAAAACTCTAATCCATTCAGGCCGATGTAATATGGATCTCCCCAAGTTGAAAATAATCTAATCTGGAAAACAACTTGCAAAGTCAAGGAAAATCAAATATTATCTAAAAATTAAGATTTAAGATAACAACTACAATGGAACCCGAAATTTCGAAATACTGAATTTCATTTTTGTAATGAGAAAAACGACTTTTCAAAAATATCGTATGGTTAACCTAAGCGGTTTCATTCATAAATTATTTTTCAATTAACTTTCGCAGCAACATTTTCTATGGAAAGTTATTTATCATTGATCTATCAATCAAAGCTTCTTATCATAGCCTGCTTACCGTAATGCCTCAAACAAGCGCCCCCTTCAAATAAGAACCCCTTTCGAATAAGCGCCCACCCCTCGAAAAGGCGCCCACCCCTCGAATAAGCGCCCATCCTTCAACCTTCAGAAACGGGCGTTTATTCGAATTTTCAACGACATAATTGGAAGGCAATTCAACAAGGAAGGTTAATTAACAACACAATTTGCACCCAAATCTACTTTTTAAAAAAGCGACCCCCTCGATTAAGCGCCTCCCTCGAATAAGAGCCCACCTTGGAGCCTCAAAAATTAAGTAAGCGCCCGGGCGCTTATTCGAGGCATTACAATATAAATTGAGACACTTTTTCAACTACCCTTAATCTTGGGTTGATATGAGACATAAAACGGAATCCTAACTCAATGTTTCTTGCTATTCCATACACTAAAGCATTTTCAACTTGTACCCTTCAGCACATGAGATACAAGATGTTGACGAGAAGTGACATTGGTTACAACACAAAACGACATCAACACAAAACGACATAAATTAAGTGCCCATCATTTATCATTTCACACTCTGGGCAGAGTTAGAAGAAAATCTTTGGTCATAATAAGAAATCCAATTGGAAAGGATACATCCAGTTGGTAGAAGAACATTCTCGCAGCGTGGGGTGCATCTGTCCTTCGGTCTACAACATAACAAGAATTATGTGCAAAAGTTCAAGACCAGGAGAAAAAATTAAGAAGAAACATAATTACTTCCAAAAGACACCATATATATTGATATATTGATGTATTGATACTGCATTAAATATTCTCATTATATGTATACTTTAAAGATATCTTTGATACACACTTTACTTTATTATCTCAGTGTAGTGCATTAGAATGGTTTTTTAAACATGAAATGTTATTTTGATGTTAACCTAGAAAAACGGAAGAACGTGTCACGTGGTCTTATATTTTTGCACACAACTGTATTGACAAAAGAACACAGTGAAATCATGAATAGAGATCAAAGATACAAGCTAGCCATCAAATTTAAGAAAACTTCTGTTTTAACTTAAGCTTTTGCTAGAAACAATGAACCAATTTAACAAATCTTTTCAAAAAAGTGTTATCAACTCACATCATGATTTCCAAGTGACGTCATCGAGAAAAAATGATATGAAGTCTAAAAGAATTTCCCTTTCCATTACCCTAGGTCATGTTACGATAACTGTGAATACCGCCATTTTGACATTTTGTTGTATATAAGTTAATTGCGATCATGCTACCTTGTTATTTCTTTCCTTTCATTCGATTCGTCTTCTTGATAAAACAGTATATCTTGGGCGAAATCAAAATGACAATGCCCAGGGCCTACGACAAAAGTGTTAAACTGAGAAAAATACATATATAAATAATTTGGAATAGGAAAACATTATCTGTTGTAGCAATACTCTATACGCCCAAAAGAAGATATAAAAAAGCGACGTAGGATTATATATATTTCGTTCCAAGGATGATAAGATTGAGACAACATTGCAGAATGGTGGATGGATTGAACTCTTCCACAATGAAGAGGTTTGTTAGAGAGAAATATATATCACAAAAGCAGATGGTTTTGTCATCTAGCTTTGTCTCAGACCTTAACTTACGGAAAGGGAGCAACAAAACAAAAATAATTATAATAACAAAAAACATTATTCATAGTATGGATTCGATAAAATATAACAAAGATAACATGCAAGATAGAAACCTAGCAAAGAAAAGAGGAAAAATTTGATTGCAAAATACTCGGCTATTCACCAACCTTTACGCAGTAAAAAGCCCATTTCAGGCGACACCTCATTGTCATCTATGTACATATGCATGTTCTTCGCCTGTTTATAAAAAACAACACCTCATTAAAAAAACAAACAAAAGTAGACCTACATCCCCATGATGTATGATATAATTAACAACATTACTGAACACATGAGCATCAAGCTATAGGTATTAATCAATAAGCTCAATCGGCCTATTTATAAGAGGATAACTCGATGTAGAGTTAGAAATAATGAGTGCAAACATGGAATTAGACCTTAAGGTAAATGGTTAAAAATAATGTAAAATGTCGCTATTGCTTCCATAAAATTTTGATTCCCAAAGACTTTGCCAAGTGATAGAAGAATACTTTGCTAGTCAAACGAGCACTAGCTATCACGTTTTCGCCCGAATAAATGTAGCATGCCTTCAGTATCTAATTTTCAAACATTAAGCATAAAAAAACTTAGATGTGATGCTACATGGTAATTCGGTAATTGGAAAAACTTTTCCAGTTTATTTAACCACACTTTTGGGCAGGGGTGAGTATCTTAAAAAGTAAATAAGCTGAAAAGGATCGTTTCCTTTATTTATTCGCATCAAATAATGTAAAATATTCAAATTACTGCATTGTGAAGTAATACAAGTTAAAACTGCAAGCAGATTGGCATACCCCTCTGTAAGTATCTTCTGTGGTTTTGTTATAATTCCAAATCCGAATCCCAGTGAAATGTTTCTTTTCTGGAAATGAAATTGTCAAAATATGGTCTTCACCCTCTGTGAAAGGGATTAGCCACATATGCTCATCTGAATTCGTCACATTTTCACCATCGATTAGCCTACAAAATTCAAAAGGAGAATTTTTAGTATCGCAGTTATGCATTAGAGTTATTCCTGCAGCCTCTCTTTCGCTATTACCTCGCTTAAAGGAAGTTACAACCAATTGATACTTTGGCAGATAGAGAATCCATCGACCATTGATTCAAACCAATAGGAAAATTGTTGAAACTATGCTGAGAATACTGACTGAGTTAGCAATAAGTCATGCAGCTGCCTGACCAAAATAACTTAAACGTTGATTTTCGTCTTGAACCACCATTATTGATTGATCAAAATGCATGTTTTGTATCTTTGGCCATTCAAAGTAGCAAAATATCATTAGCGTGTCTCTGTTATCACTCTACTAGATGAATATATTAACTGCTATATTCATTGTCAAAAAACGAAAATGTAATATAAAATTGTCATTACTTGTCTAAGGTTCGGTCATCACAACCATAATCTTCTAACTCGTTTAGATCACGTGGACATGCCTGAAAAAGAAACTAACAATCTTAGTAAAGAATTTGAATAGCTAGTAAATAAGGTAAGAAGTAAGTGAAAGCAATTGGTGTATTGTTAAAATCATGCAAAAATGGCTCTACGTGCAATAATACCTCGAAACTGCGGACAGGTGTAGGGCTAAAGTTTCTGTCCGTGTAAAGAATGTTGCAAATTAAAGGTATGGGACGAGCGAGAGAAAAGACAATTGGCATAATTAAAGAATACGGAAAAGGTGGAAAGGAGAAAGAATATATAAATCTGAGATTCAAGGAGAGGTATGAAATCTAGATTATGTGTTGATGTATAAGCATTTTCTTGAAGAATCTGAGAGATTTAATTGTGTCACTTTCTGAACTTAAATAAAACTTCGTAAAAAGCCTTGTACAGAGCCTCGACCATAGAAAAGGAATTTGTCTGTTGCTTGCAAGTGTCCGATATTTTGAAGTGTTCGTTGTTAAGAGGTATTCGTCAAAGGGAGGTGTCCGCTGTTGCGAGGTGTCTATTATTATGAGGCATCAGTGGTTGGGAAATGTTTTTGGCTGGGAGATACCCTTGGTTGGGAGATACCCTTGGTTGGGAGCTTTCCTTGGTTGGGAGATGTCCTTGGTTGGGAGATGTCCTTGGTTGGGAGATGTCTGTGGTTGGGAGGGGTTCGATGCTTGGAAGGTTAAGGTATTTGGGAAGTTTCCGTTAATGGGGGGTGTCTGCTATTAAGAGGTGTCCGTTATTGAGAGGTGTCCTTTGACCGAAAACGTTGAGAAATGTGTTGCAAAGACAGTGACAATAGAGTATTTCATAAACCAGATGTATAAAATGCAAATGACCTCCTCATTTCTACTGATAAAGAAATGACAATAAGAAACAAATTATTCAAGCATAAGCAAAGAAAAGAATTCTGACGCCATAATATCAAATTTTGAAAAACAAAAGCTTACGTCCATCCAGCTTAACTCAATGGGCAACGGTTCAAAATTTTCACCAAGTAATTCAATACCGGTGAGACCAAGGTAGTACTGATCTCCCCACGTTTGGGTGAAGTTCAACCGCACCACTACAAAATACGAGTAGATGATGAAAAGACAAAGGTAAGACAAATTAAAGGCAAAATTGCACAGAAAGCAGTGCTTTGAATTACAGAAGTTGGCGAATCATCACGAATAGAGCAGCTACTATTGATATGTAGCTATTTTAAAAACTGTAAATAGTCAGAAAACCAGCAAGTTTTTTGCAAAGTCTCACTCTCTGGTATAACAAGCTGCACTTTTTTAAACAAAGACAAATAAATAAAAAAACACAATAACTAGAGAGGAAAAACGGAAATTAAAGCAAAAACATTTGATTACCTTTCCCTGAAAAATCCAATTCTTCTAATAGAGGAGCCAAATTTGTAGACACTGATAAAAATGGTTTAGAAAATTTCAATTTATCAGTCAAGTGATAAAGCTGGATCAATTAATTGTTAGAATCCTCTGATACCATAAAACAACCCACAATAAAATGGTTATTTGGTTAATTTGAAACAATAAATTGTCACAAGGACGTTTATGAGCAAAAGCAGGATTGTTAAGGGTCCAACGTTTCGTATAGACGCTTTCGAAGTGGACTTTTTTGGTAGAATTCAGCTAGAATTAGAAGATTGTAAAGCAATGTATCTCTAGACAAAAGGTTTATGCCCAAACAACAAACCTTGAGTTTCGATTATGCGGTCTGCATTCTGCCTTGATTTTGGGCACGTGTATGGTCTTTCAAGAGGTTCCTGTAAAAAATATTACGTACATCAATATTTATTCTGCATAGCTGAGAGAAAGATTTTCTATTCACCCCAAAGGGCTTAAGAGAAAGCAATGGATGAAAGTGTGTACAAGCAATCGATTATCTTTAACAGGCAATTTTCTTTGATTTTCTAAAAGATTTAAGAAAATAAAAAAATATGACGGTTCAGCCGATTTAAGAAATGAAATTTTGATTTAAAGAGCACCAGCAGATTCTTAATGTTTATCTAATGAGCACTGAAATGAAAATTTTGTGCCGTGCTTGAGTCATTATTCAAAGTCATCATTGGCACTAATTACAGTGATGTAAAATGGGGAGAGGGTCTCTGCACCCCTACAGTATCGTACTACTACACTGACCAGTGAGGATAATTCTGAAAATTGAAAATTTACAACATTGAAACTTAGCGTGAAAGTTAGCTACAAAAATCCGTCAACAATGGTCTGTCTTTGAGACAATCAAATGTAGATTTGAATTCGCAACTCAGTAAATAAGATGCTAACCATTAAATTCCCTTGGTCTGCAGTTTTTGGTCTATCCCGCTCCACTGATTGCATCATTTGCTCCTCTTCCTCCTCTACAATGTCATATTCGTATGTAAAATCATGTTTTGCAACTTCTTCTAATATATCTTCATCAGTTGTAAAAAGAATAATCTGCAAAGAAAATTGCGATAACAGCACTGAAGCAACATTTTGTAGAGTTTACAATTGAAAATTGTTTCAAGAGAACTTTCACGAAACCAAAATATAGAGGCAAAGAAGTGTCTTGACAGGGACTTACAGAGCGTATACATAATTCGATTTTTATAAGGGATGCCATTAAATCTGTACTTATCAAGTGTACAGACGAGTAATACTTTAGACAAGTAGTGATTGTGGAGTTTGCTTTGAGGTTGAATTTCTGTTATTAAACAAGTTTGATATGATAAGCAACAAGTCACAGTCCAACCGAATCCAAAATAACACTATTTCAAAAAATGGAAGGCTACTCTTTTACTTTTTATTCTTTTAAAACAGATTTAAAAAACGAGACAGACTCTTTTATAATCTTTACAATTTTCCGACAAGTGTTCTCTAGATCATTTGTTTCTGGTTCTTAGTTAATAAAACGCGCGTTGGAATCGAAAAGGGCAACTGTAATATTTCAAAAAGGACTCTAATCCTTAATGCAGTAAATCAGTAAAGGTGGAAATTAAGGGAAAGTTTTAGATTTCAAGTTAAATTTGAAAATGACAGAATTTGAATACTTACGTCACCATATGGCTCAGACTCCTTGGAAAGAATTCCACTAGCCCTAAAAATGTACAAAAAATGCAGAAAGCTGCTTAAAACAAAGTATACTTAAAAATACATGCAACGTAACAGGTATGTGATTAAAGAGTCTTCATTTCATGATGCTGACATTGCAATAAGACACTCGAAGTATACTGCAACCAAAAGAGCTTGGGGAACCCTATGGTAGGAGGGGGCAAAGCGGAAGCAAGCACCCGCGTGCCCGCCGTGTCCCCCCATTCTCCGGCTTACCTGACCACGGCATCTTTTAGTCACGTACATATGCATTTTTATGTAAAGACACAAATGAGCACGAAGTTATAAACTCGATCTCTTTGAATAACAAGTAAACTGTCAAAGAATCACCTTGCAATTTCTCCTTTAAAAATCGGAGAATCATCTAGAGTGATTTCGATATCCCTTACGCCTCGTGTTGAATGTATTCTTGATTTATTGTAGTTCTGTTTAGAGCAGAAGAACACAATAAGATTGAATAGCTTTAATGCAAAAGGTATCGTTTAAGTAAAATATTAGATTTTCGAGGCAAACATGTCTTAATTATTACATATAGTAAAAATGTTTAGTTCGAAAAGATTTCATCAGCTAAGACTAAGAATAAAGGTTAGAATGGGATATCGATAAATCGATGTTGCCAACAATTCCAGTTTCAAGGACCTAACAAAAACATCAGCAAAGTTGGAAAGAATGTATTTTGTCAAACAGTGACAATCGAATGCTTACTGAAGCCCGCCCATCGAGCATTTTAATTATTATTTTTCTTTTCTATTATTTTAATATAGGTTCAAAAAGTTGCTAAAAACAGAGGGCTATATATAAAGGATTGCGATAAAAGCATATGTGTTCTTTAGATGCTTGTGAACATACCCATATCCTTAACATTGCAATGATCACGGGTTTATCAAAAACCAAACTGACAATGTGTTTCTTCCCCGGTGTGAAAGGAGTCAACCATAGGTGCAAATCATCCCTGTAATGAAATGTAAAGAATTCATCAAATTCAACGAATCATTTTGCACTAGAGAAGTATGAGAAAGTCGCGGTAATGATTTGCTACAGACAAAAATTAAGACTTCCTCGCGGAACAAAAAGGGGAGTGGATAGATGTTAGAAAAAATAAATAGCCTCTATCAGTAAAAAATATTTTAATGCGCAGGCACAAAGGCTCACAACTTCATGACTTCATTCAGTCTAATTTCAGCTCGCACGATTGTATACAGCCCGATTTCATATGGCACGATTGCATGTGGTACGACCTCATTCAGAGCGACTTCAAACTGCATGACGTATACGACATGAGTTCATGCGGCACGACTTCACGCGGCAAAAAGTCATGCGGCACGATTTCTTACGGCATGACTCAATTTCATACATATTAGACAAACAGATAATTTATATATCAGGCCTCACCTTGTCATATAGACACCATCATTAAGGTTAGAAACAACTCTAGGGTCATGGTCATATTCTGGGAGAATATTAATGTCGGAAGGATCAGCAGTGATCTAAAAAAGAAAACAGAATTTAACAGATTTACGAAAATGTAAACGAGGCTAAAATAGTGAGAATGATCACTAGGAAGTAGTATGTTGCTTTTGGTGAACTTTCCTACAAGGGAATCGTACTGTGAATCAGATAGTTGACTAACAAAAAGCATTTTTCTTGTAGGAAAAATATCCTTAAAGACGTACCCAAGCTAACACGGGCAGCTGTATATAAATCCGATGGTATAACTTCCATGATTTGCTTCTGCATTTGCATATATCTTCAAAACCAAACTTAATGACTGGTTTAAGTTGAAAATGAAATTTCAACTAGTGAAAAAGAAGTACTGATTCTCAACATACAGCTAAAAGTCAGCGTGACTAAAGTTTTGTGCAGTAATTTACAGAGCATCCCAGTTATGTAAATCATAATACCTCAAGAATCTTTGCAAGCTCCCCAGTGGATGTGAAAACCTCGACTCCATTCAGTCCTATATAATGCCGATCGCCCCAAGTGCTTTTTAAATTGAGAACGAGGTTCCTGCCAGTTGGAAGAGTCGGTATCTCGAAAACATCCCTGTAGAAATATGAGCAACACCACTTAACAAAATAACTTTAGCACCAAAAGGTAAATCACAATTTACCATGGTAAGTTGGAAAATAGAACGGATTCTATCCAACAACAAAACGGGGAGAAAACCTACAAGCATGACCATACCGAATTGTGCATTGTAGAATTAAGATACAGCAATAAATTTCCGCAGCACTGGATATAATGACTTTGCTTAATATATCAATATTAGCAGGGCAGTCGGAAGCGGGGGAGGAGGGGCTGTAGCCCCTCAATATTGTCATACTGCACTATATTTACTTTCCAACAGTGTACTGAATGGGAGCAAAACAATGGGCAGCCCCCCCCACTCCCCCCAATACCATCCCGACGGTACTGATGAGATATCACATTACATTCATTTCTCAGTAGTATTTAAGACTTCAAAGACAGATTATTTCTGACGGTTTTTAGGATCACATTGTTTCTTGCGAAATAATATGAGGCTAAGAACCACGACATAAACACAATTTATCGTTTATCAAGCCCACCTTTGAGAAGTTTCTTGTGTTTCTATGGATTTATCGCTGCAGAGACTTTCTTCTTTGACTGCCCGGTTTGGTTGTATCAATGCATCCAATGCATCTCCTAAAAAACGTAAAAACAAATAAAAATTTCAAGATCAAAATCATAAAACATACAGTCTAAATCCAGCACAAAAGTTAAACAACGAATTACAGACAGACAAGCTAAAAATCTTAGGATTTATTTTATGGGAATCCTTTGTTTTCTCCAATACTGGACTTTTCAAAAGCATTTTGACAAATTCGTGCACATATAATAGGCTCTCGAATCTGCAAAATGGAAACAACACGAACATTTTATAATTTCACTATTAGAAGCGCGAAAGACCTCAAATCTGAATATCCAAAATACTAGAGATGAAAATTTTGATAAACGTAGTGAATTTCTCACCATCTGCCTCTAGATTTAAATTGGACGTTATCCTTCCAAGGTGCGAATGTTCAAATTTGTTGATTGAATCTAAAGATTGTTCGAACTCTTTATCAATTATTTCTCGATATTTTCGCCTCCCATCTTGTTCTTCATTTTTACCAGTTGAAGTGCTTCCGTCTACTTCATCCTTACGTCTTCGTCCGCTAAGAGGTCGCTAAAACAAGGAAGTTGATGCATAGCTAAGATAGCAGATTAAAGAGATTTTAGCAAAATTCATTAGTATATTTGAATCACACTGGCCTGATATTCATTAGTGGTAATATAAGACATCTTATTACATCTTTAGTGTATAGAACAGGACGGTTCTAAGTTGCTTGTCTGAGTTTCATACTTAATACGATCATCAGGCAACTTTTGTATATATATAAATATATATAGATTTATGTAGATATTCCGCAAAAAGCAGTTGATAGATAAAAGGGCTGAAGATTCTGCACGATCAGATGAAACCGGTACCAACAATGTGTTATTTCTGCGATTAAATCTAAATTGCAAGTATATATATATATAAATATATATTGAAATTTATATACAATTATATACAAATTTATATTAAAAATTGCAGTTTTACTAGACAGTCAGGGAAGAGCTGTACAAGGTGTTCAGAACAAGGTGGTTCTCAGTCAAAGTCAGTGTTTACTCTTAATGCGATCATTAAGCAACCCTTCCTGGAGCTTGTATAGCTCTGTCTATACCGTATCAAACACGACAAACCGGTAAAAAGTAATTTTCATCAAAATATCTTATGAGACAATTTCCATTTAATCAGGTTTGTTTTAAGTCATACTCATAGAGCATTGATATTTCAAACTGATTTTTACGCTACTAGAAAAAAGGTGTAAAGTTTAAAAAAATAGGCTATGAAAAGACCAGTTTCTAAATTCTACGATATCTGGGTTGCATATATATGCTCTCTGGAAACGTATATTTTAAAAAAATCTTCATTTACCTTCTGCTTTGGTTTTTCATTCAGAAATTCGGAAATGTCTTCCCTGTGAAGAGAATAAAAATGTCAAGCAATCTGCTTGAAAGAAAGTCTAGAACCAATTTGGCGTTGCATTAGTGGTGTCACGGCGAAAAAAAGTGAAAAGTAGCTTGGAAGAAACTGAAGTGATAATCTGGAGACAAAGATGGAACCTTTTCAAGTTAATATTTTGAAAGTAGGTTGGAAAGTAAACTACAGAGAAAAAAGTTTGGTACTGAATCATGCATGGTACATGAAACATTATCGTCATCATCAAAAATAATCTAACAACACTTTTGGGTCATACAAATGTTTACAATGTCAAATATAAAGTTAAAATTTACTGAGGTGATTTAGGCACGACAGGCTGTTCTCTACAGGCACGATGGAATAAAAATATGAAAACCTTACAGCATGAAACCTTCCCGAATTTGGGCATGATCTTGAATGAGTTCCTTGTCATTTAACAGGTTCCAGGGGAAAAGAAATGTTAGGGTCCAAAGCAAACTGATTTGTAAACATTTATGAACATATGAAGTGGTCAAATAAACTTCTTGAGTCATTATACATTAACTATTGCTTATTTTCTCAAGATTTTAACAGAAAACAAAGAAGCGTAGCCAAGGTGATAATGTTCAGGAGTGAAGAGGGGAAACGAACTGAGCGAGCTTAGCCAAAAAATTATTGGATGAAACATTTGTGATCATGCTTTTCTTGATGCCAGAACGACTTTGTTTGAAAACTAATCTGAAATGAAGTATGGCATTGACATTGCATTAATTACTAGCAGATTCACGCTTTTGTCAGAAACCAAATCTCTTATCAACGCTGACTTTTCTATCGAAAATATTAAACAGTTAAAAATAGAATAAGATACATATTTTTCATTTTAATATTCAAGTATTCTAATTTTTTTTCATTTCTATCTTTTTTTGTTATTGACGCTAGGACGCCTTTTCAACTTTCCTTTTCGTGGCAGTTTTAAAACTCCTTTTCAATAAAAACAAGCAGAAACTATCAAGGAATAAATACTTTGCATCAGCATCCAGACGGTCCTCTTCATTCGCCAAGTGCGTTCCTTTTCTTCTCCCAGCTGACGCCGTGCGAGCGTTAGATCCCTCAGAGGTGCTTTTTGCTCCTGCTCTGCGACCGCTTGTCGGCCTTGATCGAGGTCTGGGAGATGAAGAATTCTCCACTTCGGCAGTGAAACTTTTTTCATCTTTGGCATCTCTGACGGCATCTGTAAGATAGTGTGAGTGAGAAATGGTATACTTTCACCCCTTAATAAGGTATCAATCGAAAGTTTGTAAGTTAGCTATCATTCTCCGAGGTATTGCAAGAAATGTCGCAAAACCGTTAAACAAATCCAAAAATACAATAATAGAGTTCCATACCAGGCAGCCATACGGGTTTTTGGTCCACCAAATTTTCAGCAGAATCTGATTCATCATTCGTCGCGCTGCAAGTAAAATAGAATGATTAATTTGCTAACCAAAGAATTTAATGGCTGAACCACCATTTCATTAATGATATTCTTCAGGTTAAGGAAAAATGACTAAGCGGTTTGGGCGCTAGACAGCAGTGTGGAGGACTGGGAGCTCGATTGCTGGTTATGCCAATGATGTAAAGAATTGGTCTCCTTATACCAACTGAAGAGGCTAAAAACTGGACACACTTCTTTATCATAATATTTCGATTCCATTACCTAAAATCCACATAGAAAATTGGCCTATGATACAGAAGAATTAAACACATTTAATTATAGTAAATAGGCCTTCACTATAGGGGGTCATCTGTTTTCGGCGAGATCGCTGAAGTTTCATGTGATATCTGCATCCGTTTATGACAATTTGCTATTGACGGGAGTTGTTCTGTAAATCAGTTCGAGGCAACTTCATGCGATTAGAGTCAAGCTTACCAATAACACTGCAACACGAAAATCATGACTCAGCGTATTTGAGTACAATTGGGTGTACCCTCTCCATTTATTATGGCACGATGCCTTTTATAATTTTCCCTTATCTTATCTTATTTTTATAATTATCTTTCTTTGTCGTTCATAACTAACGCCTATGAAAGTAACAACCACTTGACTAGCAGATAAAAGAATAAGGGGTAACTGCTACCTATTTCGGGAGATTGGATCTGTTTCTGTTGAAATCTTCGAAGAACGAGATGCTGGTAGATGGTCCCTGAAAAAAACATTTCAGACACTCTTACTGAGTTTTCTCTTCTCAACCGAATCTATATCAATGGAGAAAATGCTTCTGCAATCTAAACTTGTTGTGTATTTATTTTTCTTATTCAATTGGGAAAAACCTCTCTTGAAACTAAATAAAAAACGGCTGTGTATTTGTTTTGTACCTAAGATGATTGCGTGGTAAAAAGGTTTTCGGCATGTGATTTTTTGTGAAAGACTTTTGTGAAAATTTTAATGCCAATGTTCCCAGGAAATGGTTACTTAAATAGAAATAAAATACCCATGTCTCTTCAATAGAAAAAGGGGTTTATAAATAGTTGTATATTGGAGGGTAAATCAAGTTATAACATATGTACCTTATGCAAGGGTCTGATGGAATCGGCTGTTCCGATGGTGATGACATATTAGGCGTTGTGACAGACCTGGTATTAGAAAAAAAAGGGGAAAACGGGCTTGAGCTGGGAGTCTACAAAATCTATGAACAACTTCCAATCTACAATTAACTGCTTAGGAACTTCGTCTTAAGTAGCCTTTGTAGCAATGCCACAGGTTATCTTAAAGAAAAACATTAGCGAAAAACGAATGACAGAGACTCAGGGTTTAGTGACAAAACTTAAGCTTCTCAGAGTAATGTCTATCCAGGTTCTACTTTATATACGTATCCTGCACTATTGTTATCTATAAATGTCTTTCAGGTTTTAAAGGGGAAAGCAATGTGGCGATAAAAGCAGCCAACAGTACACAAAACGGCAGTTTTATTGGTCTCCGATGATCTACTCAGCAAAAATCGAGTATGGATTACCAGTGTCCGTAAGAGTGAAAAAATTCTGAGAAGTTGCTGTAAAATCCTCGATGATAGGAAAGTGTTTGGTGCACTTTAAAAAAAACCTGTAGTATTATTTGATTAGTGATACCTTGATACAGATTGTTTCTCTGCAGAGACGGGAATGGTGCTGTCAGGGGTTAGTTTCCTGAGCAAAGGAGAGCGCCTGACAGGATGGTCTGCCTTCGTTGAAGGAGGTCTTGGTTTTGTAAATATCTCATCGCTGGCAAAAGCCTTTCTGTTGGAACCCTCTGCTTCAGTTTGGCTATAGAAGGAAGCGTGAATATTTCAAATTGAAATTATGTAAGAATTAGAAGGCATGGTCTTCATTACTGCCTATATAGTATTATCTAAATATCCTAAATGACACATAGTCTAAAGGGCCTAAATGGACACTTGTGACAATAGAGACAATTTTCAATATTTGTTAAACGATTAAAATCTTATAGATAAGCCGTAATTTCTTACCCTGTTTCATTTACAGTCTGTCTACCTTCATCAGTTGCATAAAGGACGTATGTACACAATTTTAAGTGCTAGCTTTTAGCGTGAAAAAGTCTAAAGCGTATCGTTTGAAAAATTAGAATGATATTTAAGCTTACATCACAATACAAAAAAGTACATTTGTCCTAAAAAAATCTCCTAAATGGCCAAAGTACCTGGTTTTACCTTCAAAGTAACTGAACAGTAACTGATCTAGTGGTTATTAGTAGATTAAAAATTAACATACTTGTTAGAAATATGTTGAGTCTCGACCTTCGGTAAATTTGCAAGCTCGCTGGAGTCTCTCGTTAACGTGGCAGTTTTGCATCTCTCTGTTGCTTCCTGTAAAGCAAAAGATTCATACAATGTTCAGCAATGTAAACAAAAACAACATGTATGTTGTCGTTTCTTATGAAATGATGCACAAAATTTGTGTGCTGCATAACAAATTAACAAAAACAGTATTTTTAATCTGTACCAACAGTAGATAATACAAAAAATTAAAAACAGAACATTCACGTATTTTATAGTTAATCCTAGGGGTTAGCGATTAATAAACAAAGACACTGGGATTAAGAAACAAAAACATTGGGATTAAGAAATAAGGCAGCCAGATGGATATTCTTACATTTTGTGATTCTCTCCCTGTCTCAACAGGAACTTCATCTTCATAAAGATTTATCACTTTGCTGTAATCAAACACTTGGTTACCACATCCCTGAAATGAGAGCAGATTGACGATTGTAAAATGATTTAGTGTGTTTATATGGATAATGAGAGGGAGGCATAATGAACTCATTAAACGGAGGTTCTGTTTAACAGATTTTGATTAGAGAGCATGATTTTGATTTAGAGATGACGACAGATTCCCGAAATATGTGAGCTACGTAGCACAAATGAACAGCCAAGCTTTTGACAATAAAAATGAAATAACAGAAGCAATAAAGCTTTAATAATGTCTAGAAGAGAAATTCCTCAAGAAATTTTCTCTCCTTCTTCCTTCAGTTCAATAATGAAAGTATCAATTGCAAAAGTAGCTATAAAACCATCACATACACTAGCAAAACTGATCCAGTGCCACACTCAAGGCAATAGGTATTAGAGTTTGAATCATACAGTAGACACTAATGCCGATTCTCACCTTATCGACGATTCCTTCCCATACTAGTGTATCATCAATCATTACTTTGACTTCCTTTGCACCAATATTCAACTCCTTAAAAACAAGATATCGAAAATCAATAACTCAAGCCTCCTAGTTTGATTAGAAATCTCCACAAATGAAAAAGAAGAAGGTCTGAAATCCTTGGCAATGCAAGTAGATATACATAATCAATAGAAATGTTGTGCGATTTCTGCAGCAATCACATAAAGTAGGAAATTTTTGATTTCATTAAGCAAGAAACTTCTTTGACACATTTTTCGAGAATACGGTATTTAAAATGGATCTAAATCTAATCAATTGCATATGCAAATAGCAGGAAATATTTGATTACATACTTCTAGGCTGCAAGTGCCAGTTGGAATAAATGAATATTATGCAGATGGAGCTTCAAGTGACCGTCAGTTCATAAATAACTGAGGTCTGCTAAGCCTCAGAGAAGGCGGAGAAAAACAGGCATGGTTCATTTCATTTGATAACGAGAATACCTCATAGGAAGGACATTGATAAAAGAAGACCTCCAGAAAATTGATATCGATCAGAAAGGCTCATTATAAAACATTGATGTTGAATTCTAAATCAGTCATGATAACTTGGTAAGGCATATGACTAAAAAATGAACAATCCACAATTAAAAATCTTTTATCTTAATTCTATAGAAGCAACATCTCTTACGTAGAGGCTCTTGTTATAATTCCATATTGCAATCTTTGTTATTCCAAAGTTGGATTTTCGGACAGGTATGAGATCCTTTGGAATATGAAATATCAGCTTGACATTTTCGTCCTGTTTTAACTGGCATTTCCACATATGTCTCTCTTTAACAGTCTAAAAAGTCAAATGCAATTAACTATATCTATAAGTAGAGGGCTCGAAAAAAATTCAAGGAAACTTCAACACATCAGAAAAACAAGTAACAAAAAGTTAAATGGCTTTACTGGTTTTGTTTAGGATCCTTTTGAAATTTTCTGCGTTAGATAATTCCTACTGTTATTTGCATAACTTCTACCAGAAATGAATTTTTAGTGCAATGCTTTGCTGATGGTGTTAAATATTGCTCAACCATCAACATAAGCAAAAATATAGGCTAAAAAGCTTTAAAATAAACAAAAGCCGTAGAAACCTCTAATAAACGAATATTATTATAATTATTATAATTATTATTATTATTATAAAATTATTTACAGTAGGCGAAGCAAAATTTTTTAGCTAATATAACAGCTAATTAAAGCCTACTATTTATAATACATTTACAAATCTTAAATTAATTACAATGAATGGATAAAATAATATAGGAAATTGATACAGTTAATAATTCTGAAATCTTGTTCGAAAAAGTTAAGAACTCTGCAAACATCGCCAGCATCTCTTACCTTCGTTTTACTATTGACCAGATTACGGTTTGGTGTATAGCAAATACCAGTCGTAAGAACTTCAATGTGGTCTTCTTTCAAACGGACTGCTTTTTTGTCATCATCAAAAAATTCTACCTGCAGAAACAAATTTTAAACCTTAATTTACAAACGCAAAGAAGAAGGCCTAGTATGAGGTAGGATGAAGCAAGAGTTTGCTTGCAAACAGCCCTGGAAGTAACAAATTGATGAGCTTGTAGTCTATATCATATGCAGGGAATAAATTTGGCAAGATCGTAACCCTTAATGTCAAAAACTTAGTCCAAATTTTCAACACTTTTTCATGCAATATAACCAATTTTGGAAGCCCCACAAACTATCAACAACTTTTACTGCAAAATAGTTCATTAAAATTTTGTAGTACGAGAAAGAGAAAGCGTGCTTCCTTCAGTTAACATGTATAGCTAAACGTGACCTTGAACTCTTAACATTTTCTATAAAAAGCATATTTTTAAAGCCTGGTTTCTACTAAGCGATTATGGTGATCAGGGCAACAAACATGAAGATATTTTTGCTGTAATTGCGACAAATACAAGCAGATGCAAGAAAACTTTAAGGTTTATCGCATTTAAGGCGACTAACACGTCAAAATATTAGCAAATGTTAATCGCCTTAAACCACATATATTCTGCAAATTACCCACCTCTGTCAACCCAACCATATCCGGGTGTCCCCAGTTTGAATTGATTTCAACACAAACTTCCAAAATATCCACTTTACCACAGTCAGTTTCATCACTCCCTGATGAGACTATAGCACTACTTTCCAATGCTGTAGTGCCTTTTACTTGACTTTCACTGGTTTCTTTAAACAGCGGCCCTACTGCTACCCCTTCAGTTGACTCACGTGATCGCTTCTTTTCGAAAAACGCCGTGCTAAACGTGGCATCGTCTTCAGTGATATCAAGCTCCTCAAGCTTCGAAAGCATTTTCAGCAAATGTACTTGTTGTCTGTAGAAAAATCAAGCAAAATGAATGAATCAATCGAAGAAATAATGATTATGTTTAGGGAAAATCGCTTTCTCGGGCTACTGTTATCAATATTCATTTGCTCGCTTTTTTGGTCGGCCTATTTCCGTCCACAGCTGTATGTATCAAAACTACTGCTTGGTGATCTGTCATTAAGTGTTCAATGTCGTATAGGCAGAGCTGTACACTCTTCTGGTGTACTGAACAGGACAGTTCTAAGCTGCTACTCTGAGTTTCACGCTTTATGCTATCAACAAAAGATTTATTACGAAGAACAGTTGCCTGATGATGGCATTAAGCGTGAAAATCGGAGTAGCAACCTAGAACCAGCCTATTCTATACACCCATTGCGTTTCTCGATAATTATACATATGTAGGCCCAAAAACGCCAACGGGTACATATATATTTCCTAGTTGAAAAGTTGTTGATCATTATTATGACGTTTTATCCTCTAAAGAATCTCGGGCATTAGAATGTCTTTTAAGCTCTACGCTACGTCTTTAGCATTACTTACAGATTTGCTGATAATACTAGAATCCTTGATATAAAAGCCGGGCAAAAGAAAAGACCGTGTGTGTATCCTACAGCTTCATCGGAAATATTCCTTTTATATACAGACTGTCGTATAAAGGAAGTGTCAAATTAAGGGTATAAACAAACTTTGCAGTCATTTTCTTTACTCTCTCCACAATTGATCCTATCATTTCGTTGTCTACTGTAGCAGTTGCTATTGACGACGGTCTGTTTACTGGCTCTTCATTGGTTACTGATTGCTTTTGCTGAAAAATTGATAAATGTCCTTAATGTTGCAACAACAAAATAAACGAAGACATCCGACAGGCAAGACATACTTGAATCTTACAACAAATGACGTCATAATTGATCATTGCAAAAACACAGGTGTATTTTACTTTGAAATGCTAAGAAAAGAAGCACTCGACATAATCTTTAGCAAGCAGTATTGCGTACATTAGATACTTTAAAATTAGAATCGGGTAAGATATTCATAATCACCCTGCCTGAAAATCAAGTACATTTTTTTGCACATGATGTTGATTGCTCAGTCTGCATAAAACGATAAGCAAATACAAAACAAATTATAATAGTAGAAGAAAACTTTCATCAAATGAAGCAAAAACATTACAATACCGCAACAGAAACAGCCATGGATATACAAGCTGACAGACTGGTGTTTTTGTTATATGTTAAAATACTATCATAAAATCCAGACCTTGCTTGGAGCAGATTTTGTTTCTCTTTCAACACGACTGCCAAATGGAGGGTCTGAAAAATAAGGCGCTTTAAGAAAAATACAAACACTTTAAAAAGCTTTTCAAAAAAAAGTTACAATAAGTCTATTTGCAACAACAGTCCAGCTTGCAAGTTTTTCTCTAAAACATCAGATTTTTATAAACATAGATAACTTAGGCAATACGGGTAGCATCAGAAATTGAGAGATCATTGGTAATGCTTACAAATTACCTAAAAAGGATCTGCGGGGAATTTTATATCTAGACCATAATTATTGGTTGATGTGAAAAAAAATTCTGATATTGATAGTCTCTTTGCACGGAAAAGCAAACTCTGGGCAAGTTCTAAGTTCGGGAGAGAAAAAACTTAAACAGTTGATCAAAAACTCACCACTTTGTTTTACTTCAATTTTTCTATTTTCTTCCAAAATCGCATTAGCTATTTCAACTGAAGCGTCGCTACTGATTGTGGAGTCATCTTGTCTTCGCTTTCGACTCGCTGATAACGGCCTGGATTTTCTAGGAGCTGCAAAGAATGAGTATAGCCACAAAAATATCACTATATATTTCAAATAATCTTGATTGATATATAAATTATTTTCTGCTACTAAATGAATAAAGTAAAAACCAACAATGAAATTACTAAAAATATCGATGACATGCAAATATTTAGGCTTTGTTCTAAATTCAAAATAAAATTGTAGACAGTAGAGAAAAATTTCTTGAAACAAACTAATTTAGAGAAAAATTTTTAATATATTCATGTAAAAGGCCAGAAAACTGATAGCCAGAATCAAACACATGTCATAGGCTATGTACACATGACCGCCACTCACCAGAAATCATCTCCACTGGCTGTTCTACTCTTTTAAAAGGTTGAGGTTCCAATTTGTCGCTGAAAAAAAACAAATACTAACAACTTAGTACTTCTAACATACTAAAAACCACAGGGGGAAGAGAAGAGCGGATTTATTTTGCTTCGATACGTAAATGCAATTGCAACTGTTTGAACCATAAGGAGTGTAAGTAATTACTTTTGTATGTAAGAAAAGGCTTACTGCCTTTCTGTGACATCAAAATACACGTAAGGTAGGATTGTAAGATATGTTTACTCTCAAAATGCATTCAGTAAAAAATTGCTGCAAAAATTATCATAAATAAAACAGGTTAAAATTAAGGAAAATCCTACATTCATTAAAAGAAAACAGAACTAAGCAGGCAAGAAAAAAATTTACACAAATGTCAATTATATACTAAATTTAAACAGGTAGCTTTTAGCCTTACAGGGAGAATTTATTCTATGCTAAGACTGATCTGGTTACTGCAGAATCTATTTATAAACCCGAAAACTGGAATCATTAATACTTATCTAAAGCATTTAGTTTGTCAATAAAATGATCAAATGCGATAGAATAACTACAAAAAAAATGTTTTACGTACTTATTGCCAGTTTCACTTTTGCCTACAAAGAAAACAAATATACAGTTAGCATTGTTTTTTCGACCAATAAATTTTAAATGAAGGACAAATGGAAAGAATTTTGTTGATTACCACAAGCGCTGCATGGCTCACATCATTTATCAAATTTTCAGGTACATGATGCTATTCTAGCCTAACCAGTGAAAAAGACAGGCAGAATTAAGAATTCATATGCACTCAAATCGAGAATACATAAACCGTCCTGCTGTTGTAAATCAGCATGGTATGAACCAGACCTTTCAGCTTTAATGGAGCAAGATAACCAATAGCTTTGAAGGACAGCATGGTTTTATCCTTGTTTAGATTGGCTGGAAATGGTTTTCAGAAAGGAGCATTTCAGAACCTTATACCACTATTATACCTAACTGGCAGAAAAATTATCTACCTCCAGTAAATATAACTGCATGAAAATATCGCTAGAAATAGAAAGTACTTTTACACTTTAGACGGGTAAATCTTCAGTTGATCTGCCTTGCGTATTCAGTACTTACTGTTGTAAGATTCCATCACAGTCTTCGCGGAAGAAGATTTGTCTTCCTTCAAGTCACTCTCCAAATTACCCTTGGGCAATGTCTTTCCCAACTGAGGAAGCTGCGAAGGATCTACTTCACGACTTTCTCGCAATTTATCAATATCTTCTTCAATATCTTCATCAGTATCTGAATTATCAGCCTCTGGTATATTTTCTCTGATACTTCGTATGCTTTCAACAATTTCTTTGTTTGCTTCTATACTTCTTCGTAGAGCCTACAACAAAATAAGATCGAAAGTATAAATCGATTTCAATGGATGGCTGCCTGTCTGTGTCACTCAGTCACTTTTGGAACCATTTTCTAGCTTCCAAGTTTTAACAATTTAAAATCCAAACTGAATATCAGCCTTAATGAATCCCTTAAAAGTCAAACCACTCAAACCTACAGAAAAATACGAAAATTCTTAGATACATTGAATAAGTTAACGTAAAACATAATGAATTACCAAGCAAACAAGCAAATCATATGAGAGCTTGTTAGGTAATTACCCACCATAAATCAGCATTATGCTAGCTGCAGATAAAGAACTAATTTCATGGCTCTTGGATTCTACTAAAATGAGCCTTGCATGACCTAAGTACCAGCTCCCTGTATCTGAATAACCCTAGTGAAGGGCATAACTAGCGAAAACCGTTCTTTGAAATTCATCTACTAGTTCGTTACATTTACTCTGATGAAGCCCTGTATGCCTGGGCGAAATAAAAGTATACATTAAATTCAACTTATTTTAAAATCATATTACATAACACTGGATTCTCATCGTCGTTATTCATTGTTTCTGACTATTTCCTTCATATCATTACTTATGGCAAGATTCACAGAATCCGGCAGACTGCCCATCCTGCGTTTCTTCTTTATTACACAGTTAAAAAGATAATAATCTATAGAATGATTCAAAATAGCGGCATAAGTTATGAAATGGCTCGGTCATTGGGGTTGTGCAATTTAAAAAACGATATAAAAGGAAAAGAAAAAATGTTCAGGTCATACAATGAACTATCCATAAATCGGTCACCTGTCGGACTATAGAAAGGATGTGTATCTTACTGATAAATCGCCGTTAAATGTGGTTTCCTAAGACTTTGAACTTACCTTTACGTCTTTAATGGTCAATGTCATTTTCTGGTCATTGTCGTCAGTTTCCTCTATATCTTCTTCATCTGTGCCTGTTTGATCTTCAATTGTCTCTTCTTCAGGTTCACCCTTGAAGTATCATAAGAATGCAGTTTGTTATGATTAATTCAAAAGGTTACAAAATAGTGTTTATAAGAAAATGTGTGCTTCTTGGGAGAACAAAATCATTTCTTAATCAACGGAATAAGTGACAAGAGGGTTAAAAGCAACTGCATAGACCACCCAAAGAACCGCTGCAGCTTAGCATTAAAACCAAAGATACCTTCTGGATCTCCTCTTCCTCTCCTATTTCTTCATCACTATCATCCTCTTCAGCTAATTGTTCCTCCAGCAAACTCTGATAAGCTTCAAAGTCTTCACTGTATTTTCCGGTCACTTTCCCTAAAAATCGTAGACAGTGTTTTGAAAAAAGCGTTTTGTTTCTTTCGCCTAAGAAAGTTAGAACTATGGCTTACAATGAATGCAGCTAACAAAAACAGAAAAACACATGCAAATAAAACAGTATTTACCTGTTTTAAATTCCATGTTTTCACCTTTCTCTGTCTTTATCTTTATTTGTGATGGAGACTGAAAAATCACAACGTTAAAAAGTTAATGCAAAAAATAACCCATATTCAAAACAAATTATCAAGTGTTACTGAATCTAATGAACAATGTTTTAAATGGAGGAGCATTTCTGACTATTCAACATTAAATAGATACAAATGACTTACCTAAGTAAGATATCAATTTTACCTTAACTTAACTTATACTTTAGCACTTTGTGTAGAAAGCAGCAATAAGCAGACAGAAGACATGAAATTCTAATCATTTATGTCCATCTAAAATAGAACTTGGCTGCAAATTATGATAGTTGCAAGAAACAATACAAAGCTGACAGTGGCCTTAGAGTCTTAAAGACAAATCCTTAATTTTTCTGACTGACATGATCTGGACATCTCTGGATTATAAGGGCACTGTGTTATAGGTTGTTTCTCATGTGCTTTGGTAGTGATAGCAACAGAGTAGGGTTGTCAGTCCTTACCTTTGTCTCCAATCTAAAAGGGTTATATTAACTCAAAACATATCAGGTGAAATCTCATGATATTTTTGAACAACAATTTTCTATAGATCACATAAAAATGATTTGAATTTAGCACCTTTCCCCATCCTCTCCTTCCATGTTTTGATGGAGCAGTCCAGGCTCTTGAGCTATGTAAAAATTACATTTGATGGCTATTAGAACTGAATATAAATTTCACATCTAATTGCATAAACTACATTTCAATTACAAATGCAATGAAGATAGATATACATATCACATTCTGTTATCTACAGAAACTGAATTTTTACATCTAGGCAGATAGTGGCTAGTCTGTAAATCTGCTGATACAGATAATTATGAAGCCGCTGCAAGGAGTTGTCACCCCTTCTGTTGTTTAGAGGGGTTGACACTGTCTGGCAACCTGCCAGCAGGGAATCATAGAGATACAAAAGCAAATTTCCAAATACTGGACTTATGCTGTTTTTATTTTGAAGAGAAAAAAGATATGTTACCTGTCCTCTTCAACTGCTTTAGGACTTTCAGCTAAGTTGTGTCTTCCATTATTTTCCACTAAAAATAAGACAAATGTTTTCATGAAAGACTATCAAATTCCTGGTTCAAAATACAAATAATGCAACTGGGGTTCTGTGATGTCTGATAAATTTTTTTGTCTGATAACATTGCAACAAAACTTCAAATCGAGCAAAATAAAAAGCAGTTATAATTTCTTCATTGCCTTAATCCAGGTAAAAATAAATTATTTGCTTTAAAAATGTATTATTACTCTAAGAATCAAAAGGGAAATAGTTTGAACATAGCAGCTTCTGCTACTTCATGGAATTTATAAAATCATCAAGCATCAAAAGCCAAGCTTAGCAAAAACTAGTTCTTATCTTAGCCCAGAAAAGAAAGAAGAAAATGGACAAAAATGGAGAGAAACAAACTGATGAGAGAGACAATTGCCAGGATTTTCTAAAACATCAAACCTTTTATGGAAAACAGTAATGCCTGAATACTTTCAATTTTAATATTGAGACATTCTGAGTTGAATACAAAGATACAATGTTTACTATATAAAATACCAAACTGGAGAAAAATAAGACTTACCATCAGCTGTCTTTGCTTTCCTTGCAGATTTGTGCTCTGGTTTACCAAGTTTCAAATCAACATTTGCACCATTCAAGTAAAGTGAAAATCCTTGTTCCCTTTTTTCCAAATCTTTTTGCTTTTTGTCTTTGGCCTTTAATTTCTTCAACAATCTAAAAACACATTAAGATAGGGAAATAATTCTACAAAAGGAAAAATTTAAAATACAGAATATCCAGCACAGCTATTTAGGAAAAATTCAGGAAACTGGAAAGCTAAGAATAAACATCATTCCAACAGAATAACCAGACTCCTATTTTTCCAAACATTAATCTATTGTTCTGTGAACATAACCAGAGCCCACGCCACAAATTTGAGAGTAGGGAGGGCCAAGGCTAGAAATGTAGAGGGCCAAGGCTTTTTACCACTTTTATTGCAGCTTTAAAACTACTTAGGGGGGCATGGCCACCCTGGCCCCCCTGGTGGCACATGCCCTGATAACTGGATAAAATCATGGAGATTAGCTTTGCACATCATGCTTTTTGTTTCATGAAATACACCAATTCAATTATTAGTCATGTTTCAAAACATCATTGCACTAAATTTTTCAAAGTATGGTCATTATCTCACCCAATTGTAGCAGCAGCTACTGCATAATGAGATGGTAATTGGTATATACAAGGGACACCATTAGCAAGGAAAAGAGGAAAAGGCATGCCAAAACAAAGATGGTGTGATGACCTACAGAGCATCAGTGCCACCATGTGGATGAGAGAGGCACAAGATTGACAGAAGCTGAAGAGTCTGTGTAGGCATGCAGTGGCCTGAATGGTTGATGATGTTTATGATGATGATGTTGATTATGAGGAAGATTATGATGATACACAAGGTGCTTTTTGACAGGTTAATTCTTCAAAAACTTGACCTACTCCTACCCAATGTATTTTTATCAATTTTTAGCATAATTATGTGGACCATATTTTGACAGAATGGGGTTAATTGATCTCCCCTATACAATCTCTTGGCACAACCACTGATAGTCTCTAACAGTTGTGAATTAAAGTTCAGAGTTACTTCAGAGATAAACGAATAGCCAAAAATTATTATTTCATAAGTCCTTATTGTCCCAAATTTGAAAGACAAATAACTGCAATCATGTGTAATTTTTCTAACTTGGTTAGTATGCATCTAAATGGTATATCACTAATTTCTTACCTATTTCTTTGTTGAAGAAGCACAAGGTATTCCTCATATCCTTGTGGAATTTCATCTTTTTGCTTTCCATCTGATTCATCCTAATTAAAAAAAAGAAAATTTAACACAATAGATGAATTAACAATACTAGCAAAAAGCAAAACATTCCTGCACTTAATACCATTACTGATGGTGGAGTCTAGGGGTTAATAAGCTTTGTATCCTTTGAGCTCCCTTGTCACAAAATCCAATTAGAAACTTATCGGCAATCATTAACCAGTCACACAAACTGACTGTCAATTCTCAATGGGACATAATTAAAGCATCATATACATGACTTTATTGATATTTGGGTCACAAGAAATTTGAGGTATGAGCACAAAAAGTCCTATGTAGCTGCAAGCATATGCAAGTTTTCCAGCCTGGGCTGGCTTGGTCAAAAAATAGACAACCCTGTTTGGTTGTTTCTTTTCATTAGATCTTTTGTAAAAAATAGATTAAAAACTGCATTTCTTAATACAACAGTCCCTTGTATGACAAGTATTATACTCGCATATCCAAAATTTCATAGCAAGCCAGACTTGAAAACAACTGAAAATATCTGGAAAACTTCCTTTATGATTGTGACATTTGGGTAAATTTACATGTTTCAAGCATGGGGTATTGTTCCATGATGGTAGGACAAAATTAGCAGTTCTTATCTCTCCTTTTATATCTTCTATAATTATAACACTAGCTTGAGTTTGAAAAAATACGATAGTGAGAGAGGTAAAGATGAATAAAACTTAAAATGGAAAGGGGAGAAAGAGAAAATTTGGAACTTTGAAGACAAAGATGTCCCTTCAAGACAGGTTGAACATCAAAAAATATATTCTTACCAATTGCTCCTTCTTTTCCATAACTTCTGGTAAAGGTCACTAACTGACAGCAACTTTCATTTGCATTATGGGGATTTTTTTTCGTTTTGAGGCCATTGTTTGGTCGCCATCTTGATAGGAATGGTATTCAAAGTACGCATGCGCATTGTTTTCAAAACAAATATGGTAGATGTTTCCAAGCGATTGCAGAATTTTAAACAAGTTTCTCTACCAATGAGTATGTTTAATTTTGGTATTCAACTTTTAGGTTGAATGTTAAAAAACTAACCGTATCTGTGCTGCATCAAACGCTGAAGTAGACCTGTTAAGGATAATGCTTGCAAATTTTGTACCTATTGAATTAGCTAATCAAGTTGAATTGCCACATGTGTGTATTGTAACAATGGAATTACAGCAGACCCCGATTAAAGTCACATCAAATGTTGATGTTGCTTGAAAACTAGTGACTGTAAACGGAATGTGACAGTCAGCGGAGTAAAACTTAATAGATTTGCACCTTTGGGTCTAAATGTTATGTGACTGTACCTGGTAGCGTACAGTTGACAGTTGAATATCAAACAGAAATGGGTTATTGAACACCTCTGTTTGAAAATATTTATGTATATATTTTGTTTCGATCTCAACCGTACTAAGCCATGCCAAAATTTCTGATAGAGAAGTACGTAGAAAGTTTATCAGCAAGAATCTATATTTTATGTGAAAGAATCTAGCTAGATTTTTCATCCATTTTCTGAAATGCACAATTACGCCTATTTTCCAAAACATTTTTTCACTTTGTTATCCACAGCTACGGCCACTGGTAGTCTGCACAATTGATACCAGAAATAATGACCTCACTTTTTATTTGCTAGATCCAAGATGATGTGCTGTCCAGTAGCTACTTTTGGGGAAAGTCCATCTCCAAGATCTTTTCATGCAAGTGTAGTTATTGGTGATTTGTTGTATGTTCATGGAGGTGTGGACAAATCTAACAGGGTTCTGGCGAGCATACATTACTTCGATGTAACCACAAAAACCTGGAGTGTTGTCGAGACGGTACCTTCTTCTCACAAATGCAAGGTATCCGGCGTGTTACCAGATTTGGATGTTTGTGAAGCCCCAAGTTTAAGCCACCATTGTGCATTAAACTACAAGGATAGGTTTATTATGTTGATTGGCGGTTGGAATGGGAAAAGAAGGACGTCTGATGTATTTTTGTTTGATGTTTGTGAAAGACGCTGGAATCAAATGAGAATAATTGGTGATATACCCGTTGGCTTGAGCTCTCATACAGCCTCTATGGTAACTGAAGATGAGATCTTGATAGTTGGTCGCGAGGGAGGTGTTCATACACATAGACGAAGTGGTGATGCATTCTCATTGAATCCGAAGACTGGAGAGTACAAAACGGCAATGTATTCTATAGATTCTCGATCAGGACATATAAGTTGCATGGTATCCTCCAGTGATAAGAAGAAATACAGGATATTGATATACAGTGGTCGGAAAACCGGCAACCAATACAGTTTCATTGGATCCTGGAATACAGTTTATGATAAAAAGAATAATGTTCACCAGGACATTTCCAATAGAATAACTGCTTTAGTACAGAAGTCCAAGCGTATAGAAATACCGAAAGGAAGACAAAATAGCATGCATTTCTGTATAGACTATAAAATGGTCGTCATATACGGAGGGCAGTTATGGCAGGCAAGAGATTCTGTTTCTTCTGACGTTATTGTATTCAATACAGAAAACAATTCATGGTATGTAATAGAATTAGATTGCTCTCTTCCTAAACTAACTGGTTTCACTTTGAATGTTGGTAGCGATGGCCAATGTTATATTTTTGGTGGCAATGATGGTCGAAGCAGCAACAGCAGCCTTTGGAATCTGCAAGCTCGTGGATAGAATATACCTTGTACCTTGTATACCATTACGAGCTGATGATTTTCAAGAAAAAAGCAATTTTTAGAGCTGGATTTCAGTTTTTAAAATTCCTTTTTAAAGACGCGTGATTTAATTGCTCCAGAGCACAAAACCCCCCCTCCCCCACAGAACTTTTTTGCACGACCAAATGTTATGAAGTCTATCTTTTGACGAGCCACTGTATTCTGCGCCTCCCTCTACCCCTCCGTATTTTTTAAACAGTGCTTAACAGACATCCAAAATGATTATATAAAAGTTGAATTGTTTATTAAAAAAGATAATGGATTGCTATTTCGAGAAAACATAGTTTTGAGTAGTGACTCGTATTAATTTTAATGGAGTTCACGTGGAGGTTTAAGCCTGTTTTTTTACAAAAAAGGGGGGAATGGTCTATTGTCTTAAAAAAATGTCGCTGGAGCTTGAGGTAATTTTTCGTCATATTTTTGTGGTGAAAAAGTGTTAGGTTGATTACAAAAGCAACAGCTATAAGATCAATTGCGAAAATTGTTTATGTTGAGCTGTAGGGCAAAAGCACTGAAAATTATTCAAGCTTCTTGCTAACGGTGTCTTTTCCCTACTATTTTCTATACAATAGTTTTCGATTTAGAGGTGAAATTTTTAAGTTTTAATGTCGAATTGGGTATGCTCTTTGCCCCCTACAACCATTGCCAAAAGTACTTAGAACACCAAGCAATTTGCGTTGCATTTTTATTTTTTTCAATTCTTTTCCCGGATACTCCTATTTCCGAACCTCCTTTCCCCCGAAACAATGTTGATAACTCAGAAAAATACCATAAAACAAGGGCAAAAGAAAGTGCTTCCTAAAATCCTAACCCGTTTCATAATAAACCAACATTGTTCTGTAGGAGAGAGGGATGTTTGATTTTAATCTTGGAAACTGACGTCAGTGTTCCAAGACTTTTGGCAGGAATTGTAGTTGAATATATATTTGGCAAGCAATAAACCACGCTTGAGCGTGTAAGATATTCCCTTATATTTTATTGCTGGAAATTGTGATAGGAGGTGTTTCTATGAATTTTTATCAGAAACTCTTCCAGTTTGGCTTATTGAGGGTTGTTTGAGTAAAGACATTTATTTTTTTCGAGATTAGGACTATTTTTTCATGAAATTACGGTACTGGCTGGCTGTTTCTTTTTATTTCTCTCTGATCAGAAACACTCCAAAACGACTTGTAAGTTGTAGTGCTGTTTTTGTAAGTTGTAGTGGTGTAATGCTGCGCACTTGGTAAGATGCTATACCCTTAACGTAGAAATGCAATAAACTTTTAAGGAAATTTACAAAATAGTTTTAGAAAATTATTGTCAACCTTGGCTATGTATTGGCAATGGTGAAAATGTCTCCTTGTTTCACTTCCTGCTTCTGACCTGTCAAGTCTTACGTTTTTTTGCATAAGTCTGGCGTAATTTCGGTGATCTTCAAGTCTTATGTTTTTTCTCTGTCTTCGATGTATTTCTTACAGCATAATTTTAAAAATATGAACCATTTCGATTTTCCGACAAAATCTTGGATCACACTCACTTTTTAGAAAGATTTACCATGGCACTTTTTGATAGAAAGAGGTCATTTTTGGGCGGGACTCTTAAGACACATGCCTTTTAGTTTAGTAGCTAGCAGAACAATCCATTAATGATTTTTGATATCACGATTGATATTTCGTCAAAGGCAATTGGTGATACAGGAGGTCGACCTATTACACTGTTAACAAGCTATTCGTGATACATGAACTAAAAAGAATAACAGTAAATTAAACATTGAAGTTCATTTTCTGCCTTTGATCTTTTCTTTCTTTTTTTCATTTTTCTACCTATTTTAATTGTTTTATACAGTGGAAATTGCGTTTGAAAATAACTTTTGTTTGGAGGAATTCGATGGAAAGTTCGGCTAACCTTAACGGACTGAAATTGGATATATGATTCGCAAGCAGTTTTGATCTTATCATATATTGCCTATTTGATTATTTAGTACTGGCTAATATTGCAAAAATTATGTTCAAGGGTACAGAGAGGTTATCGAGGCCCCTGGGGTGGAAGGGGAAAATGCTGAAAGTTGCTTAAAATACATTCCAGAGTGATTTCTTGCAGTCATTATCTTTCAGTCATTATCTTTCGTTTAAAATAGTTTAGTATTTTCCTTAGCCATACTTCTGTCACGCTTGATCAATTCAGTTTTTTAAATTGACTTTTAATCATCTTTTTTTTATCATCATAAAAATACATTTTTAAAACTAACAATTGACACAAAATAAATTTTAGTGTGCTGAATTTGAGGTAAAAAACATGCATTATCGCGTCACTTCCAACCCAACACAGTAAGTTAAACTATAAATTTATACCAAATTAAAACTACACAGATATAAATAGCAACACAGACAAAGATTCAAGGACAGAATGTGGGAAAAGTGGTTGTTGCCCCCGATCTTCTTTGATTTTGTTGTTGTTGTCACGTGATCTTATTGACGAGTTGTGATAGGTTGTTTTTTGGTTGTTGTTCGATTGACTCTGGATCTGGAAAGAAAGACGCACGGACGTTGAAAAAGAAAAAGGAACATTCTATTCTGACGAGCATAAAGACAAAGACGAACCCAAGAACTCTTGAACCGTATTATATATATATTCAGGTGACATTGTTTCGATTTTATTCTGATTGGGTTTAGTTCTTTAATATTTTTCTATTTAATTGATGGCTTCTTGTTTTCTTGATATTTACGAGTTAGAGTATTATCGATCTATTTAGTTTAACTTATATACAGTCCTCTGTTCTCGAATTTGAATCTATGGATCCTTAATTTTGAGCCTTTTGGTAATTCTAACTTGTCGGAGAGGGAGTGTCATATATTTGTCACCTCTCTGTCTCCGACCCCGAATTGCGATCCTGTGGCAGGATAATTTCTACACAGAACAACTTGATTTATCGTACGACGAAATTCATTTAAAAAGATCTTTGTTAACTAAAAACCTTACAGTAGCATCTAAAATCAATCTATTTGCTATATTATTTAATTTTAGACTGCCGAAAAGTAATGAATTGCATAAATGATCGTCAGGCAATCGCGTCACACCATTACTGAGTATATCTGATACTTCCCCAAGCAGGTGATTTCTATGAACTAAATGGAGTAGGCAGGGCAGGAAGAAATGAGTTGTGGATTCGACTCTTTCCTTACAATTGCAAATGGGACTTAAGAAAAGTGGGGGGTCTAAAAATGTCGGGGGAGGCGGAGGCCTAAAACTGAATAAAAAGTGGCTTGACTGGCGATTCATTGGTAATTTTTTGCATTATGGTAAAATGTATCGGGGTGATAGCCCCCCTTCTCCGCAATACCTGCCAGCAAAGTGATTGTGTTTTTTATTGTTACGTCAAAGTCTAACAAATGTCTATATAAAAAATCAATTGAAATTTTCATTCAGTGTCATTGTCACCCAAGGGGGTACTCCCATTAAGGCCTGACAGGGGGTCCAGTCGGTTTGAGGGTCTTATCAAATGGAAACCAAATGGCCCAGTTTCGATAATAACACAACGGCTTAGTTTAGCTTACAATTTATTATAGACAATGAACAAGATTTTCTCTTTCCAATGACGAAGAAAATTGTCAATGAAGGACCAGGCGCGTACAAAGAAATGGATGCTACTAAGGATATAATTTCCATCCTAATGCTTCTATTTAAGGGTTATTTTCAAAAAGGACTACCATTTGGGGGTAATCTTTTAATATTTTAGCTTTAGCTTTGGCCCTCTTTGACCTTGACTGGACCCCCTGTTTGGCGATAAAGGGAGTTCCCCCGGGCATTGTCATTTAAGCTTTTGTAGCCTCATACTGGTAGAGCGCGATTTCTTCTTTCAACAGAGACAGTTGCACTTAACGCTGGAGAAATGCTTCGGCGATTTCTCAGAACTGGAACCAGGAAATCAAGTAGATCCATTATTTCGAGAAATGTGAATGGCAATAAAGACTTAATTAATGAACTTGCAAAAGCTGCATCACTCTATGTACATGTAAGTATAATTACTCATCCAGTTTAGTTTCTATCGCACGTGGGCCTACGCGTACAATAACTTATTAATGCACACTCTGCGCACATTAGTTCCAAGAACTATATATTAGGCCTAGTAAGGGTTTGGAAATAAGAAAATAAGATTGACATCTTACCAGATGGCCTTGCACAACTTGATTTTGAAAATATAATTCAACTTCTAATTATGAGTCCCAAGATTTATTGGTTGGCGTAAAGCTGAGCTTAGAATGAAAGCGATGTACATGATGACACATGTGCACAAATTGGTTCACAACCTCTGATTTGTATTTGTATTGTATTTGTATGATTCTTGATTCAGGTCCACACCAAATATTCATTTAGCGTGTACAAACCAACAATTAGTTTATTCCAACTCACAGGAGGGGAGGGGGATTCTTGGCTAAATTTTGGGTTGGAGTCTGCCACGAGTAGCCTAAGTGTCTGAGGCTGCGCGCAGGCTAGCCACGAGGAAAAAGAACCATGGTCTAACTGGCAACGCCCATTACCCTCCCACTTTGCAGTAGCTGGTGCCACAACTGATCCTAGCCTGGTCTACGACCTACAATACCACATAGAACCACTTCTCCTTTTTATTGGTAAGTGTATAAACTAACTGCCTCAACTTTATCATTTTAGTGGCCATATTGCAAGCACATCTGTCCCTATTGCAATTTCAACAAATATAAGAGGTAAATGATTAATTTTACAGTAAATTGAAAATACAAATTTAGTTTCTACATTGACTCATATAACAGAATGATTTTGAAAGTAGGATCCCAATGAATTTTATTTTAGAGACAAACTCTCATAAGTTGGACTGGCATATGTAGGTTATTTTCTAACTCAGACAAAATAATTTGTTCCAAGTCCATTTGGAATAAAAGCTAACAATTTTCATCACATAATTCAGATTTTATGAGTTGGATATTTGCGTAAGCCAGACCTTTATGTCACACAACATGTGCTGTTGTCTTGTTGTCTAATACCCCTTTCCATCTATGCACTCTTTCACTAGTGGCGTGCCAAATGACCTTTAAGTGACTAGTGCAGCAAAAAACTGACATACTGACATATTGTGACTGAAAATTTTTTTACCAACAAGGTATGATCTTATCTTCAACTTTTACTGACAAGCCTAAAATTGCTGATTACTTGTTAAAAAAGTGGAGTTTAACACCACCCCACACCCCCTACCTGAACATGTTGTTTTCTTTTGTCTTTCATCTGACTGATGCCAAAGCAAAGTAAAGTTTTTCACAAGTTAATATATTTCTAATTGCTGTGTTTCTGCAATCTTATTATGAGATTTGTCATTAAACCACCAGCATAGATTATAAAACTGGTTTAATATGGTTTGTTTCAGTGATAATGTTGACAATAAACGAATGGAGCGCTGCTTGCGTCAGGAACTTAAGAGACAGCTTGGTGCTTTTGGAGTTAATTCAATAAAAACGATTTATTTTGGTGGAGGTAAAGTCAAATTTTTCATACTATGTATTTACTATTTTGTAGTGTCACTGCTTATTAAATGTATTTAGTTATTCTTTTATTATTGGTTCAGAAAATCTGTTTGAGAAGGGTGGGAATAAAACAAAGAGGAGAACTATATAGCAGATAGGTTTTAAGCACAAGCTTTTAACAGGTTAAAAAAATATTTCAGTTGTGTGTGGATTGTTTTATCTTTTTTCGATTTTAGGTACACCAAGCCTTTGTGATGTTGCCACTATAGAAAATCTGATAAGTGATGTATACAGGATTTGTGATATAGAAGGAGATATTGAAATAAGTCTTGAAGCAAACCCTTCAGTTGAAGATATGTCTAAGCTAAGGTAAATATCCATTTTACAGACTTATTACATTACCACATTGATGTGATGTTTCAGCTTCTAATGGCAGTATTTAGGACGGTAACGGAGGAGACAAATGCCCTTCTGAAGTCAAACAGCTGGCAATGTTGCACCATAATAATTCACCATAAAGTACCATGCTTTCTATACAAGAATCAATAAAGGAAAGTCTTTAATGGCTGCTACAAGCAGTATGGAACTACTTGTTTGAGCTAATAATCAAAAATCAATTTATTATTAAAAAGTCCTAGGGTTATAGGGTCCCAAGGTCATTTGCTCTGGTCTGTTGCATCTTTGTATAATAAAATATGCTTATGGGCTAATGACTTGAAAAAGAGTGTCCCTAGGCTTTGGGAAAAGTTTTGGGAATCCACTGAAAACTAGAAAGTTAAGACATGTTAGGTTTACTGAGAGCCCACACTATCTTCCTTGGAGCAAAACCATAGCAAAAAGAAAATATAGGGATTGAAAATGAGGTCCAAGAATAGGTTTTCTAGAATGTTTCCTTGCATGCTACAATCACTCCCTTCTCCTGGATGCCCTTTCAGCTTCTTTTTTACATTAATGGTGGTATCCAACACCACCCCATAATATGAAAAGGATAAATGCAAATGGCATGCACTACTCTTTGTAGACCATTGAGGGGTAGCACCTGTCAGCCCCAATAAGTGCTATGGAGTGAATGTTATTTATACATTTATTCCGTTTATCAATAAGCTACCTTTTATGGGACTCCTTTCTTTTCTCAGGTCATTCAGGGCTGCTGGAATCAACAGAGTTTCAATAGGAGTTCAGGTATTCTGGTCAACTATCATAATTTGTAAAGTCACTTTTGTCCAAAAACTAGGTTGATAACCTGTTGATTAAAATCACCTTGGTTTTTGTTTCTTTAAAATTTCAGTGATATGAAAATTTGAGGAAAGTAACAGGGCCCACGCAACGAATTTAAAGTGGGGGGGGGCAAGGCTAGCAAAAGTAGGGGATCAAGGCTTCTTTATCCTTTTACTGCAGCTTTAAACTTGCTTTGCAAAGAAGTAGGGGGGCCTTGGCCACCATGTTCCCCTGGTTCCCCCCAGTGGTGTGGGCCCTGAGTAGGTGTTTGGTGTCTTAGGTGTGTTTGGTGTGTTTTGTGTTTGTCTGCGAAATACAATGCCTTTTAGTATCAGTATCAGGTGATTCTTGTTCTTGTGAAAATGAGATTTAAAGATCCCACTATGTGGAGAATGCTTCAGCCGACTTATGATAATAACCTTTGTCAAAGACACAAAAGAATTGCACTTTTTATGTTTAATGTATTGTTCCTAATTGTTTATAAGTATCTGAATTGTATTTTGCAAGTTGATATTTCCTAAAAGTAAATAAGAATTGGCTGTCGATAATCTAATCTAGCTCCTTAAAACATATTTCAGACGCTGTCCTCTTCTTTGAGAAGATGGCTTGCTTTATTAAAGAATATGATTCGCTCAAAATTCAATTTATATCTTTTTAAGGCCCTTGATGATGAAGACCTTGTTAATCTTGGACGTGACCACACTGTGCGAGATGCAATCGAGTGGGTCACTTCTTGGTTTTAATTTATGTTTTAAGAGTATGCCTTGCCAGTCAACGTAGCATCAATTGTTGTCAAAAAGCCATGCTATCGACACAGAGCGTCTGCAACAGCTATTCACTATCACAAATTGTTAGTAAATGACTGGTGAACGTGACTCCACTGTCTCGTTTCAATTCATATCACATAAACGACAAATTTTTACATTAATTTCATTCTTGCATTCCTAAGATGTGGATCGCTGTTTTCTCCTTAAGTCTTTTAGAGTAGCATAGGTTCATAAATATGAACTTGAAATGCACAGAGCCTACATTCACTGAAAACGCAGTATTCTTTCTCGTTGTCATAGGTACGTTGAAGAAGCTGACCGTGTATTTGGCGGTCGCATATCGATTGACTTGATGTTTGGAAGACCTAAACAGACATTACAGAGCTGGGAAAACGAACTCAGACTGGTAAGATGCATACAGGTGATGGGTTTGAGATGGTGCGTTAGGAGACCAGAAGCCCGATGTCTTTAGTTCCTTCTTGTAAAACTAACAAAATTTTCATTTTGAATATGTAAGAGAGTTGATATCATCGGCTGATATTTTTCATATTGACGTTATTTACGCCCCGAGTATTTACGAAAGCAATAGGACCTTTCAAAATAGTGTGCATATTTTTTGTGCAGCCGTTGGCAATCTTTTTGACAGAACTTTTATTAAGATTGAAATCAAGGTCTAATTTCTCATCTCGCATTGATGCAGATACATCGGTACTCCAATACCGTTTAGAAGCGAATAAACAAAACCTTACTTTTCAAGTTTTTCCAAGAATAATCTACATTCCCCCCCCCCCTTCTATGTAACCAACGATGCTAATGATATAGCATAGTCTTATAAATGTTACAAAGTAGGTAACTTTTATTACATGCCTCAAATTAACGTAATTATGTCCATAATTGTCAGACCTTTTAGCATAGTTCTCACATTGAGGAGTTTAGGTGTAGGGACATATACTGAACTTAGCTCATATACTTCAGTGAATTATCATTGTTTGCATAAATAGATTCAACATTGGCATGATTTGCATTTATCATATTGGTACGACCAATTTGCAAAATACGTTGAACCGCTACATCATGTGTATATTTTGCTTCTTTTAGGCATTGGAGCTTGCTGATTCACACATATCTTTGTATCAGCTAACAATGGAAAGATCCACACCCATGGAGAAAATGCATCGACGAGGCGAAATTGTATGAAGAATATAAATGTTAAGATTTTGTATCAAATCATCTTTTGCTTTTAAATGAGAACTTTTGATATGGCCATTTCTTAATTGCATGCGGGGAACCAAAATGATCCAGCAAAAGGTGAAATGTTTTGTTTCATGGCTACTTGTAGTCAATCATAACTCTTTCAGGTGCACTACCTAACATCCTAGAAAAAGCGTGTTGCTACGCAGTCAGTCAATTCTTTGAAAAATCACTGCTTTTAAGAAGCCTGTATTTGAAATCGTTGAAAAAAAAGTCAGGGCACCAACCATAGGGAGGATAGGGGTTTTCACTGCGAAATGGCTGAATATTCGATCTGAATCTTGATGGAAAAGATTCCTTCCTGACGCTTCCTCCTAATGATAGAATTTACTTTTACTGTTGTTGTTGATTTGAAAATTGGTCAGCTCTTGTCGACAGTTGTCCCGACTGATGTAACGCCCCCGAAAAATATCATCATTAGGATGGTATTCAGATAACAGGGAACTGTCTTTTTAGATTGAATATCCTTGTAATTTTCATTTTTCTGACCGTTGATTTGATGGATTCATTGCATATGATCCAGTTTGCCTCAATATATCAGGTATAGAATGAACAAAGCATTTTTATTCTTTCGCTAATCAAAATTGTTATTCTTAACAATTGTAGCTAAAGTGCAGTGTAGCTAAAGAATTAGTCTTGCAAATTTTAACAGATATGTCAGTTTATAGATTCGTGTAACTTTTATAAATATGCTAACTTTTGTTAGTATTATGCAGGTTCTACCAGATAAGGATGTCATTGCAGACATGTATGTTCACAGTGTACAGGTAGCATTTCTTCTATGTTTGAATGTAGGTCCTTCAATATTTTATTATCAGGGCCTAGTTTAGTCATACCTTATCGGCCACAGAAATTTAGGTAATGTCTTAAATAATCTATGACTTTCTTTATTGAAAGTTTAGGAAAATCGCAGTTCAGTTTACTCGGGTGTTTCTATGAGTTGTTAATGTAGGTCATATTCAAGTCAGTTTGAAGAGGTTTTTTTATTCTATAGCACATCGAGAATTCTGGTTTGAAAAGATACGAAGTGGCGAATTTTGCAAAAAAGGTAACATACTTAATGCTCTAGCTCAATAATCTCTTAAAATTATAAGGCATTTTAAATTTTTTTTGTCATACAAATTTTTGTCATCTCTGACTTCAATTTGATTGTGTGAACCTCTATTTGCAGTCTTTTCACGTTGGTTTCAGGGCTTTGAAAGCAAACACAATATGGCCTACTGGGGAGGGCACCAATACATGGGAATAGGCCCGGGTGCGTGAGCAATCTATATTTATTCAATGCCTATGACTCTGTTCACACGATACTGGATTCATTTCGTATTCGGGTCTGTTTTCATACAGGATAGGTATTCTTCTGTTCACACGCTTTAGTTTGAGTCCTCGTTTTAGGGTGCAGAACAGGACGGTTTAAATCTAAAAAAATCTACAGAATTTTAAGTAATGATTGCTACAAAGCAAGTTGATTTGTAGTCTGGTCGAATTGTGGCTTGACCTAGAATTAAATGCTACATTAGCAAACTTGATACCATTCAAATCGAAATTTAATGAAGAAAAACATATTGAGAGTAACATGAAAAGAAACTGTTTCAAAGAATTTCTCGACATTTTCATCGTTCAGCAAGTATATGTTAATAATGTTGTTAATGTTAATAAGTTTGTATGTTTATTATAATGAAAAATTTTCCGTCAAATTATATATATCATGTGCTGATTAGAGTTTGTATTTTAGTTGTTTATTAAGGTGTATTTGTTAAGGTTGGCCGAATGTTTATAGTATGTTTCTTGATCAGGGGCTATACGAACTGCCTCTTCTGCCACTATAAACTGTTCATGACTTCGATTGTATCATAGCGTAGATTTTTAAAGTCATTAGATATATTTTGAAGTAATTGTAGCTTAGGTATTTGCTCTATAAGTACTTTGAGGATATTTTAGTTTTTATTAATTGCAATTTTATTATTGTTAAGTCCATTTTATGTTCCTTTGTAGGCGCCCATGGAAGGTTGGTACATTAAAGGGAATTGGCGGCTACTAAAGGAGCTTCTGCCTTCTTTTGGTCAATTGACGAATCAGTAGGCGTGATTCCACTCACACGCTCGCTGATTGGCTGATTTTGATTGACAGATGGCTTAAGCCTCTTCTATATTGATTTTAGTCGAATAGGATCGATGTTTACGTTTGTTGGCTAACACCTCTGTTGGCTTAGGACCGGTTTTATGTATCTTCTTTAGAATATATGAAGTGAATGTTAAATGATTCATTACTGAAGTATTATTATAAAAGTATCTAAGGAAAAATCGACTTTTTTAATGATTTAATATATTAAATTTGACATTATGTTATCAAAATCTGTATAGGATCCATCGAAATGATAATGGACTTTTACAGAGATATGCAACTGTCCAGACTCTAGTGCCTGAAAAATGGATGACTAAGGTCGGTATAGTAGTCACTTTCTAACCAAAATCACATGCTTGTGTAAGAATAGAAAGAGAATATTTCAATCTGAGCCTTCATGTTCGTGTGATCTTGTTTGATGTTCATCCACAAACTCGCAAACTCAAGCAAAAAAGGGGATTTGAATTTGCAGAATTGATTTGTATATTGTTGTTGGTACAGCCTCTTCAATGATCATAGGTCGTTGAGCAACGTAGAGGGGGCTTTATTAACTGTTAGGACACTCGCATTGTAAGGTGTAAGAAGCGAAGAGTGCTTTGATATTATCAAGTTTAATGTGCAAGTGGTAAGATATTGCATATTGCTAGGTGGCTGCTTGCGAACAGGCATTTCCCATTAAATAATGACATGCACATAGAATTGATAGAAATTGCATAGAGCTTTCGCTACTATTATGTGACTGTTATCTTGCTAGATCGAGGAAGGTTATAGTGGGATGCAGAAAATGGAAAAGCTTGAAAAATTACAGACGTGAGTACCCCCTCATTCTGCATTAGTTCAAAGAATTTCTTAAACCAGGTATGCGGGATGTAAACTCTCTTGATGTTTAATTCCGCAATTATTAATACGCAACAGCTGATATGCAAACTTATAAATTCCACCTTTTCATCAACATTTAGGAATTTAATTTGGTAAAATCACAAAATCTTTGTTTAGGTGTTTATTTAAAATCTCTGCAGGTCTTCTCATCATTAGCAGCTTTTGAACTTAAATATTTTTATATGCATCAAGATTCAGCAATTCAGATATATCAAGCAAAATATTTCATGATTTACAGGCTCGAGGAATTGCTTTTGCAAGGCCTGACATCTAAAGATGGCGTTGAGCAAGAGGTATTCAAATTCTTATTTGCATTTTTATGTATTACTTGCATGTTTTCTGCTTCCACTACAGTATTATTGCAAGCTTATTTCAAATATTATACAGACTTTTTGGTAAAAGTGTCTTAATTTGTTGGTTATTTGGCAGTTTTTTTCCATTTTTTCACTTTTAGCATTAGAATAAACACCACACCGGTGGCTGTTCTATTATAATGTAATTTGCTTTGCTAAACCAACTCTTCAGCCAACCTTCTTTAACTCCCTTCATTTGACAGGAAACGAGACCAGCCACTTCACCTGAAGTCAAAAATTTAAAGTCCTTATTCTAGCATCATTACTGTTAAAATATTTCCTTCCATTTTAACTTTATTTTCTTCTCTAGGTTTTCAGTGCATTTTCGGATGACACGCAGCTCCAAGATTTACTCAACTTCCATACGGTTGTCGACTTGATCAAGGGTGATTTCTTGATTTTGGATAGCAGGTTTGCCTTTCTTTATGTCCCTAGTATAACTTATTTCTAAGAAACATTCTACAAGAAACTCTATATCCACATCTCCACCAATTGAGAAACTTTGCTATGATGTCTTTCTTGCATGTGTCGACAATTAAGAAAATTCTGATGTTGTCATCAAGCTTTTTAATACTAATCTGCTTTAAAACTGTTGTGCCTTTTAATACTTGCAAAACAACAGTTTTGATTTTCTTAAAATTTTTACTCAAAAGTTAAATGAAGAAATCTGATAAACTAGAGTTTTCGTGTTAAAAAAGCTCACATAGAAAGCTTTTTGCCAAAATTGGGCAAAAAATGAAGAACTCACTTGCACAAAGATCTTGCAAAGATACTTTTAAAACAAGAAAGGTTTTATACTCCTTGTTCATTACGAAAGATGCTCTGAAAATTGTGGTCTGATTGATAGATTGTAATTAAAACTTAAACGTACCTTTACCTCATTGTCCTCACTCTTTATATTTGCTTGTTTACATTGTGAGCACGTGTCTTACTTCGAACGATAGGTAGTACTATAGACTAGCATCATATATTAAACTGCTTTGCTTTTTTACAGGGGCCTTCGAGCAACAGACACAGGCCTGGGCGTTTTAGATTCATTCTTGCCTGACATATGCCTAGCACTGGAGGATTTAGTCATCCAACGACACACATAGGAACATCAACAAGCACGAATGACAACAATGTACTTCCTACAGTAGAGTTGCCCGCCATTCTACATTAATTTTTTTAAGAAATAGAATATCAATTTTAATAATTTCAGCCCCAATATCTAAATAGCCTTCAGTTTCAAATAGGTATTGGTGTGCCTTTTCTTGAAAACGTTTTCATTGACAAGTACAGTGCCTTTTAACCCCCCTTCAACAGTGTTGTGCTTTAATGTTTCTTCTTCATTCCCCTTCACCCTGGAACAACGTTAAGTTAAGAAAAATATCATAGAAACGACACACAAAGATATCCTTACTTATCTCTTACTCCGTTTTAGTTAACAAACATTGTTCCCACGGGAAGTGGTAGGTACCTGAATTTCCAAAGTGACTGCCGAAACAATTAACTTGAACTGAACCATGAACTGAATTTCTGTCTGTGTTTTAATTTATACTTTGGTTTGATTTTTTTCGCAAAAATTTTACCGGGAAATATTTTAACCAAAATATACTAGAAATTTGTGAAGAAGCTAACGAGCTTTTGTTTAGCAGCTTGGAAGTGATTTTGATAAGCTACCCTCGACTTAGCTCCTGCCTCAAAACTGCCCGAATTAATAAGTACTTCAAAGAGACACAGTACTTCAAAAGTTCTATTTTAAAATGTGTAGTGGCTCGAAGTCCCCATCTTCCCCAACCTTTCAGGTGTTTATTAACTATTGAGAACCTTCGCAAAGGCCAGTAGTTTTTTTAGTGATGTAGCCTGTTTTTGTCTTTTTCAATCTTTCAATTTTTAATGTATCAAATTAAATTAGGCTTTAAGAAAATAAATCAAATCGACCACATATTTTATTTAAAATTGTTCCTATTATCAATAGGTGATAGAAAGTATTGAATATTTTATTTCAATTTTATGTCAACTTCTTCTACGTCGATGCATGTATAATTTTTCTATCATATTGCTGGTAAAAATAATTAGAAAATATAATTTTATACCAGCAAAAATGGCTGGATCACAGTGTAATAGAGAGCCAAAGAAACACCCATTTTAAAGATTTATGCAATAGAAACAGTTTCAGCCAAAAAAGGCTACATATTTAAACTTTTGTTTCTCATTCTCTTATATTCATAACATTAGCTGTATTTTCTTATGACCAGTTGTCATTAGTGGCAGCACCCCAGTCAGCAGCAGGTTGTTCAGCTGAAGCACCCCATTCTCTGTTTCCACCAGCCTCTGCACCCCATTCATCAGTAGCTTGAGGAACTGTGGCAGTAAATGCAGCAGGTGCTTGGAATCCAGTAGTAGTGGCTGGCTCAGCACCCCACTGAAAGGAAATACAATAAGAATGATGCCTCATCTTATCCTATACTCATCTTCATACTTATCTACATCAATTTTTTTCTACTTCCATTAATTCATGGAAGTGTAAAGAAAGTGCGTGCAAATTGACTACCCATTAAGAATTACCATATGAGTTGTTAGAGCAGTCATAAACTCCACATGCAAAAACATATGTGATTGATTTTCACGTGACACGCTTTAATTGTTGCAAATAACTTTGTGTATGGCACTCGAACGTGGCTAATGATGCAATTTTTGAAGCACAGATTATACATAAGGCATGTCCCTTCTTAGACTCACGAGGAAACATTATAAGTTTATCCAAAATGGCATGCAACTACAATATGCAGGCTTAAGCGATGTAAAAACAAAGAAAACTGCTCAAGTTACTATCAATGGTATATTCACTTAAACACTTCAAAGGAGCTCAATGTTTGCAAAACACCAATAATCAGAAGAAAAAAATATTGACTTCTTATGACATTCTTTATAGAGTGCATGCATATTATCAGCTTTATCCTAACAATTTACTTGACTTTCAACTTACATCTTGAGTTGCAGCAACACCAGAGCCCCAGTCTGCAGTCTCAGTTGTGGCAACAGTTTGATCTTGTTGGTAGCCCCAATCAGTTTGGTAGACTTGGTCATCAACTTTGGCATCAGCTTTGGCTGCAGCAGCTTGCTGTTCCTCCTTTTCAATCTACAAATAAATCAAATTTTAGAGATGAAATTTCATAATTATGTGTCATAAAAATGAAAAAAACATCTGTTAAACCATTTTGGGTTCGAGAATCTTGCTGGTGAACTAGATATTTGCATCACAATAAAAATTGGTATTTTGAATAGCTTTCAATAGTCTAAATGGTTCAAAATATTTTCATTATTCTAACTGACTTTTCAAACAGGCAATCTTCACAACAAAGGCAACATCTGGTTAAATGTAAAAACAATAAAACTATGTATCTAATTTAACAATAAAGATAGGAGAGTATGTTGTCCTCAAGTACAAAAAAGGATGGATAATTGTGGCAAGACTCAAATCTAACTACACCATCATTGCTGCAAAATGGGTGGTTTCTTCTATGAAAATTCATTTCAGGTTCAGCTTTTTCAGGTCATGAACAAATTTCTTCATGATTATAGTTCATATCAAATTTGAGAAATGTACCTCATCTGGGTCTCTGTAGAAGTACAGATCGGGCATGACTTCCCATGCTGTTTTTCGGCTAATTATTCCTCTCAGTCTGAGAACTTCCCTTGCAAGCATCCACCACATAACACCAATAGAGTGAACACCCTTGTTGTTGCATGGAATAGCAACATCAACATATCTCAGAGGAGAATCTGTGTTGCAAAGGGCAACTACTGGGATGTTGACATATGATGCCTCAGTGATAGCCTTTAAAAAAAATTCAATCTCTAAAAATCATGAAAGAAGCTTGACTAACAGAAGTTATGTTAAATGTATACCACAACTGTTGAAAGTGGTGACTGGAACAGCTTTAAGGTTAAGTGGGTTGACTTCCAGTCTTCTGATAAAAATTTAACAATGCTTTATCTTTATATGTCTTTCTATAAATTCTAAAACTGGAGGCTGCTGTGCTTCCTTTACAAATCGAGTGTTTCAATATTTTTCTAACTCTTGGCCTTTGAGCCACTAGTGCATTTTTAACTTCCATAACAGGCCCTTTTGAAAAAAGAACAATACATATATATCAATACAGTTTATAGTACACAGTCCAACATTGCAAACAAATGGACAAATAAGCATCAAAATGTATATATATATAGTAACATGCGACTATCTGGTTTTGTGCAGCAAAACAGGAATTTAGGGTAGCTATGGAAAACAGGAATTCAATTTTCTTTTTTAAAATTTTGGCACCATAGAAATTACCTGATGATCGCTGTGTGGGTCTGTGACAACAAGGAGACGTGGCTCTCTGAAAGCCTTTTGGATTTGATTGGTGAATGTTCCTGGTGTAAAACGTCCAGCAATTGGATTTGCACCAGTTGCTTGGGCAAACTTAAGGACAGCACGCTGAAGAAGAGCGAAATATCATGTAGAAAAAAGTCACTTGCTTGACACAAACAATACTTTACGGATAGTGAATACATTGTGATAATATGTTAAAATTACATAGCAAAGTCCTATAGCTATGAACTTGCATGTTCTACAATAGATTATATGATATACTTTATACATGTTTATGTACCGATAAAGCTCTGTCATAAAGAAACAATATAAATGAAGAAACTTTGCTAATTATTTTTTTTAAGAAACTAGTTGTACTAAAGCTAGAGCTGAGAAACAGCAGGGCAAAATATATATAAAAACATACAGTTCCATAGGGTCTTGAGGAGATGACACAAACATCTTCTGGATTCTCAATGCCTGCAATAATCCTAGCAGCAAGAACCAACTTCTCCCATGTTTTTCTCAAGTTAATTATGTGGATACCTTTAAAAAGTAATAAGATTTAACATCCAAAGCTACTTGCATCAAATAAAACAATTTTGGATACACTGAGTCTATGTTTCTGGTGAAACCCCATGCCATTAGATGTGAGGGCATTACAAAGTGTACTTCCTTGATAACTATATAGTTTATATAATTAATTTACCTAATAATTTATCTTACGAGGTACCTTATGAATGTTTGGCTATATTTTTCATTTACTCTTTTTATCAAAGGTAAACAATTGGTGGTTTAAAACCCACACAACTTCGACAAAATTTGTGTCTTAAAACAAAGCCAGAAATATAAATTTAGAAAAAAATTAGCAATTACACATCATTATCACTACAATGTTAAAAGAAAAAATGAAAAAGATAGGCATACCATCTGGCTTTCGTTTGTAGACATAGCTGACCATTTGGAAGTTGACATTGGTAGCACCAAGGTGAGTGCCACTGGCAAGAAACTTGACAACATCTGACTTATCTAACTGTAATATATCAAGTGAACCCGACATCTTGTAGTTGTTCCGGAAATGAAGTTACGATGGACAACCTGAATAAACATATCAAAGTTTGGGTGAAGGTCAATTTTTTTACGTATATATGAAAGTCATGTTTATAGAAATCTCAGGCCTCAGGGGGTTCCAACCATCCATTTATTGGTTCTTGTTAAAACCATACATGGTTACAAGGTTTTGCTATAAACTTCATCAAAATAATGAAGATGGAAATAAGTTAATGAATTCTGGGATCTAGCACAAAGCTCTTTAAATAGCGCAGTGGTTAAGCTAAGAATTTACAATAGCTTTCTCTCATTGGTTCATCTTTAGACACCCTGGCATTAACCTGGTAGCCTTTCATACTTTAATTTTGCGAGTCTTGGGGGTAGAAATTTTTAGTCTCCAAGCACTCCTAACAAAGTAGTGTAGTAATCAATTTGTCACACTGGTTTCTGATTATGACAGCATAGCAGGGTATTGAAAAAGGTTTTGTGGAAATAGCCAAAAGTAGGTCTTGTTTGATTTGGGAAATTTCATCTGCAAGAGACAACCCCTCAAGAAATTGTCTGCGAGTGGAAAATTTGAAGGCGATTCGTGCACCCTGGTCAAGGGCTTCAGTGAGGAAGCACAGTCCGCTCTTCAAGTTCAAGCACAATATTGTGTTTTATGTTTGCAGCGAGGAAACAACTTATATGAAGCAGTAAGGTTTCAGGGTTAGTCTATCACGGGTCTCCTTTGAAAAATTTATTAAATATATTCCATTTTAGTAAGGCTTTGTGGCTTGCTGGTGTGGGATAATTATTAAATGTCCCTATATTGACGCAAAGTTGGAATATGTGTCAAAGGCATTCTGATTTCTGAGACTTTGTACAGTAATATTAGTTTAGGCAGCTTAGGGATTTTTGTTTACGATTACATATAAGCTATATTAATTTGTTTCATGTCTTTGGCAGAAAAAAGCTTAGAAGTTCCCATTACTTACTTTAACGTGAACGCCACTGGGTTGTAAAAGGCTAAATTCTAGTGACATGTGAGGTTTTGATCTGGCAGTAATGCAATGCGCGAATATAGTTTTTGATTACGAGACCAGAACATAATGGTGTTTACTGACTACTACTACTCGAGATTAAATTTCGTGGTCAAAATGTTGTTCTGGTAGCATGCTTAGATTAACAAATTTCATTGTTCAACCAACATTTTTTATGGAGAGGAGACTTTATATTTTTCGCCATTTATTTGGCAAGGCAGCTGTATCGGCGATTAGAAACAATAGAAGACACAATCTTTTACTAGCCGTAGGTATCACTGAACATAAACGGCCTAAAAGTGATATTGTACAAACGCCTGTTGATAGTAAAATTGCCCGGACTTCAGAGAAAGAGAAAGATGTTCAAGTTTCACACACCATGAAACACCTAATGAAAGGTGAAGACAAGTTTGCAAAAATCAAAAGAGTTAGTTTTTTTCGTGGCAAAATGGAACAAAGAATTGATAAGCGTCATATTCTTGCCTTTGAAAATGCACTAACGGAGGAAAGGACTAAAGAAGGATTTGTACGTGTTGTTCACGACTTTTTGGCCAAGGATAGACTGAAAAGAGGTCATCTTAGTTTTGTTAGCACGTCTCTGAATTACATGGATTCATTTGGTTTACACAAAGACCTTGATGTATACAATGAAATTTTAGAAGTTTTCCCAAAGTATGTTATTACTAACAAGACTCTACTGGATGCCCTATGGCCTAAACCCCATCCACAGATTGATATTGCTCTAGATTTACTAACTAAAATGGAGGACAATGGCATCAGGCCAGATGACTTGACATACACAATTTTGTTAGAAATATTTGGCAAAGCAGGTCTCCCAGTCCAGAAAGCTCAACGAATGGCATATTGGTTTGATAAATACCAGCACGCTAATCCTTATCTTGTTTCAGATGAAGATCTTAAGGATAGGTTTAAGCTTTGCAAATTGGCACTTACAAGAATGACTATGGATGAAGAAAATATCAAAGTGTACACATGTGAGGTAAGAACTGCCAATTCTTACTTGGACAGTTAGAGTTAGGCCAGTCTGCATTGCTTGAATTTAGCCCAAGGAAGTCCATTTTAGAGTCAATTCTTGTGCATTTGAGGCACAGGTCCAGAGAAACACTTGACTGGAACAGGAAGAGGAGATAGGGGGGGGGGCACATCCACAGGAAAATCTTATAAGACTAGCCCTTTAGATGAGCAGATATTGCTTCTTTTTACAGACTATTTAGCAACACCCTTAAGATATTTTATACTTTTAATCAATTATTTAAAACAACTGACATGAGTAGAGCAATATAGATATATGTCGCAGGTGCACCTGGAAGCTAATTTGATGGGGCAGGGTAGATCTTCCCCCCGCATTACAAGGAATGGAGCCTACCTCTTAGGCCTAAGTCATACACCATCCATGTATCAATTTTCAGATTGATCTACCAAAGTTGTTACGATAAAGCAGCACTTTTTCCTACATTGTTGATTTCCTACAGTATTTGCTAATACCTAGCTTCCCGAAGGTAAGTCTTAGGCCCCTGAGAGCTGTGCTTATTAAACAGTAGCAATATTAAACAGCTCTTAGGTCCATGACTTATAATTTGAGCCCATTCTGTTGAACCTAAGCAGGGCTGTCTCACTAAGGGGGTGCAGCCAGCACCTTTCTAACACTAAGTATTTCATGAATTGCATCATAATTAGGGTACAGTAACCAAATTTGAATAAGTAAGAACAGGTCAAAAGAGATCAGGCAAATGTAGTTAACTATGGTAGATTTAAAAGCAAACTTTGATGAGTGTCTGGCATCTGTGGGGATGATCCCAATTTGAAATTGATGATTTGCCAAATATTGCAAATGTAACAAAAAATAATCCAAATGTTAAATATCACAAGGAAATACATGGAAAAATTAAAGATCACAAAACTAGCTCTGTTACTTCTCCCAATGCTTAACAGTTATTCCACTAAAATTGAGATAAGGAGCTTTACCTATTTCTATTACTCAATAAATTCAATTTTTATCCGGTTTTGTCCACTTTAAAGTGGGTGGCAGGATTCACACTTACTCACTATAACTGAAGTCTACTTTCTGTCATTATCCGAAAATTATGCTCTGAAGAGTGTTAAGGACGAAATGTTCTTTAGTATGCAATTTTCTGCTATTTCATTCCAACATTACTTTAATTTTGAATACTAAATTCAATTCTTGATAATTAATAATTATAATTTTTGTAAAAATTAGCATTGATCTTATAGCCAGACAATTTTTTTCTATTTGGTTTGTTGAAATATTTGATTTTGGCAAACCTAATGCTTGTTTCAGCATAAGCATTTCAGCATATTTTTATTTGTTTCCTTTTTGAATGGTTTCAGGATGATCCTGGCAGTATTTATAAAAAGTCATTTATCATTGGATGCCAGAATGAGGAACAAAGAGAATTTCTTGCAACACATGATGCATCAAAAACACTTTATCTAGAAGGACCATACCATATCTGGATGAATCATATAAAGGAACAATATTACCTACTTAGGTCCCAACCAATTGATATGGAAAACCCAATAACACATGAAGATGATACAAGAGTGCGCGAAGGTATAGCTTATATCCTCATTGTTTAGAAACTTTTTAAGTTTAAATGAATCAAGAATGATTCAAGAGAGGTTGCTAGATATTTGCAAATTTATGAATAATTGAATTCTAAGACAGTTTGAATTTTTGAGGCAAATTATGAATCTTTGACAATCTTGGTAACATGAAAGAGGACAGAAGAGATGCAGCGAAATTAACATACTCAATAATTTAAAGATATTATGTACAAATGATATGAGTTTGCAGTAGGCAAACAAAAAGTACTTTTCCATGTGTTTTGCATGTAGTTATGTTTTTCTCAATGTCTTCTTTTTAATTTTGCTATTTAATCCCATCATCCAGGTATGGTTGTTGGCCTATGCATGACAAATAAGTCAGTGAAAGAAGCATTGCAAAGTTGGTTAGTCCATCTGCAAGAAGACAACCCAAGACTGTCTAAGTTTAAAATAATTTTTAATGTCAATGTTCAAGATGAAATTGTCACTTTCTAAATAGATTAAGAAGAAATAAAAGCCATGAGTGTTTTTGCTTTTGTATGAAAAGTGATTTCTATTTTATGGTTTATGAAATAATATTGCGGGTTGAATCTGAACATAGAGTTGCTCTCTTTAGAAGGCTTCTTTTGACCTTAGGAATTTTCATATTTGGTTTTGAGGTAACAAATTACCATTTAATGTAGCAAATGTAACACAGAGAATGCTAATTTATACTAAAAATAAGCGTAAGAAACTTGAAGGTACTAGGGAAAGTTTATGCTTGAAAAATAGAGATAACTATTTAAATTTAGTTGAGAAGACAAAATATAAATATCTTTGTGTTCAAGTTGACAATAGTCTCAATTGGAAAAAGCACATTGAAAGACACTCTGCCAAAGTATCTAGAGCAATTGGTATTTTTAATTACACAAAGGTTTTCAAGTTTCTTCCTCTAAATTCCCTAAAAACACCTTTATCTAGCAACGTTGAACCCCACATCCACTACTGTTGCACTGTATAGGACTGTTGTGGCATTCCTGAAATCTCAAAACTTCAGAAGCTTTGAAACAGAGCTGCAAGTTTCATAACAAATATCAGCTTTGCCGCCTCTAGCAAACCCCTGTTTTAGAATCTAGGCCGGAAAACAGTCAATGACATGATTGAATAACCATGATACCGAAGTTAAGAAGGCAACGTCTCTTAGAAAATTTAAAACTTTGCTCTAAAAATTCTTTGTTTAATATCATACTTCAGACTTTTAGCTGTTCTATGTATATATATTTAAAAAAAAATTGACACATTAAAGGAAATAGAAAGGAAAAGATTGTAAGAGAGTATAAAAATTGCGATGGTAGGGGAGGTTAGAAGGGGTTGGATAGCATATTCTATCATGTTTAGATCTATTGTAACAATTTTTTATTTTATTCTATATTATGTTAGGTTTTCTTTAATTTTAGACGCATGGCCCCTTGTGAACCAGCACTCTGAATGGGCTATCATGTTTAAATGATTGAAAATGTAAATGTAAAAATATAAATTCATTAAAGGGCTAAAACAACAAGAAGGGCTTTGGCTACGTGAAACTTTGAAAATATCGTAATTTGAAGGAAAGTTGTCTAAGAGAACCCAGTTGCATGAAGATAGGCAGGAAAAGTGTTAGGGTGCTTGTGGAGTCTCAGGGGCCGATAGAAATTCCTATAATCATTCAGGATTTCAAGCAACAGAAATTGAACTTCAAGTCAAATTACTTATTTCGAAAACCAGTTTATGATTAGAAGGATAGGTGCACAATCCTGAGCAAATTTTTAATCAAATGAGAATTTCAATATGCAAGGTTATAGGACCCATTTTGTTGGAGCGCTTGGTCCCAAAATGCTCCGTGATTGGAAGCGAACTACTTTTAATCGTCCCTGTGCTGTAGTGGATAACAATATTGCCTCTTGCCCAGAGGTGGCGCCAGAAATCTTCCGACAGAGGGGCTGGAGCTTCCGACAGGGGGGCTAAAATGACTGAAATAAGCAGTTTTCGTACGTTATTTTGTCAAATTTGCTCCGACAATAACCTAAAATTTCCTCCGATGGGGGGCTAGATGCTTCCGACGGAGGGGCTGTAGCCCCCCTAGCCCTCCCCTGGCGCCATCACTGCTCTTGTCACAGTGGACAGACATGGACATACCGGTTCGTGCCCAACGCTTGAAAAATATAAGAAGATAGATATCAGATAAATTGGCAGGAAGGCCCAGGCAGAGTCTTTAGAACTTTAGAAAATCACGGAGCTTTATAAATGTGATTGTATACTTGGGTTTTCGAGAAACCCCCAAAAAATTTCTTCTTATTCGTACAACCTTGTCAGGTACACCTTTCGTCAAAACGGTTGTATGCATAACAGTATACCTTTTTGTTTACGAAGAATTGAGTACACTATGTATTTACATATATATAAATATATAGAGACACTTTTCCGTAACTTTTTTGCTATGCAAAGCATGCTCGTTTTCCTGTAATTAGGGTACCGATTTCTATCGCTTGCGGCCACGAAATGATGTTGACTCAAGCTCCTTACCCTGGGTACCAGACTCACTTCTATATACGGTACCCAGGCACCAATGTTAACCTTTTCAAGGCCATCGGAAGCGGGGCGAGATAATTGTGTGCAGCCCCCCGCCCCAATATAATTTCGTTCCGACGACACTGGGCCTTTTCTGCCTTTAAGCCCCGGCAAAATATCTGGACATTTGCACTGGTCACACACTGGACATTGCTCACTTGTTCAGAGTATGGACATCAAGAAAATATTGGTGGTGGCGTGGCAAAACGACTGAACATTGTCCAGTGAACTTTGTCCCTGTTGAAGAATGCGGGTGGGAAAACTGGCAACAGGGCATCTCTTTACCTTTGAAAATACACTTTTCATAGCCCTAACCGTGTTATCGTATGAATTAGAGTGTATTATTGAAGAATATCTAGGACTTGTTAGGTTCATTAAAATCACCATACTCGTGCTCTCTACCATCGCTTTCCGAATCATCGTTACTAACGAAATGCCTTTTTCTGCTATTCATCGAATTGAATTTTAACGTGTAGCCAGAGTCGAAACTCAATAAGAGAATACTTCTAGTGGTTACTTGTATGAGATCTATCACAGAATAACCAAAACACAACAAAACAGAATTATATACAAAGGTGGATATTACGTAATGTTCTTAAGGCGAATACCGGGGGTAGATGTAATGCAATAACTATACTCCCTAACAAACGTTGTTTCCATTTCGTTCGCGGTGTTTACTAGGAAAGTTTGTTGAAGATTTGAATCGTCGTTTCTAAAAGACTGAACACTCCAAGAACAGGCTGAACACCCCAAGAACACCCCAAGAACACCCTAAGAACAAGCCATTAAGCCGCTGAACACCCTTTAAAACATATCAAAATCGGCATGTCATTCGAAAAATAATTTGATCAATCAATCAAAATTAATTTTGGGGCGGGAAAGGACCTGATAAGTCTAATGCTGTTGGTGTTGTTACAACCAACTGATGTTTTGCGCGCCAGAAGTGTGAACGGGGGTTTGTACACGCGGAGCAAATTCGAGTTTGACTCCCTTTGTGCATTCAAGCAAATTCCCGTTGTTTTGAAAATCTTTCACATCCTGTGACAATGTAAAAATACGACATGTCACTTGACTACCTATTGTCTTCCAAACAATTGTTCTTCCCGTCCGCTAATTTGCCCAAATGGTCACGCTATGCTAGTGCACGCTAGCTAGTTACTAGTTTACCAGTGCAAGCAGAACGAGACACAGCTCCTCTCTTGACGTCTCCAGCGGGTGCACTCGCAGGCTGGAGAGGTTTTTTATAAGGAATTTTTCGACAAATGAAACAGAAAATGCACAGTGTTGGACTTGTTAGAGGGTAGCAGCAGGACCACAGTTTGCGACTTAAAAGAGGGCTTAGGAGGGGCACATTTTTGGGGCCCGTGCTCGAATGGGGTCATGATAATCTCACTAAATCCTCGAATTGGCCCCCACCCTAGAACTACAAATTATTAATAAGCCCCCACTGCTGCCGTTAATGCTCGAATCGGACCCCTCAGTTTGCTGGTTTTTGCCATCTAAGGTTGCCTTTGGCGCTTTTTCTTAAGTACCGCAAAAATTCATACTTTTGGTAATAATTGATTAAATGCGCATAAAAAATTACTACTAAAATAAACGAAATCTTTTAATAATATCTTCTTAATGTCTTCAATAATTTTATAAGCCCCTCCCCTCGTATAAGTCGAAGAACCCACCTGGAATAAGCCCCCATACAAAAAATATCAAAAATGAATAAGCACCCATGGGGGCTAACTCGAGGATTTACGGTATGTATGTGGCAGAAATTGCGTTGGTTTTGGGGCAAACGCCCCCAAGCTTTTGCTTAGTCGTCGGTTAAGGCACAGTTTTAAGCGCTTTTATCGGAAAACTGTTTGTTTTTGTGGGTGTTGCGGTTCCTCTTACCTTCCTAGGCAACTATATATTGTAAAAATTATTAGTTACATGGACTGATATAGAAACTGTAGCTAACCTGCAAGATGAAGTTTTTCCTCCAATGGAAGTTTGACTCCAATGCACAAAGGGAGTCAAACTCGAATTTGCTCCGCGTGTACAAACCCCCGTTCACACTTCTGGCGCGCAAAACATCAGTTGGTTGTAACAACACCAACAGCATTAGACTTATCAGGTCCTTTCCCGCCCCAAAATTAATTTTGATTGATTGATCAAATTATTTTTCGAATGACATGCCGATTTTGATATGTTTTAAAGGGTGTTCAGCGGCTTAATGGCTTGTTCTTAGGGTGTTCTTGGGGTGTTCTTGGGGTGTTCAGCCTGTTCTTGGAGTGTTCAGTCTTTTAGAAACGACGAGATTTGAATATGGGAAATGAATTGACGCCAAATCAAACCATTAATCAATTGCGCTTTCGCGAACTGGACAGTGTTCAGTAGAGTGGCAAAACGACTGAACAATTTCTGTACAACATCAGTGAACAAAATAAAACTAATTCTGTCCACTGAACATTTTTGGCTGCCTTCAAAATCGACTGAACAACACTCAACATCGCTGAACAAGACTGGACAAGGTGGCAAAACGACGCAACATTTACGCTGGACATTTGTCCAGTGCATGTTCAGTGAAAATGTCCAGTCGTTTTGCCGGGACTTTAGACGGGATTTCTAAAGCAAAGGAAACATTTTATTGTAATTCTTTCTAATCTCAATGGTTGCATAGAATTTTAGCAGGCGGCTTCTTGGAAGCGATGCCGAGAACAATGCGAAGGTATCCTTGAGGATTTAATTTTCATTGCCTTTTGATTTAACACACTGGCACCGAAATTCAGGCTTTGTCTGTTGCCAAGTCATGCGACTCTAATGAAACTGTTTAATCACCTTGTGACTATTGTAGAATGCACATGAATATTGGGATTTACAAGGGACCTGTAACATTTGCGTTTCTACAAACAATCAATTGCAGTTTCAATTCCTGTTTGATGGAATCGTGATTATCGATTTGGTGTGAAAAACTCTGAGTCATTGGACGCTGGTTTCTGTCTTAAGATGATATCATTTGGAGAATTTTGTGTGTACGAAATAGGCCCTCGAATTGGTTAACCTTTCTTGCATGGATTTCATAATTGAAGATTGACTTGCGAAGTTTTCCAGAAAATCTGAATAAATCAACAAACTCGGACACCACAAAACGACATTTGACTGCGAGATGGAGTTCGGAACATACTGTGTTAATCGAGAAACTTTTGGAATTTCAATTAATAAAGAAATACTGAAACCAGTGAACACAACAAATTGTTCTATGTTTCATGACAGCAATAACAAAGACCTGTTTTCGCTTCCTTTGCGAATTGTCATCGGTGTGTCCTGGTTAATAGTCGTCTTGATTGGAACTGTGGGAAATACGTTAGTCCTCTTCGTTATTGGCTATGTAAGATCAATGAGGACCATTCCGAACTGGCTTTTGTTTAATCTTGCAATCGCAGATGGCCTCATGACAATCATCGCCTTGCCGATCCTTGGTTTATTTCAAACCGTGTACTACCCCGTCTGGGAGATGCCGTACTGGAGTTGTTACGTACTGAACTGTTTCACTCACATCGGTGCCCTTGCATCTGGTTCATCTTTAGCAATCATTTCAGTACATCGTTTCATAATGATCAGGTAACTGCCTAATAAATAAATTTCTTAACGCTCTTCCCGCCTCCCCCCCCCCCCCCCCCCCCGCTATTCTATGTCTGTACTGTCGAAGATTTGGAAAGTTCTTTCTTTCCTTTTTTTCATTACAAAATAACACAGTGGAATTAACAAGATTCAAAATTGCAATGTGGTTTCATTTAGAGATTCTAAAAGACATTACCAAAATTCAAACTATACTCTCCTCTATTTTGAATAATATCTCCATTCTATTCCAAATCCCGTTAGTTGTTACAGGAGCGTAACAGGACCCGGGACCCTACGGAAAAAACTGATACGGGGCCCCTATTTACGGACTGCCCCGGACTGCGCAGATCTAACTCTTGGAAACACAATAGCAAGGCTGAAAATGAGAAATTTTTCTCGTTAAGCCTTGGCTAAACTGGGCAACATTGTTGTCCGACAATGTTGCTCCAAATTTTGTTGATTTTTTTGTCCTCGAAACTGGGCAACATTGTCGTGCAGCATCTTTTGCTGATGTTGTCAAAACAGCGCGCCAAATTGAATTGATAAGTGGTTTCAAAAGTTTTGATAAGTATGGCTGAAAGAAAGCAAGCTACAGTCACTGGAAGCTGATTTTGACACATCACAACACCATCGTGGTGCTTAAGCACTCTTTGGTTGAGCACTCGCAGAAGCAGTAGCATTTGGCTGATTTGTTGTTTACAAGAACTATTTTTCCTCTCCATGGTTTCTTCCCATTCTGCAAAATCAACTCTGAAGCTTAGATTTTGACAGGCCATTTAAATTGAATCGAGTTGAGGATATTGTTTTGCAATACAACACTGCGCATGTTGATTTTTTCTCAGATGGGAAATTAAGGTGAATTGTTGCCCGACAATGTGGCCAAACTGGACAACATAGAACTGACCAACAAATGTTGCCGAAAAATGTTTGAGCATGTTTAAACATTCGAGCAACAAATTTCTTAATTAATTTGTCGGCCGACATGGTGGCCAAACTGGAATATGAATTTGTGAATGTTGCTCGACAATGTTGCCCAGTTTGGCCAAGGCTTTAGCTAAGGGGAGCAGAGTTATTCTTAGAAAGTTTTTGAAAAATGAGGTTGACTTGAGCGAAGTCTTAAAAACATGAATAGAAAAATAATTTGGGGTCCCTTTTAGTCGGGAGCTTTTAGTTACAGAACTTAGATGCCCTAAACTGCGTTACGCCACTGGGAATTGTCCCACACTTTTCAGTAAGATATGCTTATTGTTTATAAATGATTACTGAAGATTTTCACTTTATAACACCTCTATTTTGATGCTCACTATCTTTGAAGCCCGTGGTTTTAGTATCTAAGGAGTTCGTATCTAGAGAAGTGGTATGCAGTAGGCACCATACACAACCTGCTAGTAATCTCCTTAATAATTTTCTGTATTTTTTGTATATTCAGGAGTCCAGCTATGTAAAGACAGCCAATTCTGTTAATCAGACTACGGCCTCGATTTGGAAATCACTTCGAACTCCATCGCAGCACAGGGGAAAATTGTATTGCACATGCACGTAAAAATCACAGTATAAAGATTTTATAAGTCAAAAAGCTGCTTTTGGCCGCTTTTTTGCTTATAACAATTTCCCCCGTGCTCTCCATTGCACTTTTTCAGCCCATTCGGGATCTTTTAATCATCTAAGTTATCCCATTGCTTGTGCTTATATCGCACTGTAGGTTTTATTGTGAAATCTTTCACTCAAAGTTGCTTATCATAGTCAAATCCTTTAAAACGAACTGTCATAAAATTAGCAAGCACTAGCACCATGGAAACTTAAGTGTTGACGAAAAGTCTTGTTCTCAATCCGAATCTGAAATCTAAAATTTGGTACAAAGAAGCTTTATGTGTTTTCCAAAACGAGGCTGGAAATTGAACTTGTTTTTACAAGCAAGGTTCGGACTGGGTGTAACAGTGGCTCTTTGACATTGAAGATGGGTCAGGTCAGGTGCTGTTCCGACTATCATTGATATTTATATCCGTAACTTTTCAAGGGGATTTTAAAAAATAGAAAACCAGCACAAACACCCAAACAAACTTACTATATGTTAAATCTGTAAGCAAATTCCTTAAAAGTCTACTTTGGGCTAATTTCTTGAAATCTGTTGAACAACCTTTGGGGGGGGGGGAGATGTGGGCTGATCAGATCGATTTCGATTTTTGCACTTCGAAAGCCTACGAAAAAAGCTGCTTGAGATTTCGAAGCCCCTGCCAAAAGATTTCGAAATAGATAAAAAATACTAAAAAGGCTTTTCCAAGAGCCTGAAGGGTGTGGCCGAGAAAATTTATTTTCGTCCATTCCAGTTTTTTTCGAGCTGGCGACGCCACTGCTTAGTAGGTTTTGTAATGGAATGTAACTTCGTTAATTATGTAGGGTATGTATTAAATTCTGAGCGGCTTCTAAGAATACTCTTGTATACAGGTATGCAAGGAAGATACACATCACAAAGAAGCATCTCATCGTAGCGATTGTTCTCATTTGGTTAATTGCAATCGGTGGAAGCGTCAGCTCAATGATGAGTGCGGGTGTTATTGGACTTGTCCGGCCTATATCCGGATCCTTGCGTCTGACAAGACTTTGCATACAAGTTAACCCAACAGAGTCAAGAGAAAATTTCCAGCTTTCCTTTCGACTTACCATGTACATCGTTTTTGCTTTGTTTCTGTTTTTACTGTACTCCAACATCGGATTGTTTATCTACAGAAGCAAAGCTCCAGGCCACCAGATGACAACTAACAAATCTGAAGCTAGAAAGCTACAAGCAGTAAGAATGCTGGCCACTGCAACAGCAGTCATGATTATTTCCTACTTGCCATATATGGTCTTAGTAGGTTTGACGTTATTTGCAAAACCAGGCTACTTCAGCGATGTGTTTGCGATTGAAATTCTTTGTAATATATTCAGCGGTCTGAATCACGTCGTCAATCCATTTATATACTGTGCATTTAGCTCAAATTTTAGCGAGGCGTTCAAGAAGTTCTTTAGACGGATAAAAAACAGGAAAGAGGACATCGATGCCAGCAGCAAGGGAACGACTAAAGTGAACTTGAAAAAGGTATCTAGCATTGGACTGCTCGGGAAAAAAGGGAATATGATTAGCGGAAATGACGTCAGTGTAAATAGTGAATCCAAGACTCTACCTGCAGTAGCTAGCCAGATAACACTGAATAGTTTTTTAGAAGATTCTTTCGAACAAATGACAGGACAGGCAAATGAATCAATTTGTGTAGACTCAAAGCTTTGAAACAATACTTATAACAGAATGTTTATCCGAATTAACAAAATTAACAGAATTAACAAATGAAATTTTTGTCTTTTTTTGGTTGTTACTCGGGCTAACGGGTAAAGTCTGTCACGAATCATTCTTGTCAATCAAAAATAGGAACCGAACGCCAGAAGCAAAGGATTCATTTTCTTTTACTCTAAGTCAAAACTCTTAGGATAATTAGTTATCTATTAAGCTTGGTTTCCACTATGGGTTAACGTGAGATAATTCTGAGCTAAATTGAAAATTAACTCATGGTCTAAATTCAAGTTAACTTGAGATAGTGTGAAATAGCGTGAGATAATGCGAGCTATCTCAAAATTAACCCATGTACCGATTCGGTTTCCACTTGAGATAGAATTAAGTATTGAAATTTCAGTAATCACATTTTATTTGAGTCTTGCAGCTATGGCGGGCGTCTTACAAGAACAACTTATTTTACTTCTGCTTTTGAGAATACTTAGAAGGAAAATATTTTTTGCTAGAAGTGCCGTTCGCGATCTGCGACAAGGTTTTCGGTACGGAGAGTCTACCAAAAAAGATATGCGTTTGGTGAATACGACCACTTGCAACAGGATCTTAGAAGTGAGATAATGTTTCTTTTATTTCACAATTAATTTTTTTTAGTGAAGAAAACTGTTTTCAACATCTAAAGTAATACTCAGTGCAAGTGCGTTGCGTAAGAACCTCAGTGCAAATTATAGCACATTCCCCTTCCACGCATCGGCTTCTTTTGATAAGATGTTATCTCAAGTTAACTCATGAGCTTGAAATCAAACAATTTTGTTTCCAAGCTCATGAGATAACGTGAGTTAACACGAGTTAATTTTCATGAGATAATTTTTAATGACCGTTTCCACTATGAGATAATTTTTAAACCATGTCAGATCACAAAATTATCTCAAATTAACTCACGTTAACTCATAGTGGAAACCAAGCTTTAGCTACTGAATCCTGGCCTTTGCATTTTTGATCTCTTAACTACTAGCCCTTCAAAATTTCAAGCGTATTTTTCATATTTAAAGTGGTGCACCCGCTGATAACAGGCTATTCGTCATTGATAATGGAAAAGCGACGACATTTTGAAGTTCTATTTTTAGAATTAATAAATTTTATGATAAAATTTAAAGGATGCCATAAAATAAATGTGAATATAGTAAATTAAGTGAGACGTATGAAATCTCAAATTACAGACCCGCAGCTAACTCAATTTTGCATAACAATTCCTGACGATCTGGAACGGTATAACAATTCCTGACGATCCTGGCAAAATAGATATTGGCAAAATCACGTCTTTGGAAATTATGGAAGGGGGCACCAGCCTCGCAGCTCTCTGTTCGCTACACTCTTAATAGAGCAGGAGATTTGATAAGAACCGGATAATTACTCAGATTTGATAAGGAAAGTGCCGGTAAGTTGAGTAGATCATATTGAACCGAATACTTTGTCTACCTGACTGTAAGAGCTCTCCAACGAAGTTACGTTATAATAACATACATCTAAGACGTCAAAGACGGGCAACCTTTAGGACTTGAGGCAAAATTAACGACGTTTCCAGCCCCAGCGGCAGGGCCGAGACTACCGAATTCATGTTTAAAGTTACTAGAAGAAACGCGCAGAACCTTTATGTTGATTATATGAATTTTTGTGAAGTTTCTTGTTGATGAACATCATCAGGGCCTCCGACGAAGGGGGGCCGGGGAGCCAAGGCCCTCCCATTTTTTGCAAGACAATAAAAAATTTTCAAAATCATTTGTTATGGGTGTTAAACTTTCCCTACCCCCCCCCTTTCTTTAATTTCATAGCTTGAGATACCTCGAAAGACTTCTATTTTATATTCCATCTAATACTCTTCTGAAAAAGCTCTGACCACTAAAAATTTGCTGACAGGCTATTGCTGGCATTGACTGAACACTTTTTTAGTTGTCTAAGCTGTTACTTCAAAGAACGGTTTTTAATTTTGTTTAGCCTGCCGTCGTTTCATCAGGAATCAAATCTTCTCCTATTCATTATCCCAAGTTGTTTCTCGAACGTAGCGATTTTCAGTGATGTTAAATGCTGCATGAATCATTAATAGAAATGCTAACAAGATTCACTTTTCTGGTTTATACTTTAAACAAAAGGGTCACAGTTTGTCTTAAACTCACACGGGGCGCCAGTGTTTAGAATGTTTTTGCAAATGAGGTCTTCAACGTGATATCAATCAGCTAATACACACTTACTATAACATCTTAGTAGACCCCCTCTGTTGGGAAATTAATAGACATATCGGGCTGCTAATTTTTCTTGGGTTCAAAAGCTTAGCATTTACATCAATCACATTGCTACGATGTGCTGGATGCGGCGATCTTACTGATTAAGATAAGAATCGACCCCATGAGGTTATAAACTTGTTTCTGGTAGAGAAACTCACGTAATTTTCCATTTTTTAAGACCCCGGACCTATTTCATCATGCTTGAGAAGTCTTATGAAGGCTAAAGGGCTAATCAAATTCAATTAAAATAGCAATTAAGACATTTGTTCCAATAAGTTTTGCTTTCGAATCTATGTTGAAACCTGCTAAAAGTGCAGCTATTGTTAGTTTTCTTCTGCAAGCAATGAAACACAATCACCGGAACTTTAGAACTTTTCTATACGGCGTTGCATGTTCGTTTTCGGAGTTTCTACTCTGAAATTAGCTCAACTTTGTAATAAGAAAAAATAAATATTTGTGGATATTGGTTGATAGAGGGCATTCATATGATTTCTTTAAGCCGTGCGGGCTGAAAATCGAGTTTTTCTACAAACAGTGGAAATCATATAACATAGGCATATTTGAATATCTATCTTTGGGTATAGTACGGATACACCATAAAAACGGCGAATGTCTTTTTTTAAAATATGGGGCTAAAGAATCGGCTGACGCCAATGCCAAAGCAACAACCCTATTTTAAGTCCTTAAGTAATTTGAGCATTCCAAAATGAACTTCTTTCTGTTGAATCTCTTTTCCATCAATCAAAGATTCAGACGCTTGACCAATTTCTCCTCCTCTCTTGATATGTGGGCGCAAAAATTTTCTCCTTTTCTTGCCGAGGTGTGTTTGAAAATAAATGCATGCAAAATAATTTTTAATGAGGATAAGTAGCCTGAATATTTTAACTTTTTGCCATTCACCAAAGTCACCAAACATGTTTGTAAAATATAATTATAAATGTTTATGCAACAAGAAGTAAATTCTTTATCATTTAACTGAAGCTGTCTATGGCAAATGTAGGAGGCCTCCTTCAAGACCTATGCTAATAAATCAGTATTCTTATATCAGATTTGATTAGGCTTATAGTATGTTTTCACTTAGTTAATAAATAAGTTGAAAAAAATGACAATGTGATAAATAGCCAAAGCAATCCACAGAATTTCTAAGATGTTTGGAAGAGTAGTGACAAAACAGAATCAATTTCATAGAGCAAAAGAATGACTGAACATATCTAATTTTCTTTGAATTATTCATTATTCACTATGCACAACTTTGAAAATAATTTACAAAGTCTACTTCGCCCATGAATTGTGAATAACTGGAGCAGGTCTTTGCTGCCAAGAAGGATGTTTTTTTGGCTTTGAAAATGACGGAAGAGCTGGAAAGTCAGAGTCAATATGAGTGTCCATATGACTTGCAACCTCCTTTCGCGTTATAGTTTCTCCACATTCTTTGCAAGTGGTAAAATCCTTATCTTGTCGCTTCTTTACAGCTAAGGAAGGCTGATTAGCAGCTTCTGCGGAAGATTTTGTAGCATTGTTGTCACTCTTTCTACTACTCTCACTTAGTATTGACCCATTTGCCTCTGTCCAGGCTGACTTTGGTTCTGCAGGAACAGCATGTTTTCTGATTTGACCCATTTCTTCCCCCTTTGTGAGAATTGGGAACATTTGCATGCCAATATGTATCTTCCATAACTGTTTTTGTTTTCCTTTGTCAGGCAGCAATTCAACAAGTTCACTAAAAACAAGATCCAGATTTTTACCAAAAAGGTCTTGCGTACTTTTATAATATTCAGTGTCTGTTATGTCAGACCTTCGAAAACTTCCACTCAGTTCCCTAAATTTGGCAAAATTTTCCTCGCTCAGTAAACTTCTTATCAAACCAACCAAAGCTGCATTTCTTTCTTTTGCATCTTCAGGGTTTGAATTCTCAATATTTGACACTTTGCTTTCTGAATTGAACCCAGGAGGTAGTTTCTTAGTTACTGTAGGTTCTGAGATTCCCACTGAAAGCCCTTGTTTACTGAATCCTGGAGGTAGATTCTTAGTTACTGGTGGTTCTGAGTTTCCCACTGAAAGGCCTGGTGGCACCTTTTTCTGTCCTGATGATGCTCTGTTTATTCCAGGTGGAGGTTTGACACTTTTTTGCATTTCCGATGTCTGTTTTTTATCAACATGATCTGATTTCTGCTTTTGCATTACTTTGGCTTTCTTTTTATCACTTTGATCAATACCATTAACAACATTTTGGCTTCCATTATGTTGCCGCATTGAAGAGGAATCTTTGGGTTGTGCACCAGTTCCACTGTGTTCACCAAGAGGTGGAAATGCAGCATCATAACGTTTTCCTTCTGGGTTACTCCTATGTGTACCCACATTACCTTTTGACTTAGATCTTAAAGGCTCAGACTTCTTAGAATGAGTCCCGATCCTATCAGCCATGGTCTTTGTTTTCTTCTCCACATCATTATTTGCTTGTGATGGTTGGCTGCTTGGAAGAAATGGCGTTGCATCAGCACTCAAAGGACTTGTTGACTTGACATTCTGTCTAGATGCTTCAGAAATTACAGCATTCTTGTTAATGCCATCAGATTCTTCATCAGAAGGACTAAAAAATAAGCAGAACACACCTAATTATTTTCATTGTTCCAAAGATGTCATGGGTTAAAATTTCTGGATAAAATTTAATTAATGTTGTAAAAAGCAAATACAAAATCAGTCCTGTTGTGTTTTTAATGCACGCACAGTAACACAGTTTGATTATTTTTTTCTTGTTTGTTTCTTTCAATTTATTGTTAATTTTCTTTAAAGTAGCTTTTAATTTCGTTTTAGTTCATTTTTTTCATTTTTTCTTGAACCATTCCCATTACTCCCGTTCTACTTTGATTTGGTCATGAGGTCTCCATAAAAATCGTAAGGTCTCCATTTTATGGATTGCATGCCATCAACAGAACAAACCTTAGATAAGTGGAACCCTTAAAAAACCTATGAGAAAGAGGAGTGGAAAATAAGGTTTGGGAAAGAATTCAGCAGTATTAAATAAATGACAACAATAGCATATGAACCAAATAAAGCGAATTTATTTATGTTTCTCTAGATAAGAATTAGCCAATGAAACTCGAAGAGAAACTTTAGAACAGTGACAGAAAGATAAGCTTTAACAAGTAAAGAAGGAAAACTACTAGATAGAACAGAAATGTCTATGTCAATATTGATGCTGAGTCATACTTTAAAAGAGAAAAAGCAATAAAGATATAACAGCAGAGGCAGGTGTGGTAGCAATAATAGAGAAGATAAGAGCAAACTAGAATGAAGCAGCTTCCACACTTCTTGAGAAGGAAACTGTGGAGATACTTGATAAAAGGTTGGCTGACAGACAGAGAATTGGATGAAGAGATGCATTGGAGAAGGAGATATTGCAATGTTAAAATTCTGAAATAAAGATGCAGAAGATAGAGAGAGAACTGTGGAGACAACATATGAGAGCAATGGACCCCTTCATAGATTGAGGCAAAAAAGGAGAAGAAGATTACTTGAAAATATCAGAATTTAAAAATATATACATGAAATTTTTACTGTGGGAACAAAAATTCTAAGAACAAATTATGATTGTGTGGTTTTTAAACTCAATATAGGTATCAAGTTATAAAATATATTTTGTCGTATAACGCCAGGCCTGGTTGTGAGCATTTTAGCAGGCAAGCAGCACATCGCTCTCCTCAGTAAAGTCAGGCAGGCAATTTTTAGTCTCTTGAAAATTGTCACTTAAAGTGTATGAATAAACAACAGTCTTTAACAGCTAGGTTTACAAAACAAGATGGCAATTCTCCAACAGAAATAAAACGATAGTTTCGTATAGTCGCAAATCAACAACATTCTCACTAACAAGATTTGAACAGAACCCAAATAAATCACATAGTGTGATTTTGATATAACATTAGTACAAACTAGCATTCATTTGAAAACTATTTTGATGTTCAAGTACTTGAAGGCTTTTTATTTCCGAGTTCGTTGTCACAGGGACATACAAGTATTCTATTAAGGCTACAGTAAACGTTTTCTGGATGAAAACATTCATTTTTCGATTGTTTCACATACAAGTAGCCGAACTTTCAAGGCACACAGTGATACCAAGTTTGAAACTAAGAAAAATTTTGAAAATGGAAAAAATCCCATGTAAACGAAGGTTTCCATAATAACTTCTTTATCAAAACTTTTAGTTTAGGTCTGAAAATTGCTTGACCTGTTAAGCAGATTATCGTTGCTTTACGGTGGTCGCATGTCTCATTTACAATATCACATGGCACATCCATGTATCCCATGTATGGCATGTTTATTTAGGCAGGCTTAAGATCTTAAAGCTTCAAGTAACTTGACCCGGATTAGACTGTTGTTTACGAGTGTACCCTGCAAGTGCTATCAGTAAAATCCCATTTTCTCAGGACTCACAATTCCTCTATATACAGGTACCAAAAAGCTATTTTGTACCCAAGGAACCAATTGAATTGCTCAAAAATTAGCACACGACCAGGACAGATGTTGGGTAAACAAAGTGTGTCTCAAGATTTTTTTATTTTCTCTGGTCCGTCGCTCATTGAAGGTGGTACGCTCATTTAAGCAATAAAATTGCCCGGAAAGTATAATTTTACATTATTTGCCAATTATTTTCATATGGTTGGAATCATTGCCACATTCTTGTGCATTGAATGATGTATAGTTTAATCTGATTCCATTAATAGTTTGGCTTTTAGGGAGTGAAAACCAAATATCATCAAAAATGTTACCGTAACCTTAAGCGAAACTAATTAATTGAGCTAGTACTGGAAATTTTAAGATTAAAAGATTTTGAGATATGACAGTTTTGTGATTTTGAGATATGACACGCTAACCTGAGGCAAGCGTGGATGCGCCAGGTCTGTAACACACAAGATCTCATTAAATTATTAGCTCATAATACCAGTGACTGAAAACATGAAATTTGACTTACACATTTGCCTCTGCAGAATCTTTATTCACAGTCACTTTTTTCGAAGCTCGTTCTTGCCTACTTGGTATTCGCCTTTCACCATTAAGTCTTTGTTGGTATTGTTTTCTTGTCCCATAATCGATTTCCACATTCAATTGTCTTGCCTGCTTTGCTGCCATCTTTGTAAGCTTTTTACTATGCTTTCCTAGTTTATGAGCCTGGTAGTCAATATCTGTTCTGAACACTGAAGTGTATTTCTCATGTAAGCATTCATCTTCCTCACAAAGAAAATGTTCACTGCGAAAATGGGCCCTCAGATCTTCATATGTTTCATAGTATTCTTGTTTTCCATCTTTTTCGCAAAAGTGACACCAAAAGTGATTCTTTCTCAGATGTAGCAACAACTCATCATTATCAAAATATCTTTCATTGCAAAATTCACATTGTGGGTGGCCTTTATAAGATTTATCATCTGAGTCTCCAGATTTCCTATGTGTTACCAGCTCGCTACGAGTGTAAACACGAAACTCATATGGAAAAATTTTCAGATTTTGCAGACATATGTCACAATACTGTTTTTCATGCTTATGCCTTACATGACGTCGCAGATCCTCAAATCTTGCACTCTTCTCATCACAAAGAGGGCATTTGTTCAGAAGCAAGTCTTGAAATTTCTTTTTGATTTCCATGCTTTCAAAAAAGATACCATATTTTAAATTTGATAGCATTTTATTGACAATCATGTCAGCAAATGGAAGGCTCTTTTCCATGAACACTATCTGAAAATGAAGTTAAAAAGCATCATTAAAGAGCATCATATAAACAAAAAAATCATTACCAATCAAGTTCTGAATCCACAAGCATAAACTGAATCTACATAGTTGGGTATTCTGTTTTCATTTGTATATATCGAAGTAGAAGACCAGGAGTATATATAGTCCCTTTTTTATAATAATTGTTGCTAAAAAAGTGATTAGTGTAAAGTGTAAAGTGATATTTTAAAATCACTACAAGGCATTACCAAATGAATATTTTTTTGAGGAGAAGGTTTTATCAAACAAAATTTATTTTAAAATTTTAATAATAAAGTGGCTGCATGCATATATGCAAGAATTTTTCTTATTTTCCGCACAGAAATTGTTGTGTAGTTTAGCTACTTTCCTATTTTGATTTATTTGATAGTTTCAAGCTTTCTTTACATCTCAAGTGCCAAATTCAATGATGATGTACATTATTTATAAAATTTCTTGTTGCCTTTATAATATTTTCCAGGGCTGGAAAATGTATGGCAGCGGCGCTGCCAGAAAATTTTTTGTCACAAATTCATTGCAGGAAATTGTTGATGTTTGCCAGGAAAATTTTAGCCTGAAATCTCCATTGCTTTATTTTAATATGAACATTGAATTCATGTTGCAATATTTCTACGGAATGCTGTTTTCTTGTGATATACATACATACTGTATAATTTTTGTTCTGCACTACTAACAAAAAACGAAGATTAGCTTTCAATCATCTGGTATTATAAGAGTCTGTTATGCCAAATTTTCTGTGCATGATTTTCAGCTACTAATTTAATTCCAGCAAGCTAAAACAAAGTTAATTTCTTTTTTACATTAGCCATTCTATATATGTAAAAACACTTAAAGACAGCCAATCTTGTTACATCAATTGTTTTGAAGGTGAACATGCCCTAAAACCTGTGTGGATGTGTCCATTATTATTTGTATTTTTCTACTGGCATTCGCATACATTTTTCATCACTTGCTTTATAGAATGTAAGCGTTTTTATTTTAAATCTTTGCCTCTAGCACCACCCCTGATTTAAAACATTTATTTTAACCACTGAAAAATAAAATAGTATTCTTATATGTTGTATGAGCTACTAGCTTTGATGATAAACCCACCCACAGCAAGATGTATAGATATATCAATACTTATAAAGTATCTAGTTTGCTAATACTTATAAAGTATCTAGTTTGCTAGTACTGATAGAAATTTAATCAAAGTTATTATAGATTTTCAGATCTACTTTCTTTAACCTTGAAAACAAACTATGAGTATCGTGCTTGATCACGTTCTCCTTGATCATCTAATACAGTATAAACAAAATGATTCCTGTTTCGAATAGCTATGATTAAGACTGCAGGACCAATAGTTTAATTCTTTTTAGTGTGACAGTTTGTTTTAGGACAAATTTCTAAACAAATCTAAGCAACTTGAAATATCAATTTCAGTGGCTGGAAACTTTCTCGAAGCTTCGCAGGAAATCTTGAATTTTTTATTTCGCTGCCAGGAAGAAAATTTTTTTTTCAAGGCCTGATATTTTTGAACTTTATTATCCTGGCTATTAGAAGATCCTCTAAACATATTTCACATCAACACTGAAAAGCCACTCACAGAAAGTACTGATACTGAAGAAGTATTTAATTTAGACACTTGTTATGTAACACAAAATAATTTTTTAGCAAGAATGTCTGCTGGACTCGTTTTAAATCAAAATACCTTTCTAGCACACACATTTTAAAATACACCCCAGATATAGCTTGTTCTTTATCGTTTGAAAAATTCCAAGAAGATGTTGGTTTATCTTGATAAGCTACCCAACAGTGTTCAATTGTATTTGGCGGTGTTTGAAACCATGTGAATCTGGAAGTCAAAAAGTTTTATGTATTTGTGTTTTGTATTTGTATTTGTTTCTACCTAGCACCCGAAAATAGTTTTTAGGACACTGAGAAGCTTATGCTTATCGAGCAGTGTCCCGGTCCTTCCTCTCGATGTGACCACACCTCGTGATTGCTATGCCTGGATGTGCATTGTGGTGCAAAGGATATCTATCATCATCACAAAGATTTTATAATGAAGTATTGTCATCGTATTTTTAGTTACCTGATTCAATTCAAGTCTGCAAACAGCACAGTAGTTTTCCTGACATAAAACCCTCATTCTACTGCAGCACTTGTAGCAAATAACATGATCACAAGATCCTTTCGCAAATATTTCTATATCTTCACAGCATATAACACAAGCATTTCCAAATGGCTCCTCTTCCTCTTCTCTTAAACCTTGGTTATTGACTTCCGACGTATTTTCTTTCTTGAAAACTTTTCTCATTCTTGGTGGCCTAGCATCGGATGGGTTCGTCTTGCTACTCCCAAATTTCATCGTTTTCTTACTTTTATCCGATTTTGGTGGCATCGTTGAAACAATTTGTGTCTTGAAGAAGATTATAACCTGGAAAGTTGTACTTAGAAACCGTGTTGACGTGTAAAGGTGAGATTTCTGTTGTAAGGGTGAAGGCAGTGGGTTGTAAGGCTAGGCCACAGCTAAACGTATGGATTGAAATGCGCGAGAGGTGGTTTTATCAATGCGCAGTACCGCTGACCACAGCAATTTAGAAAATGTGGCAAGTTGCTATTTTCGGAACAGAACGTGGTTACAATTTATTGCACCACACTAAAATGATTTAACATTCTTTTACGTAAAACGTAAGTTTCACGCAAGTTTCTATTTCAGATAAACTAGATACGCAAAAGATGTTTTCAGATGTAAGCAGAAATGGCAACCGTTAGAAAAATGATAAGCTATTTTCTGACGTAAACAAGCTTTGGAATTACGACCAAGAGTTTCTGATTACTCTCAAATTTCCAACTAACAGCCCCCCCCCCCCCGAAAAAACACCGGTATTTGTGTCCAATTTCTTGTGTTTAGGAAAGTTCGGACCATTATTAACCCTAAAATCTCCTACATTTATTAAGTTGACCATTAAATAGCAAGTAATCGTCAATTTATTTAGTTGTAATATTTCAGTCCAGGACAGGCAAGAAGTTTTTCGTGTTTCAGCAACATTTGAACTGCTAATCAATGCAAAAGATGTATACCTGTAGGCATTTCATAATGTTGCATTCCGAGCGATGCCATCATCATGAATTTTAAAGACATAAAGTAAGAAGGCTTTTATGGAGCTCTATGCCTTCTTCAACTTTTTGAGTTATTTTTATCTGATCACATAAATACTTAGCATAAATTGAAGGGTTCTTTTACAGCACGTCTTCTCCATAAGTAAGTAGATTAGCTTGCTTGTCGTATTTACTCGTGCTGTTTGCTGCCTGCATGTTAAAGCAAGATTTGTATTGCGTTGCCATGGCTCCGACATAGGTTGGAAAGTGGGGTGGCCAAGAGAAAATTTAACACCCATAACGAAAAATTTCGAAAAGAAGCTCCATTGTTTTGCAAAAAAGTGGTCTTGGTTGTATATTGAAACAATTAAGGGTGTTTTATAATTGGTGATGTCGATCTAATCATGAACTAAATTATTGATTCAGGTGATATCTTCTTGCAAGGGTCAAAAACAAAAGTTTAGAGTCTACGTAAGTTCAAAAGTTTCAGAAAGTTTGAGAAGTTTAAGACCTTTGACATTGGCAGGGGCGTCACGACCCAGGGGTGTGGGGGTGTCACACCCCCCAATAGTATCTCAATAGGAAATTTCAGGTAAAATCCGCTCGGTGCAAGAAACGCTTTAGGTATTTCAGAGACCTTCATGTCATAAAGTCAAGAAAGGATCAAGCAAAGGTAGTTGTTCCGTTGGTTAAATATGATATTCCTTGATATGAATGAAAGTAAACAAACTAATGATTTTAAGATTTATTGTTGGCACTAAATATAAAAATCCAGGCCCTCTTTAGGTAAATTGTGTCCTGTTTCCATTTCCCCTAAAGTTTCTCGGTAGAAGCGTCAACTGCAATTCACTATGAGCTCCAGATTTATTCTAACATTCAAAAGGCATGCTAAGATGGAAAGAAGGATCTAAATTGACAACCAGTGCTTCTTGTTACCTAGCTAAAGAAGTAACTGACAACATGGTATTTTTCAAGACCGCGGCGAAATTGTACCAGTTATTTTTATCTACTGTTCAATTTGTTTGGAAAAAAATACTTTTCAATAGGATTAGGAGGATTGCTTTAGTGAAATGTGCTTGAAAAAGTGCATTTTCCAGGTAACTAGAAGCATCAAATTTCGAAAATTTCCTGTTTCACTGGCGGCAACCATGGTGCTGCCTCGGGTAGTGATTATATCCTTTGCCCGATATAGAGATTTGATAAAACTATTAGGAAAGTCGGCTAATGTCGTATAAAAATGAATAGTTGCTAAATATATACAGAGTTAGATTGACAAAATGTATCAAAGAGGTTTGTGACAGTAAATAAAGAATTTCAGGCATTAATTTTTTAATCAGGTAAATTTGTAGTCCATACCCCCCCCAAACAAGGCTTGCTTCGCGTCGCAAGGGGCCCCACATCTAAGAAAAAAGATGGAAACTGTAAGGAACAAGGGCACCGCAGATATTTTTGGCCCCGGGCCCCGCACTTTCTAAAGCCGCCACTGTTTGGAACTGGAAAATTGTTCATTTTAATTAGAAATAGCCTTTTTGTGCACAGTATTTGTGCATATAAGTGTCATTAACCATATAGGCCCATACACAGAAAAAACTTGCAAAAGATGATAGAAGGAATTCGAGTCAGTATCACGGTGTGCATAAAAAGAATTCTGAGGTGTGGGCCCCATTTAAAGATATGGATATGTTCTGTAGAAAGTTCTGTACAACTGAAAGACAATAACCGTACGTTTATGTTGCATGTACACATGCGAGCTACAATTTCTCCTCAGAAGTTGTTAATGAGCTAATGGGATAATGTCCAAATGTAATGTAATGAAAAATAATGAGAACTAGTCAAATTTTGGCCAGTAAGTGCGAGAGGAATTGTTTTTGAGAACTGCCAAATACCAAGAGCTTTGAATGTATAGCAGACATGCATTTTGTCTTAGGTGACGCCTATGACAACTTAAAAACATTCACTTTCAGGGTACAGAACAGATACTTTAAATTGACCAAGTTATCTGAATGCCATTGTAAATTTTGTTATTATATAAAGGCGGAAAAATAACGTAATGCAGTTTAATTTCCAGATTCTCTGACAAAAGTTTTGTTGGGGAGGGGGGTGGTAATTAAATGAATGGTCGCAAAAACATTTTATCTTACAAAATGCGAGTGAAGCATGCCAGGATTCGAGGGCCCTGAATATCGAGTGTAGCATAACAAAATTTTAGTCTTAAGAGCATTACGTAGTTATGGTTTTGCGAGAGATACTGCAGAAAGTACTATTTCATTGCTACTGAAAAGCGTTGGGGTGAAAATGGAGATCTCTATTATGTGGGTGAAATGACGTTTGTGACGTCATACTCGGAAGCATGCAGAGGACTGGGACATTTCTGTTTGCGAGGTTGAGGTGGCAGGAGGGTGTAAGGATCTTCACGATGACGCAGAAATGCCTTAAAAGAACAACAAATGCAGTGAGTTGATGAAAAGGGGGTAAAAGAAGCCAAAATAAAATGGTATGAGTTGTTCTAAATAAAACAGTTTTTTGTTGTTCTTGATCATGAATTTTGCTCATAGGATTGAGTTAGGCCTTATGGCCTAAAAATGCACTGGACTTAATACCCGTTGTTAAAAATTATTAGGCCACATCGCCGCACCCACTTCCACCCCGTATGATAACGCTGTTACACGAAGGCTTTTGCAGAAAAATCTAGATGGCAAAGGGTTTATGTCTTTTCGAATTTCGAACTTTAATCTAAAAAACAAGGAAGCCTTTATATCGTCTTCCTTATCCAGGTCCCAGTTTTTGAGTTTTTACAGTGACAGGTAGTCGCAGTGCCCTTTTTACACAATTTATTCCATTTTATTTGATCGAATAATTAGTTTATTCAAGAAGAAGCTGCTAATAACCTTTAATTTTCTTTATCTATTCGAAAAAATGTGTACATTTGTATACAAAATTGATCAACTTATTAATCATTTTTTAGACATCGTTACCCTAGTGTAAAAAAAATAAATGAGGTCATCAATAATGCATAATTAGGATTAATACAACGATAAACTCATAAAACATTTACCACTCATATTTTACAAACACTCAAAGTTTTGCATTTTTTTTTTAAATATTACCACACCTTTCTCTAAACTGGAGATAACTTCCCTTAAGCTGATCCATACCGGTTTTTTCTTTCTCTTAATGCTTAAAGTTTAAAACAATATATTTCGTTTTGGCAGGAAATAGTTTTCACACTGGTCATGTGATGTGATAAGAGATCCATATAAGTCATTGACCTTTGAATTTATAGCATGGTTTCAAGCCGTACATGTCAGATGACCCCTGCAACTTTTCTGAGCAATTATGTCATAGTCAATGAGAATTGTATAATGTAAATTCTATTTTGATATAACTTTAGTTGCATTTGAAGAAATACTGTGATTTTAGACCTTCATTCAAACTTCAACATATACCTAACTTGAAGTTTAACAGCAATTCATATAAAATATTATTTGTTTTCATTCTCTTTGTTATCATTATCCTATAGGGCACACAAGAAGAAACTCTGGCTGCATTAGAAAACCTTCTTGATGAATTCTTTGCTCCAGCAACTTCAAATGATAGAAAAAGAAGCATTGGTATTATTTCTGTTTATGATACTATTGTATACCATCATTTTTTTGAACTATTATTCAAACATTTTAGTTTCAGTATTTTCAAGTTTCAAAGAAAAGAAAATTTTTTCTAATTATTGACAGTTTAAATTGGTAAAAGTTGGCATAGACTGGTATAATTATGAGGGAAAATTTTTTATTTGATAGTGGAAGAATTTGTATTAGCAGAAAGTTGAATTATCAGTTATGCGTGACAACATTATGTTTTCTATAACCAATGTCTTGGAAATGAAGAAATACCTTTCATGACCTAAACTGTGATATAGAAATGTCACATGTTTTGTTTGTTAAATAATTGTATCATGACATATGGTGTTGAACAAGGCATAATACTGTTGAGCAGGGGCAGGCAACCTTTTGAACCTGGGGGCCAAATTTACGACATTTAGTACCACAGAAGAGCAGGTCAGGCCAAAAATGGCTGAACAAAAAATGAAAGCATCTTTCAATAAAAAAATCTAACAGATCATATCAACACAGAACTTTGCTGGTTAAACAGATTATTTTGTCAGATAAGGTGCTTCCTTTCTATCTTTCGATTTGAAAAAACATGAACTAGAATTTCAACGAAACACAATTTTCCCCATTTGTGCTGCAACTTACATCTGTCCTGTATTTTCAATGGAGTTACTATGCTTCTAGTGCGTAACCCAGCTTGTCAAAATAAAATCAAAGCCATAGGTTGCCCAGCCTGATGTAGAGGCTATAATGGGACCCTTTTTTTAGTTTGAGCATAAAGTTAGAATTTTCGACAAAGTTCTTTAATTGTTTAAAACAAGGATATATTGTGTAAATTTCTGAATCACGATATGCTTCACCTACACTGCTTCCTTGACCCCATGAAGTGCTAGCAGTTAATATTTAAAGGAACAACCTTTAAACTTATATTTGTATATTATCGATGTATTACACACAGTAGACTTTTTTGCCATTTTAATATGCTCTTTTGTGAACATATTGGAGTCAAGAAGTCACTTGTTTCTTGGCAGTTCTCCCTACGTGACATTGTTAGAACATAACAAGTTAGTTTTGACTGGCCAGTTTGAACACGATGGGAAACATGAAACTTTGTTTTCCTATTTGTTGGCCCTTTTCCACAATAACAGTAATATGTTTTCTTTATGTGAAGAAAATATACTGAATATAATAACATATTCCAACCTTTATCAGGCTTTTATCAATTGCAACTATTTGTTGCTCAAAGTTTGTAAATGATTAAAGCCTATTCCTCTTCTAGTTCCACCCTAATGGTTATCCTTATGATCATCACCATCAACAGCATAATCAAACTGCAGACTTATACAATAATGCCTAGATCTCCCCATCTTTTTTATGAGATTCTCTTGAGATTCTTTGCATTTGAAGTATGCCGAAATATGATCAAAAGGTTTTTCTTTGCAGAAAATGCTTTAGATAGTTTTAGTCACCAGGAGGGTGCTTGGAGGCAATGTATTTTCTTCTTGCTGAACTCGAAAAATGAATATGTCCACATGTACTCACTCAGTGTATTGGAGGTAATGGTTATGCTAAATTATCTTACCTTTTATACAATCTTATTTCAAACAATGATGCTGCTCTTATACATGAGTATTATCAGTCATTGTCACTCCATAACTTATTTGAAAGCTTGATTACCTATCACTGCTATGAATGCAACTTTTCACTTAGAAAGAATCAATAATATGTAACTCATTTGCAACCCAGGTTCCTTTGCTGACAGCTTTTAATGATATTTTCAGTCGGATTATCTTATTTTTTAACAGTTCTTTACATTAATTTGTAGTCACTAATTAATTTTTTCATGACTTTTTGTTTAGAAACTTGTCAATCAGCAATGGTTTGGCATGCAGCCAACAGACAAACAAGAGATTCGCCAATTTACAACCCAGTTTCTGATATCCAATCACAAAGTTTGTCCAATGTACATAAAGAAAAAGATGGCAAAGGTTTATGTAAACATTGGAAGACTAGATTGGCCCCAGTTTTTCCCTGATTTTTATCACAATATTTTACAGGTTAGTATTTCTTGTTTACAGTTTTCATGCCTAATGTAACATAGACTTTTGAGAGTATTTTGGTCATTGACAGAAGCTGATATGCTACAACAAGCCAAGGTAAATATTTTTTACTTCTGGGTTGACAATGTGTTTAAAGTTGAGTGTATTCATTTGTAAATTGCATGATAAAGAGGAGTAAGTTGGATGGATTGCTTATGGCACCAAGAAATGCCTTTTGAAATCTAGAAATGGTGTATCAAGCTCGGAGCAACCATTAATGTTGTTGTGTTGATACTCTAGTCAAACCCATTTGTATCAATTCTTATGAGTGGTCTAAAAAGAGATGTGATGATGAAAGACAGCAAGTTTGCCAGTTATTAGCCTTGAGATTGGAGAATGGTTCATATCAATTTACAGACATTTATCTTGTTTAAATGTTTCAGTAATAATCGTTTTTTGCTGCTGGAATTATATTACTTTTCCCTCACTGTTCTCCTACTTGCTGGTAGTGAGTAGGTAAGGTTCAAAATGCCCTTTTAGTATATGGCATAGTATAATCACTGTCTTCTCCATAAAGTTGACATAGCTTATTTTTAGCTTTTGCTTTATTGAACTTGTAAAGCTGGCGAATCTGTATTGCCATGCAGTCCTCTTCTGAAATAGTGTTTTTGTCATCCTTGGTCTTTTTTCTCTTTTTGAAGACTTGTATTATGTTTAGAAGATTTGTAACAACACATTTGCAATTTTTTTGTCAATAATGTTGACACAATTTATAACTAGTATTACATGTATTTCAATAGTCTTGTTTAGTCTTGTAAGATTTTAGAATTAAATGTAATCGTCTTAGATCATGAGAATAAAGTTTAGAATATCAAAGCTTCAGCTGAAAACAGGATGCATTAGTCTTTTGCTCCACCTTCTCTAAAAATACCACGCATATAGCTGCCTAAATTGATAAAATTTTCTACTTTATTTGCAGTTTTTACAGAATGAATCGACAATCGTGCTTGGTTTATCTATACTTCAGATTACTTCAGAGGAGTTTATCTCACCAAGAGAAGATTTGAACACTGCAAGAAAACAAGAATTAAGGACGTTATTGTTAGAACAATCAGATACTACCCTGTCTCGAATAATGGAAATTCTTGATGCAGTGACATTAAAGATGAAACGAAACAATGCATGCACACCACCACCATCTCCAAATAATCGATCGCCTTTTGGCTCTCCTTGTGGCTCCCCTACGCACAACAGAAGTAAATCTCCACTTTTAGGGACTACGGAGTCACCATCTATCAGTTCAAACCAATGGCTGCCTGTAAGCGCCATCAAACAAGACCTCTCAGTACTACAAACACTGGATTTGACTTCGGAAGAGATTGTTATTTCTTCTCTTAGCTGTATAAACCATTTCTTTAGTTGGATGCCATTGTCGAGTGTTCTGTCGCCAAATATCGTTTCAAAATTCTTTCTTTTTGCCGAGTACGGATGTGCTGGTCTTTCAAATGGAAGTAGTGATCACAAATGTAATGAAATAGGTAAGAAATCCAGCCACCTTTACGTGCATGTGTTTCTACAATCATGAACAGAACGTTTGAGACAAACCCCTAAACATGTACCCAGTGGCATCCATGTATAATCAAACATCCTCCTCCTTCTCCATAAAAATAAGGACGCTTTTAATCTTAGTAGAAGATATGTCAGCATTGAACTGTAACACTCTATGTGATTGACTATGCTTCTAAGTTCAGTCCTTCTGTTCTGTGTTTCAGTTTAAGTTTTATTAGCTCAAACTTTGTTTATAATCATATATTGTTGAATTGTTAAAGTAATGTAGAACTGGAACTCTTTTGTAAATAGATCATCATATTTGCTCCAGAATTATAGAAGCCAAACAAAAATGGATGCATTGGTATCAAGATTTTTATTTATATGTGCCATATTAATATCACATGTCAGTGTGACGTCTACAAACACGTAAATATCTCTAATATAAGAAAAAAATACCGATGAAATATTAGCCTTGTGGGTTTTTCGATGTATGTAGTTCGAAGTTTCTGTACAATGCTGATGATCTAAGTTATTTCAATTCTTCTTTCACTGTTCAAATATTCCATCATTTGTAGGGTGCCTAGCGATGAATTGCATCAATGAATTGATTTCAAAGAATTATTTTCCGACGGAATACGAAAGCTTCTTGGTAAAAATGTTTCAGCAAACATTTACTTTGCTACAGCAGCTAACAAAAAGCCCTTCTGGACAGGACCAAGCTGGAATTCTCGCAAAACTGGATGAGAAGTAAGTTAATTTGCTTTTACTTGAACTTTTTGTAATCTTGGTAGTGGGTATCAGTGGCAACTTGCAGCGGTATGTGCTAATAGTCTTGTAGCATTTAATTTTGAAAGTATATATTTCTTTGGTATAATTTTCTTTATAAAGATACCATAAGATCTAATGATAGCAGAATTCATGACCGCCATTTCCTGACCGTCTGATCTCATCCTAATTCTCATTGAATAATTAGAGGTACTAGACCTCACTCATCAAGAAAAAAAAGAAGGCTATCCCATTGCAATTTGTGACCCGTTATGACGTCAAACTCTTTGTCTTTCTTTAATCCAACAACTGCAAATTCATGCGCAGTACTAGATTCCTCTTTCTACAAATATAATGCTGCGTGGCCATTCAGGATTATGGAACCAAACCTTGTAGCCTTTCTCTTCTTCTATGTGGAGGCTACGGTTTTATAAACTACTTAGGATTGGCACCCCTTTCCAAACCTTACACCCCATTCCCAGTCTTGCACCCCTTCTTAAATCTTGAATCCCATTCTCAATTTTCGATAGCATGCTTTCGCCGCAACGTCAAACATGAAAGTGTAATTTTGCTGACATACTATGCTACAACGTTTCCATTAGAGTCAGTTTGAATATCAATTTTCTTGTTAAACCTGAATACTTTATAAGTAAACGGTTGATAATGTGTTATTTATGCTTGCGATAACCCTTTTTATTTTAGACCAAGCAGATCTGTTCCGGGTAAACATCAAATTTGTGATTAAGAAATTTAATGTCAGGCTTACAATGAATGCATGAGTGAATATATGTCCAGGGGGTGGAGGTTTGAAGGGCTCTTATTTTCCATAATCTGCAGTACCCGCTGTCACTATTGGTTATCTTGCATGTTCTTATACAGTTGCGTATTGGTCTGCGACACATGTGATGAATCAAAGCTATAGAAATTATCTTATCATCATAGAAAGGAATAATAGGCACCTCAGTAGAAAACTTTCATATATAAACACTGATTTCTTTTTTTCCGGTCTTCGACACAGACTAGTTTGTAATCTATAAATTGCTGCTAATCTTTTACCTTTCGCTGTTCGTTCCTTTGCCCAAACTTTTTTTGCATCTCTTTTGCTGACATCACTCTTTTACTTGCCCCATCTCTTATTTCTTTCTCATCGACAATAGCCCCTCGTATTTCTCTCCAAACTGCTTATTTCTCAATACTAGCACCCTCAGAATTGGTTCCTCTTCAGGTTCACTGACATATATTCACTCTTGTATCTGTACGGGCGTCATCTTATGATTTGTATTCTCTTCATCAGCCTTGTTTGCCCGGAGCATTAGCATTGGAAATAGCAAGTAAGTTAGGGTAAGTCTTGATATTTCAACTATGAGTAGCACAATATGCTCGCTTAGTGTATGGTTGCCTTAAGACTTCAACACGGCGGAATTGTATCATCGTTCATGGAAATACGAAGCCCGTGTCGAGTCTTGTTGCAGCCTATATAGATATCGTCTGCCCTCGTTAAATGATTCTTTGTTTTTGCTTCTAGTTACCTGGAGAAGTTTACTGAGTTCCTTTCGTTGTTTGTCAGTATCCATCTGAAAAGGTTTGAGCCTAATAATCATTTCCCAACGGCAGAACTGCTCAGCCTGTTGGTCAAATACACTTTGCTTCAGGTATGTAGTTTGATTTGGTAACACTGTTATACTGTAAGTTAGAGAGTATGAAACAATTTTATTTTCCAACAGCAATGCTCACAGATTAATTCCATTATTCTATCATTGTGAAAGCTTATTCTAGAGAGATTTCCTCCAGACGAGCTAGAAGCGAAGCTAAACTGTTTTCAAATCTGTGCATCAACCCTTTTTTACAGAAAATACATTTTTATCTCTTTTTCAATCTTTTTCATTTGTTGCAATTTCGAAGATATTGGAATCAAATTTTCATTCAATATACCTTTGATATCCTTCTGGTCCTGCTCTCTGTTGTGACGCATTTCTAACTTCCTTTGAATGCTTATTCCAGTTTTTCCTCTTTGCTAATCGTTCTAATTCAAGAGTAAAGTTAAATGTTGATCAGAAAGTTGTTAGGAGGTGCCCGCCCTAAAGGCCGAATTCCATTTGACATTTTTTGTGCGCGCGGGCTCAGACCCCAAATCTGAGCATGCGTAGTTAAAATAAAGTGGTCTCGATTTGCGTCCGCTGTGAGCGCCAAAGTTGATAGGGTCTCAACTTTTTTGTGCGCTCGGCCACTTGACAGCAGCACTTAGCTACACATGCTCAGATTTGGGCGCCACGCACGCGCGCACAGAAAATGTCAAATGGAAATCGGCCTTAATGAACACCCCGAATATGCGCTGACGGAGTTGTATAAATGAAAATTTTACATAATCGCATTTTTTGTTGTTTTCAAGGCTTATGTATAATTTAATTTTATTCTTATTACTCCTAAGATATTAAGACGAACAGCTATTTTTTATGTCCGATCTGTGCCTGTTTTGCTGTCATTGGCTGTTGGTCAAATAGCCATGCCTTTCGGCATAGTCAAAGCATGAAAAATGTCAGTAAATATCGAAAACAGAACATTATATTAAAATGATTCAGAGCATCGGTTTTCGCTTAATAAGTTTTTTTAATTTACGTGTAAGAAGAAAGAAACACAGGATATGCTGCCCGCCAGATTCTGTGAATCTTGCAATGAGTGATAATATGAACGCCATATTATCATTGTCATTTACTCTGATGAAGCCCTGTTTCCGGGGCAAAATATTAGTATTTATTGAATTTAATATATTTCAAAATTCTGTTACACAACACTGGATTCTTGTTGTTTTTCTTTTTTCCTGACTATTACTTTCTTAATGTACTCTTGTTTTGCAACTCCTTCGCAGCCTACAGTCAACGGTTTCTTTCGTGGTTTGGAGATATGGTCAACGTTTCTCGACTATTTACTGGATAAAGTTGGCAGCTATAAGGAAACGAATGGAGTAAAGAATAACGTTAGAGAAAAGTAAATATTTTTAGTATAACCGTCAGAGTTTTAAGAAGATGTTTTATGTTTCAAATAAAAGTTCAAGAAAGTCTTTTCGATTAATTTCAAAAGCTCAACTACCGTAAACTGTTATTTCATCGTACGTGTTGTTATTTTTTAAACAATGTAAATATATTTTGTAACCAATTGCCACTTACCCTCTAAAGATATTTTTAAAGAATAAAATGTTTCGAAAATTTTAACCTCTTCCATCCTTTTTTTTAATTTTTCTTTTCTATTTTTTTTCTTTAGTTTTTATTCTCTCCTTTTCTCTTTTATTGATAATTTATCATTTTCCGTCTGTTCTATTCCCCTTTTCCTTGTTTCCCAACTTGTTTGTTCCTTTCCCTTCTGCTTCTCTTGTCCTAGCCTTTCTTCCTCTTTGTTTAGTTTCCTGCATCTCCCCTTTAGCTTTTTCTCAAATAATGTTGTACTTAATACTTCGTTTTTCCACCATACTGTTTTCAGTATTTTTAGTTTTCAGTTTTTATTCATTTTTTGGTATCTGCTGGATATTTTCATTTGTTTACCAAATCATGTGTTTAATTCGCTGTTAAGGTATTCTGCTATACTGATGGAGTTACTTGAGAAATTGCTCCTGAAACTGCAGCTCCGGTATAATGACGTTCAGCTAGATGAACTAGACGAAGACGTAGCTGAGAACGAGGTGTGTAAAAACCATCGATTACGAGGCCTATAAGAACAAAATAAAATTATTTGTGCATAGAGCAAACTGAGAAACTGCCAATATTTTTGTTTTTTGTTTTTTGTTCATGTGAAATACAATTTTACGGTAGCCAGTTGCAAGCAAAGGTAGTTGTAAGCCAGTAAAAATACGTTTTTAGTCAGTTATTGATTATGATAAACTGTCATTCGATTATAGGTTGAAAGTGAGAGAGCCAGATTCATTCGAGAGTGTTTGGAAGTTGTGTCGAAAATCGCGGAAATCTTCCCAGATGAAGTCGTCGTGAAAATAGTGAGCCTTAAATTTATACTACCCTCTTAATTTGAGACGAAAGCGTCTGTGAAATAAATCTTATTAAGAAACAATTTTACCATGAAAATTCTTACACAGTTGTCAGAAACTTGTAACAAATGATTGAAGTTGCGTGTTATTTTTTTCACGTAAAAAGATGGTTACATTAATCTTTGTTAAATTTCTGGTGCTAAATTTCTACCTTCGTTCGAACATTTGTATAGATTCTTGTAAGCCTGGCGAAATTCTAACGTATTTGATAGATCGTATACACGTCAATAAAACGGTTATTCGAACAACGCATCATGTTAGACAGGCTTGAAGACAGCTTCAATGGACCGAAGTTATGAGGAATTAAATTGAGGGAAGACGATTGCAAACAAATGACCTTTGGTGACTATGCCCCAACACTTGGCAAATCACAAATATTCTTTACAAATTGATTTAATTGAATTAAATTGAATACCTTGAATTTTAGATGGAAGTTCTGCAGCCCAATCTTGATATTTATTTTGGTCTTGCAAGTCACGTTTCGGATCATTCCCTTTCAGGTGATGGTTTCCTCTGGTATTTTTTATAAGATTTGACAACTACTCTTTTGTAACACTTTTATTATGTTAGAATTCTATTTGAGATAATTTTCTTTTTAATTTAAGACTTAGACGTATACAGTTATATTGAATAAACATTGTTTCTCGCGGAAAGAAACTCAAAAGTAAACCGTACTAAGGAAATGTTGGATTTACTGTTGCTCAATTGACTGAGTTTCTGGATTTTCTTTTGTATCGAAACTGTTTTTGAAGCGAATGCACCCATCAATGTCTAGGTCCAAGACTTTGTCCTAGAGCAACATTTTCTCTGCTGTTTATCATCGTTTGCCTCTGGCAGCTTTCTGCTTCTCTGTACATGGAATTCATCTAGTTGTAATTCCGTTTTAACCGATGATTTGCTGTTTTTTGTAGCAAGAAGATTGGATATCACATCAGAAGCTGAAATCCAAAACCTTCATAAATGTCTCAAGGATATTGGTACTTTCCTTCAGGCAATGGGTCGGCTGGCTCATCTTTTTGTTGGGGATGAGAATTTCAACAGAAAGCTACAAGACGGACAAGTTATTTTTGAACGGTAGCTTATTTCTTGCTGAGTTGATTTTGACTGGCTTTTAGAGCCGATAGTGTACCCTTTTAAGATAAATTTACATTATAACAACATTGCTACTTTAAGATTCCATAGAATGGGTTTAGTGCGTTGTTTTAGATTGTGTACAAATCTTTGCACCTGCACTTTGGAAATATTATCAATTTGAAAGTCTTATACTTCTTAGTTCATTCTTCTCAGTGATATACACGCTATGTTTTCATTCCTACCATTTCGATGTTAAGATTCGAAACCTTAAAATAATTATAATTTACCTAATTTATGTCGGACAATGTTGAGTAACATAGTTTCCAGCCTTTATTTAGGGGTATAAATTTCAATAAGAATAGCCAAAAAACTTATTCTGTTTAAGCACAATCACTACCTATTTGCGAATTTTGCTTGGTCTCAGCTTGTTAAATGATATCCCGATGTTTTAGATAATCAATCATCGTGTGTAGGTTTACGCAAAGTTTACTGGCTATGTAATATTCACGTTCTGTGATTTTTATTTGATCTTCTTTCGAAGGATTTGTCAACTGGTTTTATTTGGAACATATTACAAGCTTTTCTCAATAAAAAATGCCCAACCAGACATTATAACGAAAGATTTTGTTAATGTGTAAGTGAATTGGTCTTATTCTTTTTGCTTTCCATTGTGGTTTTTCCCTGCGCTTGAAACTTATGCAACAAATTCCAATTAATTGATTTATATCGAGGTTTTTTCTCTTTTCTTAGAATGATTTTAACTACAGCAAAGTCATTTCATGGAATTATTGCTTTTCACTGGAACATTTCTCAATTTTTAGCCACGCCCATGGATTGTCTTGTTTGCAAGCTTTCTCGCACTGGTTGGAATTGTTCAATTTGGAATCAAAACGCCAAAACAATGATTCTGCTGATAAATTCAAGTCGATCACAGTCTCGGTATTGGAGGGAACACTGCCACTTCTTCAGTCGACCGTAAGCTTGACTAAAAATATAACTTGACATCTTAAAAGTGTCGACATTTGGTGCAAGTGGAACGTTTTTGTCTTCAAATTTCGTCACCCATTATTGCACTGTCCATGAATTGGCTTGTTAGACTCGTTTAGACAATGTCTCGTTTTTGTAATGACAAGAAAATTTTTTGAAAGTTGTTGACAGTGTTATCTTCGTTGTAAAGTCACATGTCAAACTCAACCCGTGCTACATTCCCGCTTCCCCTTATTCAACCATCATGTAGTTCAACAGTCTTGTTATTCGATTTTTTCTAATCTGAACCAAATTATTTTCATAATTATCCCTGGCCTAAATTTTCTCGGATTATTGAACGTTAAAGTAACTTCAAAATATTTTGTAATCTTCGCAGCGACTTGGTGCAAAGTCCTTTAAATCTGCCTTCTTTTTTCAGATTCCCCTTCAGATTCTGTTAGCTGCATCACATTTGTTGAATTCCTTAACGACATCAGTCAGACCGCAGTTCTTCCTGGCTTTAGAAATTGTTCAGAAATTCTATGGGACAATGAATGCTGGTGGCCTGGAAGCGTTGCCACTAAATGTAAGCTTCAAAGTCAAACCTACAATCACTGCCAAAATTACTTGGAACACCTAACATTTTGCGTTGTGCTTTTCTATTTTTTATTTGTTTTCTTGAATACTACCACTTTCGCCCCCCTTTCCCCCCAAAACAATGTTGAAAGTATAGAAAAATATCAAACAATCCACAAGAAAAAGCGTACTCCATAACCCCTTTCTTTTTTCTATAGTAAATCAACATCGTTCCTAGGGGGAGATTGGGATGGCTGAATTCGCCTTTGAAAACCTACGTTGGTGTTCCAAGACTTTTGGCAGTGATTGTATATGATATTAGCTATATGTAGTAATGAAAACTTAAGCTTTTGATACTGCTTGATTACATTGTCGCTAGCTTCAAGCTGTGTCAAAGAGCCGGGAAATATTTTCCGACCATGGAGCTGAATATCAATCACAATCAGATCCATGCATATCTATGATTAGATTTACGATCTTATCGAAATCTGGAAGACTAATCTGAAGTTTCTCATCATATATTTATGATAAACGAATAGCTAAACCCACACAAGCCCTATATGGAAAGATTACAGAATTTGCCATTGTTTTCTCGTTACGCATCCACTCTCTATTAGCTGCATTGTAATTGTTATATTTGATTGTTGCATCTTTCTAAATTTTGATATCATAAGATTTTTGGGAGTTAAATGCGCTATAATTTTTTTCTGGTTCTGGCCTAGAAGAGATCGGTAAAGTTTCCAAAGAGAGAAATCTGGTTAAAGAGTAGTACTCATTTACAGTCTCGAGCCTTTTCCTTTTTCTTTCCCTACCTTGATCGAACAACAAATACATTAAGATATACGATCAATATAGCTATTTGAAGTAATGTGATACATCTCATCATGTCATAGTAGGACTCTAATGTTATGTGATATGTCCTTTGACATGATAGGAAGTTACAATCAAAGCATTTAGATAGGTTTAACTGCACATTGTTTTTTTTCGTAGATCCAAGTGTTGATAAGCTGTGCTTTATCCAATACTTTTGTGTTGACGTGGCCATTAGTGCCTCAAGAAAATCAAGTGCGTATTTTTCATATTTTCTTTATTATTATATGCAAATGAATGACCAACAAGAAGTATCTCATTTTTTACCAATAAGGGAATTATTTTCAGTTAAACCCGAAGGTAAATGTTGATTCAAAAAGTAGAATGCACGTGGTCGCATAAGGAGGTATGTTGCTCCACACCTAGCCTCGTTTTCCAATTAGCATGATGCATTATGGACATTAAATATTTGATCAGAGGTGATTGGAGCTTTCAAATAATGGGTGAGCCAATGAAAGCTTGGATGGCTGGCATTGGGCTGTGTTACCGAATCGTATTATAAAAAGGACTTTGTGAGTAGCATTATGTAGGCTATTTGCGAGGTCATAGTGAAGCGAATAGAAATATATTAGAAAATTTGGATAGGACCAAAAGCCCCTTCAGTTTTCTCTAAAACAGTGCTCATGAGCCGTTTTCCTTGATTAAAGACCTGTATTTATTAAAGGAATTCGTCCCCAGTCGATACTTAAAAAGCTTAAAAGCTTAAAAAGGTTTGTGTACATTTCATGAATGTTTCTATGTAACCTCTATAGACAGTACGGTTTAGCCTTTAAAACCTTCTTCGAGTAGAGTGAGAAAAAGAGAAATGTTGGAACGAGGAAACTAATTTACTTTTTTGTAAGGTTTCTAGAGCTTATTTTGACCGTGTCCTGTCATTATGATACACAGGAATGGGAGATGCGTTCTTCATATCACAAGAGCCTGGTCAGCATGTTCACCAGGGAGTATCAGCATCTGCCAGAAATCAGAGTCTTGTCATCGAATTTTGAAGAAAGGAATCGATGTAAGTGTGTCAGCTGTCATGTTGCTCACGATTTATAAACCCTATTTATGAATGTCGTGATACCATTTCCTTTCATTGTGCTCATCATTGACTAAATCAGGCAATTTTGGATCAACAGTAGTAGATCATTTGGCCTCAAAATCTGAACTATTTTGCCTTCAACTTCTTATATCAGAGGAACGTTTTTTGACAAAAATGATAAATAATTAGGATGGGTTAATCAGTAAATGCAAAAAAAACATTCCTGAGGATTTTGTTAGTTGATTGCTAAAGATCTCATTTTTAATCTTTAGTGTTAGTCGATTTGGGTATGTTTACATTTAGTAGGATAAAATGTTTAAATACAGTTACACACACGAATATTCCAATGGGAACTTCTTTTTTGCAAAAAGCTTTTCATATAAGGAAATGGTAAAGGTTGCTAGATTTCAGTTCTAGTGCTGGTTTCTAATTTTTACAACCAGTTTCAGTGACAGTGATTTTCAGTTTTCAAGTTTGGGATACAGGAACATTTGAGTTGGTTTGAATTTTCAGGTAAAGATTTCATCAAAAGAATCTGCTGTATACTGTCTGGAATCGTAGAGACAGTCTCTGACCAAGGAACAAAGTCCAAGACTATAGTTCAACAGTCGACTCAAGATGCTATTCAGATAGCAGCAGATCTTTTCCCAGTGTATCTTACTCAAACAGGTTTGTTTTTTTCCAGTAACTAATTTCATACATCTGTAGACAATTGATAATTCATCTTATCATAGACTCAGTCTCATAATAATATCATATCCAGTAAATAATATCATATATTTGTAGACAATTGATAATTCATCTTATCATAGACTCGGTCTCATAATAATATCATATCCAGTAACTAATATCATATATCTGTAGACAATTGATAATTCATCTTATCATAGACTCGGTCTCATAATAATATCATATCCAGTAAATAATATCATATATTTGTAGACAATTGATAATTCATCTTATCATAGACTCGGTCTTATAATAATCTCATATCCAGTAACTAATATCATATATTTGTAGACAATTGATAATTCATCTTATCATAGACTTGGTCTATAATAATATCATTTCCAGTAACTAATATCATATATCTGTAGACAATTGATAATTCATCTTTCATAGACTTGGTCTCACATGTTCTTGAGCTGTGCGCTAGTTCTCTAAGCTTCATGTCCGTGTTTATGACTACCAAATTCTGTTTGAATATTTGGATAAAGGTTTACCAACTTCTCGTCATTTGGAAACTACTTTATTATAACTACCTTCTACTGTGTCTTTACTTTGAAAATGATTACATAATTCGTTGTTCAAAAATAGATTAGAATTTGACATAGTATGAAAACTGGTACAAAATAACCAGAAAATATCTTTCAAAGCAAGGAAAATTTTTGAAAGGTTAAATGATGAAGTCGAAAAAATATTTTTTACAATTTTTGAAATTTTTTCCAAATCTTTTGAAGTGTTACCACAATCACTGTCTTTTACAATGAAATTGTAAACAAATTTTAAGAATCTTTATTGAACCACCTGAATCTTTCAACAGCTTTAGATTAAAGTTTTGCATTCTTTTCCATCCAGATGTTGCTGAACAAATTCTCAGTTTGCTCCTCGTGACAGTGAAAAGTTTGAAAATTCAAGTCGGGGTCAGTTTTGTACAAAATATTATCCAACAGTTGCTTGGATTGCTCACGAGGTACGTTTGAGTTGATCACACCAATAGGCTTAAATTTCATAGGTCTATTTTGATGGTGCATTTGTTTAGCCTTCGAGTACAAGCTTGCTTAATTTTTGACACCAAATTATCATATTATCTAACAAATTTATCCTTATTTCAAGCTTTCGTTGCGATCAAATTCTATTCATCATTCAAAATTTCTTCTATCATATGTGCCAATTATTTATTTTTGTTTCAATGTTTCCAGGGAACAGATTACCAAAATTGTGGAAGAAAACAACGATGCTGGTTATCGAGTTATTGAGAAGTAAGTACGAATAACCAGCGTTTTCCCATCATTCCGTTTAGAAATGATGTCATAGATCACCTTAATCGTGCTCTCCATGAATATCCTGTAACATCTAACATTTATTAGATGAAGTCTTTACAAGATACACATGCAGTCAGCTTTTGTTGATTGTGTACTTAATCACAGGGCCTTCAAGCGAATATGCGATCAAACATTAGGTTAAAAAATGGAAGATATATATGCAGTGCATTGTTAAAATGCTACCTAATGTGGTCAATGCGAATGTTCTTTGAAAGTATACATACTTTTGAAAACTTTGCAATATGCCTCCTTTCGGTAAATGCCTCATTTTGATACATGCCTCCTTTTGGTACATACCTCTTTTTTGTAAACTGTTTCTTTTGAAATATGTCTCCTTTTGTCACTTGCGCTGGAATTGATGAGTTCATGCTTCCTCGAGCTTAACTCTCCATCGACATTTATGACTACGCTTAAAAAGCATTTTGCATTAAAAGTGCAAAAATCTCTACTTACAACGCTAGCAAATCCTTTTTTCATTCTAGATTTATGAAAATGCTTGAATTTGTCGTCCAAGAACACGAGTCGTCATTCAAGAAGCTTATTCCAAGTATTATCGAATTCGTTTTGCATCAAGTCATGCCAATTATACGCAAGGTTTGTTTCTATTTCTTCATTCATTCATTTCAAATGTTTTTGTCTCCACTGCAAGGTGCAGCTATAGGGCATGGTCCTATGTGTCACCCTTACTACTGCAGTCGAATGCTACATTGATTTTCTTTTTGTAAGTAGCATGTTAAGTTTTGGCTTCTTACGCAATGCCCAAGAAAAGGCAGGCAAATCCTGAGAAAATCTACAGAAGTATTCTGGAGAGTTGATACTGTAACAAGGATTTTAAACAAATATTAAGAAAAGGCTTGCTAAACTAAAACTGAAAATCTTCCGTTTGAACAAAGAATGACAAAATTATAAGAAGAATATTGAGGATATATAACAGTTTGGAATATTTCTTCACCGAATCCCTGTTGGATAACGTTCTATGCCATTAATGTAATTCTGCTGCCAGAATTGATTTGAAGTATCATGGCTTCAATACCTTCAATACCAATACCGACTATCGCTTGGTTCTGCTGATTTTCCTCACTTGCTTTCGGTATATTCTAGACATATTTGGTAGGTGTCTCATGCCACTTGAGAAGAAAAACTGTTAATGTGGCATGCCTTTTGACTTCTTATATTTGGTAAATTGTGATGCTTTTATGCACACTGTATGGAATGATTTTGGTTGAGTACCATTAATACGTGGTCTGACGTCACTTTCATTTCACTGTCATCAGGGGCGGACACTTGATCAAATATTGGGGGGGGGGGGGGTCAAGCCTATTGTTTTAATAAGATGACATCACATGTCCCATTGTTCTAGAACAAAAGATCATTGTCCTCTAAAGTATTGGAGGGCGGTCGCCCCCCTAAGTGTCCGCCACTGACTGTCATCCTTCTCTCGTGGTCATTTGAATTAATATTGACTCGCACAACCACCCTAGGTGACTATTAGACAACGTATTATGTTATTAGCTTTTGAATATTGTCATATTTACAGGCATAATTTGAATGGGTTCTACCGCGTGCCTTTAATAGCAGTTGAATTTCATTGCATACGTTTTTCCTTCGCAGTTCCCAGCTCCTGATATCAACATCATGGTTCTGGAACTTCTTCATCAACTGCTTATTCATAACTGGCGATTTTTCTTCAAGTCTAACGTCGTTTCGAAAATGTCCGGAGAAGACTCCATGGAACATGAAGACCTTTTTATGTTAATAATCAAGGTATACAGCGTTGCCTCGTTATATTTTTTTCTAAAAATTTGATTAAGAGGCCATATTCTGTTGTCTTCAAGCTGCAGAATTCTTTTTGTATCAATGTTCCTTTTAGTCAGTGTCGCATCCCTTCCTTTAGGTTATGTGGACAAAAGTCGAAAATTCAAAAAACAGTTTTTTGTGACGTCAAACTTAAGAACTCTGTTACGATTCAAATTGATTTTTGTGGTGTCTTTTCCTCTTTTTAACCTGAAAGTTATGGTCTCGCATTTACGATTTTTAGGAAATTGGTCAGGCATTGATGGAGAATGATATTTTAATGTTCAAGAAGTCTTTGGAAATAATGCAGAGTTTGAATGAAAAGTATAAACTTTACACAAAGGTCAGTTTTATCCCTCTAAGGCTCGTCAATATATTACGTTGAGATTCTGATGCTTTGATGTTTTCAAATCGTTATGCCTGTATGCGTAGTGAGATACTGGAAGGAAAAAGGGACCTAGTTGCTATTAACTTATCTATATCTTGTAATTATTCCGTCATGATGATGATTATGATGGATAAACTTCACTCTAGGCTGCGTTGGTTATAAGGTAATTACAAGATATTGATATAGTCATTATACCCAAGCACGTACCTTTGAATCGTGAAACTGAATATAGTGAGTAATGTGAATCGTTTAATTTCAGACAAACTTTTTATTCTAACATAAGATAAATGAAATTGCTCGATCTTCCTTTCAGCACGTCTTTCAGGCCAACTTGCTTTCTACTTTCCTTCAAGTGTTGTTAGACTCACTGGTCAACCAGTCACATGACCTCCTAAAGGAGGACATTATAATCACTATTCACACAATGGCGTCAGTCGATTTGAGGGCCTTCAACTCGGAATTTATGCAGCATTACCTATTGCGTTGTCAAGGAATAACTGATCATCAGAAAAGTGACATGCTTAAAGCCTTCCAAAACCAAGAGGTACCTTATTTGAAATCTGCATTTTTAAACTGGTGTTTGCTAAGTTTTGTTTCATTCCTAACTCTTTACCTAAAGCAAAACTATATCTTTATTTTGCACTACCCATTTTGAATATCTGTTGTAAATTTAATTTTTGTGGATAGCCCTAACAAATTTGTTTTCTATTTTGAATATTTTAAGTTTTGTTTTTTAGCTAAGTCTTTATTTTTTCGTTTTAACACTTCCACCCATATTCTTTGTCACCGACAACCTAATAACTGGTCCTAGGTCAGCTTTAGGTCCTTATTCAGTCTAGCTGTACTGATGAGCCCAGTTATTAGGTGACTCTTGTCTCCAGGCGACTGTTTGAAATGTCATTGGTTTTCTTTACTTCACGTTAGATCTTTGTTGTTCCCAAGATTGTAATTTTTTAACTTACATCTATTTTTAGAACAGTATGCTTGTCATACTAACAGGTTTTTCTTGTATAAATCAATATTACAAACTCGTATATTATTATCTTCAAGTTAAGAACAAGAAAAGTAATTAACATTGCCCTTTATTAAAGCTGATCAATGCAATGTTTGAAACAGTAATGACAGTGATATTTAATTGTATTGCTACTTCTGTGTCATCTTGTTATGTGATATTCTTGTTTATCTTTACCTGTGTGATATTCTTGTTTTTAGGATTTGCCATCGTTTATCACAGCACTACAGCGTTTCTTCAGTGACTTCCGTTATTATCAGCTAATAAACAGTAGCATACCAAATTCTCCTTTACGCCTATAGCATTTGTGGAATTCAGTAATCCTTTTATTACGAGCTGTATTGATAAACGGTCGCTACCTCAATATTTGTTGAAAGCATTCATTGGTTGCTCAAGAACCTAAAAATTGTCACTTTTTACACATTTTTACAATCGCCATTAAAGAGTTTTTTTAACTTCTATAAATTGTGTTGGCTACAGGTAGATACAATTTCCTCCTCTTCCTTGGCCCTTCGGGTTCCGTAGCCTTAACTTCGTATATGCAAACTACGTATTTCGTAATTTTTTGAAACTATCGTCTTTTAAGGCAGAAGCCAGTGGGCTGTCTGAAGTGAGGCAACTATCCTCAATGCTAGTTGAACAGCTATGGATTAAAATCTCATCATTGCTTTTGGCTGCTGTTGGAACCCCCCCCCCCCCAATTGTTGTATATGATTACCTTTTGTAGTTCTGAAACGCCTTTATCGCCGGAAACATTTTTTGTAGCTATTTGTAGCTCGGAATCGTTAAAAAATGATTGATCAATCATCATAGCTACTTTTTGTTCAATTCTTGATTTTGCGAGTTGCATACACATTAAGAGATATCTGCATTTGTGTTTCTATTGACGATTATTGTCTCTAATATGCGCGTGATATTTATTAAATAGAATAGTTTTTTGATAAACATTTTCTGCACTAAATGCTTCTTATTAAGAAAAGTTTAGAAATCGTCCTTATATCTTGAATTAATAGCAATATTATTGGGCCAAACCTTCCCCTCACAGCTCAACCTCCCTAGCAGCTCCACCTTCCTTGCTCCCCTAGCTGCTCAACCTTCACTAGCAGCTAACCTTGCCCTTGCCATAAACAATAGTTTTTCTGCCGCTCGCCTTTTAAGCTCATTTGATTTAGAGAATTTTATTCAGCTAGTAAGCATTCTTCTCTAAAACAAGGTAATCCTTTTTTTAAGAAGAAACCCTTAAGGTCCTGTAAAGTTCATTACAAATGAAAGTATACACTTTTAGGGAACTTCTCATTTTCAAGGAAGTATTTTTAAAAAACAACAGTATCAAAGGCATAACGACAGCTCCAACTTACAAACAGGAGGATTATTAAAGTCCACTTGACCAAAAACCCCATTACCACTGTCTCCGGGAAGTAGGGAATGCATCTTAAGAACAAAAAAATCACCGTCATATTGCTTACTGAAGAGATTCGCTTCTAGCATTTGGATAAGAAACGAAATGGTGTAAAAATCTTTATTTTTCCTATTATAAGCTGAATGGTCACCAGTCTTTTCAGTGATACAGGCCTCTATAGTATAAAATATATATATATCCCAGGGATAAGAATATAATATTCACTTACTAGGCCGTCTACAGTAAGAGTATCCATATCTCCCAGGTGTAAGAATATAATATTCACTGTTGAGGCCCTCTGCATTGAGAATATTTTTACGTCCAAGTTAAAATTTAGTCTTTAAGTGCGGATGTTTTATGTCATATTTGATGCCATATTTATTAATGTTTCTGTATCACTCATTTATCGTGAGAGTTAAAACTAAACTGATATTCTTCCGTTGTTTTCGATCAAACGATCTGTTTTCGTGCTGATAAGTTTAAGAGTAGTATTATTTGTAAGGTTGGTACAGTTTGCTTGGTATTAGCCAAGGCAGCCTTCATTCGTTTGTATTGTGGTGCATGTATAGCAGTGACCGTACTCAACTGTTTGGAGAGTTGCTTAGTGTCTTTTGCTAAAAACTATTAAGAACAGTAGTTAGCTAGTGTATTTTGAACAGGGTTAGATGATTTATCATTCAGAAGTAGATTTTATAACTATCTTGACTTTGAAATAAAATATCTCACATGGATCTTATGTTTTTTTTGACTTTCCTTATAAACTTTGTTCTGATAATTTGATAAGTAATCATAGGAACGTTCTGATAATTTTATAAGTAATTTTTTCATGGGTCTGTGGCTTAAGGTGCATTTTTGCTCTCATCCTTTGTTATAAGTAGATAGACTGAAAACGTCAATTTTGAAAGCCATGAAATTTCTGCAATCATCTCGTTCCAGGGCATCTAAGTTAATTTTTTTAAAAAAGGCCGGCATCTGAGAAAATCTATTCAAAGACTTGTTCTTGAAGCAAAACTTTTATAAGAGGTCTTCTAAAAAGTTGAATCTTAAATGTAGCCTGATTGTTGGACATTGATAAAAAATTGTTACCTACAAACACCTACAAATGCAGGTATAAGCCGAGAAGCAGACGTAAAGTTGAAGGTGAGCCATCGATTTTCCCTGCCATTAAAGAGGTTGATGAGACTGGTGGAAACCTGCATCAACTGATCGTGCAAGAGAAGATAGATTAACATGCACAGAACAGATAGAAGCAAAGAAGAATAACCGATTTCTTTAAATAGCAAAGGGGAATAACTGATTTCTTAAAATAGCTCTAAAAGATTGACGGCATTGCCTATACTTTCCAATCGCGCATTTTAAAAATCTAAAATGATTAGTACAAGCAGTTTCCATTGCCTTAATTTTCTCCACAGGCCAGCGCCACTGATCCTAAACTGGAGGGGCCAACAATGTAAAGAAAAAAGTTCTCTCTTACCCCCTCTAGCCTTAACTGTGGCAACATTTTGCTGACGCTTTTTTTACTTGTGGACTTCGGTTCACTGAGTTTGTTGCAATCTACAGGTTCAATTGAAATATTTATTAAACAAACTGAGCTGATTTTAGTCAGTTTTAGCAAAAAGCTACTAGGAGAACATGCCCACTGTGATGCAGGCCCTAAATTTGGGTGATAATATGGGTAGGGGCCTAACATTTTTAACCAAAAATTTTAAACCTTAGTATTTTCATGACTTTGCATACGCAGAAACGCATTTTGACACTGAAGAAAGCCTCGTTTCTGCTGTTGCTATGGACTGTTTTCGGGTGTTGCCAACCCTTCGTGTGAAACCATAATGGTAGACGGCGTTTTGACTGCAGATCTATTCTAGGCCGAGCAATTTTTCCAAAAAGCAAAATGGGGAGTGAAGACGTGGAAAAGCTAGAACTTGAGTCAACAATAGGGTTTGCTGGTAAGCAGTTTAAAAAATACGGCAACGGATTCAGTTACTATTCCTTAATGATAATACGCCAAAGGTTGCTTAAACACGGGATGACCTAAGTGGCGCAGTTAGTTTCTATAGAATTAGTGCAGTTTCGTGCTATTAACGGTTAACAGGAACAATGCAAATTGAAGAAAAACGATCCATTGTATCAGCATATTATTTTTTGAAAATAAGTTATGCAACATGAATAAACTGCATTTTGCATTTCGCCGAATAAAGTCATTTGTCTTAGTTCTTCCCATCAACAGTTTATGAAGTTAGTCGCAAGATTTTTTAAATACGTTTGACGATGTATTGCATCGTGCCTTTCTTTTTACATTTATGCTATACTACAGTTTTTTGCAAAGTAAATCAGTAAAATTTTCAAGTAAAAGTAGCATATTTTTTATTTGTGCCTAAAATGTAACTATAGGAAATAGCTAAACAAAACTAAATTCACAATGGCTCCATATTGAGATAATAACTGATAGAAATATTATTACACCACATATAAACACTTTGTTTAAGGTCAAGTTATCTGTTACAGTCACATAAGAATTAGATTCTAACTTTCAAAGATTTTTCAATTCAGCTTTCTTTTCAGTAACACTTCTTCCCTTACTTACTGTCACAATTTTTCATGCGACATCTGATGTGACGATCGCTATGTAATTATTTGTATTTACTTTTGATTTTTTTGTGCTGAGTCACATGTTTAGTGACATTGTTAAACTTGTTTGCATGTGTACATAATATACATATTCACCAGCATTAATAGTTGCGCTGTATTGCTGTACCCCTGCAGCAAATTTTGTAACACCTTGGAAACAGCTTGTTCTAAATAAATATGCAGGTTTCACTTGTTCTTCAGATTTTGTTTTCATGAAGAGGTTGTTTCTCTGGCCTATGATCTTGGTTAGCACATAATGTATCATTGAAGAAAAAGACCAATTGACCATAGCACATAGACCAATTGCAAAGCCCTCTTGGCTTGATTTGAATAGAAAATTTACCTTGAAGTTTGAATATTCTATTGTAGGTTGCTTGCTTGGAATCACAAAAATCTCAATTTCTGCTACTATTAAAACATATAATAGAATTCTAATTATTTTGTTTCTTAAGACTAATATTGTATCTTATGATGATTACACTAAACATGTAATGTAAATTATCTTTCAAAAATTTTCTGAGTATATCCTCTACAAAACTTTTTTCTCTAATGTTTTTCAGGAAGTGTCCCTGGTGGGCTTCTGGTACATCCAGATGCAAATCATTTGATTTACCCACTTGGCAATACTGTTGTCATTGAAGACTTAATGGCAACAAAGCATGATAAGAGCAGGCAGCAGTTCCTCTCGGGGCACACAAACAATGTTTCTTGCATTGCAGTCTCAAAAAGTGGTCGGTTTGTTGCTTCAGGTCAAGTAACCCACATGGGTTTCAAAGCAGATGTGATAGTCTGGGATTTTCCTTCTAAATCTTTATACAAGAAACTTGCACTGCACAAAGTCAAGGTACAAGCCCTTGCTTTCTCACCAAATGACAAGTTTCTTGTCACACTTGGTGGTGAAGATGATGGAAGGTAATGCCCAGCTTTGTCAATTGTTTAAGAGTTTAGCTCTATCATGGATTGAAATATGCAAGTGTAGAACATTTTTTTACACTTGATTAAGCTCAAGTGTAAAGTATAGGACACAACCAACCATGTACCTAAGTTGTGCTCATTGCATGATCTGGTAGAAATGTACTTAATAGCATTGAAAAGGATGTATAATTATCTGAATCATTGTAAATTGACTTTCAATTACAAGAACTAATAACAAGAAATAGAAGTGTCAATTTTTTTTAATTTTTACTTAGTGTTGTTGTCTGGGACTTGAAAAAGAAGGATGCAGTTTGTGGCTCTCCTGCAGCAGTGCTGAGTGCTGGTGTTACATTTTGTGTTGCATTTGCTAACAACAGTGACAATATCTTTGTCAGTGGTGGAAAGTGAGTTGCATCTTTTATCAAAATTGCCGAATTTAATTGAGAAATGGAATGGTATGAAGTAATGTTTACTATTGATTAGCTTATAAAATGTTTGAATTATCACTGCTATGAATTATCATTATCTCAATAAAGCTTAATGACTTATTGATCAACCCTGATCAACCAGAATCCACTCTCCTTTGCACAATTAACATTAAAGTTTGTATTTGAAGGAAAAAAACAAATTTTTGAGACCTGAAATCAATCTTTGTCTGATCTTGCAGTAAAACACTTAGAGTTTGGGAAATTGATGAAGGAAGTAGAATACTCAGACCAACTGACTGCAACATGGGCCAATTGAAAAGAATTGTCAAATGCATCCAGGTATACATGTTTGAAAATCTTTAAATGTGTTGTTAAACATCAAGTTTGGAATACCATTGTCTAACAAAATTACATCTAGTATAACAATTAGCATTTATTTTTGACAAATTTTTTCAAAGGTGGCGCCAGAAATCTTCCGACAGAGGGGTTGGAGGGTCTGACAGGGGGGCTAAAATGACTAAAAAAGCATTTTTCGTATGTTATTTTGTCAAATTTGCTCTGACAATAACCTTAAATTTCCTCCAATGGGAAGGGGGGCTAGATGCTTCCCATGGAGGAGCTGTAGCCCCCTCAGCCCTCCCCTGGTGCCACCACTGAATTTATTCCAAATCATATCCAACATTTACTTGGTTGGAATAAATTGTAAGTGAATGAATTTCTAAAAATTTGGAAGCTTATAAAGGCAATCAAAACATCTTTTCTCTGAAGCTATTAGAGAGACACTGTCCCATTTGCCACATTTGAAACCATGGCACTGTTTTTTAAATTATCCCATTAACTGTGAAATTTGAAAAAATTGTAACATTCAACTTTACTGTTTTTTTAACACATAGGTATCTGATGATGATCAATTTATGTACTGTGGTACAACCAGTGGGGACATTCTTCAGGTATTAATTACAATATTGCATTTCTCCTGAAATATTTGACTGGAAACTTTTCTTTAAAGAGATAAGCACATGCCAATCAAGAGATGATTATGTTTGAAAGGCCGGCGTTTTTATGATAACTCTTCATTATAACTTTTGATTCAGAATTTTTTAGGGAAGGGGACAAAAATCTAATTTATGCCCTTCAAATAATTAGAGATAACAATGTCAATATAGAAGCTAAGCTATAATTGACACTAGAGAACTTTTGCAAGAGCAAAAAGTTTATAGGCTATGACCTAAAATCCCCACCTATGGCCTGCCCTTAAACTTTGGTTGAAATAAAGTCTTTTTGGAACTTTGGATTTTTAATGTCAACTATGAATAGATAAGTTTTCACTTTAAGTTCTTGTATTGCATTACCAGTTTTTGAAAAATTGTTTCCTTCATAGCTTTAAATAAGTTTTTTCTTGTATCACTACAGATTAACATGCGAACAAAACTTCTCTGCCATTACGGACCTCCCAAGGACAAATTTAGTAAAGGAGTTCTTTCACTGGCTTTGCTCAAGTCTGGAGAAATTCTAATTGGAGCTGGGGATGGTACAGTTGCCATTGTCCGTGGGGAAAATTACAAGAAAGTCAAGTAAGATATCAGGCACAATGCCATGTTATCATTGATTAAATTCAAATTATTTTTGTGCACTATGTTGAAGAGGTCGTTCATGCATCAAGTAGATACGGTTACAGTATGTATTCAGTTTTTGTTGCCCCCCCTTAAAAAAAATGTACACAGGTAATATCATGCGTGAGCTGCTTTTTGTTCAACCCTTTTATTCCATAACATGTGGACCTTCAAGTATATATATACAAGTTATTCTTATTCTTGTTGCAGATCTACTGATGTTGAAAAGGGGGTTACCTCTCTGGCTCTACGAGGTCCCGGTCACCAGGTAAGCTAGTGCTATTGGATTGAGAATACAAATTTAATGTACAGCCCTTTCAGTAGAAACGAATGCAGTTAATGAGATAAGTCGGCATAAAAAATAGAATTCTGGCTAAAGCTTCTTGAACATCTACACAAACTCTTCACTGCTTTGCAAATCTTCCCTTCCCCTCCGCGTTAGGATATTGTTAAGTTTCAATATTTAAATAGTTATCTGTAAAAATCTGACAGATACTGTAGCTATAAACTTCTGTATTAAAGTAATCAGCAATGTTTGGAGGGGAGGGAGGAGGACAACTTTGAGACAGTGCTGATAATTTTTGGAAGTAGTTCAATCAAATTGGTTGTGAATTTCTGCATTGAATAGTTGAGATCTTCCAAATATTGTTTGCAAGGATTGTAGGTCCTGGCTATTTCCCATTCGTATTTTGGAGCTATTAGGCATGAATTTAAGTTGAATACTGCCCAGGTTGAATATATATTGATATTCCATCATGGCCAAAAATGCCCGTAATGTGCATTTTAGTGAAACACCCGTAATGTGCACTTCAAAAGAAAAGATAACTGATTTCTCCCAATCACGTAGCAATAATTCCAGAAGATAGACAATCCTGGCCAGAAATGCTGAGACACTTGCAAATAGGAAGCTACTTACAAATCACCCGCCCCCTTCCCCTCAAATCAATGTTGTGATTGGATTGGTAACCGATGTAGTAATTCCCACTTATTCCGTAACCATCTTGGTTTAGGTCACCAGCGCATATTATATTAAGATATAGCACGCGAATTCCTTTTTTGTTCAAATGTCTCAGCTATTTTTGGCCAGGATTGTAGCTTATCTTCGGCAAGGCTCGCCGTATTTTGGGTTTGATAAGCAATAGCATTGTCGATAAAGGCACAAAAAAGAGGAATTTTACTGAGATTCCTTGATAAACATCCAGTTTGCTGTAAGATACACCGCCTGAGATCATCTCCCTACTGACCCCCATGACCGTCTCATACTACTAGCAATAACTTCACCCAACGAATTACAATTCTTATCAAAGAGCTCTGTCAGAAACCTAATGAATTTCATCTAGAAGTCTTTCATTGAGGAATTTGAATCACAGTTATGAATAGAAGGAATTATTCGTGAAATTCTGAGTTTCAACTTAGAACCATCCTGTTCTAAGAACCGACAAGTGAAAGCAGTATGTAAATGCCATATATTGCTTACAACTGTTTTTTTAGTTCTTTGCGGGTACAGAGAGATCAGATATCTACAAATTCAGCTACGCAGAGTTCTCTAAAGACCTGGTAACTGCCTGTCATTCTGGGAGTGTGCTAGACATTTCATTTCCTTAGTAAGTAGTGCATTTGTTTATATGACTCCTGTAATGTCTTTGACATGTCAATATGCGTCCGTGGTTTGACCTTCTCTGAACCATCAGTCAGTTTCTTAAAATCTCTTTAAATTTCTATAGCTATGAAAATAAATATTTGGGATTTGTCCAAAATAATTCAAAATCAATTGTAAGAAGACAAAGTTTGCCACTTTTTGGCAATGCCATGCGAGGTACAGCCCTAACTAGACCAATTGCAACATTTCTTTCAACCTTTTCTGTTGTCAAATGTTTCGATTTAGATAAACAATCTAGTTGTGTAGCAAAGAAGATTTTAAAGATTTGAAATCACTAAGATTTGAAGGACCCCTTGTAAATGAGCTCCGGCCGAAGGGCAACTTTCTTTAAACGAATTAAATTGAAAATGAAAACAGTTTCTTGAGATGTAATTAGACGAAAAGAAATCACACGCTGCTCTTTTTTCAACAGTGAATACTCTGATGTCTTTGCAACTTGCTCAAAAGAAGACATTCGAGTGTGGAATGCGCATACAAGCAAAGAGCTCCTTAGGATTGTTGTCCCAAACATGACTTGTCATGCAGTGGACTTTATGCGAGATGGGAAAACAATCATAAGCGGTATTTTATTTATTTTATTAACATATATAGGAATGGTGGTAGTAAGATACCCATGTTAGAGCCCAAAAAGCTTGACCCTCGATTCGGACTTGCAATGACCGCCCTAGAACAAATCTTGTGGATGTATTTATGTCATCAATCAACCCTTAATTCCTGTTATCATCTATCTGTACCCTTTTAGCAATAATTTTTTGAATATGGCTTCTTTTGCCTTGAGAAAGGACCTGTTTAATATTTCAGTCAGAAGCGGTATGTTTTTTATATCATCAGTCCAGGTTCATAACAGATTTTATAAGGCCTAAGCTGAACCGTGCTCTTAATTGCAACGTACTTAGATTTAGTTTAGGTTAATGTGACTCATATTTTAAGGGTGTGCATATAAAAACCTTTTAGGTGTCATCACTATGAGATCATGAATAACTGCTTTGAGTAATTTCTTAATGACTCATTAACACACAATAACTTAAAGCCGTGACCTATGTTTTGGGGATTCAGTACTGAATAAGGCAATGAAGTTTAATTATCTGATTTTCATTTGTTAGTTTTAAATTTGAAGGAATAAAAGGATCAAAAAATAATGACCCTTTCATTACCTTTGTAATAAGAAGCTATTTTTCCATCAAACTGAACCAGTTTTTTAATTCATAATTTCAGGTAGTCTGTATGTTTTTGTTTTGGTAGGTTTCTGCATATAAGAATTTACTGTCATGCATGAAATACGTTAAGTTTATCAAAGGTAACATAGAATACCGTTTAATAGGTAATGATCAAACAAGATAGTTATTCCATAAGAAAAGCCTCCTGTGGGGACAGCCATTTGAGTAGACTTGCTTCAACTAATTTAGCCATTTGCACATAGAAGTGGGTCATATTTTGAGACCCTTTTAAAAGGAACTGATGATTCTTCATTGAATGCTATATTGCAGCTATTAATTTTTTAGCCTGGAATGACGGAAAGATCAGGGCCTACACACCTGAATCTGGAAAACTCAAATACACCATTCATGATGCGCACAATAAAGGTGTAACTGCGGTGGCAACAACATCTGACTGCACACGAATCATAAGTGGTGGTGGTGAGGGTCAAGTCAGAGTTTGGAATGTTGGATTGAATGGCAGCTCTTACAAAATGGCAGGTGCTATGAAGGAACATAAAGGTATTGCCAGAGTTTAATGTAATTTTTAAAGTAAACGAAGTTATATTTGTATCAGATAAAGTTTAAAGACCTACAAAATTGCAGATGCAATGAAGGAACATATACATATTGCCTAAGTTCAAATATATTTTGATGTTAACAAAATCAAGAGAGTCAGATGATGCTTATGATTTATGAGCTACCAGATATTAAACAACATCTCTAAAACCTACAAAATCATAAATACCACCCCACAGACCTACCATCCATTAAGTAACTCACCTCAGACCTGCTAGATCATCAATAACATCCCTCAGATTTACCCTGCAGCTCTTATAAATTTGCAGATGTAACAGAGGAGCATACTTTTACGGCTAGCGCTCAATTATATCAATGCCATCTGGAATTCAGATCTTCGTCTTTGTTCATAAATTAGCAAGTCTTATGATTTCTCAATTGCTTGTTAGACAACATATATCCTCCCACATATATCATTTCTCCCTTGTTTTTAACTCGCAAGCGTTGCTTTCTGTTTGTTTTTAAATGTAGTTTGGTATGAATTTTCTTCAAAACGAAATGAAGAACAAATGAATATCCACTTAATTCAAAGATGATTCAATCATTTTTTGGGAACTCTGTTTTAACAGATTTCTTATAAAAGAATTTCTTCTACACCAGGCACTGTAACTTGCATCAAAGTGAAGAGTAATGACAAAGAGGTAAGTTCTCAAATGAATATGGCAAATAATCTTTTTTGCAATAGTTTGCTATTAGTGATCAGCATTTGTCATTTCTATTTAGAATTTGTTGAATATTCAACTGGAAGTTGAAACAATGATTTATCCATCCAGTATTTTTGTCAAGTCCGGTGAATCTATGAAGTTAAGAAAAGTTGATCCGACGCTTCTACCTTTGTTTTGCTAATTACGTCATATCAAAGCTTGACTTGGACTTGAATCTAGAGTTCTGTCAAAATGTAAAGATTTTTGTTATTTGTAAAAGCAATTTGTGCTTAAGCGTGCTGAAAGTTAGAGCCCACCATGGAAGCGACTAGGCCAATTTCCTCGTTTTCCCTATCTTAGCTTAAGTGTCCTCGCCGTGAGATGCTAATATGTTGAAAACTTTCTCCTGAAAAGTTCCAATCCTTGTTTGACGAGGTTAAAGTTTTGTAATCATGCCTCTAAGATCCTGTATCTTAAACAAGCCTCACTTCTTCGTCCGATGGTGTTGAAAACCTCCGATTGTGTTAAACATTGAAGTATTTAAATGTAAAAAGAGCTTTTTTGGCGTGTTTCTTAGCTTTTGCTTTCATTCTACTTATATTTATTGCAGTGTGTTACTTCAAGCACTGATGGAACATGCATTATCTGGGATCTTGAGTATGTTTGCTTTTTGGCCACTTTTGTAATACAGATGGTGCTGGTTTGAATAACATTTTTGCTACTGCTGGAACAAAGATTATTTTTGAAAAAACTCTCATTTCTTTTTTCTAATAGGGTGATTTGTGTCAATAGCACGGTCGTATTTAATTATTTTTAAAGAAACAGTTAGCAATATATCAAAAAGTCCTTTTGGGCAATGTTGTTTTTCTATCAAAAGCGTAGTTTGAGTATAAATAGGATTGTATTCGATTCTGCATGGTTACTTTATTTTCCCCTTTCGTAGTCGTTTTGTGAGAAATCAAATCATCTTTGCTAACACAATGTTCAAAGCAGTTTGCTATCACCCGGACGAATGTCAGATCATTACAGTTGGCACTGACAGGAAGGTTTGTTATTTTCCTTTATTTAGGATGCTTCTTTATAAATAACAACAATAATTTTTGGATCTTAATAGGAGAGCTAAGCGGGGCCAACCTTATTCAAAGATGAATATGCTTCGGTACTTCGATATTCTCCTTTAAGTCTTTGGTGCCGTGATCATTTTCAACTTTTAATGACACTTACAAAAAATGTCAAGATATACTAAAAGTTGTACGGGGTACAGTGCTTATTAATTAGACGGAGTCGCTAAGACATTTGCTACCATCTGAACAGAAAAACAGGGTGTCCAATCCGAAAGCTTTGATTCTCTTTTGCTCTACCCGATTCAGAGGTGAATATTCTTCGGCTTGTCGATATTCTTTTTTAAGCCTTTGGTGCGGTTATCAATTTCTCAGTGTCCAGAAAAGTCCTCAACCTTCTTCCGGCCGAATTTTTCCTCATCAAAACCTTCCTCCAGTTTTTCAAGCAATCATCTTGGACAGGGCGTGGCTAGGGAGTGGCTAGGGCATAAGGGGCAACAGACGCAATAAATTGTGACAAAATTATGTGTTCGGGTCGATGGTAACTATCACATACGATTAAACTTTGCTAGAATAACATTCAAAACATTACAGCTCAAGAATAATATTTACTTTTAAATGTCCAAAAATTAAGTTGATGTAATCACGATATAACATAAATTGAAAAATTTCAAAATCATGGAACACAAACAGGATTTCTTTTTCAGATGTATAATGTATTTACTTGCCGTAGAAGGGCATGGCTTAAAAAAATTGCGTCTGTTCGTGCCACCATTCGACTCTGTGACAGATTCAACGTGTGTTTTGAAAGTGCAACGAAGAGATAGTGCAAAATAAGTTGTCTCAACTGTTTTTTTTCAAATTCTATTTGTCAAAACCTTTCTCCAAATTTCTATTGTTTCTCAAACCTTCCTCCGGTCAATGACCGTGTGACCGTAAGGTTTTCTTGACTCTGCAATTTCAACTTTTAGAGTGCAAAGTTTATTTGAGTGCAAAGTATTAAAATAGCAGGTTAAAAGCTGCGGGATTTTATTGTTAAATAGCATTTGTAAGTCTTGTGGTGAACCTGTTCCCTGGATTCACTGGAAAGTCCCTGCTGCAACTGCACGGATAAATCTAAATTTGTAAAAATGCACAGACGGGATTTGAAAGAAAAAATTATTCCCCAAGCATACCCAAACATTGCATTCAAAGTATCATCGCATTCAAGACGTGTTAAAATTGTACGGGGTACAGTTTACATAACGTTGATGGAGTCGAAAGCTAACTATACATTTTGTTCCCTTTCGGAAAATGATTTCTCTTGCCATATTTATCATAAAGCTATATTTATCATAAAGCAAAATTATGATTTTTATTACTTTCATCAAACAAAAGAATATTGTATATCCAGGTTCACCTTCAAATAATTAAGCTATGTGAAATATTTCTAGTGAAAGAATTTTATACTATCTTTCTTTAATGCATGCTTCATTCTTTCTTGCTATTGCAAGCAATCGATTGCTCATTTAGCAAATGTTGTTTGTCTTCTATTTAAGAGTTATGTTTTTCTTGCTATAGATTGGCTATTGGGAAACGTATGATGGCACTCAAATAAGAGAGCTTGATGGCACCAAAAGTGGATCCATAAATGGACTGGACGTGTCTCCTGACCAAATGTATTTTGTTACAGGTGGAGAAGATAAGTTGCTTAAGGTACGACCCTTTTTGAATTTTTTCAAATGGCAGTTGAATTGAGGTGTCAAGATTATTTAAGATATTTGAGGTGTGTTCAAGATTAATCAACTCAAGATTTTTTCACAAATTAAGTAAAAGGCCACTTCTAAATCTGTTTTTATCTCAATGCTTACGTCTGCACAAACATTGAACAGCTCAATTTCCTTGCCTGATCTTTTACCCAGTGCTGCTCAATGTCGAATTTTGTAGCCAAAAATACTCAGAAGTTTTGAACATTAAAGTAAAGAGATTTCATTAGGGAAGGGTAATTTACAAGTAGCGGCATCAATGTAGGGAAGTTTTTTTTTATAAAACAGTTGTTTTAAGAAATTTTTTGAAATTGGGCGTATTATTCATTTTTAGTATCAATGACGAAATTTTTTGCTTAGATGAACATTAAATTATGATTTTGTTGAATTGTGAATTTAAGCGAAGAGGTTTCGACCAATCTCTAATATTCAAGCAACAAGCAGTGGAAAGAAGTGCACATTTCCCAGGATTTAACCATCTCTTTTTAGGGCTGAAGTCTATGAAGGGCTGTGAAATTCAAGGCTTAACAATAATCTAGATATTGGAGATAGTGGAATCCAGATTTAACGACACCACCCCCCTATTTAACGAACTTTCCGGTATAAACCTTTGGTTGTCTATTTTAGTTAAAATTATACTCGGTTTAAACGAGTATGTTGGGACTTCATTGTTTTTGACATAAATCTGTATTTGTATGTTTTAGGTGTGGAAATATAATGAGGGTGAAGTGACACATCTTGGGATTGGCCACAGTGGGGACATCATGCGAGTAAAGATCTGCCCCCAACAAAAACACGTCGTGAGCGTTAGTGCAGATGGTGCTGTTCTCAGATGGAAATTTCCTTTTTAAGGAACATTTTTATTCATATCATTTAACTTTATCGTGTACAAAAAACATGTGAATAGCAACAATTTTACTTTTTCCCTATCATTTAGTCGTTGTTTCCAATCAGTTGCTAAATTTGATTGCTTTATGAGGAAATTCATTTGGACTAATAAATGAACTTTTGTTTTTGATATGGCCCCTTTTTCGGTGTAACTTGATACCAGTGTTTTCATAGAAATTTGATTTCTATAAAAAGGGCTTTTTGGAATGTTTTTAGTATTCTTTTTCTCTCCGCTATTTTGTCGCTAACGGTATCTTCATCCCTCAGTCCGCGGAGGATATTACTTGTCGAAGGAGAGGAGCTTAAAAGTTTTGAGTACATTTTGGAAATAATTAGAGTTTATGCCCCCTCATCATCACTAATAATGAAATAGGAGAATTAATCATGCTAAAGCAAAAATCAAACAGTCGTAACAAGAAACAGCTTTTTTAGCATTGATGAAATTAAAATGCCTCTAATGAGATCATTTTAAAATAAAATATATCTCTAATTTTATAATTTTTATGAGGAAAAGACGTAGTAGTCAATTATTTTGAAAATCGCACAAAAAAGTACCGATGTACCCTTGCAATTCTCCTTAAATGTGAAATTTGACCCACTTTGAGAAACAAGACCTAGTGTCGAGTTAAGGAAATGTCGATGAATGTATTCCAGCACCCTTCTCAAGCACCCTTTTTGTGATGCAAAACAATTTGACAAAAGACGTTGCCAGACTGGTGATCGATGAATTATGCATCTGGAAGAGCTATGAGACTGGCTCTAAGTAGCAAGTAATAAGTTATAACAATGTTCTAAGTTCTAACTGAAATGATCTGTTGCGCAGGGGGGGGGGGCTGAATCCCCTCAATAATTGTGAAACTGTAGTGTATTTCTTTTATAACAGTGTACTGAATGCGAAAGAATACAATGAGCAGCCCCCCAATATGAATTTATAAGTTGGAATACCAGAAAAATAGAGTTTCAATGGGTTGTGTTTATGAGCCGTAAATCTTCGAATTGCCCCCCCCCTCCCTCGAAAAAGCCCCCCCCCCTCGAATAAGCCTCCACCCTAGAACTACAAATTGGCAATAGGCCCTCTTCGAAAAAGCCCCAACTGCTACCGTAAATTCTCTAACTGGACTCCTCCATTCGATGATTTTTGCCATTTGAGGTTGCCTTAGGTTTTATTGAATTACCACAACAATTCACACTTTTGAATTCCTACTAAAAAAAACGAGGTCTTTCAATCATGTCTTCTTATTGTCTACAATAATGTTATAAGCCCCCCCCCTCCGTGCAAGCCCTCGTCTCGAAAAAGCCCCCCATCCAAAAATTTCAAAAATAAATGAGCCCCCAGGGGGCTAATTCGAGGATTTACTGTATATTCTTTGATCTGTGGCTTCGAGCAGGATAAACATGTGCTGTCAATAACGTGACATCATTAGTCTCAGAATCATTGAGAGGTTAGCCTTGTCTGAAGTGTAGTAGTTCTCTGTAGTTCTCTGGAAAAGTGGAAACATCATGGAAGGAAATCTTCCTGTAACTTCCAAAACCGTCTTTCGTGAAGACGTTGTTCGCCATGCAACGCGTCGGGACAGAATTGGCATTGTACTTGAAAATGGAAATGATTCTGAGTCGAACTCAGAATATGAAGATGAAGAGGAGAGAGTAGGGGAAGGATTGGTTTTGGTGTCATGGTACCCCAAAGGGGACGAGGAAGAAATCGAAGAAGGCTTGGTAACATTTTAATTGCATCCATGTTCGTCATGCTCATGTTTTTAATTTAGAAATTAGAAATTAGCCCCATTGTGTGGCTGATTTCCATCATTTGAGTGACTTGAATGAAATATAACGCAGCCTTTCAACGTAAGAAACAAAAATCAAAAGTTTAGAGAATTTAGGAATATGTTAACTCTTTCCATCGGTGCCAAGTCTCCTGCACTGAACCTGAGTCTCCAGAATTTAGGGTTGAAAGAAAAATAGAAGCAAAATAAACAATCTGTCAAAACAATAGATTTTCAGCATACCACACAAGGTACCAAGAGTTAGTCAAGTGTAGTCTCCTTTTTTAACATGTTCAACTTATAGTTGCAGGCTGTTGACAGATCTTGGTCACAAGGGGAAATTGCAAGATGGAAAGACCCAAGTAAAGGGTCAATGAAAGGTATTGTTAGTGATATCTGTATGAAAGTGAACCTCAGGACTGCTGGGGCATTGCAGCCATTGGCCAAGAATGTAAATGTCAACGAGCTGGCTCCTCTACAGGTAGGGCTGGCTAAAGTTTTTTTTATGATTTATAGCACCATGCTGTTTTAACGTCATTGTAATTGGCCATGTTACATCTAATCAACTCATATCCACAAGTGAATACAGCCCTAACATGTGTCTCACACACAAGTGGAAATGCCTCCATCCAATAAATAAAACAAAGTATTGTGTAAGAAAAATTAAAGGAAATACAAATAGAAGCATATATATTTAGACTGTCAAGTTCATTCTTCATTTTAATTTGGAAATTTGGGAACAAAATGGGGTATTGTGTTTCAATTATTTTATAACAAACCAGTTTGTTTACATGTTAAACCAGGGGTCAGCAACCTTTATAAACCAGGGGCCCAAATTTAACTTAAGGAATGCATATGAGGGCCGCAACTCAAAATACAATTTAATTTTAATCTATACAAATTCTAACTAACTACTTATCTAATCATTAAAAATGTATTTATCGGTAAATGTACTGTAACTTGGATACAGTTCATAAATACAAAAAAGACACATTCAAGGTACATGTTCACTGTTCATTATATTACAAGAAACTTGGTCCTGCATGTCCTTGGCCAACTTCTCGAAATTTGGAAGAATTGTTTATGTTGACAGCTGCAAGGGGCCTTAAAGGTGCTGATAAGTAATTCAAGATTGCATTTGACTCTTTGCATACTTCATCTTTGAGAAGATACTTTCGCAAAGATAAATACTTCCAAATATGTAGCACATCTTCTTGGCATGCTGCACCAGACCTGGATATGAACCATTATCCCGGAGATACTCTTTATAAAACTGGATGATATCAGTTACCCTGTATTTCAGTTTCAATTAACTGGTACCCTGCATGCAGCTCGATCAACTCAATCTGAAGATCTTCTGAAGCAGATTCAAGTTTGACTTCAAAGGGCGAAGCAAACTTCTTGAAGTTTTTGTGTTGACCCTGCATATCTTGAAATCAATTATTAAACTGCATGTGAAGGTGTCCAAAGAAAGATGCATACATAGACACGTCAACAGGCTGCTGTTCTTCCAAAGTTTGAAAGCAAGCCAAGTTCCCTTGACCCAGCTGAGTATTCAGAAGAGGTAGCATACGCTGGAACTTGACAATATGTTCATACATGACATCCATAAAATGACCTTGGACGCCTTTGAAGTAATGTCAATGTACAAGGAATGTTTATCTGGACAAAGAGCTACTGATATTTGGAACTGAACCGATATTGGGCTGATACTTGTGCATCAAGCTGCATTAACAACTGATTAACATGAGCCTTCCAGGCCACACAAAAATACCTTGCAGGCGGCATATGGCCTGCAGGCTGTGGGTTGCCAACCCCTGTGTTAAACATTTCCCACAAGTAAAAACACCATTTTAAATTGCTTTTTAATAAAAATTTCCCTAATGCCTCCCTCTAATAAATGTCACAACAAATTTTCAAAAATTTAATGTTATTTGAAGCCTGATTAACCAGTCTGCTGAGTATGGCAGGGGCACATATGAGGTCACATTTCTGCACACCAAGCAACATTATAGCAAACTTCTATTTGCTCGCCATAGGTATAAGTAGGTTTGCATGGGAAAATGTATGAAATGGTTGTGCAGATACAAAGTCCCATGAGAACTATCATATTCTGCCTATTTGCCTTTGCAGCAATCGAATCATTGACCAATAAATTGGCTTCATAAAGCAAATCTTGTCTTTTTTTCATCATTATGTTAAAAAAAATAAGTCAAACTTAACGTATTATAAATTGATTATAATTTTAGAAGTTCTACCATGAGTTAACTTTTGCCCTTGGAGCTTGGATTGGCACTGTTCGGGAAGTACATTTGAGACTGATATTGAAATTCAGAAACGGTGCCAGGTATCAAATTTTCTTTTTGGATTCAAATATTAGTACACAGCTTCATATCATCCAATGAGTGGTAACACATTTTAACTGAATTCTTGCAACATTGCAACAGCAAAATGATACTAGCACTTAACACATTCCAGCATGTAAAATGATTTCAACGTTCTTCATTCAGTTTAGGACTCACTGTCTCAATATACATGGTATCATTAACACTGAAAATGAGGGATGCTAGAAAAATCTTAGTACAATCCATTCTGAATTGTATTTCTTTCTATAAGACTAAACCTGCTCATTTTACCCTATGATGTAGTGTACTATTTTGTCTGACTAGTATCCCCTTTTGGCATATTTCTTTTGTTATTTTTAGATGCATAGTTGAAGGTGAACAGGTTAACATGTTGGTAGACAATACTGACAATAGAGATGAGGTATAATTGTTTTTTCTTCTATTTTTCTTCTATTTTTTCTGATAAATGCATGCCTTTATAGCATGTTTCCCAAGCAGATATTTTGCACATTGAAACTTTTTGTACATGCATCATTGATTCTGGTGGATCAGATGGGAAGTGGCCTCACAATATTCTTTATCTCAAAAGTAATAAGTTTTTCAATTCTTTGTTTTTAATTATTTATGAAAATTATTTTCAATTTTGGTTTCTATGACAATGGCTCTAGATTTTGCTTAAAGCCAAATAAAGTTAATCTACTTCAACCTTCTTCTTTCCATTTCTAGCGATATATTTATGAAAAGAACTCTATATATCAAGTGCTGATTGTTTTATTTTTTAGGATTCACCTTTTTATTGTGGGCTGTTTTACCCAGGACAAAGTTTAACAGGAACATCTAGGGTTTTTCGAGATGTGCAGTGGATAAATGGACCTCGCCCAGTTTTTTCCAGCAATCAAAGAATCAGCTGTATTGTTGATGAGGTATCATGACGATAATCAGTGATTTCTGATTTCTTACCTTAACATAGCAACCAGTTGGTGAATATAAAATTTTTGTTCTTGGTGCATCAATTCATCCTTCAGTTTTTGTGCTGCTTTGGTTTTAAGCTTGGATTAAAAGTTGTTATGATGTTATGGCAGAGTGTTTTATGTTAAATGTGAATACTTTATTGATTATCAGAACTAAAAATAGAAAGTATTCAATTGTAGGTTACAGCATCAGGCCTTCGAGTTCATTGGCTAGAACGAGGATACACCACCAGTTCATCGGAATCCTCATATCTTCCACCAGACACGCAAATCTCAGAAGAAACTCTATCAAAGTATGATTTTTTAAGTATCCTTTTTGCAATTTCATCTGGAATTAAACGCAAAATTTTGTTATATCAGTGTCAAGAGCAACTGCTAATAAATTTCTTAATCACTTTGCAGAATAACTGTGTTTGATCATTTCAACAAAACAAATATTCAAATTGGTGACAAGGCTTTCTACACTTTGAAGGAAGCAGACATTGATCCAAATAAATCTCCACCAGATAAAGAAGAACACATAGATTTAGCCCAATGCTCTAAGGTGCAACCAGAAAATAAAAAGAGTAAACATTCTTCTGCAAGCAAGGATCAAGGAAGAGAAGATGTAAGTTTGCTACTGATGAATACTGGTACTGGTTTTTGTAGATCTTTTGCAAGAACTTAGAAATTGTGCCTCTACAGTAGAGTAGTTCATAAGATGCTTAGCAATTTGGGATGTGTAAGCTTTACAGAGAAGTACTGTCTATTTCTGCTTTGAAGTTGAAAGTTAAAATATATTACATGTATATTGACCTTCAGTTATCAGAATATTTAGGAGGGGGTGACAGTGTACCTATGCATGATCCTTGAGGTATACTGCATTTGATATTCTGTATATTGAAAGACAGGTAATTTACATTGCATAATTTTTCCCCATCATTTAGATAAGATTTGAAACTGTTTTTGCATATTTCGTATTTAATAGTAATAGTTTTTTTAACCAAAATTTTATGACCATCAGTCCCAGGCACATTTTCAATAAAGATCAAGCCAGTGTACCTTAAACCCCTTGACTGCTAGTATAAACATTTGTGTTTGGAAAACTTGGCTGTATTGAATTATCAATACTTTCTGACTTTACATACTGCTTTTTCTTAACAGGATGATGAAAAAATCGAAGAAAATGATTCAACCGGGACAGATGAATCAGCAGATGACGAGGATAGTGATCATGGCAACACAAGGGAGTCACGACAATCTGCAACCGTTTCAAATCGCCGCAATGAAGGGAGGCATCAAGCTGCAGCTGTTGGGCCTCGATCGCATGCAAATAGAAAAAGGAGGCAGTTTCGGCGTAAAAAGAAGAAGCATCAAATCCCTGTTAAACTCGTGGCTGGCGAAAGGGTTTGCGTGGAGGTAGAAGCGACTTCAAAACTATTGACCATCACGTGGCAAGATGGCAGCAAGCAAGCTGATATTCCATCCACTGAACTTCTTCCCGTTCTCCATGTTGATGACTTCGAATTTTTTCCAGGGGATTTTGTCATTGACAAAAGTAAGAATATATTTGTTATGAAGATGTATTTCAGTAAGTCGCAGTGCAGAAGATCATATTATTTGCCAAAGATTCTTTGTAAGAGGGGGTAATTTGAGTTCGGGTAGTTAAATTGTTTGGCCGTTTGCAAGCTTCATTGTATTCCAAGGGGTGGGAAGAAATTGATTTCCTCAAAAGTATTAACAGTGTTCCCTAACCTGTAGTTCGCATGCGGGTTTCCTAAACGTTTTCCTTGAATTACCCCTTAGCTTTTCTTGAAACTTTTGCTGGACCCTTGAAAGAAAAATTAGAAAATGAGCTGTCTGTCATGATTGATGGCCGGCATCTATGTTTTATATCGCTTTTGTCAGGGTGATTTCAACAACTTGTTCTCAATTTCCTTAAAGAATTTTTAATGCTCCTTTCAGTAATAACCTTCATGGCTATAATTTTAATTCTCATGCTTCAGGTTTACGTCGCCACTGTATGCCAGTTTTGATACGGGATACATGTGGCTGTGTGGTTCTTATAAATTTGAATTAATTGTTGCAATGTGATATTAACCAAGCTCACACTGTGACCTCATTTTCAAGCAACGTTTAATCAGCTCTGTTTAACACCCTTCCTTTGATTCCTTTGCAGCACAGCCCCCTTCCGAGGCTGGCTTTGGGGTTGTTCAAAAAGCCGATAGTTCTCAGCGTACCTGTAAAGTTAAATGGATGAACAGAACAGAAAATGTTTACGATGATTGTGTAAGTGTTTATGATATCGGAGACCATCCTGACTACAGTTTCAAGTTTGGAGATGTGGTGTTTCGACTAGCAGATGAACAAAATGAAGAAAACAGCGAAGGAGGCAAAGAAGAAGTCAAGGCAACGTGTGGGCAGGTGAGCAGAGGATTGAATTAAAATTAGCGTTTTGAATTTATTTAATGTATTCTTGCTTGACTTAGATACGGAAGTAAATTACAGTGTTTTGATGATTTTAAGAAGTTTAACTTACTTTGTAAAGTATTATGATCTTCTATGTAGGTTGCTTGAAAATCCATTGCTTAATTCAAGGAAGCGATAAAGGGAAAGGCAGCCAGTAGGCGCTGGGTTTATCTGTTTTTTTTTATCAATTTTGTTATAGTGTTTTTGGCAAATATGTTATTGGTTTTGATCAGCTATCAGAGTCAATTTGAAAACCACTACTCTGTTGAACAACAATTTTTGCTGCTGCGCTGTTATTGCTGACTTTTTGATACTTCAGGTTTTGTTCGTGGACATTGAAGGAAACATCAATGTTCTATGGTCAGACCGCACAAGGTCCGCACTGCCGCCGCAAAATCTTTTCGTAGTGCATATAGATGTAAGTGTTTACCTATCCATTGTTTCTTGTTAACCTGACTCCGTTTTTTGGGTATCTCATAAAACCTGTTTGCTACGAAATGATTATTTTGCCATGGATTCATCTCGGACTATTCAGTGTATTTTGAGGTGACAAAAGTGCCTCAGATTGCAAAAGTTGACTTTGTTTATAAAGTTCGATTGTATTTGTTACCAATAACTTGGCAGTCTCTATCCTAAATGTTTATTATTTTGCCCTTGCTCACGTGGCAAATAAAGCAATTGAACTTGAAGTAGATGAAATACCGGTAGAATGCAATAAGTTTAAAAAGTGTGATATATAATCGTGTAGCAAGTTTACGTATTTCCTAGAAAATTTACGCGTAGCAAAATCTCTTGTTAATTCCCTAGGTACCCACCCCTTTTGATTATGACTTGACGTCATGAAATTATTTCGTCATGCAAAAGAAAGGGTATAAGATCATTAATATTAATCACACATGAGAACGAGGTCTCAACATTTTCACCACAAGTGCGTCACAAGAAAATATTTCTATCAAAAGATAATTAGAGCTGGGTTTCAGGAAAAGCAAAACGTGCTTCAAATGTAAAATTAAAAGCATCCGGTCATTTTCTCCCAGGATTGGTCAGTATCTGGTAGCAATCACTCAAGCTCCGATGAAGAATGGGAAACAACCAGCGAAGTGAGCACGGACCACGAACAATTGCTTGAAGGAAATAACCCACTCTCTGACATGCAGATTCTTGATGACATTGGCCACCGATCGGTAGAAGCTCTTAGCAATGCCAACCAAAATGACCAGGCCACTGAAAGTCAACCAATCGAATCGCAAAGTGCCTCCGCAGAAGCAAACGAAGGATCACAGAACAGTAAAGAGGATATTCATGGGACTGAACCAGATACAAAAGATCATGTCGAGGCTACAGCAAATAATGATGTCAAGCTGAAGATAGCACCAGTTGTGAGTGAAACTACACCGAATGCAGTAGGTGAGCAGCAATGATTCTTATTGGTATTTGTATTTGATCTGAGTACAATGGCAAAAATGCTATTTTTGTATGGGTATAGGCAACTAAAAAGCATCTAAAACACAAAACGTTAGCACAAAACGTCAGCACAAAACGTCAGCATAAAACGTCTGACGACCATTTCCATGGCACACTGAATTTCGTAAACCATAAATTTGTTTCATTGCCCAAGAATCCTTCAAAGATATACGTATCGTAGAGATGAATTTAAACTTTGAGCTAGACCCACCCTTTCTTCATCAGTTCTGCAGAGTAGAGAAACATATTTTGGTTACAGGTATTATCTCTTCATCTTGCAGATAGGTTCAGCATTTTAGAAGATCTTCCAGCTTCACACAGATTTGCTTCCACAACTTTTCAACCAGTCAATCCTCGTCAGTTTAATTTGGCCATTAACAGAGAAGCCGTTGAAATGGAGAGAAGTCTGTCTGATGGGGTTTATGTGAGAGTGTTTGAATCAAGATTCGTAAGTTTTAAATTCTATCAATTTTGTTTTCACTTTCGTTTTGTTTATCATTTTCTATGTGGTTTCTGCAAAGTTTACTTATTGAGAAAGCTGAACATATAGAATGATGTCTGGAAATTAGCTATTGTACGATGTAATAGTTGGCATTCTTGGTATTAGAAAAGTAGGTTTTCTTTATAATTTTGACCTGGATTAGGCTTGGCAGGCATTAGCGGCAAGCTCGATAAACAGAAACAAATGCAAGTCGTTAAGCACAAATTTGAGGCCAATTCTGTCTTAGTATCAGGCAGTGAATTTTTTACTTGTCTTTCAAGGATTTGGGCTCAATCATGATCGAGGGACCGGCTGGGACTCCTTATGAAGATGGCTTATTCATTTTTGACCTGCAACTGCCTCCAGATTATCCGAAGTCTCCGCCTGTCGTTCGTTATTTGTCGCAGTGCTCCGAGCGGCTAAACCCAAATCTCTATGAAGATGGCACGGTTTGCGTGAGTCTTCTCGGAACGTGGAATGGTAAAGGCTCAGAGAACTGGACAAAGAAGTCTAATCTCTCCCAACTGATATTATCACTTCAAGGTATATAAGGCAGTTTTCATTTTAATAACGTCATTGATAAATGCCTACCTTCTTAATTTCTGCTAATTTTCTTGCGTTATCATTGTTGTGTCTTCAGAAATTAGCCCCAGCTGTCTTTTATTCCAATTTTTTATGCATCTGGAGAAAGGAGAGAGAGGAGCGGATAATAGTATTCGAGAAAAGAGCTGACGATTTTAGATTCAGGAGAGGCGCCAAGTACCTTTACAAGCATTGTTTCATTTTAACAAACCGACGATTATTGACATGATCATGTTACTCACTGTATCACGTAATTTTATCACCAGGCCTGATTTTATGCGAAGAGCCCTACTTTAATGAAGCTGGGTATGAAAAGCATAAAGGTTCAGCAGAAGGAATTGAAAATAGCCGAATGTATAATGAGATGGTGATCATTAAAGTACTGCAGAGCTTGGACAGACTCATTAGAAATCCATCTGAGGCGTTTAAAAAGGAGATAATGCTGCATATGAAGAAAGCCTTACCGAGGTAAGTTTGTCTATTATTAGGATTTTGATTAAGTTGTAGAATTTTGTTAGAAAGTTCTGTGATGTTAATATATGTCTATTCAGAATTTTCAACAATTAAAATTCAATAGTTGAAACATACCTTACTTCTGTTACAGACTCTTATTCAAGAAACGAAACAAGACAGTCTCCCCCCCCCCCCTGGGTGATATCGTTTATCTAGAAAACTCTGGGGGTGGGCCTTATCCGCTCGAAAAACAAGATTTATTTCAACTAATCTTTGCTGATATTAGCTTGGACAAAATATCCTGAGACACAAAGGGATTTTTAGATAATGTTATGGAGAAGTTTAACATAAATGGTTAACATTATTTCATTATTTTTTAATTCGTCTTTACAGATGTTCAGGTAATTCTATATTGAGGTAATTTGCTTCAAACATAATTGCATTGCAGTTAATGTGCCAATAATTAAAGAAATTACAACTCTTTTTCAGATTATTCAAACGAATTTATGCTTGGCTGAAAAACTACGCACCAAAGGACTTCCTAGAAAAATACCCTCTTTCTTCTTCAATGGAGGTGGATGAGTCCGTCTCCGAACCAGAGTTTCCGCTTTTGCCGCTATCTTTTGGATTTTGCATACCGTTGTTGCGGAACCTCAAATCTTTAGAAAACACTGCAGAAAAGTTTATTGTGTAGCCTTAGAATGTATTTATAGTGAGCAAATTGTTTATTTTTATAACTGTTAGGAGAAAGTCTTGGTCGTTGCGAAGGTTTGAGACCTTAGGATTATTGTTTACGTCTGCGAAAAGACTAGAAAGCAGTTTATTCCTGTAGCTTATTCTTCTTCAGGTGACCCGTTGATTATATAGCTGCATACGGAAGTTGTTTCTTGTTAAAATTTTCCATATAAGATTTTAAGCACCGGGCCCGGGACTGATCGTCTCAAATCTCAGTACAGATACATGTTGTGCTCCTTTGTCCATTGTTTAAATTAAGATTATTTATTGAAAACAATCTTTTGGTGGCACAAAACTTGTAAATGGCTTTGAAAAAAGCAAACATTTAGTAAACTAAAGCTTTTCGTCTGACACTCTTCAGAGTTTAAAACGTCAGAACATAGATCGAAAACTCTACGCTAGGAAGTATATATACCCAGTTGTGGATCGAAATAGGCCAATCAGAAACACGAGCACATGACTGTATAGGTTGACCAATCAGTGCCGCTTGCCTAATTATTTATTGAAGTAGTTGACATAAAAAACGAAATGGCTTGAAATTTTTACTTGAGATGATTATCCACAGTCTCATCACAAGCGAAATATTTAACTCTTTGTCATTAGATAATTAACACTGCGGATATGATTTTGAAATTTGTATCCAAACCAAATTACAGATCCGAACCCGGCCACCAAGATTCAGTGCCAAGAAATCTAAGAAACTTTTTCAAAATAAATTTATCATACTTTTCCTCTGATGTCTAATACAATCGATATTTCAAGAACACAACAATATTGGAAAAAAAATAATCTTTGTTTAAAGATTTCTCAGTATATATTCAATTTTTATGTTATTATTGTCTGATGAACTCGTGAACACTGTAAAATTTGACAGTTATTTATAAAGCGATATCATACTTAGTCCCATTGTTGTGTCGTTAAGTCAAAATCGTATACCAATGTAAGTACGTATTACCTCAAATTGTTGTTATTGCAGGGTATCGTATAAAAGATGGGCAACGAGTCAAAATTTTGCTCTTTTTCGCGTAAAGATCTTTTTATTTCTTGCTTGATCACGCAGCATATTTGGATTTTCATGTGAGACGTTGTCACCAAAGTGCATTTTAAAATGTATCTGTTTACAAATGTGAGAAATGTAAACACAGGAGTACAGCTCTGTAGGTGAATAAGATCTTGTCAATTCCTTTGTTTTTGTAATTGCAAAACTTTTTGCAGTATCCCACCACCCGAAGACTGCCATTGTTGTTAGATGGGTAGAATTATAGCAAACTGATTGCGTAGCTCTTTAATTTAATAGCTCTACATTTGTACTGTTAGCTACGAAATAAGTGAGGCAAGTAAGAGTGATATAGGTTTTGAGGCCGTCCCCATAATCCCAAGAATTTTTGAAACGGTTCAGACCCTGCTGGAAGACTTCACCGTCAAGAAATTATGATAACCTGTTCCTTTCGAGCAAGACGTTAAAGACACATCAAAATTCGTATTTTGGTTTCTCGTGTATTCAAGATAAGAATAGCTTCCCAGAGATTCGTTCCACACTAAATACCTCTGTTTTAGCACTGATTTGTAGGATGAATAACAGGAAAACTCCACATATTGGTTAGGACCTACACCCAAGGACTACCTCTTTGGCAATTCTTTCGTGCATATCAATAGACCAACATTCTATCTTGCTTATAATATTCTCAACCGGTCACAGAGACGTGGAGAGGACCGACTTTTCACAGTTATTGTTCATTGTGGGACCGGCTGTTTTGGAAATTTTTGTGACACCCCATAACATTTCTACTTTGCGCCCCCTCCTGTACCTGTGTAAGACTTGAAGACTGGTACCGAGTAATTTCAATTGGCGCCAAATTAATTTGAATTGCACATGGGCCTAAGTTTTGGCTCAAAACTTAAAATTCTGACCCATTCTTGACCAATTTCATGGAACGATTGAAGGAATACTGATCTACTTACTGATGAACTAAAAATAACATATTCTGGATATGTATGAAGCCGACTTGTAATTCCGTTACTTCAATAAATGGCCGGCAGACAAGGAAATTTAACGATTCTGAGTGTTGCCGAAAAGAATGACGCTGCCAAGGAGATTTCAAGGGTTTTGTCCTCAGGAAACTCACAAAGGGTACTGACATGAAGATATCTGAATAAACAACAGGATAATGATAAAATATTTATTACAATAAGATGTCTTTTCGCAAACAATATTATTGATATTAATAGAATTCGAAATTTTTTTATTGACTTGGGATGTCTTTAGAATCAACCTTTTAGCTTGTTCTCTCCTCTCAAATAAAGCCTCCTTTTTTTATAGAGAGAAGGAATCTCAAAGTTCAACAAAATTTATGAATTCAACTGCAATATTTTAAATAGCGTAAGTTTATACACTCTGAAAATAATAAACATAAACAGATGGTTTATTATCAATTCCTTATATCTTATATTATTCTATTTTATATATTTAAAAAAGTAACTCATAGTTCCATGTTGAAATTCAAGTTGTTTCAAATGTGGGATATTTTGACAAACTGGTGTCCTTCAAGGGCTCTTTTCATGTCTTCACTTGTGTGCTCACAATTAGCCAAAACAACTAGTCACATCGCTGAAAATTTTCAAACATTATGGGAATATGTATGGGAAAATAAAACACAAATTATTTTCCCATACATATTCCCATAATTATTTAAAAATTTTCAATGATATGACTGGTTGTTTTGGGTAATTGTGAGCACATATACACATAAAGTCTTACAGCAAACAATTTAATACAGACAGGGAACTGAATGACAAGCTTAGAAAGAAAATCTGAAAATATACTTTAATTTTAAGGACAAAAACACAATATGACATTGGGGATGAATTTGACATCCAAGTCATTATAAAGATGTGGTAACTGATGTGGCAGTCTTGGTCAAAAGTGGTTTTTATGTTATAAGTAAACAAACATTGTGGTTTTGAAGATATCTCATGGAATGAGGTGTATTCTCTGTTTTCTAATGCTATCGTTTTTACTTTTTATCCACAGAATTCTAAAATGATAATGACATCAGTTTCTGGTCATTTATTAAACTTAGAATTTGCTGGAGTATACAGGAATTGGTAATTATGATCCTTTCATATCCCATCTCAGTTTTCTGTTATGCTCTTTTGTAATTTTCTTCTTATTGCTTTTTTACTCTATTTGATATTTACTGTAATCTAAATAAAAACTGCTGTTAAATTGAGAAATGATATTGCATCACTTTGCCTTTATTTTTCTAATCTAAGGAGTATTAGTTACTGAACTGTCTAATTTTATTGTCATCTTACCTGCATTTGCAGGCAAGGTTGTCCACCACTTTCACTATTCTCAGCTCCTATTGATAGATTTTGTCCAGAGCAATACCAGAATATCAAGGTAAGTTAGCCCATAAAATTTACTCAGCAATCATGTGCATCCAGGCTTTTAGCATTTGTACTCAAACATAAAATTTTTTGTCTTGTTGTTTTGCAGAAATTGCCTCATCTCACCTTGCCAAGGGGGCAGTCATCCACTTATTTGTCAACTAGCATGGTTCATTTCATTTTTTTAAATCAAATTTATCTTCAAATATACCATCGACTTTGATATTCCTGGTTTGCCATAAAGATTTCAGTATAGAATGAGACAACAATTGGAAGTTATGATTTTCCCTTGCATGTATTCTAAGGTATTCAGGACCCTGACCTACATGAGCTCCCATCCAATATGCTTTTGAAAACATTTTAATGCAGTGAGCTACCTAGATGCCCCCCCCCACCATGCATAAGTTGTAAGAATAAACCTCCCCCTTGGATTCTGTTAATAAAAGAACATGATAAGATTACAACTTATTAGAAAAATTCACTGCATTTTACCTTGTTTATGACAACTGCAAATTTTTTTTTCAAAAATTCACTGTCAGTTATTCGTTATATGTCATATTTTTCTCAGAGAACCTTGGAAAGAGAGGTGCGAAAATGCCAGGTTCTAATCATCTGGACTGATTGTGACAGGGAGGGTGAAAACATCGGCTTTGAAATCATAGAAGTCTGCAAAAGTGGTTTGTTTATCTAAATGTGCCTCATATTTTGTGATTAACATAAATTCAACTTCCCAATAATATCACTTTTTGTTTTCATTTATCTATCTTTCAACAGTTCCCACCTTTTATGTTTCCTCTCTTAATTTCTACTTTGATAATGAAAATTGTTATATCACCCTCTGCCAAATAGTGCTTGATTCGTTGTAAGCAGTGCTGTACAACACTATATCACAGGACAGTTCTTGATTGCAACTCCAAGTCTCACATTCAATTTGATCATTGTACGAAGCGTTATCATTTAGATATGCAGACACGAAATTCTAGATCAATATTCTCCTTTTTTTAAAAGCCTTTTTTGATTCTGATTTTTATTGAAACCTTATACAGCTAGTCTAAATCAAAGAAGACCTCAAAAATCACCTACATAGTGTGTCTCCATTTGTACTTAAAGTGCCTGTGAAATGAAATTTTGCAAAAACTGAGAATTGCCCCCTTGGGCTATTTATAGAGTGAGGTTCTTTGCCCCAAGCCCCTAACATCATTATTACGATATCTTTGCGGTAAGTAAGAACAATAGCACGAAACTTTACAGGAAGGGACAGTTTTAAACGGTACAAAAGATAGGATACAGAGCCCAACTTGGGCTATTTTTAGACAGGGGTTTATCGCTTCAAGCCCCTAACCGCGTTATTTTAAAACCTCCTCTGAAAGTAGGTACAATAGCACAAAACTTTATAACAAGGGGCAGTTTGATAAGGTACGAAAGATAGTACATAGAACCTAACTAGAAATTGCCCTCTTTTTCTTTTTTTAGACTGGGGTTCATTGCTCCAGACCTTTGAAGATGGTGTTATCGCATCTCAGTTGTACTTTAGTATTACAGCACAAAACTTTGCAAAATAGGACAGTTTGGTGCGCTGAAAAAGATAGGATAAAGGCCCGACTGAAAATTGCCCCCCTTGGGCTATTTGTAGACTAGGGTACTTTGTCCCAGACCATATTAGATGGTATTATCGTATTCAGGCACCGCCGAGCAAGGGGGCTGGGGGGCTTTAGCCCCCCCACTTTTTGCAAAAAATGCCAAATGTTAAGTATCAAACTACCAGAAAAGGCTCTTTTTATACGGTTTTAGCCCCCCCCCACTTTTTTTGACCCCCCACTTTTCTCAACGCTCCGCGGTGCTTGGTATTACAGTCTTACTTTGATACAACAGTATGAAAGTTTGCAGAAAAGAACAGTTTGATGCGGTAAAAAAGATTGGATATAGACCCTGGCTTAAAACTGCCCCCTTCGGTTATTTTAACTGTAGTTCCAATAGCGACCTCCATTTTGTATAGTATACTAAACCACCGAATAGAATAGCTTCCGTGCTTGCAAACTTTGTGACGTCACGGATAATCCGCGCTTTGTCACAGTCGAAAACGTGAAAATGGTATATTCAACCTAAATTTTTAGACGGTTCAGAAAGAAAAAACAACTCAACATATATTATTGAAATCAGCAAATTTTTGCTTATAAAAGGTGTACCTTTAGATAAACTTGTCAAATTTGATTTCCCAACTATTACCCACCAAATTTATTCAGAAACAAGATTCGTAAATGTTTTGTAATGAAATTCCGCAGTACAAGCCTGCTCAGTTTAATAGATATCCTATTTTGTATCATGTTTCTTTTAGCTACATTTAGTTGGTACAAATTCACAGTCTATAAAGTAATAATTTTGTCTTTTTACCCTTCAGTGAAGCCTAATATTACAGTTTACAGAGCACGATTCTCAGAAATCACTTATGCGTAAGTAGAATCTTTTTCCTAGTCAAGGATTTTCTCGAGAAGAAATAAAAAATCAAATTAAATCAGAAAGAAAGAACCTGTTCAAGTATTGATAATTTCCGCAACTGTATTAGACAAGAGGACCTTGAGGCCTTACTTAAAGACAACTCATGCAATGAACATTGTAGGATCTGTAACTTTTCTTGAAATTTTCACCTTAACATTTTACTTTTTATGGATTACTTTTTTTAATAAATTGTATGTAAATAGTGTCCCCAATTAGCAGAAATGCTAAATCAATTTGACACTGAAAAAAGTTATTATTATTGTTATTATTATTAAGGAAGGTAAATTGGAGGAAAAGGACAGTTTACCTTTCCCAACTCCATAAAAGAGCAATTGGCATAGATTATCATTCCTACCGAAAGAACGCCTCTTGATTATATCGAGATTGTAGCTGTTTCAAAAGTAGAATCTTTTGACCAATTGATTTTGTCAGGGCAACTCGAGGCCTTCGAGAGCTGAAGTTTTCAGCTTGCCATAGCTGATATCTGATGCAGAAGGCTGCATAACACAGTTTATATCCCACATGACTTTTAAAGCTATCACTGTTTTGTTTGTGATTTCCTCACGAATCTCTGCATTTTTTCTTCATGTCCGTAGAATCCATCTTGATTTTTTAATATTGATCTTCAACAGAACGGTTTCAATATATATGTATTGGTCTCTTATATTTTATTGTATTGGATAAGCTATCCTCGTTGTTTTTTCCTAAAGAGTAAATTTCCCTAAATATTTTCTATATCTTTTTGTAGGTCCATAAACAGGGCATGCAGAAATCTGGTTGAGCCTGATGCCAATGCAGCGGCTGCCGTCGAAGTTAGAAGAGAACTAGACCTTCGCATTGGTATGGCTCTTGCAATTGCTTTCCTTTCATCTTGAAAGTACCAACTGGATTTTCTCAGCCTATCATATCTAATCACATTTTATCAAATCCTTTGACTTCATATCAATCACATCAAATCACTTGATATCATGATTCAAACATTATCTTTGCTAATTAAAGTCAAACGTTGCTGGGTCTTTAACTCGGTCAGCAGTGGGGGACGTGTCCACTGCCCCTAACAATGCTGATTTAAACCGTATCTCTTTAAAAAGGGTACTAAGTACTTTTTTGGTACTAAAAGACATTAAATCAAAAATTAATATTTACTGGGTCTAGCATGGTATGCATGATGCCTTTTGTTTAGGCATTTTTAACCCAGTGTCGTATTGTGTTATTTTTCTCCAGGTGCAGCATTCACTCGATTTCAAACTCTTCGCCTGCAGAAGAAATTTCCAACTGTTCTAGCTGAACAACTCATAAGCTATGGTAACTAATTATCAACACTTTTTCATAATCAAAATAGAATTTTTTGGTAAAGGTATCCTTTGGTTGTAAATGGTATCAGTAAAAGCATGTGTCGATAAGGATCCTTTTATAGACAGACATCGGTAAGAATACTAAGTTAACAAGAGAATAAGGTGCTGTACCAATGAGTCGTATTTTGGTCATGAATCTCAATATGTGTTTTCTGAAATTAGAAATACATTTAGCGATTGAGTTATTTTCGTAAGCTTTATAGTGTAGCTGTGACAGTTTAAACCCTAGAAGAACAGAAGCATCGCTTTGCGTACCCTGGCCTTTGGGAATTTCCAGATCTTCATAATTTATGGTGCTATACTATACTATAATTCACGTGCTTTACTGCTGCGGAGAAAATATAATAAATAATGAGCAACTACCCACTGTAATTAATTTGCGGTTCCAAGTTTGTCGACAACCTGTGTAAAGGTTTCCGTAGGTCAGTCGAACGTTTGGAATAGACTGCATTAGCAACCCACGCCTCATATTTTTGGCAGACCCTGCTTTATCATTTCTAAACGCTTTAGAAAATTGGCAAGCTTAAACAATATATGAGCGTAATCGAGTAAAAAAATCGAGTGACTCAAAACTTATTTTTAAAAGAAGGTTTTATTTTACTTTGTTTTATGTGTTCTTGGTTCTGTCGTAGGAAGTTGCCAGTTTCCAACACTCGGTTTCGTCGTTGAAAGGGTAAGAAAAATATTTATTCCTGGCGGATGTTTCTTTTTCATTTTGTCTTTTCGTGTAAATAATCGAAATTCAATTGGATACAGTTACAAATTCTCAGTATTGATGTTTCCTTACATTCCATTCGTGGAATTTCTGTCCTTATGTGGAGCGACCCTCTTTCTATCATATGATAATGAAATCTCTTTTGACTTTTATATTTTCAGTATAAAGAGATACAAGACTTCATCTCAGAGACCTTTTATAGAATAAAAGGTAGGGAGTTCTATCTATGCTCATCAAATTTAACAATTAAAAGCATGTGAAAAAGCCAGTTGTATAGATTACAGTTAAGCCAAGTTTCATTTCTTCTAAGAACTTGGGCGAAGATTTGATTGTTGCGACGACAATGTTGTTTGTACAAAAGTTATTCTAGTCCTTTATGATAATGATAATTTTGTTTATGGAAAATTTTCGCCTTTTGCTATGTATAAGGGTGGAACACAATTAAAAGAATAAGTTTCAGAAAGTAAGAGTAAAGAGAAAATTGATGATTTGTTAAAACCACTCGTATTTTATCTCTGTGTTTTGTTAACTCTCGTGTGCATACAGTAGGTTTTTTTGTTCAACACGGCGAAGTTCATGTCTTTGTTTCATGAAGATTGGATCGTTTGCGTTGAAATGTAATGGGGCGATTTTTATGCTAGCTGCATAGATAGTCTGGCCCATTTCTTCTTTTGAGCATGGTCGTGTTAAGGCTAACGTTTTAGAATTGAGAAAAGACAGGAAGGCTGCGCTCACTGCCAGAAACTAGGCATCCTTGTTGCTGCTAGATATGTACGGAAGGAGAGAAAGTTATCAATTCTTAGAGATAAGGATTTGGCCCAAGAGACAAGGAAAGAAATATCGGTCGACGTTATCACAGTTCCATTGTTTTCCAATCAATGCTGAATTGTCGAGGCTTTTCTTTGTTTCTGTAAAAATTCTTGGATACACGCCCATGTCATTTTGACATCTTCACGTAATTTGACAACGTTCTTAGCGAGTGCTCTTACCAACCAAATCTTTAACGGGAAAGAACGATTGACAGGGTTAAGTACCATTTTAATTTCCTTACCAAATCTTATTGAAAAATGAGATTTGCAGCTAATTTCAATAAGTAATATTGTTGATTAAGAGGTGAATCGCTTAATTTAGGTCTTTACTTGGTTATCGTTATTGAATTTTGATAATATGACCCAGCAGTGGTCAAATGTACGTAAAGAATTGCTCGTTCGTTGATAGATACAAGGAAATCTCCATAAAACAGAATCCTGTGGGAAAGCTTTGGCCACAGTAAAAAGTTTGGGACAAATTTATTTGTCCATTGCTAAGGTGATCTTAAATGCAAGGTTTCCGTTTTTGGGAGGTGTCCGCTATTAGAAAATTTTAGTTATATATTTCTAATAAAAGCTGAGTTTCACATACTGTGCAAAGAAAGAATCAAGGTATATCTCAATGATCACCCTGAAGATTTGGCCTTTCGCTCATTAACTTTTCAATGGAAATATAATCTTCTTCAGTTCAAATCTAAGTCAATCGAGAAACTACAAAACATCTAACAAGAATGTGAAATTACTGCTCTTGGTATATTAAGCTTTAAATTTTGACTTTTATGATTTTTGGTATGGACTCGCTACAAATGTTGTTTGCCTTGAATTTATATTACAATGTGGACACTTGTTTAATGCTTTGTAATTATTTTGTGTAGTAAGACACACTGTTGAAGGAGTCAACGTCGAGTTTTCTTGGGAAAGAGGCCGCGTCTTTATAGAAAGAATCTGTCGAATGTTTCACAACATGTGCTTACAAGTATGTGTGTTTGATCGTTAGATATGAGCCACCCATAGCTTTATAAATCCTGTTTTTTGCAATTTTTCTATCTTCATGATAACCTTTTTTCCTTAGACACAATTTTCAGCAATGTTTATTAAAAAAGGTGCATGTTTCTAAAGGGGTGTACACCTTTGCAATTCAGTTTGGTACTTCACTGACAAAGTGATTTTAAATGTGTTGAAACCCTCATTTTAAAATAATGAAACAACCAAATCATAGAAATGACACAATTTTCAGCAATGTTTATTAAAAAAGGTGCGTGTTTCTAAAGGGGTGTGCACCTTTGCAATTCAGTTTGGATCTTCACTGCCAAAGTGACTATAACTGTGTTGAAACCCTCATTTCAAAATAATGAAACAATTTCTCCTCTGTAAGAAGGGCGTTATTAACTTAAGGGAATTAGCGTTTCAGAAGTTTTATTTACTTATACATCCATACTTGCATGTTCTGGATCGAAGAAGAAAATATCTGGCACTGGTTATAAAAAGGGTTCTTGAGATACATCATAATATATTGAATGCTTTTATAAGTTACGTTTTCGTCTCCATTCAATTAATCAGCTATATTATACTATGATATGTCATACATTCATAAGGTCGTACTTTAGGTTAATATTAGGAGATTTTCTATTCGTAAAGGAATTTATCCTTTATTTGAATCCCATCCTCGATTTTTATTCAGAGCCCTACAGCAACTGTTGTTAACGTGACATCAAAACCGAAAAGCAAGTGGAGACCAGTGGCCTTAGACACAGTGGTACGTTACGACATAAATATCTGTAGAGCGAACATCTCTACCTGTCGTTAGTGCAATTAACACGTGTAAATCTATATCGTGTTTAAACCAATGGTTCTAGTGTTGAGATTGTTTTTGCAATGTTGTCGAAAGAGAGTTTTTTTATAGAATAATATTCATTAGCCTGCGAATTTGATACCAGAGAAGTGGCTTTCCCTGTCCCATCACGTGATGCAAAAATTACTGAATGCGTGACAAGCTCTCCAAAAGATCAAACGACAGACAAATGGTAGATGGTAGAAAAACATCAAATAAGGGCGTTGACAATAAACTTACAAATTATTATTGATTTCTCACATAAATCATAATCTCCCTCAATATGTGGGGAGCTTCCTCACGTAATGTGGGGAGCCTCTTCGTTGCACAGACCAAGTCGATGTTCTATTTGGTCTGCGTTGCTGGCTTAGTAATTTGTAGCCTGCCGGGCTTCTTTAACTCAATTCTGCTTCATTCAAACAACAATTGCTAGCTCGCTCCCGTTCTGTGATTCTGCTAATATGCTAACACTGGAAAGTATGTTCATCATGCCAATCGACATTGGATACATTGTATCAACATTGTCTTTATATTATACAATGATTAGTAAGACAAATAACATTTAGAAAATTATGCTAATGGCTATCTTTCAAGCTAGATGTCTGTGTGATGGAAGAGCTTCTCAAGGTTAACCTTGTTAATTTCAAACTTACTATACTATGAAATGCCTTGATTTTTTCATCTTCTTTAGGAATTAGAGAAACTAGCTTCAAGAAAGATGCGAATTTCCGCCAAAGAAACCATGAGAATAGCAGAAAAACTTTACACGCAAGGGTAATTACAGCTTTGGCTAAGTTTTATAAGCAAAAGTTGTTTCTTGTATTTTATATTCATTGCCCCAACTAAGGCGTTAATTGATTTTCACAATAGCTTCGAAAATAATTTGAAATATAGCTTAAGAAATATTGAGATAGCCTTGTTAAAGGGAGATATTAATGATGACTTAATTTCATCAAAGTAGCCAGGTTGACAGAGGCAGCAGTAGTTGCTGGAAGGTTGTAACAAGAAGACAGAGGAAGACTGTAGTTATTTGCTAGTACTCTGCATCACTGTATTCATTATCACAATTGGCTATTCAGAGAGTTACTCTGTCTTTTACCTGACTATTTAAAGCACTAAGAAAATCTGAACCTTCAAATTCCACGCTTCGATACAATCAGGATCTGTGAGACAATTAGACTTTGTTTTTTCCGCCAATAATAGAAATTTTAAAGAAAAGTTAAGCAGTAAAGTTCACATGGGACTTTAAGTACTCAATTTAAACGTTATCTTGAATTTTCCAGGAGCCTATTTCTTATGACCGTTTCCCGTACCCTTATTTTAAGGCTTTCAAGAACCCAACATACAGTTCTACCTTTATCAACTTCTTCCAGAGCGACTAACAAACCCCATTCATCTCTCAACGCAGATTCATAAGCTATCCACGTACAGAGACAAATATTTTCCCGAAGGACTTCGACTTAGCTGGTCTAGTTCAAAATCAGACTCAAGATCCGAACTGGGGAGGTAAGACCATATCCGCCACTTTCTAAAACTTCACATTGTTACCAACGATAGCATTCCAAAACATTCATTGATATTTATGGGTCAAATTTTACTGGCTTTTCAAGTGTATTTTACAAATTCTTGTTTAAAATTTGAAGGATTTGGTTTGTCAGCACCATTCTTCTGAAACTTGGACTTTTTTCAGCTAAAACTTTTGTCTATATTTTAATCGCACCTAGGGCAACACTTTCCTTTTTTGCACTTTGATCTGGGTTTGGGACCCTACAATTATTCTGTAACGGTTGAAGTTGAGTATCTCGTACTGCTATAAGAGGGAAGATTGAATTTTGCAGATTACCAATTTTCGTAAAATTTGCAGATAGTCAACTTAATTTTGAATCATGTCCGGTTTCGACAACCAGTAACATAAATGGAGGTGTAAAGTAGCTGTTTTGGGTAAGGGATTTTTCCAAGTAGGACTAAAGCTGGTACCAGGGCCACGGTCCGCACCACTGATGGAGGGACGAGCGATAGGGCAAAGATTTTACTGACGCTCTTTTACTTGTGTACTTGGATTTATTACAATCTTATGGTTTATCCGTATAGATTGTTTGAGCTGATTTTTATCTTTCATTTAGCGAAATATTGGGGAGGCCATAGCCCTCCTGTCCCTTGTGGCGTGGTCCCTGAGGGTTTGATTATATTTGTTTAGAAGTTTGAGGTTTATTTTTATTCAACAGAGTTTGCTGCAAACATTCTTAATTTCGGAGTGAATCCAAGAAATGGACGCAAAACAGATAATGCACATCCACCTATTCACCCGACAAAATATACAAATAACCTCCAGGTTTGTTAGCAAAGTTTTATGTCAGTAAATCTTCACTTGCAAGATTCTGTTAAGAGGTACTTGACCACTAACCCTATCATTGAACATGAATACACAGATCTGACATAATTGATCCATAGTTAATCAACGAGTTGGTAGCCGAGGTCACCCTGTTCTTTATTGACACACCTTTGAGGAAGGAAACTTTAACAAGTCTGTTTGAAGCTGAACCTTGTTAAGTATTTTTTTTGACGGTGCAAAATTTCAAAGTGGCTTTGAAAAAGCAAAGATTTTTCAATATGCTAAAAGTTTTTTCGTCTGACAGTCCTCAGTGTGTGAAACGTTAAAATAAGATTCTGAAAGCACAAAATTACGGTGGCCCACAGCTGTCACAGCAAATTCAAACTCTTACAGCAAATTCAAACTTTCATAGCAAATGCAAACTCTCACAGCAATTTGAAACTCTCACAGCAAATTCAAACTCTCACAGCAACTTCAAACTCTGCAATCTGCTGTGAGAGTTTGAATTTGCTGTGAGAGTTTGAATTTGCTTTGAAAGTTTGAATTTGCTGTAAGAGTTTGAATTTGCTGTGAGAGTTTACGTTGGTATTTGCTGTGGTGCTTTAATTTGCTGTTTCAGCGGTGGGTCACCATACAAAATGGAACATATATGCCCATCTGTGGATCAAAATAGGCCAATCAGAAAATTCAATACATTGTTTCCTTTTCATTTCTGGCGTATTTGATTATTCACCTTTGCAACGTATTATGTCAACCACTATTATGATTGCTAAATTACCTCAACCCATTTAGAGGCTGATTAATAGTCCTTTACTTGCTCTTTCAAGTAAGTCCGAAATTGCCCAAATAGTTTACAGTAATCAGAGTTTATAGGCAATAAGATCCCTTGGTTGGTTAGGAAGTACCCTGGTATAAGAAGCTGGTATAATGAAAAATATATATACCCAGTTATGGATCGAAATAAGCCAATCAGAAAAACGCAAGCACAAGACCGGTATAGTTGACCAATAACCACTGGTGTCCAAGAGAGAGAACGAACTCCTTCTGTCTACACAATTGCGGCTTTTTCGTTTGTATGTAGATCGACTCCAAAACTGCTACATGGAAGGACGACCGGGCTCTGCCAATTATCCGAAACATGTCGTCATTATAGAGTTTTGCACAATCTAGATTGTGCTTGCGTTTTTCTGATTAAGCTGGTATAATATGAACGCATGTAGACACAAATATCTACAGTTTTTCTCAGTAAATCTTTTTCATTCTTCCTATTAGGGAAACGAAAGAAGAATTTACGAGTTTGTTGTTCGGAACTTCTTGGCTTGCCTTTCACAGGTAAAAGAATATTCCTAAAACTTCTGCGAATCCAATTTACATACTCAAACTACATCGCCTTATCCCGATAATCATGAAATCATTTTAAGGACATAGAGCGGTAGAGGACCAATTAAAGGAAACCCAAAGTGCGTAATGTCAAGCGAAGACTTTAGAGAATTGTTGTCTATATCTTAAACTGTTGTTCTTCTGACCCCTATTTTTGGTCTAACGTATTTTTATTCAGGATGCTAAAGGCAGCGAAACGACGGTTAAAATTAGCATTGCCAACGAGAAGGTACGCTATGTCTTTTACTTGATGTTATAAACGATATTTGATATAACTTATAACTAACATACCACTGAATCAATGTTTTGAATCTGATTTTCTGGAGCTGTATCGCGTGCAGTTGGTAAAGATGGTATGTTTTATATTGATATTGTCCCGATATCTCATATCATACGCTCTGCGTGTTGAACTGATAAGTAGGTCAAAATCTTTTAGAATGCGAAGACATTTCGCTGGCTGGTTTCTTGTTTGATTTGAATACGAAATTATCTGTGTCAACAACACAGTTGTCGATTATTTTTGCTTTTTAAGGATGCTCTTTATTTATGGTGTTTGTTCCTGTCGTTAGTTTATAGCTATTTCTAAAGTTCCCCTTCCTCTAAAATATTATGTTCCCTGTCCAATAAGGGACAGTACGGTTTCTGCAATATGGATGTTAACCAGTACTCTACAGCATATTTCAGAGGTTTTTCATATTGCAGCAAATGTCTTTAAAGAGGTTTTCCCATTTGTTCTCTTTCATATATAATTAAAGATTGACTAGCATGAATTTGTTTCCTTCTTTGAGGTAGCCATTTCCCCTTTGTCTTCAGAAAGAGTAAGTCAAACAAGACAGTAAAGTAAGACGCAAGTCAAACATTAAATCACAACCTTTCATCACAGCGTTCAGTAGAACTACACAGATAAAATGTCAGGTTTTTTACTGCACCAATGAATTCTATTATCGAAGTTTGTTGCTCTTAGTTTACAGCCAGTGGTCTTGTCATCCTAGAAAGGAACTATCTGGATGTTTACCCATACGAATCCTGGAATGCCAAGGTACCAGAAAACATTTTATGAATTTGTTTCTCAAAATTTTACAACTACAATGCCCGCCAAAAGTGCTGGAACAACCTCATCATCCTTTTTGTCATACAATGAGAGATTCCAAACATAAAATAGCAAAAAAAGGAACGGAATGAGTTTTTCAGATGTTTAGCAAAATGTTTATCTTCTTTTCCAACATTTTTTATTATCCCTCAGCATTGATTAGCTCTTAGATTTATTCATCAACTTTGAACAAAATGTTTTTTTTATTGTTATAATTATATATTAAAATTAAGGGGAAAGGAGAATCGTTATACTTCAAATAAGAAGCTGAAAGGAAAACTATATATTGATTACAAGCGCAATCTCGGTGCTCGAAAACTATTGCCTGCTGTTATAGCTATATATTTCTGTTTTCTGTAATCCATTTATCCCTATATATTCATTTTTTATCATCTCTATTTCCAGTTTCTTCCTGTCTACCAGCAAGGAACAACTTTTCAACCTGATAACATAGAGGTAATGTTAAAACCTTGAAAGTAATAGGTGCAGATAGTTTTGAATCGAGTAGCAAGTTCCAATCGCTAATAACAGATGATCATAGAATAATAACCGATAATTCCAATCGCACTTGTAAGATAATGATAGAAATAAACGGGAAATGGCCCGAGAACGATCAAAATACTCAGGAATGTATCATTAGTAGTCAGATAATCGCATCTAATAATCACAAATAATCACGAACAATTGAAAATCTTAGAATAATCGTAATTAAGAGAATATAAGTAAAAGACGATAAGAAATAATGAAAATATCAAAACTAATCTCAATTCGATTATCCAATGTTACTGGTCGCAAACAGTTTTTCAGGAGTAAAGTCTTCTTGAACTACAATGCCTGCCAAAAGTGCTTGGAACACCCAGCAATTTGCGTTGAATTTGATATCTTTACTTCTTTTCCCGAAAAAAAATTACTACTTCCGCCCCCCTCCCCCTAAAACAATGTTGATAATTTAGAGAAATATCATAAAAGAAGCGCAAAAGAAAGTGCTTCCTAAAATCCTAACCCGTTTGATAGTCAACCAACATTGTTCTGTAGGGGAGAGGGGGGTTATTGATTTTGACCTTGGAAATTGACGTCAGTGTTCCAAGACTTTTGGTAGGCATTGTACGTTGGTTTTTCAGTTTGTTTGATAGCAGCGGAAATTTTACGAGAATATCAAAGCTTTATGATTGACCGTTGGCCAATAATTTGTCTTGTGGAACAACACATGTTAAGCTATTAAGTTCTAAAACATCGCAAACACCACAATACAATATCAATAACTGTGCAAAACGCGCAGTAATTGAAACAGCTCTTGTCAAGTATGCATTTATATAAAGATCCGGGTATTTTAAACACCATTTTTAAAAATGCATCTGTTTAGGGGGTATTTGTCAAATCAAGCTAAAAAGAGTATTGTTGGGTTTATTTATTCTTACACCAGCTAGTACATTTTCAATGTGATATTAAACTATTAGGTGAAAGATTTTCCTGACCAGGGAATATTTTCAAAAGAACGGATATTTGGTATGAGGTAAATATGTATTCAAAGCTAAGAATAAAGTGAAAAAGAATAGTTAGAACAAATCATAGTATCATTTTTCTAAGGTTCCTTGCTAAGTTAATGATGGAAGTCGATGACTTTTTGTTTAACGCAGCGGTATTCTGCTACATTGATATTGCTGATAGGGAAAAAAGCATTCTAAAAGCTTGATTTTATGAATAAGATTCTGAACAATACCGCTACTGACATCATATGATACGATCTGAGATCCCTTTGCCTGTACTTTTTTATATTTACTCTACTTATGGTTCAGACGGTGTTATTTTCATCTCAGTTTTTACAAGTACTGCTTGTCTATGATTGAAGGACAGCCATTTGATTCCTTCGGCTCCATAGAAAAACCCAGACTCTTTAGCGTAGGCACCATTCAGATTCGATCTCAAACACGTGCGGAACCACCAGGCACCGCGAAACCTTTGTGCGCATCGCAAGCGATAGAGGTCATTATTACTATCTTTCGTAGAGAACTTTGCACCATTGTGGTACGTTAAGGAATCACCGGCCGTACCGTTATACGATTCAACATGCAGTGCATATTTTTGCTGCTCATCATCAATGTAGAACCGTCTGTATTCTGCATATGCCCTACGTGCTGCAGAGTCTTGCAAATCAAAGCGTATCATCATGTCACCATTCTTCGTAAGCCTGCGTATTCTGTCGTTCCCAAGCCAGAATTCACCGGTCATGTTTCCAAAGCCATTCTTATATTCAGTCCACGATCTAAAAAAGTCTACTGTACCATCCACCCTACGCTGTATAACAACCCAGCCTCGATTACCTGTTTTCATATCGCAATATACATCAAAAGGAGGACTATCATCAGGGCTGATGGTGTAAATTCCGCTCTCATTGTAGCCAAGGTCCCTCCACGCCGAACAGTCCTTTTCCACAAAACGCAAGTTGACTATCTTCCAATCTTTTCCAGCTCTGTTCTCAGCTGAACATAAATAGGCTCCTCCGTCCTCAATGCTGGCATTTTGAATCTCTAAAAATACACTACGATTCCTTTTAGATATGACTTGTCGCTTTGAATTTCTCATTGCCACTTTCTGCCATTTGAGAATCGGTATTGGTTCACCTGTAGCATTGCATTCAATTTTAATGTATTTTCCTATAGATCCTTTGATGTTGGCGGACGATACAAAAATCTCAGGTCTTATTTCGCCGGCCGTCTCCTTGTTATTCCCTTTGCAAGTATTCAAACCATTTAGCCTTTGAGGACTACTTCCATTAACGGTTATATTGATAAAGCTCGCCTCATCTGTCAATGGTATTGTGTATTGGAAGACGTCTTCGTTACCTTGAATAACTGTATGCACTCTCACCTCGAGGTTTTCCTCTATATCATAAATAGTAGATCCATTACTAGATATATCTGTTTGGTTAATCTTTTTTATTCTAACCGTAATTTTGGAATGTGGATTTTCGTTCTCTTCTAAATCCTTTTTGTATCCTAGTTCAAGTTTTGATAAAGACTTTGATGATGATGTCATATTTACGATCTCCTTCACTGACGTACCTTCAATACCTTTTCCTTTAGGCTCATCCGAAGTATCATTAATTCTTATAACTTTCCTACTTGTAATATTCGCAACAGCCAGTACCAATTTACTCCCATTAGTAGACTCTTCTCTTCTTGCTATGGTTGCTTCAGCAAATCCCGTTGTATTGTCCAGTGTATCTTTCTTTAATTCTTCGGCCGGTGCTTTACCTCTCATTTCTTCCAACCTCCTCACCTTGCTGTTTAATGACTGATTTGATTCTCTTGATTCCAGTATTCCTGGTTTGCTGTCAAGCTTTATGTCTAGAACACGAAGAACATTAACAAGACTATCACTTTCTTTGCCCGCGTTCGCCATCCTTTTCATCCTTGAACTGTTCTCGATCTCGTCCTTTGATATATGCATATCTCCTTGAGGATACACATAATTTCTGGTGGCAAATGTAGCTTCATAACTTTCAGCCATTCTCTCATTATGATCTTGAGCGTTCTGCAGATGTCCAGAACCAGGCATTTTGAACCAGAACAGGAATAAACCCGCAAGAAGGAACATCAAGAGTGTCGCCATTATCCTAAAGCTAGATCCACCACTAATCATTTTCGCTGTTTTTGGTTTTTCTAAGAGATTACCCTGTAGTCTCCAACCGTTTGTCAATATAAAGTGATCTGTAGCCGTTAGCTTTCTATAAAGAGCAATCATGTAACTAGATCTCTTTGAAGGCTGGGTGTGCCGCTACAAAGGGTCATAGGAGTAACACTGCTTATTCAGGCGGCCTGTGTTGTTGATGTGTTAACGACTTGATGAGACAAAGCTATCGTTTTCTTTACTGATATTTCTTACAGGTTATTTCACTTCGACATCTATGCACATCGTTTTGTTAGTCTCATTGACTTTAACAGTCAAAAAGTGCTCATCGATAGCATTTCCCATTGTTCTTGAAAACAACTAGCGGTGAACTCTTGAATAAGATTTGTCTAGGTATAAAATTTTTGTCTGAGTCCTCCCGGCAAGAGCTGTGCCCTTTAAAGACTGTGAGGCGTTTTTTGAAAAGAAGATTACGAAACAATTGACTCAATACAGACATGAATGGCTGCTTTTCTTCAACTCTATAAACTGAACTTCAGTTCTAAAGTTTAAAACTTTCTTAGTAGCAATTTGCATCGCTGAAGCATCCAATCTAAAGATAATAGTCAATATTTTCTTCTATTATATGTACATAAAAACATTCATTGAAAACATCCAAGACATAAAGCCTCAGAAGGCCACAACGAAACTGAACATTACACCTGTGGTGAATCAAATCTGAATCAGAAAGTGATGTATAGGAAAAAGCTGGAGCTTCTCCAAATACTTTCAAATATTTCTTGAGTTTATTTTACCATTTGATTTTTTGGACACGGGCTCAAACATGTTAACCCAATTCAACAAAGTCACATTTATGTTATTGAGGCCAGAAGTGGATTTTATTCACTTTTATGTCGTTTTAAGAGCATCCAATATTTTTTAGAATCTCTCTATGCCATTTTGATGCAATATGATCAACGGTGTGTTATGATCAATTTTTGTAAATTGCTAGCCAACATCATAAATTTTTTAACCCTGTTCTAACTGCGTTCTTAGTTTCCAAACCACGTTTAAACTGCGTTCTTAGTTTCCAAACCGCGTTTGAACTGCGTTCTTAGTTTCCAAACCGCGTTTAAAATGCGTTCTTAGTTTCCAAACCGCGTTTGAACTGCGTTCTTAGTTTCCAAACCTTGTTGAAACTGTACTGCATAATTTTTGAAATTGTTTAGCTGCGTTGTAAATTTAAACTGCACTTTAAATGTTAACGCCTTGTTTTAACATGTTTATAAACCCCTAAGACCTGTTTAAATTGCATTAGATTTCGCTAAACCTTGTTTACACTGAATTAAAAATAGTTGCACCTTTTTACCTATACAGTAAGATTCTAAACCGTGTTTAACTGTATTGACAATTGTCAAAACTGCTTTAAGTTGCTCTTTAGTTGCACCTCTCTTTTATGTACATATCTTTATTAGTCGTATTAGCATTTCCTACGTTACAGACTATTAGTATTTTAATATTGCAATACTATTGATTATTTCGTATTATTAACTAGTAAAGAATATTGTATGTATTTATACATTATTGTATGTCAAGTTATTCGCGTATTTTGTATTCTACAGATGGTTACTGGCGAAACAACACCCCCTCCTTTACTAACAGAAGCAGATTTGATTGCACTGATGGAAAAACATGGCATTGGTTTGTGTATTTCAGATATTTTTTAAATTTTCAAATTTTTTGTTCCATGCATGATCTTATCTTTTAATAGAATTACTTTAACGCCAATTAAAACACTACAAATAAATAGCGTGGAACTAATCAAAATGTTTTCTTAGGAACTGATGCCACTCATGCAGAGCACATTGAAACAATAAAAAACAGAAAGTACGTTGGGGAGCAAAATGACAGATCGCTAGTTCCAGGAGAACTTGGGATGGGCCTCGTTGAAGGTTTGTTACATCGACTTCCTTAAAAATAGAGGAAGTATTGATATTCTATGACTGGGTCTTTGCTACCAGCTGTTACTTTTGATGAAATTACTATCTATGCCTACTTTGATTATTATTTTGCATAAAACTACCAGTGTTTTTGCTTCAAATGATTGTGCATATTTTAATTCTCTGTATGAAAAATTCAATATTTATGATAAGAAAAGAAGGCTCAAAGTGTTTTATATAGGCGAAAATAACGCTGGCCTTTCATGTTACCTCCTCAAGAGCCTGCTCAATTGAACACGGGCTCTTTCCCCATGAAATCATTGTAATTTGGTATCTATTCGTAATTTTGTGAACCAAGACAGAATAATAACAATCCGTTAGCAAACTTCAGATTTTTGTTGACAATCGATCATTCGTTTTTGAATAAATCAAACCGATTTGGCATGTTTAGAAGCATTTCTTGGTGTTCTTTAAAGGTCGATTCTAAAAACAACATATTTATGAAGTCACACCTAGTAACTGGTTTAATTTTTTTGGTATGCAACCTTGCATTTTTTCGGCTTTTCTCATATTGCTCCAGGTAAGGTAACTGAATGTCCTTTTTCAGGGATCTTTAAATCTTTTGTTTCCCTCCCTCTCACTCCAAAGAATTTTGTAGCAATATTAATATGACATCATATTTATGATCAATTTTCTTTCTTTCCCTGAATGGTTGATTTCTTCTTTATGCATGTATTTTGTTTTAATTTTTCCGCAACAGGCTATGATTCGATGGGGTTCGAAATGTCCAAACCACATTTGAGAGCCGAGCTAGAAAATGACTTGAAATGGTTTGCCTATATTATCATATTTTTTTAATATTATTTATTTCTACTTTGCTTTATTCATGGGAGTAACCTACCCATTAATTCTCAAATATTTATGAGAGAATGGAAAGGATTCATCGCATGGCCGCGATCTCATATCTTTAAAAGATTCCACGCAAATCACAAGCAATCAGCTTTGATTATTATTAAAAACATTAAGGACAATTTGAAGCATAACATTTTATTGTCAAGTACTTGACGAATTATGCCCAATCAACAAACCACACGTGTATATTTTCTAGGAAATTATTTGGTATATAGTTGATACTTTGGTATAAGCTTGTACAACTTTGTCTACACCGCACTATGCAATGGGCGGGTGAACACATTGACAATACATATGAATCAAAATTATTTGTTTGGAAGAAGTCTTTAGCTCACTTTGTTGTGGCTTTGCTTTACCGGCATAGGATAAACATCAGTTGATTGTGAGCAGTGGCGGACACCTAGGGGGCGAGGCGGTCGACCAATATTTTGGAGCACAATGGTCATTTGTTCTAAAACAATGGGAAATGTGACGTCATCTAATCAAATAATAGCCTTGCCCCCCCCCCCCAAATATGTGATCAAGTGTCCGCCACTGTCCTTGAGTTAGTTATCATCTTTTTAATCATTTATCAGGTATAGCTATTGTTTCTATTTCCAGCATTTGTGAAGGTAGAAAACGCAAGGAAGGTAATTGAACAGTAGTTTAACCAAAAGTACTTTTTCAGTTGTTTTATTGTGTCTATCATCACATTTTTCGTTGTTATCCACTAACCTACAGTTCCTGATTGCACGTCAGAATTTATAAAACTGCTTGAAGTATAAAACACGTCACCATCGTGATTTTATAATGCCGGCCATAAGTTTGTGTATTTCTGCCTTCTCCCGATAAAGGTGGATATTTCTATTCAACAATTCATTTTATTTGTTTAAACAGCGTTAGTCTTTATTATAAGCAGCGTCAACTATTATCAAAGAGTGCTCCAAAATCGAATTGACTAATAAAAAAGGGAAGCTTGATCACATTTTTGGTAACAAGACGATAAAATAAGCAATGCTAAAAATATTCTTATTTAAAAATTACAGGTAAAACTACTATGCACAAGAAAAAGTATACAATATATGTTCTTTTATAATCTATTGCTCACCAATCTATTGCTCGCCAATCTATTGCTCGCCCTAACCCTAATCCTAAACCCTTATCCTAACCCTAACCCTAACCCTAGCCTATCAATTAACCTATATTTTTCTTTGATTCTCACTTTGTAATCTTGCCAGATGTGCTTGCTGAACAAATTCAGAAATACAAGGAGGTTTTCGTTCAAGCTTCAGAGCAGGTTCGTTTTATCAAATCAAAATGCCTGACTTGACGATCTGCAAAATGGATTCTTGATATGATGTTATAGTAAAAGAGAACGCTGATTGGTAATAGATTAACAAATAAGGCTTGCAACTTTCACATTGTATCCCTTTTATCATCCTCCTTTCTTTCAAAATTTGATTAAATTCGGACCCCTCTGCCTACTTTTATTAGGATGGTATTCCAAATGGATGCGTTTTTCCGTGCTTCTTTCTATTTCTTAGATAATTTTTCTCATAAGTGTGTACCGTGCGTATCCATGAAAATAACTCTCAACCAGTCTGTCATATAGTGCTCGATGCCGTAGAGGCAGAGCTGTTCACACTTTGGTGCATGGAATAGGACAGTTCTAGGTTGCTACCAGACCCCAAGACGCATGCTTAATTTATATCGTATCAAAGATTGCTTTTTACACTCACAATATCCTTAGTTTGGAACAGTATTGGTTCTCGGGCTTGTTGAAACGGGCATGAATCCCCTTCGAGCTTACATATAATCAAATTATAATGATAATTAATCGTGCTCTTGTAATCAGTCTTCATGAATCTTACGCCATCGCAAATCTTCATGAACCATTTTGGCTTCCTCACTAATAGGTTGGACGACTAGATGATGCATTATCAACTTACTTTGGCCAACCTTCACAAGCAGATCCAGGTCATTATACATGCTGGCTACAGATTCTTCAGACCTATTTAATGATGCTTAACTTTCTTAACGATTCCTTACAAACAACACTCGGTTCTTAAATCTTGTCGATAGACCTCTCCCCTGCTCCTCTCTCCCTTCTGCATTTCCCCCCAGAACCTCAGTGTTGTCTCATTGACTCGTATTAATTAAGTGGCGGTTAGATAGTTATGCCAGGGTAAACGCTACAACCAACATTTTTATAGAAAGAGGAGCGATAGATTTGTTTAATTTTACATTTACAAATGTACTAACTTGTAATTAAGCATGCACTAAAATCATGATAATTTATGTTGGAAATACAATATAACTTGTGTGATTTTCCATTGATCTTCTTTCATAAACAGGTGTACCTAATATTCAAGAGCAACAGCAAATATCAGAGCCAGTTCGAAAATGTCCGAATTGTGGACGATTTGATTTAGTATTAAGAACAACAAGAGAAGGAAGGTAATTCTTTCTTAAATCTAAACCGCATTCTTTGACTATAATGTTGAAACAACCTTTTCAATAGATCCCTTTGTAAATACATTTTAGATCATATGCTGACAAGCGAAAAATTATTTCTTCCTTGGTCATTACTTGATTGTATCTGTCAACAGGCTGTGGATTGCACCCCTTTTCAAGCTCTTCAATCTACGGCAGTGTTGTTAGAATGCGGATTAGTTTTTGTACTGAACTTTTAAATATCTTGAAATTGTGATATTTCTTAAGTGATATTCAATCAATACCATTTTGGCAATCTCGCATTTTTCAATGATTGACCATTAACTATTGCTTAGTCTTGTTCAGGTATGTTCCTGGCCTTACGTTAAGCCTGCTGACATATACATTTGTTGTCATTCAAGTTCAAATTTATCATTCGATATTTTATTCTCTTACAGACTGATGCTTGGATGTCAAGGTTACCCTACCTGCAAAAACGGGATTTTCCTTCCAAAGTTTGTTTTGAAAGCAACTCGACTAGCATCAGTTTGTCCGCGATGCCAGCCAAGCCCTGTTCATAAAATCGAGTTTGAGTTTAAAAGAGGCTCAGTTCCACCAATGATGCCTCTGAAGTGAGATGGCTGTTTTAGTTTCGTTATTTATCCTCTAATTACTGGTATTGATGTATACCCGTTGGGATGAGGCAGCATTTTGGGCAAACCAACTCTTATGTTTTGCTAGGGAGAAAGATGTTTGAACTTGAACAGTAACAATTGAGACAAAGGATTATTTCATAATATGAATGGAGAATTGGTATTATCTACCTGTTCTGTAGTATTTCATCGGGAACAATTGTTCATATATGCATAATGATTCCAAATTTGAGTTTAATTTATGCAGCTTTTACTCTAATGTATGCAAGGCACAAACGTTCTGGCAGAATATATGCAGATCATAAAGCCTGACCATTTTCTTTCGCCTTAAAGATATCTCTTCTTCCCTAATTTCATATCTAATGGTGGTATATCCAAATGTATATTCAAGGTAGGGAATATCATATTTCATCTGTGTGCTCAAACACGTAAATGCATCAAATAATTTATCATTTAAATTGCATCATTGTAAATATGCTAATGAGTCCTTTTGTGTTTGCCACTAGTTACGTCAGTTGCCTTGGTGGATGTGATAAAGAGCTCCTCGACTTGATAGATGTTCGAGATGGTAAATTACCATAGTTCGTTACCATTTGTTTTCAATAATAATTTTGTACAATAATAACACGAAGTGGAGGGTACCATGTATTGTGATGGTGATGCCTAAAGGTTTCTTGAAATCCCTTGTTATTCTTTTAGGTTTCTTGAGGATTCTGAAGGATAACTACTAGTTTTCGTAGAATATACAAGAGAAAATGAAGTAGTCTGTCTGTTTGGCTGTTGTTCTTGTCTAAGAATTGGTTATCGAGATATGTATTTTGTGGATTAAAATTCTTACCAGTGATTCTATGCTGCCTTCTGACCATGTTGTACTTAAGCAACCTCAAAAAATCTTTCACCAAAATTGCTTTAGGAAGATTAAATTTTCAAAAATGGTGAAGCTCGGGAAATGTAAAATTTTTAAGATCGACAACCATGTCCTTCCCTGAAATCATTTTGAAATCATTTTTTTTAATGGTCAAATCGAAATTTATAGCAAGCAGTATTTACCTAAATAAGCCTTGCTTTTAAAGCATTTATTTTTGTAGCTTCATCGGCAAGGCCAGCACAGCAACAAACATTTGACAGGCCTAACAATCTTGGTGGCAGAGGTCGGGGTCGTGACGAGCCAACTAGAGGATCACATAATACGAACAGAGGGGCAAGAGGGCGCAGCATGGGAGGGAACGGTGCAGCTGGGGGTTCGCGTCAAAGTGATCCCTCTCGAGGTCGAGGCTCAACCAGAGGAGCTGGAAGCTCTACAAACCCGCAAGGGTCAGGCCGTGCTGGCGTAGCCAGAGGAGGTTCGACTGCAGGGAGATTCGGTGATGGAAATGACACTGGCTTTTCTAATAATTCATCCTATGATGGACGAAGGGGTAATTATCTCTATTGGTTTGATGGATGTGAAATTATTGTGTACATATAATTGTGTACATGTTGATTGATGGATGTGTACATATCCGTAGCTTGTGTTGATGATATATTCATGTTCAGTGCCTTACCAATGTTGTTTAAGATATAAGTTACAGGAAACTGGAACAAAACTTGTATCAGGAAACAACGCTAGTGAATAAGCAAGGTAGTTTTTGGGTTTATTTTGAATTGTTCATTTCATAAAAACGACCCCTTAATGATCTTAAAGGTCAATGAATTGTATCTGTGCGAATGAATTGAATTGCAGAGGCACGAAAATATTTATTTTGCTGCTGTTAATTTTTGCTGCACTGTGCCCAGGGTACGCTGTTTCAAGACCCTGGTGGAGAAAATTCTTCAACTTACTTTTTAAGCCAGGAAGAGTTTCTGTTTAAGTTATTGTAAAATTTTACTACCAGATAACTTATTCATTCCCTTGCCTGGTCGTTGCTTCAGTATTTGAGGTTTTGTACCACTGATGACAGTTATACAAAATTGCCAGTTAGTTTCATTTCAGTACTGTTAAAATGTAGATATTTCTTTTGCCAATGTGCTTCGATTTAAATATTTGTCGTATACTTTTAGGCAACACTGGCTCAGATAATGGGCTTGGATTTAACTCCAGGTTGGAACTCAAGTTACAACTTTAAAACCACTTTTGAATCTTCATCTCCTATTTATTTCTTCATTCATCTGTTTGGCTGCGTGTGTGTCAATATCAATCATCTACTTTCAATTTAGTTAAATATTTCAGATTTTTTCTCAACTATACATTATATTCTCAACTAGCACCAAATTATAATCGGAGCTTAAAATATGCCCATGTACATTGCCATCAGTTTTTGGTGCAGTTTTCAAGTTCTAGATCAATCTTTTCGTGGTGCAATATTAAAAAGTGGCTTTGAAAAAGGCGAACATTTTGAGTTATACTAAAGCTTACTAAACACTTTTCAGAGCAATTTTTAAGTTTTAAATCCGGATATTTATTTTCCTTGGTATTCATGATGTTCTTAAAAGGCTGGATCTTGTATATTTTATGAATTTGGTCTAATCTAAATTGTTCAATGAAGTGCACCCATTTTAGGCAAACCCCCGGTGACAGTTCTGTTGTTTGTGACTGCGAAAACGTAGCATTGTTGCTTACCGTGCGAAAAGACGGTCCGAATCAAGGTTTGTTACAAAATCTTGTTTGACTTAAAAGCTTCCTGCAACTTCTAGCTAACTTCTTATTGAATTTGCTCTTTGTCATTTCCCGTTATAAACCGTATTTTTTGTATGTTTTTCTAACAAAATTTACAGCATAATGGCTGGAATGAGAATGTGCAACATTACCATTAATTGTTTGTAAATGACATGACATGACATGACATGACATGACATGACATGACATGACATGACATATGACATATGACATATGACATATGATATATGACAAACATTACAATAAATTACATCGCATTACATGGCATTAAATTTTATTATCTTTGTTGCTATTTAGGCCGTCAGTTTTATAAATGTGGCAATGACAACAAGTGTAATTTTTTCCTCTGGGCTGATGATGGGCAAACGAATACTGGAACGAGAAATGCAGGTTTGTTGTATTCATATATACAAAAAGTTTATTAAACATTCATATATAATTTTTGCAAATACCGGCTATTTGTAGAAATCCTGAAAACATTCGATCACAATCTAAGATTTTGTAGAACAAACAGTGATAGCAAAACAGTAAAATATTACCGTCTGTATCATTGATTCACACCTTTATGTATGCTTTAAAGAGAATGTATAACAAATGACTTTTTTTCACTGCTGTTCATATCTCTTTAACGCAATCACTTTCAGATTCAAAGTTTAAATACTTATTCCCTTTTGTTTTAGGGGCTTTTCCTGCTCAGCCAAACCGACCAACTGCCTCGTTTAGTGCTGGGTAAGAACTATTCGCTTTAATAGCAATCATTCTTAGTCAAGCATTTTACTCGATAACTTAACCTTCCGCTTCTTTTTGCTGTAAACAGTTTATCTTGAAGGCTTGTTTAATATTCGTGTTTATTAATACTAGATCATTGAATCAACTTAAGCAATCTAGAGTTGCTTGTTTCATCATTAGTTATTTCATTTTTAGCCCAGATGTAGGAGATCAAATTAAATGTAAATGCAATATGGACGCTGTCAGGTTTGAAAAAACTATAACTTCTTTTCTTTTAATTGTCTATTGAAGTTTCAAATTTTTTATAAAGCTCCAAAATAAGGGTGTGTAACATTACGACGAGACTGACAATTTTTTCCTGAGTCCATAAGTTAAGGAGGATGTATAGCCTTACCCTAAAGGAGTTTTACAATATTCTGTCATAGAATTTAGTACGAAAAGTTTTGATAGGAACCATTTAGGAATCAAACGTTGTAAAATATATAAAATCAATGGATTTGTTTTCCTGTATTGAAAGTTGAAGAAACGTATTTTTTCAAACTTCAAATTAATCAACACTAACAGGATTTTTCGTTAAAAAATCTGGTGAATCACAGCGTCGTTTCTGCCTGATGGAAAAACAGTCTACTAGTAGGGACATTTCTACTGCTCATAAAACAGAAGAAGAAATTGTTGTGTACCTGTTAGAAGACTTTAAATGTCTGACTTTTTCTTTGATTTGCAGCCGCACAGTAAGCAAGGATGGTCCTAACAAAGGTCGACCGTTTTATTCGTGCTCGAAACCAATTGGACAATCATGTGGCTTCTTTCAGTGGGGAGATGAGGGTGACACAGGCAACCAGTCAAATGCTGCTCCTGGAAGAGGGGGCTTTGGGGGACGGGGAAATTGGAGAGGGGGCAGAGGAAGAGGTGCTTCGGGCTCAGCACCTGGTGGACAAAAGAAAAGAAAATGCGGTGCTTGTGGTGAAGAAGGTGCAGAATTTCAAAATAATTGCATATTAAATTTTGATGCTTAATTGAAATGCGAACAGGTCTTGAAATCCAAAACTCGAGGCTATTTATGTTCAAATTTACGAGTTGTTGACATTTTACACTATTTACAGATTACACTGGAGCAGTCTCCGATAACTTTAAATATTTTTAACAAATATATGAATTTTCTGTAGATTGATTAAAAAATTTGTTATGCAGTTAATGTCCTTCAAAAAGTGGTGATATTGTATTGGTATCTTATTTAGAAAATTTTTTACAAAGCTGGTTTGATAACCAATTTAGTGAATTATTATACAATTGATTCCTTACCAGAGAAATAGTTATTTCTTGTTTCCCTTATATAATAAGCAAGATAGCCATATAAAATTATTATCTGATAAACAATTCAAAATAAGAGAAGGTACATGCCTGGAAAGCTGGTGGAAACGCTCTTTTCGTTTCCGCGGCGGAGTATTTCTGTCAAATAAATGAGAATTTCCAGCATTCTTAATGTTTTTTTGCTTTTTGTGTCTCTTTTCTCGATATTTGATTCGATATTTGCCTCATTGCAAATTTTCGAATTTTATTTCAACCTCACGGGCTTTATGAAACACTTGAAAGAGCATTGAAAAAAAGTTAAATTTGAATTTTTTTCGAAAATTATCTCCTTTCATTGTTGACGTTGTTCATGTTCATGCATCGTTTCCGCAACACGAAAAATGATGGCAACGAAACATGGTCCCGTCTGCAACCCTTAAGTCACGGTAACGAAAATTCATTTTCCCAAATGCTGAGTACTTGCAGGCCTGATGTTCAAGCAGAAGTAAGAACTTTCATCTAATAAGGACATTTTTACTTTTTCAGGTCACACAAAGAAGACTTGTAGATATGGTTAACAGTTTAAAGAAATTTACACTCAGTCACAGAAGCATGGGTTCAAGCATTTTAAATATAATTATTTGGTTTGTGGATGTTTTGTTTGTAGAAAATTGTAATATATTTCACACCTAGTATAGTACTAGTAACATTTTATAGCTTCGAAGTAATAAAGAATCAAGTTTGACCTCTTAATATGACCCTCTAATTGTCTCTCGTTTATTTCTTTTTCTCGTGCTATTGCTCCTATATTTCTTCGATTCAAACTTAGCTTTTTAATCTTTTCATTATTTGTCGCAGGTTTATTGAATTAATTATCAAACCAGTTTCTTTCTATCTAAACGTTTTTCTCTAGGTTTGTTTCTAGTTATGGTTCTTTTTTTAAAGAACACTACAAGGAATTTTTTTTAAGTTATGCATTGTTTATCAATTTTGTTTTATGGGGGCGAGAACATTCGCTCGATAGCTCGATACAATATCAAGTTTCTTTCCGGCCTCGATTCTGCGTCATATTGGACCTCGTTCGGATAATTCAAACTGACGTCATATTAATACTCGCTTCATTTTTGTTCTGTGCTAACCATCAATGGTCAGAAATGGAAATTTTAAATGCAAAATATGTTTAGCTTTGGGAAATCATCTGTTTGAAAAGATGAGAGAATTTCTAAAAGTTGCATGTTTTCTGTGGTTTGCAATCCTTTTTGCCAATGGCCGCCTGCTGAGTAAATCTGCTATTGCAAATCCTGGCCAAGCGCAAAGTAACATTGAGGTGATCACGGAAGTGCAAGAAGAAGTTAGCGAAGGGGTGGAAGTAGACGAAATTCAGATGATAATGGAAAATAACGGAGAAAAAATCAAAGTCGGTCACAGCCATCGAGAGTATCCCACTGAATTTCACCTGAACCTTAAATATGCAAATTTGACCTTTCTTTTGAAAGTGAAGGCAAATGACGTTATGATGGGAGTAAAGCCCAAGCTGATTTACTACGATAACAATGGAAAGAGAATTGTGGACGATGATCATGATGATGGATGTTGCTACTACCAAGGCTATGACGTAAACACGCCAAACACTTCAGTAGCGATCAGTGTATGTGAAGATGGCATGGATGGAGTCATAATGATGGGAGACAGGCAGCTTGTAATTAAACCCTCGAAGAAGAAGATGTACATGCGTGAGTCTGCCGATCGATTTACACTTGGACCCCATGTGCTGAAAGAAAGTCTTGCGCAGAAAGAAGAGAAGTTGAAATTTGATTATGTTCATATACCGGAGAACTTGACAATTAATCATAGAGCTAAAAGAAGTTTGGACCAGATGACGGAAACAAAGTATATCGAATTATATATGCTTGTCGATCATACGTATTTCGTATGGATGGAAAATAGCGTTGATAAGACTATGAAGCGAATAAAGCAAGTCAGTAATATAGTTGATTCACTTTATTTTCCATTGAATGTACGGGTAGTTCTCTTGGCTGTGGATATTTGGACAGATGGCAACAAAATGAATGTAGATAAGAGTATAAGCGGAACGTTAGAGAGATTGTATGACTATCGTAAGTGGCATGTCTTGCCAAAATTTGAAAACGACTGCACAATACTGGTGAGTCGAGTAGAATTTGATGGACCTGCAATTGGTCTTGCACCGCTGAGTGGTATGTGCAATACAAAGTATTCTTGTAATGTCTGCCAAGACACCACTTCGGATTTGACAATTTTGGCTGGCACGATGGCACATGAAATGGGACACAATCTAGGTATGGACCACGATAAGTATGATTGCCGCTGTTCGCATTACGCTTGTTTGATGAACCCATACTCTCAAAATCCAATGCCAAAGAGGTTTTCAGAGTGCAGTGAATGGGATTTTAAAGCCTATTTGAGAAAGGACCTTGCATACTGTCTGATGAATGTTCCAGATTTTGAAAGCGGGTTGTATATTGATGACAGAACTTGTGGCAACAACAAGATTGATCCCGGAGAAGAGTGCGATTGTGGTAAACCAAGGTATTGCCAGAATCCTTGTTGCGACGCGTTTAGGTGCAGGCTAAAGAAAACTTCGCAATGCTATGAAGGCGGATGTTGCGTTGATTGTAAAATACAACCACGTGATACAATATGCAGGCGCTCGAAGGATTTCTGCGATTATGATGACAAGTGCGACGGGAATAATCCAGAATGCCCGGAGGACGCTTTTTCCCCCAACGGCGAGCCTTGTAAGGAATATAGCAGAGATGGGTATTGCTATGATGGCCAATGTAGAACACTCAAAAGTCAATGTCGCTACGTGTGGGGAGGTATGTCAAAAGAATCAAACTCTGTATGTTTTAACACCCTGAATACAAGGGGTGACGAACGTGGTAACTGTGGCTACGCCGGGGGCTACATCCGCTGCTCTGGGGCTGACGCCATGTGTGGAAGATTGTTTTGCACAAACGTTCCAGCGCATGATTCAGTACCAATCATTGGCTTTATGCCAAGACGATACACTATGAGTGTGTGGGGAAATGGCCAGAACCATGAGTGTGTCACTGCCAAGGTTGATCTTGGTAGACAAGCTCCTGATCCAAGTAAGTTCATTTAAAGCACATACTATTCTTTTTGACTTTGCATGAAGTTTTCAGTCAAACATCTGCTGGGACGCAAGTCGGACATCTGTTTGGGGGCATTTATCAGTTACTTCGATTTTTGAATGGAAGGGACGGGACCAATAGTTGGGAAACAGACCACGTTTTTGATATGAAGCAATAAAATTATATATCTCCTTTCCTATTAAGAAAGCATCACCTATCCTCATCTCTATTTCATGCCTCAAATATTCAATTGCCAAGCTTATACTTGAACGAAGACACCCATATTTCATCAGAGCGTATTTTGAAAAACTGCGTCGTTACCTTCACGGCCACCACCGAGATTTTGAAACTTGTTTAAATTGCTAGAAGTAAAAAAATGCTTTTTATCAAAGGGAAAAACAAACGACAGAACTATTGAATGAGGACTGCAATTAAGTTGGAAAAGTTTGCATTAGAATTAAGAAGAAGATCTATATCGAATGAAAATCGCAGTCCATATCCTTGCCAGTGCGTCTACAAGGTATCCTTCTGCCGGGTTCACAGAGGTACTCACCAGTAGCATTTGTAGTGCTTCTGCCTGAGCCTACAATCTCAAGCATCGCAGTTAAAGCAATCTGAGCAATTGAACATTTCGTTTTCGTTAGGTTTCGATGTGATAAATCATACATTTGAAATGTTTTAATATACCTAATATTCTTTGCAAACGTTTAAACATCTCTTTATTTTGCTTTTGCAGTTTCAGTATTCACAGGGGTGAAATGTGGTGATGGTAAGGCATGCAAAGCTGGCAAATGCATACCCGTCACAGAGATTGCGAGCCCCCCTTGTATTGATGACTGTCATGGAAACGGATTGTGCACCCACAAGGGGACATGCTTGTGTATTTCGGGCTACGCACCACCTACTTGTGACAAGTTTGAAGTCGTTGAAGGTCAAAACAGCAGTGGGATGCTGGCATGCAGTTTTTTATTGTCTCTACTGATACCTTTTGCAACGTACTTGTTGATGTAGTAAAGAAAAAAGGACAAATTTGATCGAAGTCAACTGGAAGCAGTAGAAATATATTTTAAACAGTAGAAAATATAATTTGTTTTGAAATTGAAATTTTTACTTTTGAATCGCTTCAAAGTTTCCCCAACATTTTGCCAAGGGGTCTGATGTGGTGATGGAAAAAAGCCGCAAAGTTCTTTGAAAGCAATATAGGTTTTGGAAAGTTAAAAGCAGCTGAAGTTTTATCAGCTTAGTTTTTAACATTTTTACCTAAAACTCTGCCTAAAATGGGTTTTCCCTTTTTCTTTGCCCTTAAAATGTTGATTAGTTAAGTAAATACTTACATTCATCCTATGCCACTTCGTTTTTCTACAACGGGAGTGGAATTGCAATGGACGTAGAGGAAACAAGTCATTAGAGTGATAAATATTTGCAGCGACGGGACAAAGAAAAGCCCTGTATGCCGGGACGAAATATTAGCTAGTATTAACCTGCTTAAAGTGTTTATTGTTGTTTGTTCTTGGCACGATGTGGTGTTTCTAACTTTCTACAAAAATATATTTGTCTGGTTCTTTAAATGTAAAAAGGGTATGTTTCTGTCTACGCGTGTAGACTTCATGCACCATGTACGTTAATATAGTTCTCATTCTTATTAAACTCTCCACACGTGATGGAAATTTGCAAGTAGAGCCAATGTGAGTCCCCCTGAACTGATGCTAGGTCCAATACACGGAGATTTGTACTTTTGCAGTGCTTGTCTACATCAGATTAAGAACTCGACCTTACGTCAAGTATGACTCCGATAGTCTTTTTATTCTTATTTATCACCGATTAACAAAAGTCGGTGTCATCCAAAATGCAAAGAAGTTAAATTGCATAGGCCCCAACACAGAGCTTTGTGGAAACACCTAAGGAAAGTATCGAATGCGTGACCAATTTGAAATTCATGCCCCTTTTTGTACACGGAACTATCTGTCTTTCCTTACTTTGCTAGATTTCTTTAGAGAGTAGAGCTATCAAATGTTCATCGTCAAAGCAGTCAATAGCCAACTAGAGGGCAATCAAAGGACAACTTATCAAGACACTCTATTTTTCAGCTAATTTATTTTTAAAACTTTTGAGAAAGCATACACCATCATCATATATATCAAGAACTCCAAAGATACTTTGATTATGAAACTTGCAAAATGCATTACAGCCTCAAGGATCATTAGATTCTATACCAGCCGGGAACTGATCAACAATAAAAGACTCATTTTTCAGCAAACCTAATGACATCAACTTCTCCAACATTGACATTCTTGTTATTGGTCCCCTAAAGCTCTTGATCAAAATTTTTGCTTAGATTAGTAAGAAATATTATAGACTTTGTTCGGGAGACCAATCATACCCGTCCGCCAGACCCGTTTCGGGGGCATTGCACGTGCACATTATAACTTGAAGTCCTGGCGGCAAGTTCAAGAGTTTTGTGGTCACAGAAGACAGCACAGCTATGAAAAACTGCTATTGATGCGCATGTGCCATGACCCTGCGAGACTGATTGGTTTAGTCGGTATTGACTAAAGGTTTCGTCTTCCGAGCATGACTGGTCTGTTACATGAAACAATGTAATGAAAATAACTGTCTGTGAAAAAAAGACTGCCATATTTCCCCATATATTCAGTTTCAACACCAAATACCGTCACCCTGAACTAACTCATGAACACGATTTTTTGTCTTGAAATTATAAGATCTTTTTGTTTTATCAAATCTTCTTTAACATTCATTATATACTAATTTAGCATTCATTATAAATTAATTTTGTCATCGCATATATTGTGTCATCGTATTTCAAACATCTTTTTCACTTCTAATGGCAAAGTTTTGGTTGCAAATTGTTCAAAAAACATCTAAAAGGCTTGCATATATGAATCTTGATCCTGGGTTCCACAGCCACAAAGATTCGATCACGGAAATAGAAGATAGGAATGGAAAAGCGGAGTAGCGCCTATAGGGCCGTCACGAGGCAAGCCTTTTATTTGGGGGGGGGGGGGTTGTGGACTACAAATTTACCTGATTAAAAATGTTTTTGCCTGAAATTCTTTAGTTGCTGTCACAAACCTCTGCAATACATTTTGTCAATCTAACTCTAGCTATAATTCGCAACTTTCATTTTTATATAATGATAACGGACTTTCCTAATAGTTTTGTCAAATCTCTGTATCGGGCAAAAGATATAGTCACTACCCTAAGCAGCACCATGGTTGCCGCCAATGAAACAGGAAATTTTCGAAATTTGATGCTTCTAGTTACCTGGAAAATGCACTCTTTCAAGCACATTTCACTAAAGCAATCCTCCTAATCCTATTGAAAAGTATTTTTTTGCAAACAAATTGAACATCAGATAAAAATAACTGGTACAATTTTACCGTGGTCTTGAAAAATACCATGTTGTCAGTTACTTCTAAAGTTAGGTAACAAGCAACACTGGTTGTCATTTTACGTCCCTCTTTCCATCTTAGCATGTCTTTTGAATGTTAAAAAAAATCTAGAGCTCGTAGTAAATTACAGTTGACGCTTCTACCGAGAAACTTTATGGGAAATTGACACAGGTCACAATTTTACCTAAAGAGGACCTGAATTTTTCGATTTAGTGCCAACAAGAAATCTTCAAAGCTTCAAATCATTAGTTTGTTTACCTTCATTCGTATCAAGAAATATCATATTTAACCAACGGAACAACTACCTTTGCTTGATCCTTTCTTGACTTTATGACATGAAGGTCTCTGAAATACCTAAAGCGTTTCTTCCACCCAGCGGATTTTACCTGAAATTTCCTATTGAGAAACTATTGGGGTGTGTGACACTGTTTCGTTGATTATATATTCTTAAAGGACATTATTATTATGTTGACAAGTTGCTTTGTATTATCCCGCTCTGTTTTATTCTTATGCAAATTAGTTTTAGTTAGTAGTATTCACACGTTGGAAAATAGGACACGATCATTACCGCATGCTAACCAGGAATAATATTTAGACAGAAACCAGCTTATCAAAGACACTTTAGAGACATCACCATAAGTAAGTAAGTTTATTTTATTGTATTTTCGTATTCAGTTTCCATTCCAGTTATTCAGTTTATCGCCGCTGTAAGACGTTATGTATTTACTTATATTCATAATTTACTTGTTTTAGATCGAATAAGATTTTCATTATACGATTTGGTGTCTTGTTCTAAAGCCTGTCCTGCGAGGAAACAGACACCCCCACCCCCACACCCCCCTGAGCACCTATCTGAGAAGAAGGAAAAGCTAGAAGCTCATCCGTTTCTCCGCCTGGCTTTATGTTTACACACTGGTACCATTTTGTGGCTCTGGCACCCAGGATAATCAATCTTAATGTATCAGTACAGATGATTAATGAATGACTGAATGTTGTTTAGAAGATAAAAGAAGGGTTTATCTGCTAAGAAATATAACCCAACATACCTTGTGAATGATCTCTTACAAACAGCATACCTGCGATTATGAATATTATTTACAAAACACCCCAACCTTCTTTATGGGTGTCAGATTATTATACCATTTTGCTATTGAAACTTCAAAACTTTGCCAAATTCATGTTTAAACATTCGTTTCAGTTTGAGCTTTAGATTTTCAAAAACTCTTAGACTTAGTTTTTTTTAATTGAAAATCGAAAATTTTGTATGCTCACTGTATATCTTAAATATTAGTATATGAAATTTAATTTTAATAGTTATATATGTCGGTGCAAATAACTTTACCAGTAACATTACCTCTTTCAACCGACTAAATCTTTGCTTCACTATTGTTTTCCTTCTTCCTTTTATTGGAAAAGTTCTTGTTTCGCTTCCACGACAAGGGGGCATGAAGTACCGAGACCTTCTTGTTATCCATGGTTCACATTTTCATAAGAAATTCCCAATGACTATAGTTTTATTATTTGCGATAAAAAGCGTATTCGTGTCATAGCTTGATGTTGCATTATTTGATGCCACAAACTTTATTTATTCTTTGACCCGGATTTAAGCACATAACACTTGCCCTTTATGTTTTTGAAAGGAAGATACTAATATCACATGCTATTTGGAAGAAATTCCTGTTTTTTGTCGTTTTCCTCAAGGAACTTCTACTGCACCTAAAAACGCTCGTAAACATGATTAATTCAGTATATTTCCATGTTGCATATGTGATTTAGGGTTGCCCAACGTGCGAGTCATTTTGAAAAGAATATTTTAAATCACGTACAAATAAGCATTGTTAGAATTTCCAACTTAAATACAATAAATGTGTCACTCTACCTCAGGTGTTAAATAAATGCCCTTTTGAAAATGAATGTACTGCATCTTGTCTTCCTGAACAGTTAATTAGCAAATTGGGAACCATTTCAAAGTAAAAGCAATATGCAGAAAATCTTGAGTTAGATGACAATTTCGTAAGCATTACGATCGATGTCGCCTGATTCGTTTTTTCAAAGTTTTTAGAATACGTCATACAATGGTAAAGACATGTAATATTGTTCAAGCGAGTATCAGCAAGATAAACATTTTGACCATCTATTTAGATAATATTTTATTGAGAAGAATGTGTCCTTAGTTGAACATTTAAGCTGAAAACAATCAGCCCAAATAACAATGTCCAGCTAGTTGCCAATTGAGAACTTCTGCTGCTTTCTCTGCTCGGAACTTCTGTGTTTCCGCTAAGAGGTGCCTTTGTTGTTGTTACGGTTTCTTTCGCGCAGTTAGGAGGAACGTAGCCCGGATCGCAAGCACAAGTGCCTTTCTGCGTGCAAACTCCATGTCGATTGCAATTACCCGGACAATCCGGTCCCTGGATTTCTGACACCGGAACACATTTAGTATTTTTGCAAACAAATCCTTCACCACATTTGACTCCAGTGAAAGCCAAGACTGAAAGGAAGATCAAGCTTAAGTAACATGGCAATCTTAACAGTATTCTGCTCACGTTTCTGATTAGCCTTTTTCGGTTCTGCTCGGTTCAAAGAAATAATCACCATAATTTTTCACATGTACGCTCTGGCAATGCTTTGCCAGTTGCATGTACGCTCTGGCAATCTGGCAATTCAATACTTTGTTATGAAGATATTAAACACGTTTTACCAATTACTTGGGGTGCTATTGCCTCTCTCACCATCCCTAGCCCCTTGCTTGCAATGGCCCTGTTTGATCCTTTTATGATATCAATATATAAGGAATTTAGGCAGAAAATTCTATCGTACCAGGAAAAAATATGCTTTTTATACCAAGTTAGCTTTAAAATCAATTTTAGGAAGTCAGTTTTGATTCTTTTCTCAAAACTGCGCTTTAAACTAAAAATAATAACTATGCTACAATTTTCATTGAAGATTAACTACTCACATGGATTTTCGTGTGTATAGCCCAACTCTGCATTACCCGCCAAACAATTGTACGCTCTGCCACCACTTTTGAAAGATACCACTTGCCTTCCTTTCGACCTCCCAATGACGGGGAATCCGGATGGGCCGTTTCTGCAGAAAAGTTTCCCACAGTTCCTGTTAGCAGAAGAGCACCTTACGTAATAGTTTCCAGAAGTACCGCAATTGCCATACTTGTCACCTCTAGTATTCAAATCGAAGCATTTTCCTTCCCCTTGTATTGTCGCGGCTCCCCAAGCATAACGGCATTGGGTAGTCAGTGACTGGCATCTTCCTTCATAACAGTAGCCGTCTGAATCCAAGTGCTCACATGCCTTACCGTTCTGCAGGAACAAATTCTCAGGACATTTCCCGTTCTCACCGTCACATTTTTCTGCTATATCACATGGATTGTCAGCCGGCCTGCAGGTTGTGTCACGCAGCTTTAGCTTACAGTTATTGCAACACATTCCTGTATAGCATTGTGAGCCTGAAGTTAGTTTGCACGTTTTTGCATTACAGCAAGGGTTAAGGCAAAACCTCTCTTCTCCGCAATCGCACTCTTCACCTGGGTCTAACTTGTTGTTTCCACAAGTATTTGCACCATTGTAATGGGCGCTTTCGAGATCTGGGATATTCATGAGGCATGCTCCCAGTTTGTTTTCCAAAAAGTTATTCAGATATGATTCACTGCATTCAGAGAAATACAAAGGAGTTGGATTTTGTGCATAAGGAGACATGAGGCATTTTCCTCGAGTTGATTGGCATCTACACGAGTCACCATCATGATCCATCCGAAAATTATGTCCCATCTCGTGCGCTATTGTGCCAGCTACTAGTGAGTAATCCCAAGAGAGATCTTGATTAACATTTGTCGAGTATCTTTCAGTGCACATCGCGCTCATAGGAGCAACTCCAATAGCTGGTCCATCAAATTCGATTTGGCTAACCAGCATAGTGTTATCATTTGGATTCCTCTTCATGACATTATGTTGTCTATAGTCGTACAAGCGAGAAAGAGCATCTTCAATATTACGCCCCATATATATCTTATCACTGTCACTCCAAACCTCTAAGGCCATAAAAACTATTCTTATATTATGGGGATGGTAAAGAGAGTCAACAATGTTCAAAATTTTCTTCATTCTTTTCAAGTTTTCGTCTACATTTCCTCCTAACCAAAGATAGTAACTTTTGTCGTTGATAGCATAAACTTCAACATATTTCGTTTCTGTCAGTTGAGCATTTCTCCGAATTCTTTGACTTGAATTATGCATGTTTTGATCGATCTCCGGTATATGAACATAATCAAGTTTCAACTTTTCTTCCTTCTGCGCGAGACTTTCTTTCAGCACATGGGGTCCAAGTGTAAATCGATCGGCAGACTCACGCATGTACATCTTCTTCTTCGAGGGTTTAATTACAAGCTGCCTGTCTCCCATCATTATGACTCCATCCATGCCATCTTCACATACACTGATCGCTACTGAAGTGTTTGGCGTGTTTACGTCATAGCCTTGGTAGTAGCAACATCCATCATCATGATCATCGTCCACAATTCTCTTTCCATTGTTATCGTAGTAAATCAGCTTGGGCTTTACTCCCATCATAACGTCATTTGCCTTCACTTTCAAAAGAACGGTCAAATTTGCATAATTCAGGTTCAAGTGGAATTCATTTGGATACTCTCGATGGCTGTGGCCGACTCTGATTTTTTCTGCGTTATTTTCCATTATCATCTGAATTTCATCTACTTCAACCCCGTCTCCATAGTCTTCCTGTGTATCCCAGACTTTGAAGTCGCCACCAGGCTCTAACGGGATGTTTTCTCCATGGACGACAACAAGAATAGCAAGAATGAAGTGAAAGACCATGGAAAATAAAAAATTCTTCATCATGTTTGATTCATTGATAAGTCTCAATACGATTTGTTAACGCCTCTAGAAAGCTCTGCTTGTTTGACTTATCGATTCTTCCTTAGCGTATTCATTCATGTGACGTCATTATGACCAACCAAAACGAGGCTTTTGTATTCATATGGAGGTATGCCTACAGAGACATTACTAGCAGTCGGAAATAATGGGAGGATAGATACAAAATTTTGCACTTAACCCAACCTCACTTATTCTTTCCTCTCTTTCATAATTACAGACTTACCTGTGTAATTTAATGAGAGAAAGTTCTTATATCAAAGCTTTTTCATAAAATTCACAGAAAGTTCGAAATAGAAAGGTTGCTTTTCTGAGACTGGTCGAATTACAAAAAGTCCAAATTACAGAGGTTCAGATAATAGAGGTTTTTGTAAAAGGTCTTTTGGGATTTTCAAGGGACCTGAGAATTTTGTTCGAATTAGTAGAACTTCAAATTACAAGACTTCGAAAGTAGACAGAGTCGACTGCATCCTTGTTTGCGAACGAAGTACAAGACTCAATTCATCCTTTCGTGGAGATGGATGTTAATCAAATCTTTTTCAGCTATCAAATTATCAAAAATTCAAAATCAATTATTCAAACAAACAAAAAAGTAATCAGCCCTTGATAGCAACTTGCTCTTTTTCAATATTAATCGAAAATATTGACAGGGCATTTGGAGATAAATTAAGAAAATCCATTGACAATCTTCAATACCTTTTAAAATATTAAATATTCATATTTTTGGAACAAAGGAAGGTACAGTGATAGGGTTCCTTTCACAAAAGCATCCTTTTCCATTTTTCTGCTGGTGTTAATCGTATGCATGCCTCTTCTTCAATAGATGTTACACTTTTTTATCAAAACCAGATATTTTTTGCCGCGGATCTATGTTCATATATTTTTTGGATCGTTTTAAGCTCGAGTTTTCCTAACTTTGCTTGTATTTCAGCATTAATTTTTCTTCATCTACTTACAACTATATTCATAAAACTATGTTACTACAAACTGTTTCGAAGGCAACTAAACCTTAGTTTTACGAGACTTTTTCAGTAGATTAGCTGATAAAATATGCTCAATATTTGTTGACACGAAAGAAAAAGTTTTCCAAATGTGCTTTCTTGTTTTCGTTTATAATCTGAGGTTGACCATGCTCTTGCGTTGGCAAATCGAGCCTCAGTGTTCTTATAACTGCCTTATTTCGGCCTATAAGCCTTATTGTAAAAAAAATAACATGTGTTTTTATGAAAACAAATTTAATTGGACAGTCATACACATTTCGGTCTAAATTTAACATGAATCGTTACCGGCAGCGAGACTTTAGTTGAAGTCGGCTTTTACAATGTTTCTCTAGCAGGTTGTTGCAACAGGCATTATGATAAATGCATTTCGGTCTAAATTTAACATGAATCGTTACCGGCAGCGAAACTTTAGTTGGAGTCGACTGTTACGACGCTTCTCTTGCAGGTTGTTGCAACAGGCATTATGATAAATGCTGTCGGAAGTGTTGTGTTACCCTGGATGGTTTCTCGATAAGTTCTTTGAAACTAGACAGTTTTTACAAACTAGACATCCATTTTGTAAGATAAAATTACTTCTTTTTTCTCCATCCAAGAAACAGCCTTCAAGCTTATTAAATGCCATTGAATGTGTCAACCAGGTGGCAAGGTGGCAGATACCACGCAGAACAATATAAGACTCAACAACCTAATTTACCGAACAACCTTTTTTGCACCATTTCAATGCTGCACCCTAATCCCAATCTGTTCTGTTTTTTCCAATAAATATGACCAGCTTCTATGATATAGATTATAAACAATTTTCATAAGTATTATATAAAACAAATTGTTATTAAATGTAGGGGTTGCTGTTAATCTTTAGCCTTGCAATTGCGTCTTCACATTGCTTCAACAAAACTTGTCCTTGCTTTGATTTTATGAAGCTCAGTGAATCTTAAATTACAAAATGAAACTCCATCGACAGGAGGTGAATGCGGCAGGAGGTAAATGAGAAACTCCCTTTTTAACAACGTCTGTAATAACCAAGGCATATGCCTTAATGTTCATTTTGCAGTGTTTTATTATTCTGAGGTAGATTTACAGCTAGTTGCTTCTTCTCTTCCGCTTTATACACTCATTTTGTTTTATTAGAGACTTGTTTTATTAGAGAGTAGTTCAGAACTAAAAGCAAATGATTTTAGGTCTCAATTAAAGCTTTTGCAAAAAGCAAAGCTCTATAAATTCGTGATTTTCAAATATTGTTGACTGTTTAGCATAAAACTTTTTAGTGCAAACAAAAGGAATTCTTCACAACTTTCACTTTTCTTCACTACCAATTTAAATTTTTTAATTGTTTGCAAAAAAATAGATATTATAGATAAAGTTGTTCCCAGGACAAAGAACCCAAGTATTGAAATGAATTACATAAAATGAAGAAATACTTAAGAACTACCTGTGTTTTTTGTTAACCTCTTTCTCCGGAGAGTCGAGGCCACAAAAGTGGACATGCAAAATTTGTTTGATGATTCTGTTGTACTTTAAAAATGTTATTAGCTTTGCGGAATTATGGGTATCAGTGCCGTCGGAACGAAATTCATATTGGGGGGCTGCCCATCGTATTCCTTCTCATTTAGTACACTACAGTCTGACAATTATTGTGGGAGCTTCAGCCCCCCAGCCCCCCGGTTCCGACGGTATAGTTTTCATCATGTTTGCAAAATTATGGGTCACATTTTTTCAGACAGATGCAGAATTATGTGTCCAAATTCTGTAACCAAAATGGCACGTCCGCGTTTAAAATAGGGATTATCTAATTGTCACCGAAGAACTTGAGATTTTATATATCTATTCCATTCACAGTGCCAATTTCAGAAGGGCACAGTGCCCCATAGAGTCAGGGCAGGACATTTTTTCAACTGCATTCTGCTGTAACGGTGCGCCATACGAAAAAGCTCGATGCGAAGGAGCAATCCGATGTTTTGGCAACCTGTTTGAGTTTTTAATTTCTGTTTCTATTAGGAAGGCAACACATTGTGAAAGGAGATCAAATGAAACATGAGTAGGAGCATGCTACCGTGCTTTTCTCTTGCTGCATTTATTTCGACGTGAGGGGTTCGTTGAATGGAGTAAAGTTCATTGTAGAAGGACACTCGTAGAAAGATAAGAAATGATCCCAAGAGGTGGAGGAGGTTTGGAAGCAGGTTCGCCGAGGAAAGGTTGTGTTTCTGTAGCTATATCAAGAGTTGGTTTGTCAAATCAGCCATCCCGTATCAGCCTAACTGGTGACGAATTTGATGGTGTAAATGAACCAGAAGGAGCAAGGTAATTCTCAAAAACATGCTTTTATAGACATTATCAAATTTCATAAACAGAAGTTGCATCAAACGATTTCATATATGACATGTTTTGCACTTTTGCTGCACAATGTATAGCTTTTATTTTCTATGATTCACCATATTTATTCATATATTTGTGATGAATTGTCGAAAACAAGCACAAGGTTTTGGTTAACCATGGGTGAGACCATGGTGAGACGAAACAAATAACAAAGTTCATTTTTTCGAGCATCCGCCCACCTAAGGCAACAACTAACACCTTATAGCATTTAAACAGTGTATTGCCTTCTTCAAAACCTCTATTACCAAAAATATTTTTTAACGATTTCAACAGTATTTAGTGGAATTTAAGGTTCGTCGACCGCCAAGCTCATCAAAAACTGGTCACTTATTAGCGGGCATTGTTGTTTTTGAAACGGAAAAGATGAGAGCCTTTGTTTTGCTAAGAATAGATCTTCCTAAGAACCTTTTGTCTTGTTAAGATTATAATTTTTCATGCTTTTGAACCGTGCAATTTAATCCATGTTGACAGTTTTCAGTTGTTCATAACACCTAGCATTTTGGCAACAGGGTTATTTTCTTTTATTTACCTGCAAATAATTTGCCTTTGATAACACATGTATATAGTATATATGTTTATATATCCAACAAAGCAATAAATTCACATAACTTTCAATGGTCTCCTTGTTGCTTTTTATATTCTCTGTCCAACTGACATCATCAAACTTGCATCTTGCTCTCTACAGCCCTTTTAAAAAACGGACCTTAGATTTTAATGTTGTAATTAGTCTATACTGAAAACTTCATGATGTTGGAACTGTTTAGTCTCAAATTATTTCATTCTGAATATTCAGATATTTAACCAGTTTTCACTCTAATAGAAAGTTCCATTGAAATATATATATAGAGGAAAAACTCAATATCGAAAAATATGCAATCTTGACTGTCTAAACAACATGAAATTTCTGGCCCAGACTAGTTTCTGCATGAATATTCAAGTTCCATGATCCATTTTTGGCAAATATGAAGATAACAAATTGACAATGCTAACTGGGAAAGCTTTTTAAATAGCCTTTCACAAAAAGTTTTTTGAATACTGGCCCATTGTTCAAACCCACCATTTCCAGGGCCAAAGAACAGTTTCAAAGTGGTTAACCAGCTGACAGTTGCCTTAATTTTATTGTGCTAGGCTAAACAATAGACTTGAATTGACTTTTGACATTTTGAAAACTAGACTTTATAAGCTTACAATATTGGCAGAGTGCCTGAATTGTATCAGCTAGAATACAAGTATTTTTAGATCTTTTATTTTTTACAGGTGGCAATAATTATGGCTATCTAAATAAGTCCTTTTTTACATGTGTAGCATTGTACAGCAGGAGCCCTAGGTTTGATTTAGTTTAAGAACTAATATTTTAAGAAAATTTGGAATGTTAACAAAATCTGATGATTGCTAATAGCTGATAATAATGATAATAATCTCCTTTAGAGCACAAGCTCTTGATGGTGCTTTCTTTGAAGCATTCTCGTCTGTTGATCAAAAGCAGAAAGGTCTGATAAAGAAGGCAAAGAAAGAATCCAAAAAACAGGCAGAGACACTCATTGAGAAGCAAGAAGCAGATACAAATTCTGTATTTTATCCCTTGTTTTCAAAGGATTCATTTACACTTAATCAGGTATACAATTTCTATTATCTTATGCAATTTCCAATTGATTATGTTAACTACCATAACAATCCAACTCTATTTATCTTTTGATCTTGATTATCATTGAATACTTAGCAACTAGTTTGTCTTTAGCAAGGCAACAACTTGTTAGGTACCATTGTTAATCAAATGCATTCTGAATGCAGTTTGATATAGTATGAATTAACTTCTGTCTGTTTATCTTGTTCACATTATTGCCTTATATCAAGGTAATACTTAGGAATATGCTCTTAGGTTGTCTTCTAGACCACTTTACCTTCCTCCATTATCTGTAGGTTTTTGTCCCAAGCAGAAAAATCATGTGTCAGCATCTCTGGGTATTCAAGCTATTTTTTTTATTGAATAAAGATTTTCTTTAGGCCAAGCTGATGTATGAAGAGCTGTTGTATGTAACAAGCCATCAACTTGGAAAAAGAAAGGTTGGAGCCAATGAAATAAGTCCTGGTGAACTAATAGTATATGGGCAAGAGGTAGTAGATTTGTAACTGTGTCGAATGTTTTTCACAGATAGCTGTTTATATTACATAACAAACTCCTATAGCCAGTGAATCAATGGAGATGAGATAGCTTAAACCAGATATCATAGAATTCAATACTAATTTCTGGAAATCCTATACTACAAAACTAAACTTTACTCAACCTAAAGAACAGGGCTGTTGCTAGCTTTTGTGCTCACATGGGTTGCTCTGATCCCATTTGCCAACAAGTATATATTTTGTCGATTACTGCATGATAAACTTGACATATATATTGGCCATGAAACTCAAAGTGAACTCTACTATACTTTTCCAAGAAAGGAAGACATATTTCTAGCTGGGGCAAGGACCTTTGAGTGTCTCCTAGAGGGATTATATCAACAAAGGATGTTGAGAAAATAAAAAAAGTTTGGCAATGCAATTAACCTATTTTTAAGTCACCCAAGAGAAAAGGACTTCCATAGCCCTAATCTGGCTTATTAAAATCCTTTTTATAAGTTATCTGAAACTTTTCTTCATTAGGCCTTTGGTATCAGTAGAGATGACCATAAAAAGATTTACAAGAAGGTCAGGGATAGAAAGGTAATTGTTTTTTGTTCGTACAGTAGAAGGGTAAATAGTTTTTTAATGTATTGCAACCTGGTGGACATGGCAATCTATTAAGTTTTCAGTTTCCGTTATAGCCATAATCTTAGTCATTTTAGAGAAAATATTGTATTCATGAATGCCTTTTGTGGTAGATATTAACTTTCATGTCACACCATTCTAAAAGTCCAAGATACACTTGTGAATATAGGACATCTTAAAACCCGAGTCTCACTTTCAAATAACATTCTATGGGGATCAAATCTGGACCAGGTCCATCCGTTTATAAATTTACATCTCTGAAGGGGTTTTCTAATCATCAATATAAATGCAAGACCTATCTGCTAATTTCTGGATCCAATCCAGATGGTTGTCTGAGGCTGAAGTGGTTTTAATGATAGTGACCTTTTCTTGGCAGTTTGTGGTCGAGCATCAAGAAGATGTTGTGAGTTTGTTTTTAGCACTATTTAATTCCCGTTTGCTTTGTCCCCAAACAGCCTCCAAGGACATTTGCCATCGTCACTGGTATGTTTATTCGAGATTCTTTGTAAAAGAGTAATATATGAATTATGATAAAATGTTTTCATTTCTTTCCAGACATCAATTGAGTCATTGCGATTGATATATTTTTTGACACGTTGGTATTTGTTCCAATGATAACGTTGTCAACTGATTTTGTCCCCGATTATCATTTGCTTTTTTCTCTTCTAAGTCGTGGAAGCAAAAAATTTGGAGGCCAAGGATGCTAACGGTGAGTGTTTAAGAATGTTTCCAACTACTGTAAAACGTAAACCTCTTAAACGGATACTCAAGCATGTAGCAACGTTTTGATGGGCTTAGAATGTGACAGTAGATAGCTCTATTTCGACATAAGTTTCTAGGCCATAAGTTTTTAGATCCAAGTGAATGTTGCGCGTTATTTACCACCGTCACCATCAACCGGGCCATACCTATTGGAGCATGTGAGGTGTGACATCACCCACCCCCCCTCCCTTCAAAAATATTTCGTGTCAGTAACAAGGATATTTTGCTATTCAGGAATGCTTCTTTGGCGAGTTTTAAAACCTCTCGGCAAATAATGATTTGCCCACTTTTTCAACACAATGGTACCTCGACACCCCTCTGGAGCACAATAGCTTCTGACAGCCCTATTTATAAGCCCAAAGTAATCTCAGTAGCCCACTAACCACAATTTCTATTGCCCGTGCGCCTGTATGTAAAAGCCTTATTCTAACAGAATTGTCAATTTTTTTCCTGTTTGTTGAGGCTATTAATTTTTTATTGGATTGTGTACCATTTTCGTTTGCCGAGTATCTGTTTGCTGCTGTGTATAATCTTTTGATATGAAACAAACAGCATGAAAATAAACGCGTATTTTCCATATATGTTGAGCTTTTACCACCTGCTTTTAGCGTGATTCTGTTTATGTAAGCCTCAGCCTAAACAAAGGTGCTACCAGCATCTGTAATTATGAATATGTACACGATTAACAGCGTAATTAAAAAGCAAGTTTTACGTTGAAATTTCTTGAGTTGATAAATTTTACCCGTATCCTAATTGTAAGAATATAGTATTGCAATAGGTTACAAGCTCTCATAATGGTTTAAGGTTTCTAAAAGGGTCATTTATACCTGTGTAATATTTTGTTTGCGTCTCATGTTTAGATGAAGTTGCAATTCACTCTTGTAAAAAGGGTTCAAGTTTTTTCCAAAACAAAAGGATATCCAGAATATACCGATAAAACAATAGTATTTCTATCAAAAATGTACGAGATTTCCATGAGGTGATTTCCCCCTTGTTTTAGATAACATTTTACTTAGAAAGGATGCAAATTCATAACAGACGAAATTATGTTTCGAATAAATGTTTGGCAATCGTTTGAAGGTGCAATGCTTTGCATGACAGAATTTCTAGGGCCCTGTTTATTTCAGTGAGTCCCTGTCAGTTGGATCTGTGCAGTGTCTTGTGCTTATTCTGGCTTCATTTGTTTTCATGTCCATTGTGGTAAACATTTCTACTGGTACAGCTCCTAATATACTTCATTTTTATTTAACTCTCTATTTTTCATCTTTTGGTTTCTGTCGGTTGATGCCCGAAAGAAGACACATGCCTTTAAACGTTTGTTCGTACTTCAGGTTTGAGTGATCCGTACTGCATGTTGGCAATCTTAAAAGATACTGAAGGGAGAAAGACGAGCAAAGATGGAAAAAGAAATAAAAAAATAGTCTTGCGAGAAATTCGCGATGAAGAAAGCGTGCAAATAAGCAAAATAAAAATGAACACATTGAATCCTGTGTGGCATGAGCAGTTTTCTCTGTAAGTTGTATCCATTGTAATATGCAATGCTATGATATGATGCATTTCCTCAAATGTAGAAATGTCTATTTGACATACCAGTATAGATGGCTCTTAGGTCAGAGGAAATGTAGAACCGTGTTCATTTTACCACACCATATGATATCTTTGTCTTTTTTATATTTTTCATTTCTTATCCCAATTACCGATACTTCCTCCTCCCTTCCCCCAGAACCATGCTGATTGTTCAGGGAAAATACATGTCACAAAAATAAGCAGGCTTTCTTGACCCCTACGTCATTTCGTAGAAAAGCAAAATTGTTTCAAGGGAAAGAGGGGGATGGTTGACTTTGCCCTTGGAATCTTTGTTTCAAAGCTTTTAGCTGGGATGGTACCTCTTAACGAAAAGTGGTCATCATCTTACTACATCTATCTATGAGACAAATGATTACGAGTCTTTTTCAAGAGGACAGTCAAGGCAGGGTCTGGGGTAGCACGTCTGTTGCTGTCATTTGCCTTAATTACGATTGTAAACCTTTCTGAACTCTGTTTACAACCTTACATGTTCAGAGTTTACTATAATGTAAGATTTTTCGATTGTATTTATTATTGCTGTTTCCAAAGTAGTACATTATTTTGTTTATACTAAGTTACCTGAAAAGATCTTAAACGGGTAAATTACAATCACAGAGTATTATTATCATACAAAATTGCCAACAAGAAGATCATATTGTGTTAAAGCTGTGGTAAAATAGATATGTTATTTTATCAGACCATTATTTTATTACGGGCGCTGTTGAGTTGTCAGCGAGCATGAAAATGTGATGCAAAAATGATTCTATATTGAACTTCTTCTCCAATCACAAGCAGTATCTTTAATCACTGCCTGCTTCGATTTCTTCTTTCTGTATGAAATACTTTTAATTTTTAGCGAACTTCGTGACATCAAAAATGAGATCTTAAGAATCGACCTCTGGTATGTTAAATCAGATTTTTTATACTATCTGTGTGATAATAGCTTAGAAAATCTATCTAGAATTGTCATTTCTAACTTAACAATTAAGAGATCCCATGCTATAATGCATGAACTGTTTTTTGGGTCAGAGTAACGAATGGAAGATGTCATCAGTAAAGTTGTTTATGTTGTTAGGTTGACAGGGGCAGATACTTGTTTTTATGAAATAAAAAGCTTCTTTTAAGTTTTCGTTTATTTTATTATTCCACCTTATTTTACACCAAATTATGCATATGAATATTTCCCAGGTTCAGCTATACGAGACATTTTTCACTGGATTGGATTATTGCTTAGTGTTGAATCTTCACTCAGATTTTGATCTGCACCCTTTTGAATGTGCACACGTTAAGATACTTACGGAAAATTTGTAGATTACAATGCAACTGTAAGTAATCTTTCGGCTGGCAACCCTCCGATTATGTAACATCGGATTATGGCCAAAATGTGTGGTTTTGTATGGGTCAAATATGGATTAAAATTAAATCGAAGATGAAGAGTGCGTTTGGTTTGCTCCTTGCTCTGATTTAGTTGTTCTCATTAATTATTTGCTGATCTTGAATATTTCCTAGGGATAAGGATGATTCGTCAGTGTTTCTGGATGAAGACAATCGAATAACAGCAATCAAGGGTTTCAGTGGCTTCAACAGGTTAGGAGCCTCATGATTTCACCTCAATTACTCTTTATTCAGCTATCTACACATTATTTAGACTAGTTATCGAACTGCTTTTAAACATCTTACTGATTGTAAACATTTCAGTTCTTTTTAGGTTGAATTCAGTGTCATGAACTAATGATCTCTTAAGTAGCATGAAAAATATGGAGGATTACCATTGGACACGTATTTCAATATTTAGCTACATCATTATGTATATGCGTGCAAATGGTCGTCTGAGCTAAATTAAGTGTGTTTGATCGAATGCCATGTTTTTTACCCGTTTCAATTCCAGTCCTTGCTCATTGTCAGATTTTAAACCTTTCATATCTCATTTCTCCTATTCGACCCCCTTTCTATTTAAGAACTTAGAGAATTCAACTATTATTCAATTAAAAAAATATCAAGCCAATAGTCGCCAATTTTATCTTATATTTCTTCCACTTTTTTACTGTATATACTTAAACTTTCTTTATTAACTACTTATGCCAAGTTAATTTCATTTCGTTCCGCGAGATAATTGAAGCTAACTAATTTTCCCATCGACATTATTTCTCAATCTCTCAGATACGACTGGTGAGGAAACTCTCTTGTTACGTTGAGAGTGTCATCATATTACCTTTAAGTTGTATTTGACCTTTGGCCATACTTGGTCATGTTACTATTTGACCATTTGGCATCATTGTAATTTGGATTGTACATAGAGCAGTGCATTATAGATCTTAATTGTTCTTGAAGGTTTCTGAAAGAAGTTGCACAGTCTACCAAATGTGATTTAAAGTCAATGGATGATTTCCTAGGTCTTGTCGAAGTCTACATGCGGGTGAGTCATCATCTTTTTGAACGCTGTTTGTTGTGTTTATTGTGCAGTGTTGTTAAATGTGGTAAAATCTGACACCAAAAATGACACCTCAAACAGCAGCCAAATCATTTTGTTCAAAAGCTGCTTCAATCAGACTGTTGTTAGAAAAAAAATAAAAAATCTCTATCAGTTGTAATGAAATCTATTATGTACGGCAGTATTCCACAAACCTTAATGCTTCGATGCTCTCTTCATTCTATGCCTCAATGATGCAACATATTCTATTTTGTTTCCATTTTTCCTGTAGGACATACCGACAGATGGGCTAGAGGAGGATTTTGATCTTGAACCAAGGACCCATAAGTCACATGTTCAAGGCACCTTGAAACTGAAAATAAGGCTCTCAGCTGATCAGGTAACTAGTCGAGCTTCAGCCATAGCAATTTCTATTGATTGAAACTCAGTAAAGAAAACAAGCAACTGAAAGTAAAGAAAACAAGCAACTTTGCAAAATAACGCCCATGTTTGACTGCAGCCCTGGACAAACACCTTCCTCCACCCCTACCTTAAATTTGATATATGTACTATTAAATATATGATCTTCTAGACTTTGAGTCGTAGAGATAGGGTGAAAGGCTGTACTTTGTATGTTGGCTATCCGGCGTTCCGGCGTATGTTTATGTATTTGTCTCAGAAGCTATGTCATGGACTGCAGGTTGCCCTCAAGTTTAGGGCTATGTGTCAGAAGCTATATCGTGGACTGCATGTTGCCCTCAAGTTTAGGGCTGTGTTATTGCTTTCTTTCATAAATATTCTAGGGGAGAACCCCTTTTCGGACTGAATTAATTGTTCGATTTTTATTCAAAAAATTTCATTTCAAAATTTCAAAACTGCCTTAAGTTGGTTTCTGTATATCATCTTCTGATCTGTAAACTGAAACTTCTATCAATTCAAAAGGATCACGCTCCTACCAAACAAAAGAATTCCGTTATCTACGAGTTTACATGCCAGTGTGATTCTGACGACGTAGGACGCACAACCCAAAAATTGAGGGATAGAATAAAACAGCATGTCCCCTATAGCATTAGAATTAAAACACTCCCCCAAAGAGAACAGCCTCGTCGGTCTTGCAGAGCAAAAACGACAGCCAAAACATGCGATTCCGCTATCGGGCAGCATTTACTAGAAAACCCAGATTGTGCCAAAAACTGAAACCAATGAATATTGCTGAAAATAGTCAGCTGACTTCATATGGTGTTGTTTAAAACAATGATTATATTGAAAATATGTTAGATCTTGATAAAATGATTCAAATGACTCTTTGCAGGAAAACAGAGAGCCGATCGATGACGTCACTCTTTCTTCACCAATGAAATTCCAAAGGAGGCTACTCAAGCAGTTTTTGAGACACGATTATGACCAGTTCTTTAATTCAGGGGTATGTTTCTACATCCATCGGTTTTAAAGCTATTTCAACCACGATCAACGTACTTTCCTTTGTTTCATTCAAAAATTCTTACGATGCTTGTAACAAACATTTTAACGTGCTTCGTGTCTTTTATTTTCCTTTTTGTATGCTTCATGTGCTTAAATATGAGGAGCATAGTTAAAAGAATATCATCTAGTACAACTGAGGTAGCCTTAAAAATTTATTTGATTTTGAAGGAAAATGTCTTGTGTTCCTGAGCTTAAAAAGCTAAAATTTTTAGAAGCTATTCCTCAACACCAGTTTTCTAACCGGCCTACTTTTATACAGGAATTCTACTTAAATCAGTCATATGAAGCTCATGTTTAGAGACTTTTGCCTTCAGAGTGAAGAGGTTATTGCTTTGTGTAATGAAATAGTGTTTTTCGTAGGAGTTCAAGAACCAAGCTTGGAATATGCAGTTGTCCGACCATGCCACCTATCTACTAAAACAATTTACAATCCAAGGTTCTCTGACGCCCTACCAAGAATCTGTTGTGTAAGCCTGCTGGTTCAATTAACCTTTCTTATAATCTTATCTAGAACTGTATTTTTCATCATGGCTTTTTTCTAAGAAAACTAAGCTCCTTTTAAGGTTTTCTCCTATTTTTATGACGTGCTTTCATCGTGTTTTCGAAAGATTTACGATAGCACTAAAGGAAATAAGCATTTAGCACACGTGACTAAAACCCTCTTTGCCAGTCTTATGATGGCCGAAAAGTGATTCAGTGCTAGTATGATGACCTAGTTACCATTTTCATTCATGCAACAACTACCTCCTCTCCAATCCAGAATCGAAGGGTATGTGTTTTTGATAGCAGAAATGTCAGCAATGATTCGGGGGAAGGGGTCGGATACAAATTTTCAACACCATCTGTCCAAGATGTTTGATGCCAGTCAAAGGGAGTAAACAGAAAAGTTGAATCGGTTGACCTGTTTTGTGTGACTTTTCTATTTCTATGGCAAAAAACGTACATTACGAGTGATCTCTGCTGTATATACAGATAAGATGTTACGGATAAGAAACAATCTCTTTTGGTTGACGTAGTATTTGGTGGTGCTTTTGTAATTATACTATCATTTACTTTTTGATCCTTTCTCAGTCAAAACAACTATTTGGTTCTAGCTTAGATTGATATTCTCAGCCCCTATCGTTAACATTCATATTAGTACCTCAATCGTTTCTGGAACTCTCTTCGTGTGTAAAACGAAATTTCAGTATAGATAAGATGAGAAAAAAAAATTTTTAAAACTTCGCAGTGATATAAATGTGATTAATATCTCCCCTGCGTAGTAGAGTCTCATCAAACCTTTTGACGTTATTTGTTCAAAGCCAAGTATTTGACACTATTTTCCCATTGCATCGTTAAATTGATATAAGTGTTCAATTATTGCTTGAGTAGGCCGCCAGCACTACGAAATTCCAAAGCGCTATCTCTCAGTTTTCACACAAATAGTACACTTCATGTATAATAGTATATATTTTTACCCTCTTTTATCCAGAAAGCTTGAGGTGTATTCCAGTTGCATTCAAGATGTAGTTATACCAATGGAGCCACTTATAAGCTTGATCGAGTTTGTAAAAAGCTGTGGAAAGAAGAATGAATTGGATGAATATGAGGTATGTTTTAGATGTAATATCAACCTTAGTTGCAAACGAGCCAATTTTTTCGGCTCAAAAAAATCTAACCTACAGTTTATTTAGACAGAATAAGACCTTTATTTTGGAAACATTTTATAGCTTACCAAGGTTTTTGTTTTCATGCCAGTCAAGTCAAATCTGCATGCATAGTTTAGGCACAAGGATATAAGAATTTTCTTCAGCATTGCTCCCTGTACAACCAGAGTTGCGATTTAGATTCTGTTAGTCAAATCTGCACGTATTGTTCTGGAATTGAAGATAATAAGCATTTTCCTTTTCATCGCTTCATGCAAGGTGAAATTCTCAACAATCTCTGTTACAAGCTTTCAGAAATCCCCAGTCTTGAGCTTGACACTTTTAACTCTGTACCCTTCTTTGGTTACCTAAGTTTTTAAAACAAAATTTCTAAGTTTTTGGAAAATAATTTCAGCAGCAGTCATCATATTTATTTTGTCATTTGGTCGACTTAAAGCTTACTTGATACATCCTCTAGCAACGATTCAATTTTTTTTATATCCTCGTAGAGTTTAATTTAGTTCTGTATTTTGAATATGTCTATCTTACGTTTAATGTCATTTGTGATTTATAGGATAGATTGAACCATCTAGAACAGGGGTTGGTTATTAACTTTCGAAAGGAGCCACATGAAAAATGTGCACTGTGTTTGAGGGCCGAACCAACGATAACTTTATTTTGCGCAATGTCTATTTTTTCCTTATGTAAAAAGCAATAAATTACACCATATTTTAGCCGCCACTGGTTGCCAGAAAAATACAGATATTACATCAATATCTAAATCAATATGTGAAATTATGGCGAAGGTCGAGTTTAAGATAATATTGTAAAAGTATTTTCAAAAATGGCACAGTTTTCAAAGTAAAATTAACACAATTTTATATCATGAACATCATCCGTGTTTTGTTCGACCAAACACTAGGTAAATTGTAATGGCCACAAGGTGAATTGATATTAATATCCAAACTTTGATAAAAGATATCGATATGCACTTTTTGTTAACTCCTAGTTATTAAGCATAAAAAGCCACCAACCCACTAATTATTTGTATTAATACTTGTTAGATACATTATTTGACAACGCCTTTGAATATTTTTCACAGTTTTGCCCAACATTGGATGTAGATCAAATTGGTTCTGAACTGAAGTACTTCTATTCCTCTTTGTAAATGCTCAAACTTTGCTCTTCGATTCTTTTTGACAAGTTGCTTCTATCTCCAGACAGAACTTTTCATCAAATCAGTGGATGATTTTATCACATACTCGATGGCGTTAATAAGGAGGCACTGTTTGATTTTTCCGCCAACAGGACCAGACCAATGTCTTCGCCTCGGACAGCTACTTCTGTACGTACTCTCTGCATTTGCTAGATTTGTTACGTGTTTTGATATACATAATCGATACAGCAATAAACGTGTCTGATTTTGTCTGAAAAGAAACCCTTGGAAATGATTACTAAGAAAATCCTCCATTAAGCTACCGCCAGACTTGCCGCAGAACGTGAAGGAGTCCGTCTGCAAAGCGTGATGGGTCAGACCAAATGAATTCTCAGTCCCCCACCTTGAGCATGTTAACCTAGCAAGCTTTCTGTCCTGTTGACTAGAAACCGGAAGTATTTGATATGCTTTGACTGATTTCGCAAACAATCTTTTTGTAGATGTATGCTGAATTTATACAAACTGCCCTTGTTTAAAACTACGTATCCGGATCGAAGGATATCACGTGAGCTTGAGAGTGAACTCAAGGTAATCAGTGAGATATATCGCTTTCACACGATTTTTTCTATAACCAAAGTTTGTGTATTTTGCATCGTAGGACTAAGTTTCACAGTCAGCTGACCATACTGTGACCTTTATGATGTAACCGTTTATAAATACCAATCAAAGCTTTATAAATAATGTAACCCAATCAGGTCTAAAGTTATTATGCAAAACATTACCTGGAAAACTCTGAAAAACTCATATCTGGTTGAAATTCTTGTTACAAGATAAACATACATGTTGCTAACTCTATTGTCATAGCTTAGTCTGAAGGAATGGTACGATCTGGCTTTTGCTTATAATGAGCTGTTTAAAATGCTGATACTACGACCTTCATGATCTGCTTTATTGATAACATAACTCCAGCAGTTCTGAAATTACTTTACAAAAACCTGATATACCCAATATTTCACCTGATATAAATCGGATTACGTCATATAAGTTTTTTGATATTATCATAAGATTAACATATATCTATTGCTAACTTGCTATTTGATGTATAGAACAGGACGGTTCTAAGCTGCTTCTCTGAGTTTCACGCTTAATACGATCAACAGGCAACTGTCTTACTCATTGTGATATATTTTATCAAACTCGTATTTTTTATCACAGATTGCTAATTCTTTGTTTTATCATAGGCTGGCATGAAGGAATGGTATAGTCTGGCTATTGCTTATAATGAACCATTAGAGATGGTAGGCTCATGTCACCATTGCTCATATGCCTTTGCTCCTTTAATTAATTTTTTGCATTAGCATTTTAGCCGCAGTATTGACTGAGACAAATGGCTGTTCACATTTTTTTCCATCTCTAGCGTTTTCTTACGGCTTCTGATTTTATTGATTTTTCATTGCTTCTTTATCATTCGTATTGCCACGTCTAGAAAAACCTTTTTTTAGTGAAAGTTCTTCATAAGTTCGAAAGATTCTCAAAATCAATTTTCCACAAATTCCCTGCATGAATTTTTCCGTTATTCTTTGATTTGTCTTTCATTCTTAAAATATAATTTCAATAAAGTCATAATGAATATCAAGTGTAAGCAAGTTGCAGAAGGTATCATGTAAATTTATCATTTCAGCCATTACTGTTAATTATGAAATGAGAAATTTATATATAATCTGTAATTAAAAAGTCATTTTTGGGTCCACAATGCATGAGTGAATAAAGTTCAAAATTATTAATGATACTTTACCTTTAATTTCTGTGATGACTTCGTTGTATTTTTTCCCTACTTTCCATTTATTTGGCTACAAGTTAGTTATAGTAACATAAGACTTCCCCATTTCTTCATCTGTTCTCAACACTAGGGGTAGTGGTGTAATTTTTGCATGTTTTTTAATGCAAATTCTTTTTCTTTAAAGAGTGACCAAGCGAGGTTGGCCAGCCTTGTTGGAGTAACAAATTCTCTCACAGTCTTTCTAAACGCTGCGAAAAAGAAATATGTCCGATTATTTAAGCCGTAAGTCGCTAGGAATTTTGGCTGCTTCTTTTGTTCTTTTAGTAATATTCTTTTGTAAGCCTAGCTCTAAAGTATTATTTAGGGAGAGGGGGTATTGTGGGAGCTAGGGGAAGAAAATATTAGCATTTGGGCAGGCTGGTACTTCAGAAACCTGTGGTTGCTTCACTCCGAGACTTGTTTAGTGACCATCCCGATTATCTGGTACGACTGTTAAGCCGACTTTTTTGTGTCTTCTTTGACCTTTCATTATTTAATTTATAATGTCGACTGTTGGTTAAAGTTGTTACTTAGCAAGTCCGTGTTTCACCTTGTGAGTGCTAATAGAAAGATAAATGCCACAACGTAGAATTTCTTATCAATGCGAGAAAAACAAGAACGACATGGTTATATGATCTAAAAAGAAATAACACTTCAAATTAATGACCCAGGCGTCCAATAATCTTACATTTTGCTCGCTTTGCTTAAACTTCTTTAACATAAATTTTTGTTTAGTCACATCAATAATTTTACCGAATTGTATTTATTCCATCATAGTACTTCCTGTTAAATGCTCTCATACTTCTCAATTAAGATTTTTATAGTGCAAATAAGACACGAACAAATCCTATGCAACAGGAAGCAAAACCTAGTCAAATACAGTTCAATTCTACGTTTCCTAAAGTTTGCTTAAAGTATGTTAGTCCTAACTAATGCTGTTTCTTTTTGCAGCACGGGAGTCGATTACTATCCTTTGGTTTACACTGAGCTTGAAGCTTTGGTACGTACTTTTCTACTCAATAAACTTTGGCTTTTTCTGGACATTCCCTTTTAGCAAATTCATTTCCTTGAAGTCAAGGCCTAACTTAGACATTTAATATCTTAATTATATAGGGTAGTCTTAGCTTATATACTAGCTTGCGTGCGGTACAATATGATGCTATCGGGCTATGCTCGAAACGTCCAAAAATTTTTCCTGGTACAATTTACTTACATTGATCGTTATCATAGTCTTAACTTATATCTTTATAAAAGAAGGCACTTAAAATATTTTTTATTGTTTACCAGGAATCGCCTACATTTCTGGAGAGTCTTTTCCTATGATGCCATTCTCGTTTTCTAGTTATCAGAAACCGTACAGCCAACTCTGCAGGATGTGTATGACCGTATGAAGTATGGACTGGAGTATCAAGACTATGGAACAGCTCTCTTTGAAGTTTATTTGTCTTTGAAGAATTTCAAAGAAAAGAAAGATGTTATACCTGAAGAGTGAGTATCTATTTGCTAAACTGCCCACCTATATCAAAATACTGTTTTTATCAAGTGCTCTATCATTCAAAGGTTAGTTAACTCTTGTATTCTTGTAGCACTTAATAAAGTGATATGGCTTACTTTAGAAAATTTAGGGTAGAAGTTGATATTTTCCTAAAAGCTAGCTAAGCGATGTGTTTTTCCCCATGCAGCTAATGCTTTTGAATATTAAATAGGTAATAAATAATTATAAATAGTACACTCCGAATCAGTACCTATCCGCCTCGTTAGCCAGACGATTTTTGTGAAACGTTTCAGGTTTGTGAAAAGTGCCAGGTAAGTTCGAGAGAGTATTTGTATTTGTCAATTATCCAAAAATACTTATAGTTTACGCATATAAAATGCACTACCGGGATAGATGGTCTTTTTAGAACCAAAGAGGGATTTGGATAATTTCATGAATCGCATTTATGTTCCAGTGACCTCCTACCCTGTGTTCAACTGCATGACATCTCGTTCATCTTTCTTCCTGTGAACTACCTGTCGATTAGTTTGGAGAACGCATGCAGAATGTTTATGTTGCGCGGGAAAATCGATTTCATTTAGTAGAAAAATCGAATATCGATTTATTTTATCTTAATGTTAGCACATCATTCGAACACTGCATGAGTTTACTTAGAGGGAGCCTAAGACGGGAACATAGCGAGGTTGAAACAGCGGTCGGATTCATAGCCGCAGAGAGCATGTTCTTTTGAAGGACACACTGGGCTTTTTGGCTGTCATTTGTTTTGGTGTAAGTTTAATTTTGTATGGGAAAAGCAGATTATTATTAATGGCCATGCAACAAGCAATGGACTCTGAGAAAAGCTTGGAGTTGAAATTGCAGGAAGAGATCGCCATAATACGAAAAAAGCTTGTTAATGGAAGGAAGCAAAAAGATATTTTGAAGAGGTAAGTTGTTTTAGGAGATTTATTGGCTCGATTTGCTTTCTTTAACTTATAGTTCTTGACTTCTAGGCTCTTGATCTAAAATCAGATGTGAATTATCCTTATATATAGAAAGATCTCTCAGTACAAAAAATATGAAATTTAAGAAACATCGTCATGCCTTCTTGAATATTGTTATAAATCCTTTTTTAGGCAAATCTAGTGAAATGTATTTATAAGGCAGCTGAAGTTGGTTTTTCTTTCTTGATTAGCATATTAGTAAATTGACGACGTCAGGAGTCACCAAATAGCTAATCCAGAAGAAAAAGTATTTCCATTAAGAATTTTGAGTTTGTTTCAGGAGGCTAGAAGATGCAAAAACAGAAGGACCAAACTACGCAATCCAAGTGAGTGCAACTTATTTTAATATTTTTCGTTTAAATTGAATGGTTTCACTCACTATTACCATTATTATTATTTTTAAATGTTCGGTTCCTGTTTTTGCTGAAAATAAGTTTAAGAAAGAATGCGAAAATATTTCTTGATAGGTTAGGTTTGTTAGGTTTTGCTGACATTAACCTTGATTCATATAAATAGCTAACTCATTTTCCTTGTTTTGTCTTAGATGCAGGGTTTTCGGAATGAAAAAGAGCGAATGGAAAAAAGGTTGTTGTTTGAACGAGAAGTGAATATAGATTTACTGAAGCAAGAGCCAGAGAAGATACAAATATTGAAGCAGCAGAAAAAGGAAATGGTCACTACTTTGAGGATAATGGAAGACAAACTTATTGAAGTAAATAAAAGTTGCGCTGAATTAACACCAAAGCTAGCGAACAGTTCAACAAATTTCGAGAAAATGAGCAAGGAAATCAAAGAGATAGAAGAGAGGCTTGAAGTGCAGCATGCCGAGAACGAGGCTTTAGAAGCTGTGTTGGCTAAGCTTAATGTGATTCTTGAAGAGAAGACAAATGCAATAATGCTTAAAGAAGATCAACTTCGGAAGATCCATCAAAAACTGGATAAGCTCATTATGGAAAAGAAGATTAATGGAAACATTGTTGAACAGCGATCAGCCATTTTTGATTGCACTGTACGGCCGTTGAAGCGAGAAAAGAAAGGTTTCGAAAGCATCAAAGAAAAGTTAATCATTTGGAAGAAGGAAACGAAGAAAGAGGAAAAAGGACTTGAAAGATCGCGTTTAAGGCTAGAAAAAGTCGGAGAGTTAGGGCAGCATGACACTGAGATTAATAATCTCGTTGAACAGATTTTACCTCTGAAAGGTGGTGAAAGGATGTTTAAGAAAGAGGTTGAAAGGAAGGGTGAGAGAAATTTGAATGTTCCAGGTTTTTTTCAATCTGCAGTCGCAGATTGTGTAAGAAATACTATAATTTTGATGGAAATAGAAACTAAAAAATTGTCTTTGGTTGAAGCAGAAATTAAAAAGGTTGTGGCAATGGCAGAGGCGGCAAAAGCTAAAAGCGAAAGTAAGAGCAAAGGTGTTTTGATTAATGTCGATGAAATTTTACAAGAAATGGAGTATATGACAAAGATTCACGAAGAACTTTTGTGCAAAAATCGTAATCTGAAGGAAGACAACACAGCGCGGTGTCAAAATCTCGTGAATATTAGCCATAGGATAATTGATGTGATTGACTCAGTTGATGAATTTGGTGAAGTGGAGAAGAAGATGAAGAAGATTGAGAAAAAGCTTGGTATGAAAAAGAAGAATGGCTTTTCAGCAAAGGTGCTCGCTTGGTTTCGGGGATGAAGCAAGATTATTGAAGCGAACATTGCCATTTGTTTGATTTGTATTTCAAATCATTTAACTAATTCAACAAAAGCAACTATTATTTAAGAATAATATTATTTTTTTAAATTCTCAATAAATTATATTTTTTCTTGTTCAATCTGTGGAATTTTCTCGTATTTTGTGAATTTTTTTGTTATCTGCTCTTCAGGATGAATAACTCCCTCACATTTGAATCCAGTCCCTACCAAAGAAGCGCCATGGATATATGCCACTGCAAAAATCTGTGAACACAAATGAATCAAACTTTGTGCATCCTTGACCACTGAACATGACCAGAGTCTAAAATTGTTTTCACCTTTCTTTCGGCTATTTAGCCGAAACTTGTAGATCTTCCAAGAAAGATGACGAAAATAGTTTGAGTGTGTTACAGGGAATCATTGTGTACCCGTTAAGCTCCAGTGCCGCTCCTGTGGCGCACTTTTGCCGCTCACCACAGCGGCAAATATGTCTGAAATTGTTCGGATGAAATATGATCGAAATATGACGGATGCGCTTTGTCTGAAATTGTTCCATCTACCCATTTTTATCATCCATTTGATAACTGATCAAGTATTTATCTTTCAAGGGACAGGATTGCAGGACCTATTGACTCTTACCACGAGTGGTTCAGAATTGCCATGACAAAGTGGCTGGATCTTGCAAAACTTAAAGCCATTAAGCGAATCAAAAAAGCTGTTGAATTAGACGAGGTTGGCTGAAAAATATTTTATTACAATCTTCTTAATAGCTTTATTGGTTTGAGACATTTTTTCTTAATAAGATTTTGTAGTTTAACGAAGCATTTGAATGAGCTAGTCAAGTCATCCTTTCATTCAAAGCAACAAATAAAATATATCACAACAAAATAAAACATAAAACAGCGGAATGCCTACACGCTCTAAAGAGCTTAACCAACCGCGAAAAAACCCAGGCAAATGCCAAATACTGTAAACAGAATCATTTTTCCGATAAAGTTCTTTCAATAGACTGCACCCCCTGTAAAAGTATGAGCAAAAAAGTGGCTCGTAGCTTCTACTACGGAAACATGAGCATCGAATTTCGTTAGAATTCAGTTTCATGTTGACTGTGCTATTGTGTCGTTATATTTTTAGGTCAGAGTTGTTCACTCCATGCTAAAGCACTCTGCATCTGCTGTTGATGTAACGTGCTGTTTAGGCCAGGTGTGGTAACCTTATGATAACATTAATAGAACTGTGCTTATAATTTTCACAAAAGTGTACAATTTTTAGATGATAGAAGTGTTTTTTAAGTTAGCTGGTACATAGAAATAGGGTTTATTCATATATCTGCTTATTACCTTTTTAAGCCACTCTTTCATTGTTATTTCTGCATATAATGTCGCTCATTCTTGTATGTATGTGTCGATATTACTGTTACTAGGCTATCCATCATGTAAAGCATTTTACTTCTAAATATTTCGAGTATTTTTGTAAATGATATGTTTCTGCATTCATGTATTGAACATTCTTGACTTTTCTAAGGTCTTTGTTTTAGCTATAGGCCGTAACACTGTGATTTTCCGTATCTCAATACTCTCTTACTTTTGCAGATCTGTGCCTTCTGGAATAAATTGGAATGGCCTGACATAGCTGGCTCATACGTTTTTCTTACACAAATCACCGATGTAAGTCTTCATATCATTAGATATTGGTTTCTTATCAATACTGGAACTGAAATCTGCAAATTGACTGATCTTTCGCTAGAGTTTGACCTTGTTCCAATGTTTATATTGCAAAAGAAAGTTCGATAAACAATTTGTTAATGCATGGACCTATTTTTGAAACATTGCTTCGGGTCAAAGAAGAGCTGCCGCTTGATAAGTGATTGTCAACGTGGAATTTTGCAGTAATATATGTACAGTTTTTTGTAAAATTACAGTTTGATCACCACTCGGTGTTATAGCTATCAACCAATCATAGGCACACCTGTCCTTCATCTCCTTTTCTTGGTAAAGGTGATTGGCTGATATCAAAGACCCCCAAAGTAGACCACATTGTTGCATAAGTGAAACTATGCCAGTGTAGAAAATGGCGACGAATACCATTTGTATATGACCTTTACATTACAACACATTGCTCTTTACCTGTCAGCTTTAACTTAACATGTGATTTCACTGCAGATTGTTGCATCCTGTGCGATGGAATACGCTGATATTGTTCTTGATCAGCTTGAAAAAGAAAGCTACTACGAAGGAAATGCTAACGAATTCGATGTGAAAGAAAAGGTATTGCCTTTTAGCTTTCTCGAGTTGACTTTTTGTTGGTTTTTGTCAATAAGATGACTTTCGTTTCAATGAAGGTATCGCTATGTTTTGCTGTGGCCTGTAAAGATCCCCACTCTCATTTGAGACCTGCCTTTTTGCCCTATTCAGTTCCTTAAGGTACTAACAAGGCAAGATGAAATCAAGTGACGATCCCCATATGTTAAAGAAATCTCTCAAAAGCAAACTTCCAATGCTCCTTCCACCCTAATGACAACTGACATCGAAGCGTCATCAACATTTTCGGTGGCGCATGGAAGAAAAAAGGGCTGCTTGGAATTTTATATGTCTGGGAAGGACAAGCAACTTTAAGTTGTGGAAATGCGTCTTTGTTTTGTTCAGCGAATTTTTACTTACTATCAATTTTTTAAGCCTTTTTATATAATTGTGTCCGCCAGTGATAAGTGTCTGCACAATGTAACTATAAACGGCGTGCCTGTGTGGTTTTAAAAGGTGCAGGCATGCAATCAGAAGCTATCTCTTTTCTGCTTGCTTGTTTCTACTCTTTAGAGGAAAACAGCTTTCAGGAAACAAAAAATCTCTGCATTTATCCGCCTTCCTAAAATTGCTTATCTTTTGTATTAATCTTCAAACTATTTCCAGTTCATTAAAAGTATATTTTGCGTCTTATAAGCAATTCCTTTTCCTAGCTTTGCCTTACAATGAATAACCTGGAACATGTCTTGCACTTCCTTGACTCCATACCGGACACGCTGAATTTTGAAGCATTACTGGCGGAGCTTGGCAAAGAGCATGGCGAAGGGAGATTGCAGAGCCTCAGAGAAACTCTCGATGACGTAATCAGCTGTGCTCAAGATGACATGCGACAAAAACTCGACCGCATAATTGTCAAAACTGGTGAACGTGTATGTGGTGTTCTTCGGCTATATACCACGAGCTTGGTTTTATCTTATGTTCTCGTTCATATACCTCTTTTTATGTTCAATTGCTAATCAAAATTGACAGTAAGAATGTTGCTTGGGGCCATTTGAACTCTTTTTTTATCTTGTTGGGCCGGAAATTTATAAATGAAAGTGTGGCAAGTTGTAATGAAGAGATTCTTGTTTAGTTTTTATTGAGTTCTGGGAGTTTCTGATTTGCCATGAAGCTATGGACAATAGGAACTAACAAAGCAGAACTTCCCTTAATGATAAAACTTACTTAAAAGTAATCAAAGGAGTTGAAAGTGGCCACGGCCGGAGGCCTGGGCAGTTTTAAAATGGACCACCAATAGTTAATGGCTATTTTCCTCTGCCATGTTATCAGTTTAGTTTTGCGCAGCATGAAAACAAACATAGAGGAGAGAGAAACGAAAAATGTCTTGCATTCTGTCTGTTACCCTTCCTAAGACCAGCAATCAGTTCATAAATTGTTTTGATTCATGTGATTAAAAACACAAGCTTTAACTCGCAGATCGTTCCATCATGTTTCTTGCCATCCCAAACTGAGTATAAATTTTCTTTGATCTTTAGCCTAACTTCAGACCTTTTATGCTCCCACGGGATACATTTACGCAATTCTCCGACATTTTCAAGTATTGCACTACAAAAATCTTAATTCTCAGATCTACTGTTCAAGAATTTTTCTTATTTATGCGCGACCATATTGTGCCGTAAAATGAATGTTTATCTGCTTATTTGTAGGTCTAAAGTTTCCTTTTTTAATTTGTCATAGATGAAAGATGAAATAACGAAGTATCTACATGATATCTGCAAAAATGCTTTGAATGAAGATGACCCATATGAGGTGCTTTTTTATCACAAAATCAAATTTATTACTCCTTTTGTTGGTAGAGTAATGAATGTTTTCTGTAAAAAAATTTGTGAAGACGATAAACATCTCAAACTTTATAATATAAATATGTGTAAGTCAGATTGTCACTTTGAATCATTGCAATTACTTCGAAATCAGAATAAATGCTTGATAAAACATAACAAAATATTGCATGTGGCTGATAAAGTCTTATTTTGTATCAATTGTGTTAAGTGTCCAAACTGACAACTGTTTGCCTTTTGATCTAATAGCTAGCTCATGGTGTCCTGTCTTACATTGACCACAATCTTGTCACCCTGAATGAAAGCCTATTATTGCCAGCATTTAAAAGGTAAGTACAAATCTTGTTAAGTATCTACAATGCCCGCCAAAAGTAGTTGGAACACCGAGATTGTACTCGTAATAAATGTATATTTTTCAGTTCATTTCCCTTTTTCAAGCAGACGGAACCCCCTCCCATGCACATCCGCGAAGCTGTTAATTGACTGTCACATGTTTATTGCCAGTTCTTGGGCTACTGTAAAATTATTTATATCTACATGTCGATGTATATGATAATCTATGACCATTTTTCTCTGCGGTTTTTTTTATCTGCGGTTTATTGCAAATTAATTAAGAATTGAAAACGACTGTCGATGCTATGAGTTGAAAGAAAATAACATTGATGGAAAATTGGAATTCATTGGATTTCAATTTTATGGTGCATCTGTCTTGTTTCCAATTTAAGTCGGATTTTGTAAACTCTTGTGAAATAAAAGGTTAATACATTCCATGAAAAACTAATAATTGTCTTCAAATATGATTTCAACCTAATTGTCTGCAGATTATCAAATTAATACCTCGAAAAGTCCCGGAAATTTGTAAAATGGGGTAAAAAAATACGTCATTAAGCAATTATGACGTCACGGGTCAGTCAAATCACAATTTTGACTTGACCAATGAAATGAGCACCACCGAAAACCCCTATAAAGAACCTTTAGGTCATGCTCTATTCGCCCACCTTTGAAATTGGCATTAGACAATGCCCGCCAAAAGTAGCTGGAACACCGAGATTGCACTCGTAATAAATGTATATTTTTCAGTTCATTTCCCTTTTTCAAGCAGACGGAGCCCCCTCCCCTACCTTATACAATGTTGTGAAGAAGGATGAACATGTCGCTAAACATGTGTTACAAAATTTGCGCGCTAGCATACATTTGTTGTCATTTTCCAGTCGCGATCCAACATTGTATATGGGGGGAGGGGAGACGTTTAGTAGGAAAGATGATTGAACTGTTCCAACACTTTTGGCGGGCATTGTAGTTCAAGCTAGTAAGCATAATCTTCTTAAACTTTATGTTTGTTTATTGTGAATAATGAACAAGGTAAGAAGATCTACTATGTCCGCCAAAAGTGTTGGAACAGTCTCTTCATCTTTCCTACTAAGTGTCTCCCCTTCCCCCATATACAATGCTGGATTACGACTAGAAAATGACAACAAATGTAGGTTGTAGCGTAAATTGTGTAACCGATATTTAGCAACATGCTCATCTTCCTTCCCAACATTGCTTAACGGGGGGGGGGGGGGGATCAGTCTGCTTGAATTAGGGAAATTAACTTCAAAATATGCATTTATTACGAGCACAATCTCGGTGCTCCAACTACTTTTGGCGGCCATTGTACATTGCTGACTTACAAAAACTATGGTAGAGTCTAAAAGCTTATCCACGTTTTAAAGATGATTGTCCGCAAAAACATTTATAGAAAGAATTTTCAAGCTCAAATATCCAGCTGATCTTGTTCGATGTTTGTTGTTTCAGCTTTTCTTACTCACCATTTATTGCTCAGGATGCAATTTTTCCGTTCATCTGCAATATCATTTGATAATAATTAGTATTTGATTACATCTAAACTTTTAATGCATAACCCCTCACTGGTACTTGTTAGGGTTTCTTGCAGGGCTTGGATGCTCACTATGACCGTAACGTATTACCAGCCAAAAGACGATATAAGTAGCGGGAAACTTTTGTTGCTTCATTTAAGTATAGGAACTTATTCCTAAGTCTGTTAATAGAGTCTAATAGTATTTAAATGCTATGTTGATGTTTGATCGGTAGTCTTGTGTTACTTTTGTAGATGTTTGATCCATGTTTGGGAAGTTTTCTTGTTCAGCATGGAGGATGTTGTTAGAGATACGTCAAGGGTATTTGATTTATTTCTTCTTTTACTCCTTTATTCCTTATTTCATATTCAGCAGTTGATAGCTTTTGTGCCCAAGTGAACAATGATGAACCTAACAAGTATACACTTTTTCTCTGCAGCGGGATCCCAAAGTATTTGCAATCCTACAAAAAGTTCTTCATGTAAGTACCCTTTTGTTAAAGCTAGCACAGACTTATATACAGACCCTAATGACATGCTGTAATAACATATTTATTTATATCTATTCTAACGTCCTAACGAACTATCATGATGAGTAGGCTATTCAAAGTATTTCCTCAGAAGTTAGCTTTTTTATAATAAATTTTAATGGGATTTATGTTAATTCATTTTGAACACGAGGTGGTTGAGGGCTTGAAATTTTTATTCTTGTTGAAAACATACAATCATTTCCAAAAGTGTTGGAACCCAAAATCAAACTACACTTTGAAATTGTTTCTAAATTTCAATGTTATTAGGTTTATGGTGAGAGACTACCTGAGATTTGAATTATATAGACGCCCTTATGTGAAGGCATCAACTTTGTACGGAGGGAGGGGGGAAAGAAATTAGATGTGGGGAGGTAGTTAAATCTTGGGGTTATCAACTTTTGAGTATCGTGGTGCTCCAACTATTTTTTGGAAGCACTGTAGATGTTGACTCTTTTAAAGTGGATGCATGATTGACTTTGCAAACATTGTTCCAACAACAATGTGTCTGCTTTATCTTTCAAAAATTAGTAGTTTTTCTTTCACCTGGTTCGCCATGATTTTGCTTTTTAAGAAAAAGTTAATTACGTAATTTAATGTTTTGACCTTGATTTGAATAGATCGCACAAGATTTCTTCCAAGGTGGAGGCAACGGCATTGAAAACGAGCTCATCAGCTCGCACACTCTTCGGGTATCTTGCCATTATTTCAATATAGTTCTTAGAAGCTATTTTTAACGAGCATTCCCCTTGTCTATACTTCTGAAATTGCTACACTTGGTGATTCCTATTCCTGCGATAGCTAACGGATGACGATTCCCCTTTCTCCTTCTATCTAATCATGTACCTTTTCTACTGCAAAAAAGAAGGTGCACTGAAATGAAAAATAGAACTTGATAAGAAGAATATTCTTCTAGAAGGGCATTCCTTTTAGCGTCTTATATTCATTCCTGCTTGCCCTTCCTGCAAATGGTGTTGCGCGTAGGGGTGTTCCAGGTAGATAAAGCGTGGCCATCAATGAAAACAAGTGAACAAACCGAGTGACGTAACAGTTGATTTTCTAGTATTCAGTACTACACAGAGCTAAATTTACAGTTACCATCCATTTGTACATCAGTCTAGATACTAGTTGCTCCATATTAGCCTTTAAATGAATAAGCTAGTCTTCAAAATATGTAGTACAAGTATAGCATAATCAATAGGAAGACTATATATTTAAAAGTCTAAAGCTCAGTTTTTATCCAAGACACTGATGTCCTACTCTTCAACTAGATTCAAGCAGAGGATTTGTTGAAAGATTTGTTCCACATTTTTTTCAAAAGAGAATTAGCTGATTTTTTTTCGTTGTTTTGTAGAGTATCGACCGCTTGCTATCACTGTATGCTTCTCCTTCTGCGGAAATCATTGAGAAGTATTATATTGAGAAATGCGAAGAACAGGTAAGGGATTTTCAGGTAGTTTTCAGTCAGATGATTTGAGATGAATATGGTTTTGCGAGGATCAAAAAATCGTTCACCAACACTTGTTCATTTTTAGGTTCAAAAGCAGTGTTTCATTGTTATATCCACACAAAAGAACACAGCTGTTTGATTTGTGAAAATGTTGTAACCTCATCAGCGTATCCTAGGTCTTGTTTGAAAAATACTCATTCTTATACTATATTCAATGTTCGTGGGTATTTATATCTAGATTTTATTAGTCTCTATCTATAATTGATTTGATTTGATTAGATTTTTGCTAAACAGGCTTGGGAAAAATCATCCCACTGTGAGCTTTCTCGACTTGATTCTTTGCCATACATGATCATCATATAGCTTTAAATTTATTCGTATGAGAATGGTACATAGCGTCCTAATCTGACAGACTCATAACATTGATTTAAAAGTAAGATAGCGAATCATGAGATGTTTACAAAAGCCGTTAAAAAGGCAAGAGTTTATTGTTTAAACACAAGATATGTGCTCATGAAAACTGCACACACAAGAAGCTTGGTTTTTGTGCTGTTTAACTACCGTCTTTGTGGGATGTTTACGACACATATATTTCTGATACAAGAGCATTATGTTATTAATAAAACATGTGATATTTCAAAGCCTTTGTGTTTCAAACATAAACATTTTTGTCCGTAATGTTGGTGCAAACGACACTCTTTCCTAGATGCTTGAAATAGTCTTCTACATTCAAGTAAAGACTTTGTTTTAAACAAAACAGAAGATCTGTTTTTTAAACAGAATCTTCCTTCGTCATAGGTATCATGTATGCCAGATGTTTGTAATTTTTATAGAAGCAAATTTTTCGTGTTTGAAGCCTTCTTCGTATTGTTTCTTTTTCTTTCTTACCTTGTTAATATTAACATCGAGAGACAGTTCAATCTAATCTTTTCATCGATCTTTTTAACTTTGGAGGTGAACTGGCTCCAAAGCTGCAGTTGTTTTAATCACCGTCCGTAATTCATATTCTTAATTACTTTATTTTCGTATCTTCAGGCTAAAACTGATGACACTCTTGGAGCAATAAACTTCAAAATATTTTATTCGCAAGAGAATAAAGCATTGCATGTTGACGGTATGTTCTGTCTTTTGAATTGTTTTTTGATTAAATATGAAGATGATACAAACTTTGTCCCTTTATCGCTCTTTGCATCATTGCGGATATCTGCGAGTTGATGACAATATTCAATAAGTGAGTAAGGAATCTGAATAATGTATTGAATCTAATATCAACTTGTTATCATGCTTTTTGGCATGTATGACTTCTAGAAGGGTACCATGTTTTCATAGATATCTGTTTATTGATGGAATGCTGAAAATGATAAAACTTCTTTCTTTCTTCAGTGTTAAATGTCCGAGACTTACTGCCAATGGACAGCAACCGTAAGTGATCAGTTCTAAGCAATTTTCTAAGGCTTTTTTATTTATGTTTTAATGGAAAAAATGGTGCACAGAAGGGTTATGTTGCACAAAGACTTAGTTATGGTTTGTCAGATGTGTTTTAATAGACTAATGTAAGAAGGAGTGTGTTCCACTAGATCTTCAAACAATATCGGTAGTAGCATTGATGCAGGCAATCTTGCAAATAAACGGAGGATGGTTAAGATTATATAGAATTGAAATTCCACTCAGAGCATTGAGTGCATACGATTTTCAGGTTATATACAACATGTTTTGGGGGAACAGAGACAGTCTTTTTGTCACCTATAGATGCTTGTCTCACGTTTTTTCTGGTGCCGCAACAGTAACATAGCAGCAGTTTGGAAATACCTGCTTTGTAGCTGATGTGGCACAGTGACATCTTAGAGAGTGATTCAGTTAGTAATAGTTTAAAGAGCATGATTCAATGCATATCATTTTATACAGAGCTAGCTGACCCATATGTTCAGCTCGAGCTGGTCCCTAAGCACATGTTCAAGGGGCAGGCAGAAAAGCGAACTCGAGTGCAACACGAGACGCGGTTTGCCATCTTTGATGAGAATTTTAGCTTGTAAGTATATTTTTGTCAAATTTTTTCTATACTAATTATAAGTAATGATAATTGTTTAGGTCTTGGGGGGACACGTCCCCTCAAGTTCTCGGCAGCATCGATTTTGTATTTGGCCTAAGTTCGACGAGAAAATGTTAGGGGAGGGGTAATATTTTGGCAATGTATTTTTTGTGATGTTGATTTTGAAACTGCCTTACGTAACCAAAAGTTGGTCATGGGCACTCCTTATTGGCAAAATTGGCGTTCCTTTTTGGTAAATGTGCATTTTCTCACAGTAAAAAAGGCAAGTCCAGACAGTGAGTGTCGAAAATAACCTGGCGTGATAGGATAGCATACACCTGCAACTTCACGGTTTAGGCAGTCACAGTTCTTATTAAAATGGACTATACCACAGAGTACAGAAACGTGTTATTTATTTCATTTACCTTCTGTTTTTTTGGTTTTTGGTTTTTGGCCCTTTTAATTAGGAAATTTGTAGACGCAACGATGAGAGAATCAGTATGCTTGAATAGTGAGAGTGAAAAGGCATCTCAAGACAGAATAAACCTGTAAAACGATTACGGCAACTTTCTCTCTATAGAGTGCAATAGGCAATGATAATATAGATACACGCTCCAATTATCTATCTGTTTATCAAAGCGAAGTCCCTGAGGAGACATGCAAAAAGCCTGGTGCCACTCTGTTGCTGACTGTTTACGACAGGGATCGTTTTCACGAGAACGACATCGCTGGCGAAGTTTTTGTTGACCTGTATCACACTCTTGGGTTAGAACAGAACATTTCTGGTGGATTCTGCGTCCTTCCACAAATAGAACTTCCACTCATCCACGGGTCTCTTATTGGGCAGCCATTTAAAGGTATTGAATTCCTTCACTTTTGTTTGATTATACTTACTCTAGGTTATTTGTTCTTCTGCGGGTTTTGAGTTTTAGTAAAAATTTTTGAACTGCGTTTTGAATGCTTGAGCTTTATCTACCTTTGCTTACTGTGTTTTCTTGATAACATCAACTCCATTCAGTTCAATTTAGTTTTGCGATTTTTCTAATGCTTGTCTTTTTATCGACATCATAATCCTATTTCTGGTCAAAGAATTGTGACATCGCAGTTATTCGTTTTGAATTGAAGGAGGATAGGAACAAGAAATGATGCTTCTTGTTACCAGTTTCATAACAATGTCCAATTTTTTGAGATGTCCATTTTTAGATCGAAACGAATAGGTCAATTTTAAGAAACCTTCATAAAAGATATACCCAATGATTCCTCTTTGAAAAGTTTAGAATGCGATTGAATGCCATTCTTTGGTGAAAGAAGTACGAATATGGCTTCCATCCCGCAGCTATTCATGGCAAAGGGTTATGTATGTCATTACCGATCTTTCTGTGTTTCTAGTGTTGATGGAAAGAAAGGATGCATTGGCAAGTAATTTCGTCAAGCTGAGAAAAGAAAAATTCAAGAAAATGGGGGATAGCCTGGCAAAATCAAAAGGAAGGCTAGCTCAATCGAAAAAATGATAAATTGTAGAAACGCAACAGTTTAAACTGCACCCGATTTTGAAGCTAAAAAGTTATTTTTAAGTTGAATGTGTATGTTTGGGGGATGGAATCCTGCAATTCTTGGACGCGAAGTAAATAATATTCAGAATTCTCAGTATTTTAATCTCGCTTTAATTTCTTTTATTGAATAAGTTGTAAAATTTGCTATTAAGGAAATTTCTCTTCCTCGTCTATGTATTTAGTTTAAACTTAACAGTTATGTTGCCTTAACGTTAGATTCATGCAGAGGCAGCTAGAGTAACTGTCCTTTTTCAGGTTTAAGGGAGGACTGAAAAGATGCTGTGTGTTAAGTTGTTTTATTGATGCACGCTGGATTTATCCTTATTTATGCAAATAAATGCAAATGGTAACTGTTGCTACCTTGGTATTTTTTTATTTCATTTAGGTAGCTGAATTGTTTTTGTGCTGGTAGTTAACAGCATAAAGTTTCAGCGACTTCCCTTAACATATAGCTGAAATGAGCTCGGTTTGATATGCAGTAGTTGTTTATTGTTGACGTTGCATCAACAGCAGTAGCTAAGAATATCAGTTCTAACGAAGCCAATCTCCTGTCGATTCTTGCAAGAAATATAACAGTAATCTAAATATTAATCGTTTGAGCAAGGGAAGCAATTAATCTTTGTAATCCTTTGCCAAGGCCTAGCCATGCCAGGTTTTGAATCAGTTCTATACTGGTTAACTATTCAATAGCCAACTCCATAAACTTCCCTGTATCATTCAGCATTTTTTACTGCTATGCTTTTCTTCTAAATTATCCTCCTAAATTGAATTTGTCTAGAATATTTTAAAATTTATTGAAAACCCAAGTAGAAATCTGTCTGAATGAGCCATATATTTGTCATATGAAATAATTTGAAACAAAAGAAGAAAAATGACATTCGTTCACGTTTTTGAGTAGAACAATTTAAATGTACCTTGGTGTGTCTGACTAAGAATTTGGTGATAGAGGGGCTCTTAAACAGATTTTCCTCAGCAAACTTTGATGACTTTAAGACTCATACTCAGGTACTTAGAAAGGACGAAAATGCAAGTTTTTTACATTAGATTGGTTATGCTATCCTTCTCTTAAGAAGTAGTTTAGAATTGTTAAATGATGTTAAAGATAGTGATGCAATTGTTGTTTCTGTAGGATTTAAGACATTTCATAGCCATCTTGAAGTTTGTCATTTCACGCCCGATATTACTGCTTATACTAGAGAACTAAAGAACAGGCTCGCACGAGGTTTTTTGTTTTCGTTGACTCTTGCTTTTACAGAAACAAAGCCGATACTTTGTTCAGTTAATGCAACAACAACAACAACAACAACATTATTTAAGTATTTTTCATGTATACTAAATATTTAAATAATGTCCCATTATTGCTGCCTTTCCTTTCCTTTCCATTCATATTTGCGATTTCCCTCCCCTGGTCATGCTTTCTTTGACTCTGTGTGTCTCTCGTACCCAGGAAACAATGCATATCGATAAATTCACGAAAGTTATATTCCTACACGTTTACACCTAAATGACGTGATAACAGCGATGTTGTTACACCCGTTTAAACAATGGATGACGATCGCGTTCCAGATCCTGTCATTTTGCATTCACGTGACCTAAAAAGTCATTATGCATAGTAGTTATCATAATCAGGAATCTGAAGAAACACCTCTAAAAGGAAAGTTACAAAGAGCAAACAGGGGCAGTATAAGCAACAAAAACGAAGAGCAATTACAAATAGCAACATAAGCTACTCTTAGGTTTGGATTAACTTCGCTTGAACCCCAGTGTTATATAGTATCTTTTCCCCTAAAGCAATGATTAGGAAAACCAGAAAGGTGTTGAATCTAGTTACTATATACTACAGAATAATCCCTGTATAACGTTATTGGTTATAACATACTTTGGGATACAGCGTCCTTAATCGGCGGTCCCTAAAAGTGCGTTGTATCCGGATTACACTGTACATATTTGTATCAGCTTTAAACATTGAATACCCAGGGCCAGTTTAGATTATTAGAAATGGGATTGAATCTTTTAGAGTAATGATTGCGGCATAGGTGTTTACAGAGCACGCTTTCTCGGCATCCCAATCTCGATATTTACGCGCTTTTTGCTCGTGTAAACGGGGTTCTAGACACTTGAGTTCTCGATTAATCTCACAACCAGAGCTAGCTATCGTAAAGTCAGTTTGCTTAGAACAGGTGTATTTGTGTTCAAGTAGAAGCCCATACCGTAATGAACATTCAAAAGCAATCGGGTAGTGAATAAATGGTGTTTACGCAGGTGTGTGTTTGAATGCCGGATAGCAGCTGACCTGTATATTATTGTATTTGCACAGCAAACTTCGTCGCGGCAAAGCAGCTCATTAAGAGCCAAATGCAGTCAGTTTTGTACTAAAATAATTTCTTTAATCAGGTTTGCTGGCTCTTACGTATTTTCATTTATCAAGATGATTTGTTGCAGCAATCTCTAACATAACTTCTCTTTACATTGCAACTGTTGTAACAACTTTTAGCAATGTGGGATGAACGTCTTACAATTCTATCTGCAAAGCAGTCGGAGCTTAGAAGCCACGAAGAAGCAATTTTCATACAGGATTGTTCAAGGTAAGAAAGTTTTATCTCAATTGCGATGATGACAGTTCGTTACTCTTTTCGTCTTGAGAAAGTCTAACTTGTAACTATCTCTTCATGCTAATTTAGGCCCATTGTAAAAGCAGACCAAACAAACTCGACTAGCGGCTTTCCTAAGATTTAAATTCATCAATAAACTGTGTACTTTAAAAAAATTCAAAAGATTCTTATAAAAGTGCCGAAATCAAAGACATTGCGTCCTGTCAGTCATTCCAACCAATGGGAATTTAAATGGCCATCGAAATGCATCGGGACGAAGTGCCATTAAACCTAATTTCTAGAGACTGCCATTCTTCTTTCTAGTAGAAACAGTTCTTGTATGTTGAAGAAGAGTTCGTAGGTCTTTTCCATGCTGGCATCACTGTGCTATCAGCAGTGCCATTGCTAGATGCTTGTGTTTCAGGGAGGGAGGGTTAGGGTATTCCTTGGTGGTATGTCCAGGCACCGTGGTGCGTTGAGAAATATGGGGGGGGGCTAAAACCGAATAAAAAGTGGTTTGACTAGTGATTCATTGGTAAATTTATCGCATCTTTGGCAAAAAGTGGGTGGCTATAGCCCCCAGCCCCCTTCTCTGCGGTGCCTGTTGTGATGTATCAAATTATTAGGGGGGGGGGCACGAGCCATGAGCTAAAATAACCGTCTTAGGAGACCTAAGCCGAGCAAAAAATGTGCCATCGCCTCGTTGTTAGTATGCTCAAAAGGCCCTAGTTTTTCTTCTGTTGCAGCAGGAAAAGGACATCAAATATTCATTGTCAAGCAGCCCCTGAAAAAACATTGTGCGCTATTATCTTTCTACCTTTGTATACCATAAAGAAAGGTCGAGCTATTATATTGACAATGACTGTTAGCCACAATGGCAAGTCTCGCTTGATAGGATTCATTGGAAATCAACGTGGCCTAAATGCATGTCAAAGTGAAATGTTCGTAGAAGTTGATAGATTACAAGAGCTGATAAATGGATGGTGAAAATAAATCCATGAATGGACAGGCGTGCATGCAGGCGCCAGTTGGGTCTGCTATCAGCCAGACAAATCTTGTTACAGACGAAGAAACCAGGTATACGAGTAACGTGTTTTCGTACTCTGGGTACAAACCTGGTTCATCAACTCTACTTGAGTTTTCAAGTACCGATTCAAGTTGTTAAAGTGACACTTGAAGTACCTTCCTTTTTACAATATTGCAATATAGTAACAAGATCGTACAAATGTTTATATTGTAAGTAGGTTGTTTTCTGCTGAGTTTGAGATGCTTTCAGTTTGAGTTTGAGTGTCATCACTTAGGATCTGGATTTAAAGCAAGAACTAAAGAAGCTTTAAAACTGTAAGCTAGAAATTTCAAAAGTTTTTCGAAAGGAGATTAAATATCTAATCTCTTTTTCTTCTCATAAACAGAAAACAACCTTGGTATTTAGACTGTGGATGTCGATCTCTCTCGTGGAAACAAATATTATGGAGAGTTATAAATGGGTTAATGGCAGTTATCTTTGGGGCAGCCGCAGTGTTACAGGTGAACATTACAATATGTTTATTGTCCTAAATTCTTTTAGAATCCTAAAACGGTGAAAATGTGCAGCTTTTGCCTGTTACCATGTGAAGGAGCCAAAATGTTCACGTGGAAATGTTTTCATTACTGATTGCTTAATTGCATCAGGACATTTTTACATGAAACTTATTCGAGGAGTGGCTTATTGTTAAAATTGAGAATGAAAATCACTTTCTAGATTGTGGCTTCTATTATGAATATAATTTTTCACAAACACTGGCCATGAAGTATTAAGAGTAGGACTTCAGAATCACAGTCTACGTCATATCGTTGCGTCACCGCTCCACATCACAACCTTAAATCATAGCCCACGTCACATCCCACATCACAACCCCGCATCACAGCCCTACGTCACAGCCCTACGTCAGAGCTCTACGTCACAACCTCCGTCACAGCCCAACATGCCAACATCATAGTTCCACTTTTCAGATCAGTGTATAGTTCACGCCACAGCCTTACTTCACAGCCCTACGTCACAGTCCCACGTCACAGTCCCACGTCACAGTCCCACGTCACAGTTTCACTTTCCAGCTTCGACCAATTATCTAAAGAGTACGTACAGAGAGAATAGTCTAATAGCTATTTCAAGTACTATCCGAATTTTCTGTTTCATGCTTCATTGTATTTATGCTTCAGCTATAGAAGATCTCAGTAGCAAATTATTGAATTTATTCATCTTCATTAAAAACGTTGCTGAGATTTGGTATCGTATTAAGAGATTGCCTTCTTCTTTGTAGTGGAATGACCCTGATTCCCATGCATGGACGGTAAAAATCTTTTTTATATTTATTAAATAATATTTAACAGGGCCTAATTCTCAATTCAAGAGCAATTACATGATTTTTGATTTCGAGCCAGTAGCACAGGCAGGGATCCTATAAAATCTATTTCACAGCAGAAAAAAGGTCAATCGTTTTGTTCATTCTCAGTAGTTTATTAGAACCAAACATCAGTTCTTATTTCTTCTTTTTGCATTTAATTTTGATAAATTCGATGTTCTAAGCGTATGATGATATGACTAATTCACAATAAAGTGTAATGCCAAAGCTTAGCACAGACGGAGAAAACGTGCAATTAAAACATTTCCATCTAAATGTAATTTTTTTATTGACTGCTGTTTTGAAGATTCTGTTAAACTGAATAGTTTTACTTCCTTTAATATTTGATACTGGTTTGTAAATGCATTATGTATGCTGTAGTTTTATTTGCACCTTTTCCATCATTTCAGACTGTGTACATTATACCGTGTTTGCTTTCAATTGGTGTGACGATTTGGATTCATATTCAGGGTGTGTGTTTTATCTAATAATCAAGAAGCTTTTACAGATTTTTTAGATCTATTAGAATTTGTCGCCTTGAAGTGCCTTTTGCTTCAAGAATCTCATCCCTTTTCAAGGGACAGCTTTTGATTGATTTTCTTGAACATGATAAATCTTAAAGACACTGAGTCATGATAAAAAGATAGGGTATACCAAAAAAGGCTGAGTCATGATTTTCGTGCTGCACTGCTTTGGTGGGCATTAAACTGATCACGTGAAGCTATCTCGTACCCATATTGTAAACAGGTTTTGTCAAGGGTGCTTACCCCAACCCCATTCATGTACATCATTGCCTTAAATCAATGCCATTGACTCAATGCCTTGAATAATTCGTAATCGCCTTGAATATTTAATCGAAATAATCTATCAGTTATAATCACACTGCATCATTTTGTAGATTTCATCTTATGGAAGGTTTTAGCCGCTCTTCATTTAAGTGCCTGCGTAGGAGGCATGATCTACCTTTCGATTACATATGGGGAGAAAATCTCAGCTGCATCTCCAAACATCACGAGTGTCGAAGAGGGGTGGTAAGGTGCTATTTGATTCGTCATTCAGTCCTCATCTACAGGCTTTAGAGTTACACGTCTACTCTTTATGCCAATTGAACTTCTTTGAACAGCGAGTACATTTTACTATCAGATATTGAATAAAAAGCAAGGCTATTTATTGCCTTTTCTTTTTGTGCTGCAGGGAGCTATGTGGTCTTCTAGTCGTTATTTTGTGGCTCGCCCTGGCAATTATCATCGCATCATATAGGTAAGAGAAGAGATCTCTCTGAGTTACATTGTGTTGTTTTTAAGGGGAAAACAGAAAAGAAGAGGCTTGGGTTAATTGAGGCTTCTTAGCTAGAGGCTTTTAAAAGTAACTGAGAACTCATTAGTAAGGAGCTCATCGCCTATAAGCCCCAAAGACTCCTTTTACAAAGACTAAGCAAGAGGTAATAAACCCCCAGGTTGGCTGTGATTTCCGATGATTTGATTGGTTTAGGCAGGCTGACTACCCGCTCAGTGCAGCTCGAATCCGCTCTACACCGACTCAACCCTCCTAGCTAGCAAGCCATGATTTCATCATCCCCCATGCTAGCCTTTTATTTGCAAACATGTGACTCGGCCAATTGGCACGCAATTTCCATAGCGATAAGGATTAAAAACATTTCTGTCTCTGTGAAAATTTCAGGCCTTTTTTTAGGAAGGAATGCTTGGTTTGCAGTGCGATCAAATATTTTCAATTTTTAACTATGGTTCAATTAAAGTAGTAGGATAAACATGAAAATGATCCTTGTTTCTAGAATTTTTTGAATAATCTGACTACCGCTCGAGCGGTAATGGCGGTGGTCTGGATCCGCCACTGGGGTATAACTTATATACGATTTAAGACGTTGGTACGAGGCGAAATGGAATTGGTACGAGAAGAAAAGGAATTTTGCCATCTGTATTATTTACTCAGTTCTTGAAAATTAATTAAAATTACTCATAAATCTATAGTAACGGAATTTCATCTTTCTTAGAATGAAATCTCATCATTTAACGAAGGAAAAAATTCAACTCTTTAGCGAGAATGTTTGTTTTTTCCGTTTGCAGAAGCTGTTGGATGTGCTTTATAAGGCAAACACGTGGACTGCCTTCTCGAGTTATTTTTAGAAATCATGGACAGTTCGAGGTAATAGTTTTGAATTACTACAAATATGTCTTTCATATGTGATTTTTATAACAAATATTAATCATAATGTCATAAAGTCTTAAGATATGTTTGTTTGGAAGTCGATACTGTTGTATGAGTCCTAGTAACTGTTTCAGCCAGTTCTGAGGTTTGCCTTCCGATTGTTCACATGATTTCTCAAAACAATTGATGATTCCTGCTCACTCAGTGAAGAGATTTTTCTGTTTGATACATTCCACTCACTCGCATATCATTAGAGCTTCATCTATATAAGATAATGTTTCTTTTTTTAGCCAGAGCCTTTGGATTAGAAAAGAAGTAACAAAGAATAAACAAACTATTAGAAAAGCATCATAGTTTAACGCAGTTATGGTGGCAGGGTAGGCGACACTATCCTATGTGATATGTGGTCTTTGTTGATGAACATTTACATGAATGAATATGCTGTCATGGCAATCAGAAGCCCTCATAGTTAAACAAGCGGTATACATTTGTCATCCTTAGTTAAAGTATGAAGGCATTTTAATAGTAGCCGTGATCCCACTTTTCTCTGTAAACCCTTCTCTTTTCCTTTGTTAGAACTTTCGCTAAAAGCCTTCAAACCCCTCCCTAGCAATGCCAGCTGAAGAAAAATAAAAGAACTTAAAAATGCCCAAACATAAAGCATATTTCTTGACTCATTTGATTGTCTTACAATACTTTCAAGTATTAATGTAATAGCAATATTTTACTGCGTCTTAAGAATCTATTTAAGAGGTAATTGAGTTCTTTACAGTATTAAGATGTGATCTTTCTATAGAGTTATATTATCGTGCTGACAGAGAACACAATTTTTAACTCTACATGTATATAATTTATTGTTATGAACAGAAACGAGAGTTTTGAGGCAAATGAAATTTCTGAGTTTCCATGCATTCAGAGTGAGTTATTATGAAAACAATCTTTTGGTGGTACAAAACTTGAAAATGGCTTTGAAAAAAACAAACATTTGAGTATACTTAAGATTTTCGTCTGATACTCTTCAGAGTATAAACGTCAGAACATAGATCGAAAACTCTACGCTAGGAAATATATATATATCCAGTTGTGAACAGTTGTGGAAATATATATATCCAACTTTCATACTCTGGAGAATGTCAGACGGAATGCTTAAGTATACTCAAATGTTTGTTTTTCAAAAGCCAATTATTATACACTTTTTCTGCTTATCAATGACGCTTGCAACCTCTGTCCAAACGATTTCACACAAAGTCATTACAACAGCCCAGTCACATTTCATAATCATAGAAACATGTCATTGTTTCCAGTGGTAAGAATCAGACGATGTAAATTATCCCAAACAACGCTAAATGGCTAGAAAAAAATCCAATGCAATAAGAGTGGTTTTTTTAATAGCCCACCAAATTTTACCAATATCTTTTTTCTAGATTCCCTCAAAAACGGTTTTTATTTTTGATGGTTGCAAGAAATTTATTCCAGACATTTTGGTTCAAGAGCACTATTTCAATTAATGACACCATCTAAAGACAGTTCAGGCGGGACTTTTTCATTTCCTGTCTACGTATGGGTGATCATTTCATAGCCAGATACAATTTGATGATGAGATTTACAGATAATGTTGATATTTTTATATTATCAAGTACCCTTGCCAGACTAATTCCTTAAGAATCACCATTATACCATCACGTGTAAAACCATAGACTTAAAGGTAATGTGTCCAGCTTAAGCAGGCGACCCTGCGGGGGTTTTTAGAAACATGTGATTTTTCATGTCATCGCCCCAGTCATTACGGTCGTTCTGTTTATCTATCCTGCTGCGAGGTCAGCTTTTCATGTGAGCAGTTTTGCATCGCAAGAATACATACCAATCGCAAACCGTTATTTTGATGGGTGGCTTGACAAGTTGGGTATACGCAGTCCTTTTATATGGACACATTACCTTTAATCCGTTCTGTCATTTATATTTTGATATCTTGGTCTGCCTATTCCTGTCTAGTCGAATACGCACATAGCAAAGTTACATCATGAATCCACCAAGGATCGAAGTTAGGACCAATTCTCTTTACTGCCTACGTCAATTACTTGCCAATAAAAGTATAATCATAAGTACGTCTTTTTGCGTACTCTACTCAATTTGGAGAAAAAAACACCAAAGTGATGCTACAGTTCTCCAATGTCTTTATCTTTACAATCGCCAAGCTTACAAATAACTAAATCAAGCTTACAAAGGTTACAAAGCCACGATAAGTCAAAAACAGACAACGAATCAATTACAAATTGTCAAAAAAGGAAACTGCAAGTTTTTCGTAGCCACTCAGTTGAAAATTCCTCAAAAGATATAGCTCGAGTTAGGTTTTTTTGAAAGAGTCAAGGCACTCTGACGAAAAGGTGTGCTGCACTCTTTTTTTACAAAAACCAGTAAATTTAAGCTCAGGCCGACTGTTCTTCGTTTTTCAAAAATCTGAGGCTGGATTGTTCTTAATTTGTTCCTAAATCAAGCAGCGCGAGTGCTAGCTTTTTCGCTTTAGGGAGGTATTCAGGGCTCATTCTCAAACAAAGTGAGTGAGACAACCTTCATTTGCCGACAAGTTTGAACATTCGCCGAAAAAGCACCTACACATGGCTAAAAGTCCTCATTTCTTAGATAAGATGTTGTTAAAAATTGCATTTCACAGTAGCTCAGCCTCAGCTTATTCTTTATTTGTTCTTAGCTTTTGACTAATTTTGAGGCTCGTGTTCTTACAAAATTGTTCTTAGAAAAAAAGAGCGCACATCGCCTTCTTGGGGCATCAATGTTTGTCATAAATAAAAAAGACATCCACTCCTTGCCGAAGCATAGTAACACGCCTTTCCCTTTTTTTGTATCATAATCAAAACCGGAATAGCGACTTCATAATTCTCCAGCCAAAACTTGTTTCCAATGTCGTTGGTGCCACCTCTCTCTCTTCTCTCTCTCTCTTCTGTAACGCCACAGCTGCACGTATCACTTTTGAATATTTCAAGACAAACAAAATAGCTCATTCAATTATCCATTTTAATTTCAAGCTATTCATTTGAAATCTTTATACCGAGATATATAGATGCCATAAGCTAAACCAGCGAAGAATTTCTCAAATGAATGAAGTATGAATATAATTATCAATAAAAAGTAGCTTAAATTCTCTTTTTAACCCCCCTCTCAATTAAGCCCCCTCTCTCTTATTAGACCCCCTTTTCAGAAAAATTTAATTAGCCCCCTCTCAATCTAGCCCCCCCCCCTCCAATTTTCACTGATGCTGAAATAAGTAAACTGGAAAAAAAACTGAGATTTTCATTTCATTCATTGCTCGTTCAATTCTTCGCATCAAATCAAAATTCACACCATATCTCTAGAATTAATAGTTATTGTCGATGACGATGACAATATTATTGATATAGAAGGCTGATTTGATGTTTTTTATTTCGCAAATAACAAAAAATTTTACCACTATAAATGGTTTTTTATTACAAAATATTTATTAAGCTCCTTCTCTCAATTCAGCCCCTCTCTCCTATAAACCCCCCCATTTAAAGTGCTGAAAACCAATAAGCCCCCCGGGGGGCTAAAAAGAGAGTTTACGGCAAGTTGCGTTGCATTTTCATTTGCCTGTTGGGCAAGAAACCCTTGCTCAACTCCCACTTGTGAAACAACGCTGTGAAGGAGCTTCAAAACAGTTGAATCATTTCGGCGCCAAAATTAAAGATGGCGATGGCAAATGATGGAGATTGTACGATACCTTTGATGGGATATGAGGCAATTACTGCAGCTATTGCCGATTCATCAGATGGAAATTTAACTGTTTCAGTTGAGGATCTAAAGAAAATAACGGTATAATTGATTTTATTATTCCTGCGCTGTTAACTTTTGTTGATTGTTAGTGTTTACAGTTTTCTGCTATTTTGGGCTCTTGCCTATTTATACTTAAAAGATACTAGTAGCCAAGCAGGAAACTCAGCTCTTATAAAGTTTGTGTAACGCTTGAAAGCAGTATAGCTTTTTTAAATTCATATGTAAAATTTTTGATTAAGCTGGATGTTCTAGCTGAGCTGAGAACAATTGTTGGTGATAACCATTACCATTGGAGATCGATAATCTTTTTCTGAGTGAAGTGCATGGATTTTGTTGAAAGATCATTATAAACTACCGGCCTTTTTCCTACTATTATCAAAGCTACTTCATTTAAAGTTATCAACGCTTTTAGACTATGACAAGTAATCAAAATATGTTTTGTAGATCATATGATATTTATAACAAGTGGCATTTTGACCAGGGTGGTTTTCCGGGTGCCGTGGCCCATTATGGCATTGGGTAAATGTTGTGGGCAATGACCCCCTGATGAATCCTTCTAACAGGCTAGCATTGAAACGATGGCAGATTTTAAAATAATTCCCCATGCTTTATTCACATTATTTTTTTGTTGTAGTCCGAGAAAGTGATTGAAATATACAAGGCACTACTTTTCTCTTTATTTGAAAGAGCATCAGAACAGATTAGTCAGGTAAATTTAAATTATCAGTTCAGTATCTTCTCTTATTACAAATTTCTAAAACATAACCAGCCGCTGGATTGCCATGTGATATATAGATATATATGGACCTAACCAAAAATTTGTCACATCAAACAATTTTTCTGGGTTGGATAATGGTGTGTCCTATCGCTAAGGGCAAATGAAGAATTAAATTTGTCACAAGATCAACATAATATTGCATTGGTTTGATAACAAAATAACTTTCTTGGGTTGAAGAAAATTTTCTTGTCATTTTTCATTTTCACTTCTTAATTGATATCCTTGGGCTGTAGCATAGTTGTACACACTGATGTGCTCAAACAAGTCTCTGGAAATATATACACACAACAGTTTCATTAGTTTGCCCCTTTTCTCTTATGTAAAACGAATCAAACTCTCAAATTGTCTTTATACTGTAAGTTTGTAGTCTCGATTCAAGGAAAAAGATGTTTTCATTTGATAAATGTATATTTGTAGACGTCAGGGTTAAAAAGAACCGGGTATAAAACCAAGTACAAAGTGTCATCGAAAGATTAATGCTATAAACTATTGTATAAATCTTATAAATAATAACATTGCTGTCATTTGAGAGGATGGTTTTTTTATCAAAAGAACATCTAAAACTACTAAAACTACAATTACATTGAGTTGTGTCATTCATGGCGAGGAAAGACACAAGGTCACCGAGTCCTCACCATGAATTCCACATACAATTCAGCAACATATTACATCATCTAAGATAGAAGAAACAGAAAATAAGAAAAAATAAAAATTAGAGAAAGAAAATAAAGGGTGCTGCTGCTGTATTTTGGCATTAATATAACCTTGCAGAGGCCTTAACGAAGGAAATTGTTGCTTCTAATATAATTCTGTTTGCAACTGTACCCAAATTTCCGATCTCCCAACAAGAGTAAATGACAAAGGTCTTTCATATTTACATCGGCAACATTGAATCCATCGTTACCTGAGAGCTGGTCAAAGAGATCCTGGCGCTTCATGCTGTATAGAGGGCAGTGCAGGAGAAAATGCTAATTTTCCTCTTTACCAGTGCCACAGACACACATTGGACTTAAACAGGCAAAGTTATGTCAGGACTTAGAGGATGGTTTAAGTTTGATCATCATCATTTTAAAACAATACTATTCTTCATGGCATTTCCGTTTAATGTTTCCAGATGCTTATGAAATCACTCTTTGAGGTGTGCTTTAAATGATCCCACTTAATGTAGTGCCTTTCTGGGCAAAGCCTGTTATACCAAAGTGCACACTTGCCCACTCAATTTTCTCTATTTTTATCCTCTCCTTATAATCAAGGCTCCTTATAGAGAGTTGGCGGAAAGAATTAAGGATGGTTGTCTTTATGAAGATGCCATGTTGCTGTCTACATTATGTCTTGCACTGTAAGTAAAGAAATGTGATTTTGATATCATAATGCTTTTATGTTTCATCTTTCTTAGTGTACCTGTGGATTTTATAGTTCATAGATTCAAACATTTTAATACATTTAAAACTTTTCCCTTCAGAATCAGAGTTTTCCAAGCCTGCTGCATAAACAGTTTTGGTATACGTGATCTTGTGAATCCTAGTAAGTGAAATTAAAGAAACTAAATGAATTAATTACTGTATATAGATTAATCATTTAGAAATTCTCCCATCTCTACTTTTAATGACATGATGATAATATAAAGACCAATATAGTGTTTGCAGGTGTGTTGTAAATTAAATGCCTTGGAAATCTCAGACATGCCATGACAGGCAGTTTCTTGTGTTTTATAGTGATAACAGCAGTTAAGTGAAAAGCTCAACTTTATGTGGTTCTGCTCTCTATTGGACTTGCTCGCTATATAAATATGGCATATCCTCATTAACAACCCCTTTAAAGTGCCTATGCAGCGAAATTTACCATTCCAATATTTTAAAAGAAATCTATAGAATCCTTTGCCCTTGTTCTTATACAAAAAACAGAATTCCGATAAGTTAAATGGTTCTTTTTTTATTGAGTGTCAAAGTGTGCATATTTTGCAGTTGCGTTGTGAAATTTTATTTCCTGCTTTGACATCACAGTGATGAGTCGGGGCGAAACTATTTAGTCAGGCATGTTAAATCACTTATTAGGTCGAATTGTGCAAATTGTGATACTAGCATGAAACTTTGCATTAATGGACAGTTTGATACCCTGAAAAAGATAGGATAGGGACCCGAACTGAAAATTGCCCCCTTCAGCTATTTTTAGCTGGGGTACTTTGCCCCAAGACTCTAGTGGCAATATTACAATATATCTGCTGTAAGTAAGTAAAATAACATGAAACTTTGTAACAAGTGACAATCTGATACGCTAAAAATGAAAGGATAAAGACCCCAACTTGAATTTGCCCCTTTTCTATTTTTAGACTGGGGTACTTTGCCCTAGACCTTTATTGACAGTATTATAGTATCTCAGTCTCACTTTAGTAGAAAAGCATGAAACTTTGCAATAAGGGGAAATTTGATACGTTTAAAAAGATAGAATATGGATGGACCCCAACTGAAAATTGCTCCCATTGTTCTATTTTTAGAGTGCAAAATATGAATAGGAACTATAACACATCTTTGTCAGCGTATCAAACTGCCTTTATATTAAGAATTTCCGTTCTCCATTCATGGCCAATGTTAGAATTAGGGGTCTGAATCAGAGTACCCCAGTCTAAAAATCGAACTTAGGGGCAAGATATGATTTGGTTCAATATCCAATCTTTTTCTGCATGTCAAACTGCCGTTATATCGAGAATTCCAAGTTTCTATGACCTGGCGTTCTCCGTTTGTGGCCAGGGGTCTGGACCAGAGTACCCGAGTCTAAAAATAGAATTTAGGGGCAAATTATGAGTCGGGTCTATATCACATCTTTTTTGTCTAGTTAAACTGTCTTTTTATTGTGAATTTCAACTTTCTATGGCCTGGCGTTCCCCGTTTATGACCAAAGGCACAATTAGAGGTCTTGACCGGAGTACCCCAGTCTAAAAATAGATCTTATGGGCAAGATATGATTTGGGTCTATATCACATCTTTTTCAGCGTATCAAACTTGGTGTTTTCTGAAATGTTGGTGCTTGTATCACATTTTGCACAATTCTTCTTCATATCTCCCTCACTAGAACCTATTCTGGACAACAGCAGTTTCCTGATTGCTGTCGACCCGACTCATCACTGACTGGCCTTGATTTTCGCAAGCACTACCTAATTTCAATCTCTGATTAAACACACTTTTGCTGGTCAAATTATGACAATTTTGGTGTCAAACGTATCGGAAAAAATAGGAGAATATAACTCTTAAAAAAAGCAGGACATAAAATTTCGCTGCATAGACACTTTAAACTCTGGAGCATCCTTTAAAGAGCAATAGCAGAGATGGGTTTATTTCACTTATGGGAGCCAAACAGGGTGGGGGGGGCAGAGGTCATTAATATTAGGAGAAATTTACTAACATATAGATTTTGTCAATGATATGATCACACATCTCCATTTTATTAGAACCAAAGCGAACACATCGGCTGCTTAGGTTTGTATTTATTGCTTTTTAGATAACATCCATAATTTGATAACATCCATAATTTGATAGGAGAATATTTCTTTTAGGCCATATTTCTTTATGTTTCTGCAAAAGACAATTATCTGCAAATTTTTCTAGATTTTTGTTTTTGTTTTAATTGTGTTTGGTCTTGAGTAGGTACAGAAATTTAAACTTTCAAGTACTATTTGAATATATTTAGTGGTAAGATTTCAAATAGACGTCTGGTGTCTGTATTCTGAAATTTTCTATAAAAACATGTGGTTTTTAATGGCCATTTTATTGAAGCTCGTTGCTGAATTACATCAGACATGTTCATTCAAAGCAAGATATTGTAGAGGAATCACTAAACTATGCTGTAAGTTTTTTTCACTTGAATTTATTGTTTTAATTTTTTCTTGCACAGTAAAATGTCTCAAAGCATTTCAGAAATATATTGATGTAAGGAAGTAATGATTAGTCAGTGTGATTATAATGAATTCCATTGACATGAAAAGTAAAAAATGCAATCAACATGAATAATGAAATATTCACAAAATCCATTTATTACATTATATTATCAGATTGACACTAGGTTGCTGGACATTCCAGCTTTCCTTGGGAACCATGGAATAATACACCAGATTAAGTCACTCTCCTCAGACTCTTTTAAAAACACCACCTCTCACTCTGACCATTAGAAATGAACTTATGTCCTTGTTTTGAAACAATATTGCAGATTTATAATCACTGATGTTTACTGTCCAATAACAAACCTTTTGCAAGATTTTGATTTATGACAGATTGGCAAAAAAGAAAATGAATATGATTGCTAGCCATAAACATGTTATTACCAATCTGAAGCGGGTTATATTCCTACTACTTTCACATTTATAGTAAAATGTTGCTCTGAGATGTATGATCGCCTTGAAGGTGCTTAGATATTCATTTGTATGTTATGGTGAATGAAATGCTGATGGTATGGATGAGTCTTCAATGCAAACATCTGATACCACAACCTACAAATTTCATCTTTTCTGTTTCTCCTGACATTTTGTAGTTTCCCTTTATCTCTTAATTGAATTTTGTCTGATTTTGAGCTGTGTCACAGAGGAACCACCACAGCTGGGTTTGTTTTGCAAGCATAGGGATGTTAGTTATTAGCCTGAGGTTAAGACTAATTATATACCATTATTTTCAACAGTGTGAATATGAGCAAAAACGAGCAGAAATGCTGTCAAATAGAGATGAGTTAATCCAACAAAATGAAGATATTGAGTGGGTTTTTTTGCTGTTGTAGTCAATGTCTCATGTGCTTTCTTTTTTCTTTTGTGAGATTCACATTTTTAACAAACCACTAATTTTATTTTTAATTTATTAACTAGTATTTATCTTTTTGTTACAAAAGTCTTTCTGATACAAAGATTTTTCACCCATAAAATCAGAACTTTGACAAATAATTTGGTCCAAATTTACTTATTGCTGTACTTTTTTTTGTTTTTTTGCATATCTTAGATTGATTGCAAGTTATGTTTAAACTTTATTATGTTTTTGCCAACAGAATTAGGATTGCTGAGCAGGGTAGCAAGACAGCAAAGGTAATTCATTTTTCTTTGAAGGGAATATTAAAATTCAATTTTTGTCAATGATGAACAGTAAATAGAGTAAAATATGGCTCATTATTTTTATCTAGATGCTGTTTTTTGGAATGCTTATAAACAATGGCTAATTTAAGTTTGGAATATGACAGCAATGTAGCCAAAACACTAGGCTTTGAGTTATTAGCCTTCTAGTGTCCCATCTGTAGTCATAAAAAATGTCCACATATGGTAAATTATTTTGTCAGTATAGCTACCACCAATATCGCAAGGTTTATGTCAAATACAGCTCATTTTGTCATGAAAATTTATTTCGATTTGATAAGAAGCAGGTCCTACCATTCTACAGGTCCTGTAAAGAAATGATAATCTTAATAACAATATTTTTACAGCTAAAACCCGAAGCAGAAGCTTGGAGAACACGGCTGAATGACCTAACCACTTTGCAGGTATCATCTTTACACCTTGCTATATATCTTTGCTAGCCCTTTTACCTTTTGATTTTTCCTATGTGCCTCTTCCTGTCCCTTTATTAACAAACAGAGTTTCATTCTGTTGCTCTGGTTAACTTTTAATGATTTAATATATTCAGTGTTATCTTTTGTCTCCTACTCTAAATATTGCAACTGTAGGGCTCTTTCCCTGTAGACTGTAGGGTTTTACAAACTGTACTACAAACTACGTGACACTACAAACTATTCTTATGATGTTTGATAAATGACAACTGTAATCCAACAATATGTTGTCAATCGTCAAAGCCTTAAGGCTCAAGGCTTTATAATTGCTTGCTGTTCAAGTTCTTTATGTATTGCATTCTCTATGATTGATAAAGTAGTTATACCTTGAAAATCCCGACTTTACCAATGTCTTATAAATTTCATAAGCAATGGACAATAGCTATATGAATATCGTTAACAGTGAAAATGAGGATTGGAAATCAGTGTATGGAAAAGAGCAACGCTATTGTTTTCTGCGTTGCTTGACCTTAGCTGTTTCTTTTTTAATAGCTGCTAATTTGATTTTAGAGTGAGAAAAAGAAAGAGTTCGAGGAAGACCAAAGACACTTGACAGACAAAAAAATTATATTGGTAGGAGAATCTAATTGAATATCATTTGCTTATATTTGTTTCCTTTTACACTGTAAGCTGTTAGTAAGAAATTTTGCAAGGACAGGTACCTTAGAATTAGACAAAAAATTAACAACATGAAAATAAGCAGAGCCTGGATGGCACATTTTTATAGGAAGCCCAGTTCTAAGAAACTCTAGTTAGAGAAAGTAAAAATTTAAGAAACTCCATTTCAGCATGCCAAGGTCTATTATATCTATTCACGATATTTGCAGCGTTGAAGTGCAAGTGGTGTAATGTAAAGCTATTGATATTTGTCAAGCTTTATGTGTTTGTTACGTTTTATTTCATTATGACCGGGTATGCCTATTTTTAACTTTATAAAAAATTACCTATGGTAAAATAGTTGTCTTATGTTAAAAATTCTTTGATACAGCCGAAAAATTCAGTAACCAATTACGGATATTTCAGCATCAAAGTTCAGAAAACCAAAAAACTTCCAGCCTGGGCCCCAATTTTAATTGTTTTCTTTGGAAAAATAATACATTGCGCTTGGGGAAATAAAATTTCATAGCTTTGCTTCATTTTCCTTTTTTTGAGAATAAAATTGATCATTGATAAAACTTTGTCTGAATTTTTCTTTAAAAAATCCTATCTTCAAGTAAAAACCAAATGAATATATTTTCATTCAACTACACCCAAAGCTCATCGTTACATTATTTTTATCTGCCATCATTACAACCATTATTGGACACTATCTGTCATGGTTGGGTCTTGAAAATCAAACTTCAGTCTCAATGTTATTTATTGATGATGGCTGAACCGGTTCTTCTTTATAGTTATATCCTAATATGAATTTCCACAGGATATTTTGAAAACAGAGAACGACTGGAATGAAAAGACGCCTGTTGCAATGGAACGCACAAATCTCTTGAACAAACTTCATTATAAGCGGGTTCAGCTGCAGCAGCTAGACGAGGCTTGTACTTCTTATCTTTGTTATTCATGATGTAGGCTCATGCCTAATTCTACCGAAAATAGATGCATTGCACCTTTACATAACAGACAATCTCCTTTGATATTCTTTTTTACCCATGACCTTGCCTAATGCAAAGCAACAATCTAGAGATGGTTCGCATGTTTTGCTAGCTGAGTTAGGTTTTTAAATATCAATATGAAGCCATTTTTGCTGACTTTCAGTTGATTTTGCAATAAAAGATTTTGCTTTGTTCAATTGTAACTTACTTTAGCCCTAGTTTTCAAAGTTTCAACAGCTTCCTTAATCGTTTGCACTTTTTGCCTTATTTTCTCATATTTTTTTATTGCTTATTTTGTTATTACACATTCCAGGATTCAAAAGCTGCTTTGAAACTAATAACGGGTTTTGACAGTCTCTTGGTGAAAAATGGGTAAGCTTTTAAACTTCTAATTATCAATGATAAGATTCGCCACATATTTACTACTTTTGATGACAGGATAGCAGTCCTTGTAATATGAAAATAGGCCGAGTGCAGCGTTTGGCACGTCTTGATTACTTGTGCGATGGCGTGCGATACGAACACCTTTTTATCAACATTTGTCATTCCTGCTATCAAGAAATATATATAATGTACTGCTTTAAAAGAAACCTTTTGTGCTATAAACTGAAGAGAAACCATGTAAATTGACAAAGAAACTATTCTTGTTCTTCTTTAAAGATGCTAAATTTAATTCGTTTTAAAATCAGGAAGTAATCATAGAATGGTTTTGCATTCATGTGAAGATATCTAGATTGAATAATTTCATTTTTTATAAACCCTACGGTCTCTTGAATTATTGCGATGTGTTTACATGATGCTGGATAAATTCTGATACGGATGAGGCTAAAATATTTTAAGCCAACAAGCATTTTGTGTGATAATTTCTTTATCAATGATATTGTAGTGCCGAAGAATGGACTGAAAACTTGCAAATGTGCAAGGAGAATTTCATCAATCTTTGTTTTCAAATTTAGCCAATCTTTGAAAAAATCTGATGTATCCGTACTCGTGTAAACAGGAAGTCTATCCGTATCGAAAGTTATACTGCAACGTGTAAACGTCTTTCGATTTCTAAGCCTTTCGTATGATCGCTAAGATGGTGGCTATCATTGAGGATATTCATAAAGCGCTTTCACATAATTCGACATGTGGAATTTCCATAGATCGGGGTTTTTTCTAATCGCAAGACTATTACAGTCCCTCTATGGAGTGAAAATCCCTCGATTGTGTGACAAACCTACACTTTTCCTTCAATTTGGAGAAAAATCCTCGATCCTCATATCAAGGGACGGGTGCCTTGTTGTTTGGTCGGGCTACTTTTCACGATTATGTGGCAATCATAAAATATGCCTTCCTGATGCTATAGAAATCTTCGAAATTTTTTTTTCGAACTTTAAAGCTTTTCCTCGCAGAGTTTTCGTTTTGCACGTGCGAAAACTGTGCCTCTGAAAATTGTGTAAACAACGTTGTTTGGAGATTGGAAAAAGAGAGGATTGGATAAAGGAAGAAGGAGTGAAAGAGAGAATGGGTGAAAGGAAGAAGGAAGAAAGGGAGAGGATTCTAGGTCAGCGGAGGGTGCAATTGACAAACTGCAAAACAAGAATACAAAAATTGGAAAACAATTCTGCCTTATAATCCTCAAAAATCAGATTCTCAAAGGAAGCAGCTCATTATTTTGAACTTTTAACTTTCTTGTAACTTTTTCATTCCGTATTTGTTTTAATTATTTAGAGGGCGAGTGAAAGATCTGGAGGAATTTAGAGATAAGGTTTGTTCATTGGAACAGGCTTGCCAAAATGTTGCAGCTCAAATACAGGTGAATAAAGATCTTGTTTGATAAAACCTAATTCTATAAGGGATTCAAAAAACTATCGTTTTTGAAATTGGCTGTTTTTGCTATGAATTTTCCTGTTATACTTCTAAGTGGATTAGAGTACCATACTACCATACCATAAATTAGAACCATAAATTACCATAAGTACCATTAATTACCAGAACCATAGAGTGCCATAAATTAGAGTACCATAGATTTACCATAAACTAAAACAACTTATACTTATGGTTAATAGGTTTTAAAATGGCTTTGAAAAAAGCAAACATTTAGTAAACTAAAGCTAAAGAGTTTAAAACGTCAGAACATAGACCGAAAATTCTACGCTAGGAAATATATATACCCAGTTGTGGATCGAAATAGGCCAATCAGAAACAAGAGCACATGACTGTTGGTTTAATAGGTTTTGTAGTTCAAATACACATAAGGAACCCTTTCAGTATGGTTTGTGTATGGAGCAGCACATATATTGAACAAGTTGTCACACCCTGAATAAAGAAGGTTTCATCTACTTTTAGTTTTAATCAACTAAAAACAAAAAACTAAAATTTATTTCGGTATTATTGGCTATTTCGGTATCATTTCAGAATATGCGACGACAGTTCAACTCAAAGCGTGACAGGCTTACGAGAATTCAATTACAGAGTCGCAAGCGTCTCTCAGCCACAAATGAGCTGGCAACTTTAGAGCGAAAGTAAGTGCTTTAATTGCCTACTGTTATTGTGAAATGTTGCCAATGTTCAAACTAGGTTTTTCTGAAATACAAATCTGGCACTTTGTTTTGAAAATTTAGCCAGGCTTTACAGTGCATGATTTGGACCCATTTCTAAAAATGTCTATTGCAACCATTACATTTGATCAAGCCCCTCTGCTTTTAATTTCACAAAGTAAATTTTTATGTGCCAAATTGGTCTTATTAATTTTGTAGGAAAATGTCGTCGATGAAGACTGAGATGGAAACTATGATAAAAGAGGCTTTGGCAACAGTAGATGTTGAATTAAATGAAATTTCTGAACTGGTAAGCCATTATTGGTGGTTTCCTGTAAGTGTGTAGATCAAAGCCTTGTAAAATTGTATGCAAACAATTGTCAAAAGATGCTATGTAGAGAGAAGAAAAGAGACCAGTGGTGGCTCCAGCCTTGGATATGTGTGGGGGGGGGGGGACAAAAGGTGTCCACAGTGACCATGCCCTTTTCCCTGTTTGAAACATTTTCCTCCAGAGGAAACATTTCTTGTCTCTCTGGAAATGTCATTTCAGTGTGACGATCTAGATAAAGTACATACCCCCCCCCCCTCGAAGTTTTCTCTTCAAGTCTGCAAGGATCTCAAAGACCAACTTTCTGAATAAGTAGAGGGACTAGTCACCCCCAAACTTGCAGTCTTTGTGCAGTCAGTGCACATTGCTTCTTGATATTGCAAACTTTGTTGCAGAGATGTGTTATGCAATGCCATTTCCTTGAAATTGCTTCACAAACACAATATATATTTTTTTTGTGTTTAACAAGGTAGTATTTTGCTTTTGTACATTTGTTTTTTAAATCTTTTGAAGATTGAACTGGAAAGACAGGAATTTGAAGACAAAGCTCAGAAGGCCTCAGACGTCTATGGACAAATTTTGGATGAGGTTGGTTTTTGAACTTAATTTTTTTCCTAGACAAATGCCTCACTTCCAATCTATGTTCTAATCAACCTGATCAAGGGTAAGCTGTTCACAAGTTTATCACAAAATAATTGTGATAGAAAGATTTGAATGATGGTGGTAAAAGGGAAACAATAAAGTAATTGAAAATTAAGAAATACAAAGGAAAATACCAGAACCTAGAGTTCTTAAATAATGATGTGACAAGAATCTATTTTTAGCATTTTTGATTTGGATCCAATACCCTGAGAGAGCAAAGTGAAATACCACTCTGTACGAAGTCAGTTAAATGTGTTCTACATTGGCTGAGATATGGCCACATGAGCTACTGGTCTTGCCCATCCAATTTTTTGTTATTGCATCCTTCTTGATAACGTTATGAACCAGGCAAAAACGTGGAATCTTTCATTGGCCATATCTTGTCCAGTTTTGAAGTTCAATTTGAACATATTTAGCTGATTTATATTGAGGGGTATTTTATGCCTTTCTTTCAGATCATGTGGTCAAAATTCTAAAAGAAGGCTTTTTATGACCTCACAAGTGTGAAATAAGGGTGTGCAATTTCTTGGTGTTTGTTCGGTTTTTAACACAAAGGTCTTCTTGAAAGCAGCACCCTATATTTCTTAATAACAGGAATGAAAAATGACAGATAAAAAGTTATTTCAGTTTGTATCACATGTACATTCATCAAAATAATCTTTTTTCAAATTTCAAAGACTGATAATGTAATTAAAAGACAATGGAATAACAAGAAAAGGACAGTGTTAATAAAAACTGTTTTTGAGCTGATATTTTGCCATTGTGTAGTGCGTGCTTTGTTTTATTAATGAAAATCACACAGAAAAAATATTTTGAAGTTTCATAAAAAATTATGCACTGATACCAAATTCTGGCTAGCATTTTTTTATTTAATTTATTATATTTTTTTAAATTAAGCCAACTAACAACATAAAACTAACAGCAAAAAATTCAAGAGGATTCCTGAGTGTGTAAATTGTTGTCTCAAATTTACAACTAAAATTATAATTAATTACTGTATGAAATTTATATTTCTATCGTTATTTCTGGTTTCAAAATATATAATGTCAAGAGTGTCCATTTCTCCATAGTGTGTTATAAGACAAATATTGGACAATGCCCTCTATAAACAGAAATATCTGCTTCCCTTTTAGCTTGATGTCTGCCATCAAAACTATGCAGGTCGGTGGAAAAAGCTCTTGTCCCACACATACTCTTATGACAGATGAATAGCTGTTTTACTCCAATGTATGTAGATACATATTGTGAGGAACCTTAAATACAGTTTGGGCCCACAACTTGTAAACAATGATATTACTTTATTTGTTAAAATAGTTTTACTTTCTTAACAACAAGCCATCTGATTTTAAAACTCAGAATATTCATAAATATATAAAATAAATACTGCCTTTTCAGTTTGTATTAACTATCTACAATAAGATCCACTTCTGTCAGCATAATATTTGGTCTCCATGTGAAGCATCCTAAAATCTAAGTCAGTCAGATGCAAAGATTGCATGGCATTGACAAAGTTACTGTGAAAAGCTGCTTCCAATGTATTTCTCATGAATAAAATCTAATTTCTTGCTTTTTGGCACCAATCTGTTACATCATTTTCCTTTGATAAGTGTATGGCAATGCTCTGGACCACTGCTTAAATCAGTGGTGTATGCCCAAATTGTGATGAGTACAAATGGAATTGAAATTATTGCAATGACCTTCAGCCAGCTAAATATGTTCATGGTCTGTACGCTAAAATGAAAACATGCACTGTTTCAATTCGTGATATATAATTTTGGTTCAATATCCCACCAATCTATATTCTCCTCAAAATTTAATACTTTTGTGCCTTTATTTTGAAAGGCTGGTTAAAGCAAAGCTCTTGTTTATTTCAGTAGTCTCTAATTTTCCAGGTTCCCTATTAATCCCTTTGTTCTAATCCTGCATGCAGGTTAGATAAAAGTAAGAACCAATGCATTGCAAATGCAGTCCTGGTAATATTAGGCTTGCCTCCAAACATGCCTAAAACTCCAGAGGCGTGTTTTTTATCGCACGCGCAGTTTCACGCCTTGAATTACTATTCTCTTTCTCTTTTTTTTCTTTTAATTTCTTTTTTATCTTCTCTAAAGGAATTTTTGATTTCTTTTGTATGGGTTTTATTGATGGCATTCTCAGAGGCATTTCAACTCTTCACTTTGTTTCGATTACTCTGTTTTAGTGTGTCTCCGTTCTCATTCTCCGTTCTTTTCGTATTTTCTTGAACACATTACCTTGGGCCACTCTGTCTTTGTCAAAACGATAACGTGGGTGTTTCCATTACTCCATATTTGTTTGTTCATATCCTTTGCTCGAGCTCTTTTTGAAACTGAGATTGAATGACTCAGTTTTTGCATGCCTCTCTTGTCTTTGCTGTTCCCAATGAAGGACGCATATTCAAATGATTCCATTTCAAATGACTCCACTTTGAGCAGCCTTTTTGTATAACTTCCGTTTGGCATCAAAGGACACCGTTTTTGAGTGTATTAATGAAACTCAAAATCTAAAACAGATTCACTAGAATCTGTTCTCATACGGAAATGGAGTAATGGCAACAGGGCATAAAAACAGTATCCTTTTTGTTAAATTGTTTTGTTTTCAAGAAACTTTGTCTAAAATTGAATAAAAACATTTTGGTTTTATGAAAACTTCATATGCTTTTTGAAACACACTTTCTAATACAAAGATGACATCAGGTCTTCATAAAAATAGTAAGATCTCAATTTTATGGATCCCAGGTCATCGCACGCCATCGCATGCCATCGCACGCCTAAACTTCTCAAGGCGTCCATTACCAGCAGGCCGCTAAGTTTCATATTACGAGGACTGCAAATGCTTGGAGTTTTAAATGGCATTTAGACATAAAGTATGATGTCTTGGTGTTTTCATTTTATGACAGCCAGGGTGAATAATGTTTTAGCCAACCAGCCAATTGACCTTTGTCAGCACTCTTTGCAATTAACATGCAAAGTCTCTGTGCCAAAACACAGGAGAACATGTTGAAAATCTAAAAGCACCTTGAAAGGTTATTCCTGCTTCTCTGATAATCCAGTCCCTCTTTTAATCCCTTATTACATTAGAATGCTGTATATAAAACAACAGTTACCAATGCTATGAATCCCAGGCAAATGTTACTGTCATGAAACTGAACAAAAAGTAGGGATGAATAAAATTGTAAAAAAGAGCCTATTTCTTTTTGTGAAATAATTTGCAATTTAGTTTACCCTTAAAACAAAACCAAATATTCTAAGATAACAATTTTCAGCAGGCTTGAAGCCAAAGAAAGAAAAATTATTTCCAATGTAAGGTTTACATACCCATATTTGCCTGTTTACATTGAGTGGAACTTTTGCTTTTTTTGATGCTAGATTAACCTTAGTAAATCCAATGTTAAACACTGTGCTTCATTTCAAAGTGATATTTTTGTATCAGATCAGATACTTTAACACTCACCTTTTTGCATCAGTCAGGAGTGTTACAGAAAGCCATGCCACTACAATTGCCAATCCAGTTGCCTCTCTGTTAGAAAAAAACTCATTTCATAAAGAAAGAAAGAAAGAAAGAAAGAAATAAAGAAAGAAAGAAAGAAAGAAAGAAAGAAAGAAAGAATGAAAGAATGAAAGTAGAAACAATTCATGAGATCACAAAATTATTTACTGCCATGGGCTTATATTACTGGGTTCAGATGTTAATTTTTGGAGACAGCAATACACATTGTGATAATATCGGTGATATTAGAAATTTTTTACCAACAGTGTTCATACCTTCCTTCTTCAGCAACAAAAATATTCCCTCTTTGTTTAACCAACTCATTCAATCCAGTATAAATTGTGTACAATATGACAGTTAGGCATAAGCATATTTGGAACAATGCTAGAACTTTGAATATTTTCAAACCTGTGAGTAAAACAAAGTTTTATAATTAAGCACTTCAATTATGTGAATTGATTCAGGTTTTGTACTATTGCTGACTTTAATTATAAGCAGACCTAACCATAGAGATAAAATGTTTGATAGTGGCCAACAATGTAAGCACAAATTTATATCTTGATATGGGTCAAAAGTAACAGACAAGGAAAAATAGATACTCTGTGGATGGTCAGGCAAAATAACTTTGTTTGAAATGCTCCCACTTCTCCATGCAATTTCCACATTTTGGTGTATCATAAGCTTATATCGAAATCAAAGAAAAATCTTAACACAAACCTTGTAGTGCAGGGTATGCCACTATGGTGATGCAAATGAATGCTGGTATCATGTACAACCCCTAGGGCAGAAAAGCTAATAGGTAGATGTTATTTGAAGTTTAACCATGTTTAGTTTGATCCCCAGATAAAGTGGATTTTAAGGGTGTTGCACCAATTTTTAATTTCCACTGAATATCTCTACTAATAAGTAAAAAAGCTTCATGTTAGTCTTACCCTACATTAGTTAGAAATTTGCTAAATCAGACCGTTTACTTACTGTATGCACACACAGTAACCGAATTAATAAGGCATAAATACCCAATTGAAATATATTCAGTGAAAACATACAGCAAATACTTACTATCCATAGAGCAGGATCTGGGTCATTCACCTGAAAAAAGACGATAAACTTGTGACATTGCTGCTTCTAAACTGAGCTGGATTTCAAACTGCATACAGCAAGATCTTAACTGCATAAAAATTGAGATCAAAGTGTGCAGGGTCACTGTAAAAATTGGATTGTATCCAGAATTGCACATTGATTTTCCAAGCATAGAAACAGTGCTGAAGAACATTGCTTATAATTGACAGTTGCCTGATGTCAGGTACAATATAACAGTTTGCTGAGCTGAAAACAAAAATGATTATGTAGCCAAACATTGATTTCATGACTTTGTGTTCTATGAACTCAGGCTGAGCATTGATAAATGAATAATCAGTTGAAAAATTATCTGATTTATTGGTTCGGAAATTTTCTAGTCAAACATGAAGCGATGGTTGAAAATAGACCACCATCATTTTCGAGAACTAAAAAAGGATCAAATCAACATTAACTTGATTACTCTCCCTTTCTACTTAAAAAAATCATGACACTTGCCTTTAAAATACTCGATTATGGTTTTGTTCATTCAAGAATTACCTGTAACAATGCAGCAATGAAGAACAATCCTGCCATGATTCCATTCATAAACTTCCACATCAAATTCTTCCAATTTGAAACACTTCCGGAGCATGTAATTTTCTCGTCATTGAAAACTTTAATAGCAAAGGCCATTCTATAGGTTAAAGAACAGAGTTTTGAAATAAGCTTTCTCTTCTTTTAGCAATATACAAGTTTCACTGCGCATAAGTAAAGCATAATTTACATAAGACAGCTATCTAAACAACAGTAAATGCAACGATATTTCTACAAATACCAAACTCGGGACCTTTGAAAAGCTCCTTTGCATGTCTCTTGAGCATCAAAACACCACACTGGTGCTTGAACCCTAAAATTCGCTTCATCTTCTGAGTTGCCTTGTGTCTGGCCACCAGCATTCTGATTTTTAAGACGAAACCGCAGAGTTTCTTCCGCCATTACAAATAGCGTTGTTTATAAGAATCAATCACACAATGTTGAATTGAATTGATCGAAGTAACATTTTTCCGTATCTGTTAAAAATTGGCATCTAACATATAATGGGAGTTGAACAGGGAAGGACAATGAGGCGTCAGTGGCGGCGCCAGCTACTATGGAGAGGGAGGGTAATGGGCGCGGCTAGTGGGACCACGCCCCTTTTGCCTCGTTTTAGTGATTTGTACCGAGTTAACTTTCCTTAGGAAATTTGATCTACACCTATCCAGCGTTTTTTAATACATTTTTAGAAGAAATATGTAGACCATATTTTCAGAAAAGTGGGGGGGGGGGGGTAATTACCACCCCTTGGCGCCGCCACTGTGAGGCTTTCTATGTCTCTAATGAGGTTCCTTTTCATTGCAAGGTTTTAACACGTGCATTTTTTGGAAATTATTTCAGCTACACAGCTTTAACGCAATTGTTTGGACTTGTATAGCTGTTGGTTGCCCCCCCCCCCACACAGACCTCCGACCCTCTCTCCTTTACCTGGGCTTCCCTCCTACAACAAAGCTTCGCCATTGGCAAAACGACGATTCCCGATTTGTTTAGCACCAAACTTTGACACCTAAAACTTTGGTGCCCTTTCTGCAGTTCCTGCCCCCACCCGATACAGTCTCAAGAACCTGCATCTGTGCCCGTGAAAAGAACAATAATAAGAATAAATAGAAATAACAGGAATAACCAGGAAATATCTTCAATACGAGGTTGGGGATGACATCATCCAGAATTAGTTGTTTTCAAAAGGATGTTGTAATTTAGTCTGCATTATGGTTTGTGAAGGCAAGTGAAAGGTACGTTCTGTTTCATTTTATGTTTACCTCTCTTTGTTTTTAGCAGAAAGAGAGAATCAGAAGACCGTTTAGTTTGGTATAGGCAGACATTCAAGAGATTCGCTGTTTTGTTAGGGAGAGTATTCTATTTTAGGGGAATTGGCCAGTCAGCCAACCCAAAATAATTGTCAATGTGTCCCTTTCCTTGTCAAGCCAGTTCGGCAGTTCCCTTTAAGACTTCAAGTTAGCTATGAATTCTGGAGAGCGATACAAGTAAGGAATTATAATTTAATTCCTTTGCAAAAATCTATTTTCTGTTGAGAACATCCTACCACATGGTCAAGTATTATCATACGTAGGGGAATCCCGGCTGCTCTTTCAATCATATACGCCCTAAGACTACATTCAGTCGTTAAGTTAAAATGAATTACATTAGTATTTTTCTAAGACATTCGTTGCTGTGTGGTGTTCCTATAGCTTTGTTTACAAACCATTGAGGTGCGATACATGCTACTTTGAAAAAGCCTTATTTACATCTAATTTTCTAGCCTCAAGTGAGGCGAATGTACTGTTTTTGTTAAGTTACTGCCACGTTGTAAAGAGCCTTCTGATTCCTAAATATTGTTAATTTACATTAAAAGATTCTTCTCCTATATCGTTTCTTTACAGTATAACATGTAATTTGATAGTCACATGTTGACACCATTATTGGAAAGTTAGTTCTAAGAACTTAACTCATAATTGGCTCATAAACATATTTCCTTCCTACTCAAATGATGAGTCAGAATCACCCAAAAACCTAACAAAAAGTTGCCATCATGCTGATTTGCATGTTTAAATTGCTTTTAAACCCAAGATGCAGACATGTTAATGCTAAAGGTGTAGGCCAAAAACTCTGAAAGTCTATTAAATTATATACTTGAAAAGTTAACAGTACTGGCACGGCCAGGCTTTTCAGCCCCCTTTCTGGAAACTTGTGCCTGAGATGTGGGAATGTTTGTGCACCCAAGGTCATGTCAAGATTGGCCATACTCTGACAACTTGAATAGAAAAATGCTTTCAAACAAAAAAAGATTTCAAAAACCTTTAATTCAGTCTCATAACAATTATTAAGTCGTGGAATATTGCCATGTAAGACATCTAGAAGTACATCTTAATGGGAAGAGGCTTCATTAGATTTTCTTTCCAAGACTAACTTGGATATATGGTAGAAGTAGATTATATCTTGCATTTAAGCCATGAAGTTGATACTTCAGTAGATTGTTGACCCCTTGTTTGTTGGGGCAAACTGGTAATAGGTTTTTTAGGATAATATACTGGTTAATTTCTTACTAGATTAAGTTATTTATGATAAGTATGCACTTTTAAATTTTGGTTTCTTAGTCAATTAAAACTATCAACACAAGCCCCCCCCCCCCACTTTGAAGTACTGTCTGTCTGCAATACCAATGACTCACACCAGTATTTCAATCAATATCATTTTTGGCACCCTCAAAATGACTTGTATGATTAAGAAATGATTTGGGATTTATGTTGCACAAATTTTTCTCATATTCACTTACCCCAAATTTTTTGATTTTATGTATTCTAGAATTCAAGCCTTTTAATCAAATAGTGGCTTAAAATAGATGGCTAGAAATTTATCAGTTGGAATTCAAAACAATTCCTTTCTTTCCTACTGGGATGTGTACTTAATTGAAATTTTCACGTCTACGTTTTTATGGAACCTCTTCTTGTTAAAGAATGGATAAAACAAATAACAAAGACCAACCTGAAAAGAAGGACGATGAGGATGTTTGTAAAGTTGAAACTAACCTCGATGATTCAAAAGAAAAAGAGCCTTGTAGTCCAACAAAAGCTGAAAGGCAAATTAGTTTTTGCCGTAAGTTAACAGAAGAGAAAGATGGGGTTGAAGGAAGCAAAACAGGCAGTCATCCTGGACAACATTTGGTAGAGCAGGAAACGGCAGGGCAATCTTGGATGATGAAAAATGTATTAAAAGAGGTTGAGGAAATTGGAAATATCACAGGCAGTGCAACTGATGAGGGTGAAGGTGCAACTGGTAAAGACTTGGTCCGGCAAAGTGCCACTGAAGAAGGTGAGCAGGTTTTCCCATAAGTGGTGATGTTGCAAAATAAATTTTGAGAATTTTGAATTTTGATCCTACACCCTTGAAGGGCACCATCAAATACCTCTAAATATGCAAAATGTGTTACGTAATGACTGAGGTATGGATACATGTGTATTGGCTCTTTCCCCATCAAACCTCTGTATTTTCATCTTTGTTCAGAGATATGTCAACCAGTTTTAGATATATTTGACTAATTTTGCGTATTTGGTAGTATTTTGTGGTGATCTTTTGTTCTAAAAATAAGTTTTTGGTAGCATCACATTTCAGAACTCTGTTGCAAGGCTTATGGCTTGCTCAGTTATTGAGCATAGAGGACAGCTTAAAATGACTGATTAAGTGCCTAAGGTACTGACTTAATAAACAATTTTCAGGGCTGCTGCTTATTTGCCTCCTGGGCACTTATAATAGAAAGGGTTGAGATTTTCAGCATTGTTAATTTTTTTGTCTTTATAAAGAAGGACCATACATTACATTTACATTTACATTTACAAAAGTTATTTACATTTAATGAGAAAGTGAGTAGCTAATGGGTATCCTCAGGGACGCTGGAACAACCAAGGGGCAAGGGGGGCAGGCTTGAGTAAAAGAGCATTTGAAAGATGATTCCCAGCTTCTACTAATTCTTGTGTAAATGCCATTTTATTTCGATATTCTGTAGGTATCTTGAACGTTGGCTATCTTTTGGCATAAGGAATTATTTTACAAGTTTTGAAAAATGTTATCATGAATTAGGCACTACAATCAGAATTTCATATGAATCTCCCTGATTATTAGAAATGGCCGGTTTCAAGGGCACTTTAGTGAAAATGACACTCTGGCCCTTCTTGCCCCTTCCATCAAAAGGCAACAGGGGCGATTGACCCCCCACGCCCCCCTTCTCCGGCGTCCCAGGGTATCCTCCATCATGATTTGTTTCTTGTTTCGAATTCAGGGTTCATGATAAAGTAGGGTCAAGCTTACTAAACAATAACCGGAAGATTGGACGCTTTTTTATTTCTGGGCGTTTATTTAAGTCATGGGCGCTTAATCGGTCATTTAAGGCATACATATAGATATCTCTATTGGTCTATCAGCTCAAAAAATAAAATAAATTTTCCGTCTTGCGAATGTGGGAGGGGTTCTGGAAATTGGCAAATTTATACACTCAAGCTCTTTCCTTGCAAACCAGATTAGTTCAATGGAAGACGAAGAAATTGTAATTGCTTTCTGTTATTAATTCTTATAGGAAAAAAGTAAATCACAGTAGACTATTTAAAATCTTCAACGTCGCAAGCGTTATGTGAAGTCTAGACTTATTATTTTTTTTGCCACCAGATGATATCAGAAAACTCAAAACTGAAGAAGATGACGAAAACTCAGTTTTGGTCGAAGGAACTTGCGCAAATCCAGCAGATTTCCGTGCCTGGAAAACCTCAGAAGGTAACGATAAAGAAGAAGATACCCAACAAGGTGATTATTATTTCTTTTCAAATTCGATGCTGCTCTTTGTTGGGACGTGTTATACCTTTTTAGCAAGGCACAGCAATGGCAGCCTATGAGAACCAAGCTTGTTAACGCCTGGCTCTTATTGCTGCATTCGACCACCAGTTCTGCACATGTCTGTCCCAATCATCTTTAGAAAATTGCGCATGTAACTGTTATCAAGCGTTTGGCATTTTGTAACTGAGGCGGTTGAGTTCTTTATACAGTTCTTAACCGAATTCTTCATTAATGTGGAGAGTTTGCATCAATCCACTGAATATTGTCTCTTGTGTGCTCCTTTCACTTAACTGGTTTTCTCTGTTCTAACGACCTGTCACAATCAATAGTCCAATCAGTTATGTTTTGCCTCACTAAATACCTCCTTTTTTCATCCAATAGCCAATTCGAGATATTATAAAACTCAAGGATAAATGTTAACAATAATTACTGAAGTATCAAGGTTCGAGGGAAATTTTGAAATTAAAACGTTAAAACGTAGAATCGCCGCAACCATCAATGAATATTTTCAATTTTCGAAAAGCTGGAAAAACATTATCTACCATAGAAAATGTATAAAAAATTTCTTACACGTTTTCAGAGTGTCGAAATACTTTGGTTATCTGGAAAATATCAGGCGTGAAAGAATATTCCAAAAATCAAGAACCTATATCTAAGATTTTGGGATCTCTACCAACGAATAAGATTATAAAGGAGATTGACGAATGGACACTTTTAGGAAGAGGTGAAAATGTTGATGTTTACCTTCATGATATTTTATCATCGCGGAAACATGCAAACTTTAGGATTCGTAGAGACACACGGGACAGTAAGAATCCACGGTTGTTTGCTGAAATACAGAACGTAAGTATTTCAAAGATTGTAATTGTCAATGGTAACAAGGAGATCAAAGAGAATCAGATAATGGAACTTGCCAATAACGACCAGATTAGTATTGGTATATTTACATTCCTTATAGAAATTGTAAAAGGTGGAAGTAAGTCGAGTCAATACGAGATAGAGTTTAAAAACATCCTACAAAGTTCCGCGCCAATGTACAACGCACGTCAGATTTCAATGGAAATGAACCCGCAGGCATATGGGATGCCTAACTGGCATCAGTATCCAAGTATGAGTATGGGTGCCATGAACAGAGGTATGCCGGCTGATATGCCCATGAGTAGAGGTATGCAAGTTGGTATGATGAGTGGTATGAATAGAGGTATGCCGCCTGGTATGATAGGTGGTATAAATGGAGGTATGCCGCCTGGTATGATAGGCGGTATACATGGAGGTATGCCGCCTGGAATGATAGGCGGTATAAATGGAGGTATGCTGGATGGTATGCCTGTTGGAATGTTTGTAGGAACGCCAGGTGTTTTGCCTAATGCCGGTATGGCTGGTAGTATGCCACATATGATGGGTGGCACTGCAGGTGTCGGTATGCCTGGTAATATTGCAGGGATGCACAGCAATTATGCAAGTATGTCTGGCAACGTTGCAAGTATGCCTGGTGGAATGATGGGAGTACCAGTTTGTTTTGCAACTATGCCAAGTGGTATTGGAGGTATGCCAACTGCACGAGATGGTGTTTATCCTGTGCAGCAACAAAGGTTTGCACAAGAAAATGATGAGTCGTTGGCACAAAATCAGTGCTACTACTCACTCAAAGAAACGAGTAAATGAGAAAAAAGACAAAATCATAAAGGATTCTTATCTCACATTTTTGTAAAAGGAATGGAGTTTATTTATTGTAGAACAGAACAGCGTTTGAATCAAGTAATAGAGAATCTAGATGATGGTAGAGTTTTTACGACAATAACTATTAGGTGTCTTTAGTTCAGAGAGCTGAATGATTTCGAGCAGTTGTTCCTTTGGGATTCATTATAATATGAATCTGTTGCAGTAGATCTTGCAATTCTTTATAAAGTTAAGGCTACATTGCCGATTGTGGTTAGAAGACATTTGTCACAGTCTGGCTATATTTACTGTCGTTGCTCTTGATGTATGATCATATAAGCATGATAGCAAGATTGCAGTATTTGATAATTCCTCTCTCGGACGATCTTTCATTTCTGAGTGAGCTTCTTTAAGTTTGTACCCAAACCTCTACCAGAATACAGCACTACCAGAACTCAAGTCTTCAATGATGTTCTTCTCATGTACGAAAAACCGTTCGTTAATTCAAGATCATTGCAAGCAACATCTTGACTCGTGCTGTTGAATATAAAGCAAATATTCATTTGGTATCAAACGGAATGACTTCATAGCAGTTTATCTTATATTTGGTAAATATCTAGCCTAATTATGGCAACCAAACAATGACCCTCGAATATTAGTCTTGGATCTTCTTAGACGAAGTGGTCATTGTTTTTACAACACGTTCTCTCACAGCTGATTGGTTCATCTGATCAATAAAAAAGGTCACAGCCAAAAGTAACAAAATTTATTAGGGATTACAATTCTGTTCTCGATATTTTCTTTACCCGATGCATCTTTCATTACTGGTCGGTTTCACAACAGACAAAGAATTCAACTTATGCACAAGAGCCATTTGTGAACAATCGTTCATTTGATACTACCGGCTAAAGTTATTGTCTTGTTTCAACTTAAATCATCTTCGTCGCATCTTCGTCGTAAAATCGCCTCGATGAGAGGAATAATGTAGAATGATTTAACATCATATATATACACCGTACACAGAGCCAAAAATACTTGTTTGGAAGCATAAGTTTTTGTCTGAAGCTCAAGAACAAGGCATTTGGGTCTACCATTTCTCTGATTTCAATCAGTATTCCAAAACAAGGCGAATTTCCTTGCTCGTTAAACGCCCTCTGTTCAGCTGATCGAAGTGAAATCATATCCCCTTTTATAAACGCTTCCTTTTATTTAACGTCCCATCAATGATTAAGTGATTTTAATGCCCATGGCGTTTGATAGAGGATTCGCTGTATAGAACGAAATAAATAGGTGAAACTTCCTATTTCTTTTATTTCCAAAACATGATATATGCATTGAATATATATATGCATAATTTTGACTGGATCTAGCCAGTTTATTGCAAATTTGCCCACATATTGCAGCATACCGTGGACCTTCCTTAGATCAATACTGCACAACATCGCAGTTGGTGAACGGCATCTTATGTTGATGTGCAAATACATTTATGTTGATGTGCAAATGCAATTAAGAGAGAATTAAAGACTGTCTTGCTTTCACTGATTTCCCACAATAAAACCTTTGTAAATGTCACTGCTTACAACTGTAAACAACAATTGCTACGTTTAAGATTTTATGAAAGTATGTAGAGATTTTGACAATGTTTTGTATTTAGATCTTTGTTATTTGATTTTTCGCGCTTATAAAATATCTTTGAATAAATATATTTAGAATAATAAGAATTGAAAAACAGCCTGCAAGGTTTCTTTGTACTGAGCTCTTCCAGAACCACTGCTTTCGGGCGGGATGGATACGGACGAAAAAACGCTGCGGAGCAAAAGGTCTGCGGAGCAAGAACGCTGCAGGGTAAAAGCGATATTGGTATCTCAATCATACATTGTTGCCTTCTGAAACTGTATAGAAATCAAAGGCCCTAATCAGGGTTTTGTGGTACACCAATACTGATGTTTCTTATATATAGCTGATGATTAATGATACAAGGCCTTCAAATGGGACTATCTATAATTAATGTTAAACGTGTTTTAACAAAATTGATGGTGGAGGGGGAATATTCTAATTTCAGGAGTTTTCAGTAGCGATCATCTAAAAAGGCACAATGCAGCTCGGGCCCAGGGGTGATCCACCAAACTGGACCTCCTTTAAAAAAATTTCCTGTGGCCACGCCCTTCACCTTCACCGTCTCCCGGAGAACAAGAGAAACGCCATTTTTAGGTACAATTGTTGAAAAAGTTTTTTAAAGATTTTGACAAGAATGTGCATAAACATTTTACATAAGTCAAGGACATGTGGACATTTCTCTATAGCCGTTGATTGCATATAAGTAGCTAAATAGTAACTTTTACATTATAAAAAGATCTTGTCTTGCTACTTTATTGCGGGCCCCATTGCATCACGGGCCCCGGACCTTCTGCCCCTCCCAACCGCCCTCTCGATGCCCCTGCCTCCACGGAATGTTTTTGATACAATTTTTAGAGTTTCAGTGCTGGTCATTACATCATCATGATTCTTTTGTTAACATCATCGTAAGGACGATAAAAAATTTGCATATCAACACATCATCGTTAATTTTATGGGAGATTCCTTGAACATAAATTAAAAAAGGTATCAGAGTAAATCTGATTCGCAAAATCGGTAAACTTCGAAATGTAACAATGTCAAAAATAAAGGGAACTTAGCAGCATGAGCTCGACAATATCTCTAGCTCGAATCTCTTGCAGCTATTTATGTGCTCCCTTCTTACCATGTCGATATGATGGTAAGCTCTACAACAGGGGTGGGCAATTAATTTTTACAAGGGGCCACATGAGAAACCTGAACTATCGAAGCAACGATAACTTTAATTTGCTCGATGTTCGTTTTTTCTAAGTGTAAAAAGCACTGAATTGTTTTATATTTGAGCAGCCACTGGCTACCAGAAAGACATAGATATTACGTTAATATTTAAGAAAGTATACGAAATTATTGTTCAGGTCAAGTGGAAAATACCCCTACAAAAATATTTGAAAAAATGACAAGATGGGAATATACTCCTACAAAAGTATTTTGAAAAAAGGGCAAGATTTTAAAAATCAAAGTAACAGAGTTGTATTGCATGAACATCATAACATGTTTTATGATATTTTTTTATTCATCTTTTTATTGACCACACACTCCTGTGAGCCGGACCAAAACGTCCTAAGGACGGGATGTGGCTCTCGGACCGGAAGTTTCCCAGGCCTGCTTGGGTCGCCAAAATTTACCACATTATAGAGATTGTAGATTTATAGTCTTTATCAGAAGCTCAAAGGCAGGGATATAATGGTGGGGTGGGGGGCTCAGTGGGGCGACCCCCTTGTCAAAATTTTTGAAAAGATCGGGGGGCTCGGCCCCTCCCTCATTGTTTGCGCTTAAAAAAAGAAAAGAATCCTGTATGTTTTGACTTTCTAGAGGTCCAGCCTTCTTTCGGTGATTTTCCTTTCTGCTAACGCACTTATTGGGAAATATTTACCCTTTCAAACCTTCTGCGGCAATGCATACTAGTTAGATATTAGGTTCTACACGAGGCTTCCACAGAACTGACAAATGAATATTTTGTTGCATTAATGGCCAGGTTTAGTGTTATAAATCAACTTTCGTATGATGTGATGGCAGAACGCCTTTTGAAAAACTATCGAAAGCCTTGAAATTGAAAACTATAAGTGAGTTTCTATTTGGTATTTGATATGTTCTCGTGTACCAAGATAAATACATTCATTGAATACATAACCGGTCGTTGTTATTTAACTCTGTCTGGCCTCCATTTTAATGACAGAAGCACTAGAGCAAATTAAATGGTTTGTTAAGTTATAACTTCGTCACAAGAGATATACCGTAGTTACAGACTCCAATAACTATGGTTTTAAAGACTTTGATTTGATTTGATTTGATTTGATTTGATTTGATTTGATTTGATTTGATTTGATTTATTATTCAAATTCTACTACAATAATAATTGTTAAAAAAATACTGATAATAAAAATATAGAAAAATTAAACAACAACACAATCTAATTAAATGCAGTAGAATTCTCCTCAAAAGTTTTCATTCAATCCTCCAAAGACAGTAAATTTGTTTAACATAATGGCATAATTTTTTCTAAACTCATGCTCTGTGTTAGAATCCCGAGGGTACCTTTGATTAAAAACTATCTGCTACAAAGGGAGACAGTATTTGCTGCATTGTGCGATTTTGCCTTTCCACAAGTCCATCCCCTTGAGGGTGATAGGCGGTAGTACGAGATTTCTTAATTCCCATCATATCATGAATATTATGCATAAGGGTACTATCAAAGTTTCGCCCCTGGTCTGAATGGGGAACAACCGGGAGAAAACCCGAGACACAAGGATTTTGGCGACAGTGGAAGCTTTTTGGTACTTAGTGGGGAAAGCTTCACACCACTTTGTAAAGTGATCCATCATGAACAGAATGTGACGATTACCATGTGCAGTTTCAGATAAAGGACCCATATAATCCAAGGCCCAGAAGGGAAATGGTTCACTAACCTGGATGGGCTTGAGAGGGGCTTTGGTTGATGTGGGGTTATCCTTACCTTGGCTGCACTTGATGCAATAATTGACAAAATCAGTGATGCATTCATCCATTCTGGGTCAGAATAAACGTTCCTTAGCTCGGAGAAGAGTCCGTGTGATACCCATGTGGCCTGCAGAGGGGCTGTTATGAAGACCTTTAAGAACCTGTGGGACTAGAGTAGCTGATGTAGTATGATTCAAACGAGAAAGTGCATCAGCATTTCCATTTGTGTAACCAGGCCTATGCTGGATGGTAGATGCTGGAAGTCAAATTCTTGTAGATCCATAATCCACCTAGCAAGACGGCCTTTGGCCTCAACAGAATGCAACCATTTAAGGGCATTGTTATCAACTGGAATTTGGGACCCAATAGATAGGCTCGGAAATGTTGAGTTGCGAATACCACAGCCAGTGCTTCCTTTTCCATGGTAGTGTAGTTTTGTTCCCTGGCTGTTAGTGTTTGGCTTGAGAAGAGACCACCCTTTCCTGACCATAATTATCAAACTGAGCTAAGACAGCCCCGAGCCCAATGTTAGAGGCATCTATTTGAAGTATGAAAGTTTGATCAAAGTTGGGATATGCTAAAACAGGGGCAGAACACAAAAGGTCTTTAATTCTTAGAAAGGAATTTTGATGTGATTCAGTCCATGTAAATGGTATACCCTTTTTAGTAAGCTCAGTTAAAGAGGAGGCTAAGGATGCAAAGTTGGGAATTAATTTCCTATAATAGCCTGCTAAGCCAGAAAAGATCGGAGTTGTTCTAAATTTGTGGGAGGAGGAAGGCCCTAAACTACTTTAGTTTTAGATGGATCGG